ATATTCTTGTTTTCTTTTATCAAACAAAACAATTAAATATTGCTAATCCCCCAAAACCTTCACAAATCTCTTAGTTTCTCTACAAAACCATCACATCATAATAATCCTCTTTTTTTTAAAAATCTATGTGTCATGTCTCCAAAGTCCTTAATTTGCCTACTGTTGATCCCTTCAAATTCTTTATCTATGTTAAATCCCCAAACCTTTAATGTTTCTTTTTAAAAAACATTGATTCTCTTTTAATTTCTCAAAACACTTAATATCTCTCTTAATTCATCAATCTTTTTACGCCCTTCACCAAATCCACGTTATACCGTCAAAACGCGGATTATATTTGATTATATCATTATTAATTGTATCAAATCTATTTTGCTGCAAATTTGATAAGCTTAGTTTTGTGAAAAACCCAGAATGTTTTCTCAGCAAGATCCTTGTGCTTCACGACGGCCGCCGCGAGCGAAGCGAGCGGCGGCCGCCGTCTCAGAAATTTTCATGTTCGAGTGTTTTTTAATTGTTTTTTTGTTTTCAGAACAAAAAATTGAAAATTCCTTTGGTCGTTCTGTCCTGATCTTTGCCTCTCATCAATGACGTACCTCTAACATTCTGGACCCTTTCCTCAACATTTTTTCCTGTGTTTCCGTTCTTTTATCCAATCTTAATCAGTCTCTCATACTTTTTTAGTCTTTGACAGACTATCATATGTATTTCCTTATTCAGTAAATTCAAAAATTTAGAATTTCTATTTTTTTCAAATCCAAATTACTAAATAAACAACATTTTTAACTTATGCAATATTTTTATCTTTCGTTTCAATTTAGTCTTTTGTATCTTTTACTCTGGTTAGACTTTTTGTTATTTAAAGCTAGTTAGGCCTTTTGTACATTTTAACTCTTTAGTCCTTTTGTGCTTTTTAAACCAGTTAGATCTTTTAAACTTTTAAATCTGTTTTGGTCTTTTGTAATATCTAAACTGATTAGATCTTTTGTAATATCTAAACTGATTAGGTCTTTTGTACTATCTAACTGATTAGGTCTTTTGTAGTATCTAACTGATTAGGTCTTTTGTGCTATATAAACTGATTAGGTCTTTTGTACTATCTAACTGATTAGGTCTTTTGTACTATCTAACTGATTAGGTCTTTTGTACTATATAACTGATTAGGTCTTTTGTACTATATAAACTGATTAGGTCTTTTGTACCTTGTAGTTGTGTACCATTTTGTCAGTGCACTCGATGTTTACATTTAAAATTTTTAAAGAGACAAAGGAAAATCTTTTTCTCTTTCTTAGTATGTTATTTTCTTTTTTTCAACGCATTGTTATTGTTTACGACTTTAGAAAATTTTCGTTTCAATAAAAATTCTGTTTACACAATCAAAAAAATTTTCACGTGGACCATTAAATTAATATGGTTAATTACCTTTGACCCTAGAAAAAAAGCAAAAAAAAATTAAAATCTACACTACAATTAAATAAATACCGTATTTATTCTAATAAAATGGCCCCTCCATTAGAATGGCCCCTCCAATAGAATGGCCCCTTTTTGGGGGTAATGAAAAATAGAATGGCCACCTCCATTAGAATGGCCCTCTAATAGAATGGCCCTTTTAACTAATGAGTATATGCCTGAATACATTTCTTTATTTTCCTATTATGTATTAAATATTACTCTTTAGTAAGGATAATCATAATATTTTCGAGCAAATCTGGAGTCATAAAAGGGAGATTAAGAAGGATATTAGGGGATTTGAGAGGATTAGGAGGGATATCAAGAAATTACAACGATTTAATGAAGATGCATGGGATTAAGAGAATTAATAGATATTTATGAATTTGACAATATAAGCAAGTTGGATATAAGGTTGTCGGATCCGGTTCGGATATTGGATCCGAATATCCGAAGATTTCCAACTATCCGACAACCTTAGTCGGATACATTTATTTTATCAGGGGACTTGCAGGGACATAGGATTTTGAGGAATAATGATGGATTGATTGAGATTTGGGATAAAATTCTGAATATTTCAGGACCCTTGAAGACATACGAAAATTTTGGAATTTTTGGTAGTTTAGAATTTTAATTACTAATCAATATCCCTCCAAATCTCTCCCAATTCCCATATATTACGTCCAAATTCCGAGATCCCACGAACTTTTATGAGCAAACTATACCGGAAATTTTGATTGTCTGGCACCAAAGTAAATAAAAAGTTGCCTTTTTGCCTAGCAGGCAAAAGATTTTTATGTTTTATAGTGTTACGAAAGAAAGATTCACTAACCAAAGCCGAAAATATAGAATTTTACACGAAAAATCGATTAAATTTCGAAGTCAAAAAATATTCGATCGAACATTTAATGCATCCTATCTCTGATTTTTACCTATGAAAAATAGAATGGCCACCTCCATTAGAATGGCCCCTCCAATAGAATGGCCCCTTTTTGGGGGTATCGAAAAATAGAGTGGCGGCCACTCTATTAGAATAAATACGGTATATGCACTTTATGTTTAATAAACGGAAGAAAAATAATTTAAAAAAATAATTATTTACGTAAATTAAGTCTTTTTTTATTTTAAATATTTTAATGAATTCATTGAAGAGAAGTACTTTAAAAAATATTAAAACTACAAAAGGTTAAATTATTTTTAAAAAATTAATTTCTAAATTATTTCTTAGAATTTTTAACGTAAATTTTAATTATTTTTTGTCATAAAAAATTAAAAAAAATATTTTTTAATTATCCAAAAAAAATTATTTTTGATTCTAATTATTATGTCCCCGGATTTAATATATTTTACTCCCAAACAATACATATTCTAACGAAATACAATATTTATTATTAAATAAGGAAATAAATTTAAATAAAGTTTTAGATAAAGTTTGATAACGAGAATATATATTTGAAATTAAAGTTGTAAATGTTATAGGGGAATGTTTTGAATAAGATCAAAAGGAAACCATCAATATACTAAACATAGCAATAATAAAATTTAAATTTAAAATTATTTTTATTTAATTTATCACAAAATATGCCAATAATTCAATATCATTGATTAATAAAAAAATTAAGAAATTCCCTTTCTCTGTCTAAATAAATATTTCTTTCTCTTTTTTCATTTAAAAAATATTTCAAAATTTATATTTTAAATAAAATGTTTTTAATAATTAATTTATTTAATTTATTTATTTTTGTTAATTCCCAATTTTGTTTTAAAGAAGAATTTAAAGAAGAAGTTTGTGAAAATCATTTACCTATCGATGCTTGTATAACAATTTTTGGGACAAGAAAAAGTCATGAAAAACGTCCAAAATTATGTGAATGTCCACGTAAATACTTTCTATTTTAAGAAAAAATATTTTTATTAAAAATACAAATGGGATTTTCTTTATCAAAATTATTCTAAGAAAAATAGAAAAAGTAGTTTCTACTACAAAACTTTCTATGTACGTATTAGGCAGAGTTTAAAGTATGCAAATGAAAACAAATTCTCGTTAGCTCATTCGGTAGCTCACTGAAAATAAAGTGAAGGAAAGCGGTTAGCACTGATTGCCAGTAAATGCAAGTTCAATTTCAGCCCAGTTTTAATTAATTAACTTTTTCTAAATCTTATTCCTTTTTTCCCCTCAATTCTCATCTTTAGACTTACAAACTGAAGCTTTACAATGTGCAAATCATTGTTCTATGTGTTGTGAAAGGCCTGAACATTCATGTCCAGACTTAAGAAAGGATTGCTTTAAAAGGCGTAAAAATGGAGTTTGTTGGGAAAAAGAAAATATTGAGGACCAAATTAAGAATTGTGGGGGTACTTGTGGACTTTGTGGAAGGAAAAAATGGAAATGGGATGAAAATTGGATGTGCAGGGATTCGAATTGGGAATGTCCAGAAATGGAAAGTTTTTGTAATTTTGATGAAAGAATTCGTCTTTTATGTCCAAAAACTTGTAAAAAACAATGGTATAAAGAAATTGGCTTTGAACAACCCTGTGAACTTGAAAGAAGAATTTATGAATTTCGTTTTGAAAACCCTCCTGAAGGTTTTCTTTTGAATTACTTAGGGGTTGTTTTGGAATAAAAAAATAATATTTATTTATTTAGAAGAAGACTGTACAGATACACGAAATGATTGTTTTAAGGATATTTTATTTTGTGAAATGCCGGTTATTTTTTTAAAATTTAAAATTTTTTTACTTTTATTTTCTAGAATTATTTTTATAAATTGGAAGGGGAATGTCCAGAAACATGTGCTCATTGCAAACCAAAAGGACATAAATGTAAAGACAAAAATCATCAAAAGTTTTTAATTTTTATTTAATTTAAAAAAATAAATTAATTTTTAAGTTGTATTCAATGGCAATCACACAAACATAGACCTTTTTGTTTTAATCATAAAAACACAAAAGGACTTAAATTTCATTATTGTCCTGATGCTTGTCTTCTTTGTTGATAAGAAAAAGAAAAAAGATTTTTTTGGATATTTCATTTAAATATTTATGTACATTTAATTAAATTATTTTTATTTATTTTCTTTTAAAAAATCAATTTTGTAAAGAAGCCCCCCCACAAACAATAAAGTTGCACTTTTTCTCTGTTCAAATTTGATCGTCTGTCAATAAAAGAGAGAAAAATAAAATAAAAGAAATTAAAAAAGCTGCATTCTGTTAAAAGAAAAAAATATTTTTTCTTTTATTTTTAGCTTTTAATGTAAGAAATGTTTGGACATAAAATGGTTGGGGGGAGGGGGGGTAGGTAGTGTTTTGTGAAGAAAAGAAAATATGTTTAGCCGAAAGAATATTTTTGCTTTTAGTCTCTAAATAAATAAATCTTTTAATAAAAAGTATTTATTTATGTTGGAATTAATGCCAATTGTTGTTTCCTTTTTCTCTTTTTCTTAAATGATTCTTCTTAATTTTTAGTTAGTTAAATATTATTTTTAACTGATCGATTCTTAAAATTTTATTTAAAAATAATTTTATTTTTTAGTTAAATATTTGTTTAATATAAACATTCCATTTATTTTATAACTGCCATGGAGACTCGTGGAGAACGTAAGTGTGCATGTTAATTACCCTTTTACTAGTTAATTACCCCCCCCCCCCCATAAAGATAGAGTAATCCCTAAATCTAATTTTAATTTACACCCTCCCGTTATTTGTTCTTCAATTATATCCCAATTTCAATATAGTTAATTCTCCCTATAAAAATTCCCCTCTTTTTAGATGCAAATATAATTCACGGAACATTAGATGCTTTAGTAACTGATGTAAATAAAACAGCAGAAGTAATTAGAAGACATCATGAACAACAAATGCTTGATAAAAAAACATTTCAAGGAGAAATGGAAGTTAGTGGACGTATTGAAGTTGAGCCCCAAGAAAGTTGGCTAAATTTACGTTTAAAGTCTGTTAGCACAGAAGATTTAAAAAAAGAATTGGGACGAGTAAAAGAAGATCAACGTGAATTTTAAATTAAACAATTTTTTAATCAAAAAATTTTATTTAAAGGTCAAAATGTAGTAACAGATACATTAGCAGCATTAGTATATGATGTTAATGCTACTGCAGAAGTACTTCGTAGAGGGTCTCTTAAAGAGAAAAAAGTGCCAAAATCGCATGAAGTAGGCAAATTAATTATAAATGCAAAGAATGATTAGTTGAAATACAAGTTTTAGCAAAGATGATTGAAAAAAACTTAGGGGGCGAAAATATGAATTAGTCCAATAAAGAGAGCTCTAATCGAAATTCCGCTCAAATTTTTTGACATATTAAAAAGAATTATTAGTTTTAAATACTAAAATTTAATATCGATCTCCCTAAACTAATTTATATAAACTTTAGGAAATTGAATATCGTTTACGTTTAACACCCGCAGCTTATGAAGAGGCACCTTATTTTGATCAAGAAGAGCCGGTTTTTGGTTTGAAATTTTGTCCTTTTCTTTTTCTTTTATTCTCCTTCATTTAAAAATAAAATGAAAGAAATAATTAAAACAACAACAATTAATAATATCAAATATAATTATTTATTTTATTCAGAGCCTGCGGATGATTATACTGTTGATCATATAAAGAAAGATTATGGAGTTGAATTAGATGAATCTCAAATGTATATTAAATTAAATTATTAATTTTTGGAGAGAACCCTTCTCATTCTCTTGAAATTTTTCTTAGAGGACACAAATCCTAGATTAAATAAGACCTGTCTGTAGTCTAAAGTTTAATTGGCAGTTCCTGGGAAATCTTCGAATATCCGAACAGAAAAAGGCCAGAAAGCCCAATTTCTTTCTTGTTTAGCTCTAAATTTTGCTAGGGGTGCCATCAGGACATCGAATTTTTAGAGTTAACGGAAAACGAATAAATTCCAATTTCATAGACTGGAGGTTAGGTTCCGTTACGAGCGTGAGGAGAGAATCTAATATCCTAATTTATCTTTATATTTTTTATAATATTCAGAAGTAGTCTAAAAAGACGTGCTCGCTCAGCTACACCTCGAAGAACGTTAAATATTGAAGTTAATTATCATTTTAATTTTTTAAATAAATTTCCTCCTTTTCTTAGCCAACATCACCATTAAGCCCTATAGCAATTTGTGCCTTTTGTAATCAAGAAATTGATGGCCCTGTTTTGACTGCCTTAGCTCCAAATGCTACAAAAGCTCAAAAATTCCATCCTTATCATTTTATGTGTTGCTATTGCCAAAAAGTTTTTTCGAGAAATAACTTTGAAATAAAATATTTTTAGGCACTTAATTTGCACGGAACATTCCGCGAACACGAACTTCGACCATATTGTCATGAATGTTTTTATAAACTTTGGAATGGTCTTCTTTATGAACCTGATATTAATCAAAAGAAAATTGAAAAATTAATCTAAAAAATTAAAAACAAACATGGATAATTAATTAATTTTAGTATTTTGGTTATTTTAATGAGAAATAAAATTGAAAGTTTTTAAGATTAAAAGAAAAAATCATTTTATAATTTATTAAGACATTTGTACATATACAATACAAATAGGCATTACAACATATTTACAACAAATCACCTAGATATATTTATCAATTTCTATATATTCATCTATTCCCAGACTTCTACAAACCAACTATTTAGATGAACGCTCCACAATGCGCATTCAAGGACGAATAGTGAGTGATGAGGGCCCTAACACTCGCAAATCTGTCAAAAAATTAAGTGAAGTCAAGTTCTTTTAAAGAAAATTTACCCCAGATGATATGGCTCAGCAACAGGATTTCCATTAGAATCATATGGAATAGCACACCACAACTCAGCATTCTTGTTGTCGTTGTTGTTGTTATTCTCCTTAGAGACAAATCGTTTGATTTGGGAGTGCACAACATTTCCAGTGTCCGATTTATATGCAATCATCAATGGCAGTTCAAGAGGAATTTTATTCACGTCCTTAAACGATTGACTCGATAGCTGGTAGTAGATGAAGAAATGACGCAATTGACGTTTTTCAAATTGAGAATAGGCACGCTTAAAAAGAAAATATTTTTTCAATTTTAAACAAAAAATTCTCTCACTTCCATGGTCATTGCCCGAACAGGATATGGAGTTGGTTGCTCTTTTGGACAGACAGCCACATTGAATTCTCGAATGAGTTGGTCACTTCCAGCCTTCCTTTCTCTTGCCATCTTCTTCTTTCTCTCCCGTTTGGAATGTGTGCCCGAAGGTGGAAGTTGAGGCCATTGAACCTTTAAAAACAAAAGAAAACTATTTTTTAATTTTAAATTTAAAATGCCTGGTATTTGTCGCTTATCAACTTCCCCGCTTCATCAATCTCAACACTATATGTTGGTGGAGAAACACACGAAGAAGACCTCCTTCCATCAGAAGAACTCGAACAAGCTTAAAATTAATTTAAATTTAAAAATTTAGAGAAAAAACACAAACATCTGCAAGACATTTGGTCGCAAACAAACGAAGCTGTTGATGTTGAGAAGAGTTTAGAAGAATTATGTTTTGATAATTTTAATTAACTTTTAGGTTTTTATAATAATTAATTTGTCTTTATATGTATTTTAATTACCGTATTTGCTCTAATTGAATGACCCTTTTAGAGGTGAAAAAAGCCTGGACCTGCTAAAGCCTTCTTCTACTGGACTCTGGGGTTTGATTTCTTGACCTGAGCCGGATCTTGAGCCTGTAGTGCAGTAAAAACCCAGGCCCAGGAAAAACCCAGGAATTTTTTACCTGGGCCCAGGCCTGGACTGTTGGGTTTATTAGATTTACAATAAATTACCAAATTTCAATTTAAAGATACAGGGGGATTAAGAGGGATATCATTGATTTAGAGTCTATACAATTATTTTTACATTTTTTAACAAATAAAAATATTTTTAAAAATTTTTAAAATTCAGCAATATTTGTAAAAGAAATAGGAACAGACGAAGATCTTCTAATCATTATTAACGGATTTCTTTCTCTCATATTTGTTGAATTATTCCATTCATTTCCTAATAATTCTGCATGTAATAAATCTCTTAAAAATAAAAATAATTAAAAATAATTATTTTTAAATCCAAACAAAAATATAGTCCTTTTATCACGAATAAGCACAAAAGTAAAAAAAGTTATTTTTAACATCCAAAGAAGTAAACAAATTAAAAATGATGAAAATAAAATAATACAAATTGGTGCTAATATTTTATATTTGTATATATTTAATAATAATAATATTTCAATTGCCATAGAGCCGGTAACATTTATTAAATAAAAATTTAAAAATAAATTATTTTTTGTTTTAAAAATTTGTTAAGAATTTAATTATTAAATATTTGAGAAGTTAAATACAAAATATGGCCCCAAAACAAAGGTGGCTCGGAAAAGCTGAAATACAATTTTAGGAAATGCATCTAAAACTGTAAGCGGGAATCGGAAGTTCAACCAATTTCTTAAAAATACCCTATTTCCTCAAAATAACCGAATGGGGTTATAATTTCGACCGACCACTAGAGGGAAATAGAAGGTATCCCCTAAAATAGAGGATGGGCTATTTTAGGCTAGTTAGCTATTAGGAAATACGATATCTCAAATATTCCCCACCTAACTTATTCTGAAATTTAAAAAAAATCAAAAAGAAAACATACACAGCTTGCAATAAAAGGTAAAATTAAAAAGTGAATATCTGTAATTAAAGCTAAATTCATTAAAAGACTTGTTAATAAAGAAAATGAAAGTATCCAAATAGCTGGATTAAATATTAATTCGTATTGCCATTGAGAAAATAAAATTTTTGTAGAAAAAGGTGCTTCAAGAAGAAGACAAGAAAGTACTAAAAAAAGTTCCTTTAAAAAAATTAAATTATACTTAATGTTGTCACAATACACACACAAATACTAATAATTAAAGTAACAAAACGTAATCTCAATAAATTACAACAAGAACGATATGAAGCCATTAATGAATATCTATTTATTTTTAAATTATAATTATTCATTTCCTTTTAAAAACAAATTATCTGTTGAATCATTTGAACCAACAGTAATTGATCTAAGACCATCAAGACCAATTCCATTTAATAATCCAGCAGCGCTTAATGTGGACGCATAAATAGATGTACTTGAATTTTTTAAACTATCAAGTGCTGATTCAATAAATGATAAATTTGTTTTTGGAAATTCTAAAGAAGAACTGCGTCTTATAGGAGCCAAATAATGATTTGTAATAAATGTATTCTAATAAAATTTAAAGATTTTTTTTCTCAATTCCGGTTCTTCGCTCCAAGAACCGACAACACTTATACATACAGTGGCGGAAATTTAGTTAAGAAAATGTTGGAACTATGAAAAATAAAAGGGGGTTATTTTTTAACTAAATTTCCGCCACTGTATATACCTGTTGATGTGATGATGGTTTTCGATCATAACAATCCGATACATTTAATAATCTACTAGAATTACTTTTCATAATTTATTTGTTAATATTTTTAATATTTAAAAAACTGAAGAAAAATGGAAAGTAAAAAGATTTTTATTTCTTAAAAATGCCAAAACTAAACAAACAGACAATTTACTAAACATAATTGAATCTGACAGATTTTAGATGTTGTTTTTCTTTTTTTAATTTCAATATTAAAAAATTATATGTAGTAAAAATTATAAATTAAAATTTGCAATAAAATAAATTAAATAAATATTTTTGGTAGTAAACATCGTTTTATTAAACAAGTTTTTTAATAATTTTGTGTGTAAATAAATCAACTTTATATTTTTTATTACCTATTTTTGGTTTTATTTAATTTTTCATTTTCTATACAAACTTTTTTTAACTATTTTATTTTTATATATTTTTAGATAAACCTAGCCAGTCAATTAAATTAAAAAATTTAAATTGAAGTAGTATCATTAGTATTGGGTCTATCTCATATAACTAGTTCTATTTTTGCGTTTTGCGTCGTTTTTTGTTCTTGCGTCAATTATCTCTTATTACCCGATTCATAAACTTTTTTCATATTTTTTAAATCTCTACATAATTAACAAAAAAGATTTATATTTTTAATCTCAATTTCAACAATCAAAATATTTGTTTTTGTCAAAAAATTAATTCCGTCATATATTTAATTTACTCGTGATCACGTTTCAACTAATTTTTTTGTCCTTTACTTCCTTTCTTTTAAAGACAACTCATTAATCTGGGGATATAAAAAAGAGACGACAAAAACTTCAAGAGTTCAGGCTTCAAAAAAGAAAAAAGCATTTAAAACTTTATAAAAATTGAAATGATCGTTTAATATTATTTCTCATTTCTCACGAAATTGAAAAAAATTCACGAGGAAGACAACAAATGGTGGCCAGTCATTCCTTTCCCACTTATTTTTTTGACTACGCTGACGATCTTTGCCCTGTTCCTCTCAGACTTTGGACTCACCTAAAACTTTTTTGGGGTCAAAAAGAATAGTATTGCGGTGGTTCGACGAATAAATTAAAATCAAAGGGTGTGCGAGCCACGAATTTTTATTGAAACCCAAAATTAGATTATCTTTTATTTTAATGGCCCAAAAATGTTATCTTCATATAAGTAAAAGAGCAACCCCGATATTGTAAAATAATATTATTTGTTTGCAGCAAAATGATAATTTCTTTTTTAGAGGTATGATAACTCACAAACTACAAAAAAATACAATGTAATTTTTAGGTACTAAATACATATACCTTATATACTCTATTAATTACCCCGGGTAATTAATGTTTCGACCTCTCTCTGGAGAGGGTAATTACTAGACTAATTATAACTATTTTTAAGGGAGTAATTATTGTTTCGACCTTTCGCTGGAGGGGGTCACTAATAGAGGTGGAGTAATTATTTGAGGGAGGGTAATTAATAGAGTATATACGGTAATTATGTGCTCTGAATGCATTTTTTCCTTTTTTTGGTAAACTGTATTATCCTATAAATAATAAGATAAATTTAGGACTAATTTGTTGTCGGAAGATAACTTAAAAAATCAACAAATATATATGCCTACTAGTCTTTCTCTCCAATAGATATCCTTTATACATACGTATATTCACAAAATATATCTCCATATATCCCTTCTCAGCCTTCTTTCTTTATTTTTCTCTGTTTCTAAAGCTCCGCATTCATCCAAAATATTTTCTTGACTGTGAATTTTCGCCATGGTTCCGTGACTTTTGCGCCGAGAACATTTGCGCCGCGACTTATGCGCCGCGACTTTTGCGCCGCGACTTATGCGTCGAGCGACTTTTGCGCCGGGGGACTTTTGCGCCGCGACTTTTGCGCCGGGCGACTTTTGCGCCGCCACTATCATTAAAAATATATCAATAACTACAGCCGGACCTCACTTTAGTAGGGTTGACGAATAGTTGGAAATCTTCGGATCTGATATCCGAACTGAAAATTTCGGATATCCGGCATTTTTCGGATCCGGATTTTCTAAACAATGGCGGCGCAAATGTCGCGGCGCATAAGTCGCCCGGCGCAAAAGTCGCGGCGCATAAGTCGCCCGGCGCAAAAGTCGCGGCGCAAGAGTCGCGGCGTAAAAGTCGCCCGGCGCAAAAGTCGCGGCGCATAAGTCGCGGCGCAAATGTTCTCGGCGCAAAAGTCGTGATACCTTCGCCATTAGCAGCTGCATTCTCTATATGTTTGTGTGTATATACTGAGAGATATAGAGAAAAAGAATTCGCGAGAAAAAAAGTGTCGACCAGCCACCGCCGAAATATTAGATAGATAGAAAAATATGTACACCCAACATCATACCACATTGCTTAGTTTTCCTCTCTCCAAATATTTTTGCTTTTAAATTTACTTGATATACTGCTAAAATCCTCTGCCCAATTTTCATTATTATGTCAACAACAACACGTGAGGAATGGGAAGAAAATAGTCTCTTTGTTAGGGAAACCCTCTCTCCCCTTTCTCAACATTTTCTTTCATTTTGGCCACGTTGCTTTTTTAAAAATTCTGACCATTCAGCAAAAATTTTTTTTCATTTATTTGAAATGATAAAATATATTTTTCTATTATTTTTGCTTTTTCTCATAACTATTTTTGATAATAATTTAACATTTATGTAAACAATTAATGGCCCCATTTTTTCTTTACAAATTAAAAATTCTTTAATCTAAACATTTCTTATATTAAAAAAAAGATTATTTTCCAATTTAATTAATTTCAAAATATTTCATCAATAAACAAAGTTTATTCCTCAAAACTTTTTTATAAAATTTAAATTGTTTTAACAAATTAAAATATTTAGAAGTTTGAGGTTTGTAATTTAATTTTGTATGTTTGTAGTTTAGATTTTGTTTAGGAAAATTAAAAAATTAATCTAGAAATAAATAATTTTTAGGTATATTTTTGATTAAAAAGTTGTAATGAATTTAAATATTAAATTAACAACTTTTTGAACATTTTTCCTTATCATTTATATTTTTATATTTTATATTTGCTATTTTTATCATTATCATAAATTTTACGTAAAAGAACTTTTAGGTTCAAAGAATTAAAAAAATATGTAGAACTTGTACCTAATATTTACATATTTTATCTTTTATATATTTACATATTTTGATAAGATATTTTCCCAAACCACAAATAAGCAAGTTTAGGTACTCAAAATAAAAAAAGTTTGTCGTTTTCTAATAGATAAGAATTAATATTTAAATAAATTCTTCACCACTTTCTTTACCAAAGTATTTTTCCAAAAACAGAAAATATGTGTTTTATTTAATAAAATTTTTTCTAGTATATTTTTAGATTTTATGTAGAGGAATTTAAGAATCAAAACTAGAATATTTATTGTAATCTTTCGATAGTTACAAAACAAATTACAAAGTTTTTTTTAAATATTTCATTATCAAATTGGCAAAATGTTTTTTAATTTTTTAATTTGTTCCTTTTCGTCATTTTTTAAATTTCACCAAAAGATTTTTTTCCCAGTTAAAATTTGTTATTTTTTAATTTCTCTTTTACTTTTGTCACATCAAAAACATTAATTTAAAACTTCAATTTTTCCATTTCAGCAGTGCTCATTATTTTAACATTGCTCACTTATATTTCTAATCTAATAAATTATTTAAAACATGGTCAAGGATACAACACCTATTTGGGTTTCATTACCTATAAATCTTGGAAGGTGAGTGGATTTTTTCGTGGATTTTTTTGCAAGAGTTTTACGGCCAAAGTACTATAAACTTTTTATTTGCTCTAGGATTACTGACTTTGAATGGCCTGACAGCGGAAATGGTGGGACAAGTCCTTTGCTCTATTCTGTTGGCGCTGCTGCTACGATTGGTGCAATGGGATTGTGGTGGATGTGGTCTTCACGAACCTCTCCGCACCGTTTGACTCCTTTAGTTGACCCTGAATCTCAGACTCGTGAACTCCCGGTATGCTTTTTAATGTTTTTTAAATTGTTTTTTTTATCTCAGGACGGCTCTCGAATCTGTAAATATCTCAAAACGGATGCACTTATGCGCTTCATCTATCAGGATGCGACTACTCTTTATCAAGCCATTCGTCGGGGATCCACTGTTTCTAAAAACGGTCCTATGCTTGGCTATCGCTCAAAAACTGAAGATTCTGAGCCCTATGTTTGGCTTTCCTATGAGGACGTCATCTCTCGAGCTAGCCGTGTTGGGCGTGCAATAAGGACTCTTGATATTCCTATTGGACAAGAATCTTTCATTGGAATTTTCGCGAAAAACCGACCGGAATGGGTTATCGTTGAGCAGGCGGCTTATTGCTTTAGCAATGTCACTGGTAATTTCTCTCTAAAATATGCTCTTTTGAAGTCTAAGCTTTCAGTTCCGCTTTATGAAACGCTGGGCGCTGATGCTTCGTCGTTTATAATCAACCAGACGAACATTCAGTTAGTGGTATGCATTTTTTAAAAATTTTTTCCTAATTATTTTTTTCAGTTTTGCGATTCTATAGACAAAGTTAGGGGTCTTGTGGAGCGAAAATCTCAGTGTCCATCACTCAAGAATATTGTTGTTATGTCTCCAGCTTCAGACGAATTGACCGAAGAGTTTCGACGATCTGTGGAGAATGAAGGAATTATTTTGTCTAGTTTTGAAGAATTTGAGGCGCGTGGTGATTTGAATGACATTGCTGACCAACCTCCTACTCCTGATGACTTGGCGACTATTTGCTACACATCAGGAACTACAGTATGAGCTTTTTCGTATTTTTTGAATACATTTTCCTATTTCTTTTTAGGGTGTTCCCAAAGGTGTAATGCTCACTCATGGCAACATCATCGCTGATTGTACTGCTTTGGACTATTTCAAGAACGCAAACTTGAACAATAAAGTAAAACATTTTTAAAATCTTTGTAACATATAAATTTTAAGGATGTGATGATGTCTTTCCTTCCTTTGGCACACATGTTTGAACGAATTTTAGAGACAGCCATTTTTTGTGCAGGTGGATCTGTTGGATTCTTTCGTGGTGACATCCGTCTTCTGGCTGACGATATTAAAGTTCTTCGTCCGACTGTTTTGCCTGTTGTTCCTCGTGTTCTTAATAGGATTTACGATAAGGTAAATTTTTAGTCATTTTATAATTAAATTTTCTGCAGGTTATGGCTGAAGCCAACAAATCCGTGCTAACTCGTTTTATCTTTGATGCTGCAGTTGCGATTAAAACTCGTGAAATTAACAAGTACGTATTTCAGTTTTCGGTTGTGCCTACAAAGTCCGCAGTTTTTTATCCGCAGGTCATAAAGTTTATCTTCTCAATGGACAGAGGAGAATAAGCGTTGACAGATGACTTTATCCTTAAATCACCATTCTGTACATATTAAGACAAGGAAACATTATGACTTGCGGATTAAAAGTTGCGGATGTTGTCGACATAACAGAAAGTATCTCATTTTTTAAATATATAATTTTTTCTATTTAGTTGGATCATTCGCAGTGATTCTTTCATTGACCAACATATCTTCAGAAAAGTTCGTGAAGGGCTTGGAGGGCGCGTTAAATTGATGGTTGTTTACTTTATTTATTATTAGATTTTAACTCAATTTTTATAGGTTACAGGATCTGCTCCTTTGTCAGAGACTGTTTTGACATTTATGCGTTGTGCTACTGGTGCAATTGTTTGCGAAGGTTACGGACAGACTGAATGTGTTGCTGCTGCGACTGTAATATCTTATGATTAAGTTACACTGAACATTTTTCATAGGTGTCAATAGAAGGAGATCCAATTCCTGGTCATGTTGGTGTGCCTGCTCCTTGCAATGCAATCAAACTTGTTGACGTTCCTGAGCTTAATTATTATGCAAGGGATGGATTTGGTGAAGTATGCGTCAAAGGAACTAATGTCTTCAAAGGATACTACAAACAGCCCGAATTAACAAAGGAGACCTTAGATGACGATGGTTGGCTTCATACTGGTGATATTGGCCGGTGGACTGCTCAAGGTGTGCTGAAAATCGTCGATCGTAAAAAGGTATTAATTACACTAAATAATTGCAAAAATTTTCTTCCAAGAACTTTTCCTCATGCCTGTTTTATTCAAATTTTAGCATATCTTCAAATTGGCACAAGGTGAATATGTGGCCCCTGAGAAAATCGAACTTGTCTATATTCGCTCGAAATATGTGGCTCAATGCTTTGTTCACGGGGAAAGCTTGAAAACTTGCCTTATTGCTGTTGTCGTTCCAGACTTTGATGTTCTTCCTAATGCTGTTTCAGCCGAACTTGGAATTGAGGGTAAGAGCATCCAGGAATTGTGTATGGATGAGAAGGTTAAGAAGTTGATTCTAGACGACATCCAAGCACTTGGGAAGAAGGCAGGATTATCTTCATTTGAACAGGTATATATATTAAAATATAGTTTGTAGTTTTTGTATATCTTATCTTAGGTGAGGGATATCTATCTTCACTGTGAGATGTTCACTGTTGAGAACGATCTGCTTACGCCTACTCTTAAGAGCAAAAGGCCACAGCTGAGGACGCATTTCAAGTCAAAACTTGATGGAATGTACATGAAGTTGCAATAAATGAGTGATTGAAATAAAACAGAGCCTATGTCCATAATTATATTCATAATTTAATTGTTGTATTGACGATTGGACCTCTCCCCTTTTCTCATGCTTTTTATTTGGATATAAATTGTATAATCAAAAATTCATTTAAGAAAATTCCCGCCTATCGACCTCCATCTCTTCATTTTTTGTTTAATATTAATATAATATGTAAATCCTAATATAAATATAAAAATATGCATTTATATATAAATACTTTTGACTTTATAAATCTAATAAATTATATTTACCTATTTTGTCTTAATGTTAGTTTCTGATTAACAGCCTTATAGTTGGCTATGAGAATTTTTTTAGAATAATATCTCATGTTATAGGGGGTATACCTAGTAAAAACGAGATTTAATTTAAAATATAGATAAGCATTCTTCAAAAAAGGTTTGTGATGACACATTCTCCTAATCAACAAAATCAAATCCTATACAGTGAAAATGGTGAGTGGAAGGATATTAAACCAATGTATAACACTCCTGATGAAGATTGTGCAGTGAAGATTTCAACAAGTTTAGAATGTATGTTTAATTATATTTCTTCTTGAAATTTAAATTTCTCTTGTAGTTGATGATGCTTTTGCTTACTTGAGGGCCGTTATGAATGCAAATGAGCTGAGTAAGCGTGTACTTGAATTGACAACAATTTGTATATCTTTAAACGCCGCTAATTATAGTGTTTGGTTAGGGTTATTTTTCATATTAAATTAATTTATGAATATGTATATCTAAGGAATTATCGGCGTAAAGTTCTTCGTGCATTAGGCTTGAATATTGAAGATGAATTAAAATATTGTGAAACAGTTATCGGTGAAAATCCTAAAAACTATCAAGTTTGGTAAGCATTCAAATTCGACAATTAAGCCCTTTCTCAGGTATCACCGAAGAGCTATTGTGGAAGAATCTGGAGAATATCGAGCCGAACTTGAATTTACGGCTTCTAAACTTGAAGATGATTCGAAAAACTACCATGCATGGCAACACAGGTTTTTTTTTATTTTGCTTCAAAAATTTGGATCAGGATTTTTGTAACGGGATATTAATTTTAAAATTGTTGGTCCGTTTATGAAATACAACTTTTAAACCTACAACAAAAGATAGTGGATGTCGTTTAAAATTATATTTTATAGGCAATGGGTTGTTGAATATTTCAATCTTTTTTCACCTGAGGAAATGGACTTTGCTGACTCACACCTGAAGGAGGATTTAAGAAATAATTCAGCATGGAATTATCGTTATTTTATTTGCTTGAATTTGAGTGATCGTTTTCAACAAAATCAATTTTTGCAGAGTGAAATAGAGTTTGTAATTTTTTATTTCATTAATATTATTAATCTTATTGTTAGTTATGTCTTAAATTTTCTACGGATTTCACCTTGTAACGAAAGTGTCTGGAGTTATCTGAATGGGTTTGATTTTTTTGAATAAATATTTTTTAGAATTTTAATAAATGATGATTTGGGGCTACAACGGCCTGAAATTGTTAATGTTGTGCAAGAATTACTTTCAAGAATTCCTAGCTGTCCATCTCCTCACTTGCATCTTTTTGTTGTTAATTCACTCATTGAACAAATTCGAAAATGTACAAATAACAAACAAAAAGTCGAATATTCTTTAACTGCCAATCAAGTTCTTTTAATTTTTTAAATAAAAATGTATTTTAACATTTTTAGCATCTAAAAATTCTAGAAGAAATTGAACCTACACGAATTAAGTATTGGCATTATATGAAAAAATTTATTGATGATTTGGTAGAAATTCATCCTCGTTGAGAAAATTTCTTAAATATTTTTTAAAGCAAATTTTCATTCAGAATTGTTATAAATTAAAATCACGTTAAATAAATTGTTTTACAAATTTTAGTTTGATTTTAGAATTAAGTTTATTTGGCATTTATATCGAGAATTTAATGTTCATTCATATAAACTAATTTTTGAAGCTTATGGATAATTGCAAAAATTGTACAACTTGTTCAAGAGAAGTTGAATCATCTTATGTTTGTATCTAATATTTATATAAAAATATTTTTATATTTAAATAGATAGACATTTATCCAATCAAACCTCCACGACAAAATGATGTTTTGAGACAAACAATGGTGTTACCTGATGGTCGATCGGTGAAAGTTGAATTATATAAAGGTGAAGATCAGATGGCAGAGATTATGGCATTAATGAGACGGTTAATTTTCTTTAAAAAATAATTAAATTCTATTTTGTAGAGAATTAAGTGAACCTTACTCCATTTATACTTATCGTTATTTTATATATTGTTGGCCGGAGCTGTGCTTTTTGGTATTTTGATTTTGGAACTTTTTAAAAAATTAATTTTAGGCAATAGACTCAACAAATTCAGTTGTAGGCGCAATTGTTGGCAAATTAGATCAACGACAATCAGAAGATATTAATTTACCTCGCAGCCAGGGTTTTTTTTCATAATTATTAGAGAAAAAATGAAAATATTTTTGGTTATATTGCAATGTTGGCTGTTGACAAAGCTTTTAAGAATGTTGGTATTGGAACTACATTAGCAAAAGCTATTATCTGCGCTATGACAGATAGAGGATGCGAAGAGGTTTTGATTTGTAATATTTACAATTTTAAAAATTATTTTGAAGATTGTTCTGGAAACGGAAGCATGTAACAACAATTCTCTATCTCTTTATGCTCGTCTCGGCTTTATTCGTGAATCACGACTTTTTCGCTATTATATGAGCGGTTCGGACGCTTTTCGGCTAAAACTTTATTTGCCGGAATCTCGAAAAGAAGATGAGACTTCTGTTGTCGCTGCTGACTTAATTTCGACTGTTTGTATTAAGGACGAGGAGAAGACAAAAGAAGGAGAAGAAGAAGCAAAAGAAGCTATTTGAAATATTAAATATTTTTTGTTTTTAATTTTACCAGCATAAATTTTTATTGACCATAATAATTTTCTCACTTTCGTGTTTGACGATTTATTATTTGAGCAATTGTGATTTTTTATTTTACATTTTTAACCAGAATGTTAGAGGCTGTATTTAAAATTGTACGCTTTGTTTCCTATTTTCGGACTAAAATTATCCTGGGACGACGAAATAGTTCATTCAGTATTAAATCACTTTCTGGGCATACTTGGGGCAAAATGTGGTTAGGCGTAGAATCTATTCTTCACGACTACTAAACATTTAGACCGACATAGGGATAATAAGATTTTTCGGAGCAATTTTTGACTTATTTAAAAATTATTCCTGTTTTAAATATTTTGTTTTTCAGTGAATTGCTCATAACTAGTCATTGAATAGAAAAATGTAAGTAATTATTCATTGATTAACTCGTTCTAGAAAAAAATATTCTGAATATTTACTTTTTAGTTTACAGATGGATTTTAAAGAATTGTATGAAAAAGCCCAGAAAAATGCTAAAAAGGAGGAGAAAAAAGTTAAAGAAGCTAATCGTGAAATGGAAAGTCGTAAACGAAAACAAGATGAGTTAATGGCCATTGAAAGATCTCGACAAAAGTTTGATCTAAAAAGGAGAATTCTTCAACATAAAGAGCAAATTAAAAATTCAACTGAAAAAAAGGTTTGTTAATTTCCATTTTTAAAATAAATTTAAATAAAGGATTTTGCTATTCCAAAGAAAAATTCTCAAGAAAACAACGTTAATAATTTGCCAAAACAGAATTTTGTTGATAGAAAGAAAATATCTAATAAGAACTTAGAAGTTAAAAGATCTACCGACACACAAACTGTAAATAAAATTAATTCAACGAAGCAATTAAATGGTTCCAAAGTGTCTATTGCAAAACCAACTCCACGTTTACCTGCACAGGTTTAAAAATAAATATTTTAAATATCAAAGTTAATTTCATTATGAATAAAAATGTTTAATTATATTTAATAATGTTTTAATTTTCACAATTAAATTATTTTTGTATTTCAGAATTTTACTAGTTTATTGGAACAAGCGCAGAAGAATGATTCTTCTGCCGTAGAGCAATTGTATAATGAATTAGAGTCTTCGTCGAAATCAAACAAAAAAGTTATTCCACAACAGCCAAAAAAGTTATTGGCTGTAGATGGATTGGGGATTACTGCTGGATTAAATCTTTCTCATTCTGCTGCTCGAGAAAAACAAAAAGAACTTAAGCAGAAAAGTAAAGTTGAGGCAAAAATGGCTGAACGAGTTGCTTTAAATTCACAAAAATCGTTAGTATTTTTATTATATTAAAAATATTTTCTAACTTCAAATTTTTAGTGTTAACGATAAGCCAAACAAAGCAATTAATACAAAAATGCCTTTTAACAATCAAAAATTAATAATTTCTCAATTTTCTACAACAAAAAATTATTCACAACCTTCGACAGATTCATCTCATAAAAAGCTTTCTTCATTGCCAACAAATGGACGTGAGAAGCATGAATCGTCGAGAATGAATGGTCCACCTATTAACAAAACTATTACCAAAAGGTATGTTGTTATAAATTAATATTTTGCCTAAAAAATTCAAAATACGTGGGCGTAACCAGGGTTGGATTTTGAGGAGTATCATAATCTACTATAATCAGAAATAGAATACCTTACAATTAGTATGTACTTTTCTGTAAAGGATTGGCCCTTTGCTATAGACATTTTTTGGCTTTGGATTTTTTGTACTTTTAGGGTGGTCATTTTCCTTTTTTTCTTAAAATGTTGAATTTTCGATTATAGTCCATGATGATTCCTTGAGAGAAACAAAATCTCATTTTTTTAGCAAAACTAACAAAGTCAGAATCTCTTTACCTTCAAAAACAATGGCTAATAAAACTACAAACAATCTTTCAATAAATGCTCATCCAGATTCTTGTAATTCTCAAAATCCTCAAAAAAGGTATTTGCCAGGTGATGTTCGGTATCAGGGCCCAACGCAGAATAAAAAAATTTCTTTTCAACAAAAGCCAAGTTTGTTTTTTTAAATTTACTTTTATTTATTTTTTAATATTTTAGTAATTCCTTCTGTTAAAAAGAGTGTTTCCACTCCCTCTCCAGGAAAAATAGAACAAAAAAATGAAAAGTTTGTTTATACTTATTGAAGTAAAAATTAAAAAAATTTTTTTAGTTCTAAAATACTGCCTTCAAATAATGTAAATAAAAAAGCTAACAATAACAATGCTTCTTTTGTACTAAAACAACAATTAAATACTAACAACAAAAATCAATTAATTGAAAAGAAGCAAAATCAAATAAAAATTGCTCCACCATTTGATAAACGAAGGGAAATACCTTCAAATAAAAATATTTTAGAGGCTAAAAGACAACAAATAGTGAAAAGGCCTTTGAAAACTGATGGAGTTAGCCTTGCTCGTATTAAACAAGATTCTTTTAATCGTAATCAAATGCTTCAAAATATGAGGTTTTTATTAGTGTTGGTCAAACGCGATTTTGCGGTATCGGTATTTTCGGTAAAATACCGATACCGCAAAATACCGCGGTATTTTTGATTGAGGCGGTATATGTATTTCGGTAAAAATACCGCGGTATTACCGAAAAATACCGCGGTAATACGGTACCGCGACCAACTCTAGTTTTTATAATTTTAAGCTGAAAATATCTATAAATTCGGATAAAACATTTTTTGTCGTTGGAATGAAAAAGACGTTTCACTAAAAATTAATATTTTTTAATTTTAAAGGAAAGCAAATTCAAGTAGTAGCAATAAAGCAATGAGATATGCAAATTATAGTGAAACTGATGATGATGAGGACGACGATGATGAAGGCGGAGGTTATGGTGATGAATATGATAGTGATTTGGCTGATTTTATTGATGATAGTATGGTAGATGATCTTCAAAGGGAAGATTTGGAAGAAACTTTGAGGTTTTTATTTTTTTAAAACACCTTAAGTTTTAGACCCGAAATATTTCCACAAATTTTTAAGGCTTATAAATCCACGTTATGATAAAAAGAAATGGATGATACGAGAGCGAATGATTGATGATCGACGGATGGATGTTCGATTTAAAGAAGTGGAACTAGAAGAACGTCGTTCAGCTAAATATGGCCTTGTTGAAGATTTAATTGAAGCAAAACGGGGAAGTAAAGCTCTAGCTTAAATTTCTTTAAAATATATTTAAATGTGATTAATTTTGGGTGATTTGAAAATATTGAATTCTATTTTCTATTAATTCTATTCTATATCTGTAATCTTATCTTGGTGATTCTTAATTTGCTACATAATGTCTAAAAACGAGTCATTAAAATTGTGAGTATTTCAACTCTTTTATAAAAGATTTTTTAACATTTATAATTTGGAATATTTAAAAATTAAAATATTTTTTAAATAAAAAAGGTCTTCACAGTTTCGGAAAATAAAATCTAAACTAGGGTAGCACCCCGAGCCTTCGGGGTCAGGTGTGTTGTGGATCGGGGTTTGCCGGTGTAGAGCCTTCGGGGTTCGGGTCAGGGTTTTTGCTAAAAAATCCGTTGGGGGACGGGATGCTACCCTAATCTAAACAATTAAGAAAAAATTACAATTTAGAGACAACACAAAGGTATTTTGCCTTATTATTTATTCTCCTTTATATTTAGGCTCTCTTTTCTCTGCAAAAGCTTTTAAGGCTTCTAAACGGTCTTTTGTAGGCATAATCTTAAAATAAATTTGACAAAATATTCCCAAATAAACATTTTTACTTGTGCATAGCATTGTTGTTCAACTACCATTCCACTAGCTAATTCTAATTCTGATCCTCGATCTAATGCTATTTTGGCCATTTTTGACGCTATAGGTCCCTTAAATTAGAAAAAGATAAATTTCTTTTTAAAAAATAAAATTAACTGTTTTCAAAATTTGGCGGGCAATTTCGAATGCTTTATCGACCGGATTTTCGACCAATTGATTAATCTAAAATTATTTTTTTGAGCAAAAAAAATTAATACTTACAAGTCCGATACTTAAAGCCTCACTGCCTGTAAGCACTTTCCCAGTAAAGATTAATTCTTTTGCTTTAGCCAATCCAACAATTCTTGGGAGTCTTTGAGTTCCCCCAGCACCAGGAATTATTGCTAATTTAGTCTCTACCAACCCAAGTTTTGATTGGGGCGCTTAAATGTTTTTTAATTGAGATAACAGTTTAAAAACAAATTACAGGCTATTCGAATATCACATGCCATAGCCAATTCTAGCCCTCCACCTAGTGCAAAGCCGTCAATCGCTGCAAGTACTGGAAAAGGTAAAGCAGATATTTCATTAAAGGTTCTTCTCAAAACTTTAAAAAACTGAATTTAGCTTCGTCAAATATTAAAATCCTCTTACAGTCAACGAATTGAAAAACTTCAATTTCAGTCATCTGTCGTCTTTCCTTTAGATCAGCACCTAAACTCTAGAAAAATTAAATCATCTTTTAAAGAAAACTCACCAGTACAAAAAGTTCCAGGAACGGCACTTTTGATAATTAAAACACGAGCATTTCTATCATAACGAAGCCTATCGACAGCCTCGCGAAACTAAAGAAAAAATAATTTTTTTTACAAATTTTGAAAACTTGCCTGATTAACAAGCGCTCGTGAGAGAGCATTTTTAGTACGAGGAACATTCATTTTTGCCAATAAAATACCCGTATCTTCACCGGTTTGTGATTCTAATAAAAGAGGGAGGGAAGGCATTTCTGTTGTCAATCCATTTTGATGTTGAAGCTGTGTTGGGGGCATTTTCAACAAATTTGTGTTGTTTGTCAATGTCCGCTGATGAATGATCAGCCTAGAGGGTAGTAAACTACTTTTCAACCAATCTGCAGCGATATGTCGATACAGGATGAAAGGGGAACGTATCAGCATTTCCAATCTCATGGCGAGAGAGGAAATGTTATAAAACTATACATTTTAATAAATACACGCATGTGAAAAATAAATGAGAGGAATTTATTTTAAACAAATAATATATGTAATGTTTTTTAAAACAAAAAATGATAAAAAATTTTTATTTTATTTTCTCTCAATTAAAAATTATAAATCACCCCATTTTTAATTATTATTTTTGGATCGATTTGTTATAATTTCGCTGACGTATTTCCTCAAAAATTATACTGATTTATTAATCGCAACATTTAATCTTACATCTTTTATTTTTTGTAAACAACATTCCTAACATACATAGAAATGTTTTGATACATAAACATAACAGAAAAAATTTTTTTTCAATAAATTTTACTTTCGTTAAGAGGTCATGAGACAATAAAAGAAATATTTTAAATGAGATTTGTTAAATTATCTGTGTATAGGATGATTTGATAAAACAAGTACACCGATTAAAAAAATAATAAATTTTTAGGAGGTCAAAATCTAAAATTTTACATTTTTTGGTATTTAAAGTCGGTGAACAAGTTTGGAGAAAGACAATTGTACAAGTGATGGTATAAAATAAATAAAGCTTTAAATCAAACAAAAGACCTACAAATCCACAAATTTATTTGTAAACGGTCGAGTTTAAATCTTGAGGATGTCGCAAACCACTAATTGTCCCATTTTTCATTGTAAGAGTTTTAAACTAAAATTTTTTTGTCATTTCTGTCAATAATTAAAAAAATAAAACCTTCGGTGTTTGATTATTGTTGGAACGCTGTGAAGGATTTCTAGACAGGGAAGAATGCGAAGTTCCAGGTGAAGAGGTAATATTAACCCAAAAATCAATAGGAAGTAATAACAGAGCTTCCATCGCATTAACTGCCGCCCCGTTTTGAATAGGGGATTCAGTACGATCTGACCCAAAAACTAGCGGGCCGAGAAGAGCACTTAATGCTTTGATTGTTAAACGGTCATTCTAAAATAATAATTAGTAAAAAACTATAAAATTGTGAAAAAATTAACCGAAATTGCTGAAAGACGTTTCCAATGACGAGCTAAATGAGCAAGTGTATCCATATGTGCCTAAATATTTTTTAAAATAAAATCTAAAATATATACAGTTGGTAAATCCCCAATTAAGCTATTTAAATTGCCGGCATTACTCGTATTCTCTTGGCATTTAATAATATCCTTTCCATAAGTGAAAGGAATAACAGGCTCTCGAACTTGTGCCAAAAAATTTCTGACACAACCAGCAACACTGAGAACACTATAATTGTCCTGAAAAATTGAAATAAAATAAATTAAAAAAATTAAAATAAGAGTTACCAATTTTGGAAAACTTTTATTGGACTGAAAAAGTTTAGCAATTAATTCAACCTCTCGAGCAATACCGCTAAATTTTAACAAAAATAATTAATTTCAAAAAATGTTAACCAATTAGAATAAATATCTTCAAAAGGCAAGTCTGGGCAGTTATCCAAATGATAAGTACAATAAGTAATTAATGGAGGAACCATTGGACGGCAATCAGCACAGAAATCACCTAAAATAAAAATTTAAAATTTTAGGGGAAATTAAAAATCAGACCAAGTCTAGGACGTCCAGATTTAGGTCCAGCTGGTTTTGGCGTCATAATTCGAACAACACAAGGAAGAGGAGCTTGCCTCCGACATTGTTCATGAAATGTGGCTAAAATACTTAAAATTTAAATCTAAAATTTTAATTTTCTATAAACCTTTACAACGTTGACATTTAACGTAGTTAACACCAAAACGAATTGCCACTTCACAACGTCCACAATGAATACGCAAAAAATTCCTTTTTGTCTCAAAAACATGTTCAGTGCCGAATGGATTGTCGTCGATAAATGGTGGCGATAAATCACGTCGAAGTTTGCTCCTAGAATTTGGACTTAAACAAGAAAAAACGGAAAAAAAATTAAGAATAAAAGAAATTACAAATCGTCACAAGAGCTGGAGATACGAGTATTTCTGACACCAAGTAATCGACTGTTCTCCTTTTTGTGAGGCTTCAAAATTTTTTCTGGTGGCGAGCCATCTCTTTCGCTACAATAATTTTTATGTTGTTCGTCGGCAGTCCTCTTTCGATTTTTTGGCACAGGCATTTCTGTGGACTTTGTGTATGTTGTGTTAACTAGAGTTTGTTCTTGAGAAGATTTGTCAACAAAATTTTGGTTAACAATACGAAGTTGCTCAATTTCCTTTTTAGCCCCAAACAATTCTCGTCGGCTTTGTCTAAATTAAAATTAAATTAAAAGAATTGTTCAAATAAAAAAAAACTTCAAAGCTTCTTCGAGTTGTTTATTTTTGGTAATTAATTGATTTTGTTCTCCTTTGACTTTTTGAAGTTCTTCAATCAATTTGTTTATTATAGCAAAAGAATTTATGTCTAAGTAAGAATCAACAGCAATTAGAAATTAGTTGATTAAAAGGCAACCGTGTTGTAAGCTGCGTGCCGTCAATGAATTGAAAGAATGCAATCTAATTAAATCATTACTGTCTGATCGAAGGAATGTTCGATGCATCTCTCATAAAATTGAATTCTAAAAAAATTAATTTAAAAAAAATTTAAAAAATCAAAAAAATGTTTGCTGGGCCAGCTGGCCATTGATTTTGGGTGTTCGACCCGGAACGCGATCATTGAGTACGGCCGTTTGTGTACCGCCGTTTGTGTACGGCCAGTTGTGTACCGCCGGTTGTGTACCTTGCCGTTTGTGTACCTGGCCGGTTGTGTACGGCCGGTTGTGTACCTACCCAAATGGGGACGTTTGTGTACCCGCATTTTTAAGAATTTTTGTCTTTATATATCCCAGAACGAAAGTATTGCTGGTAAGATAGTAAGGGAATATAGACTATATCACCCAATTCAGAATCTTATTAGACCCAAGGTTACTTTATCAGGGGATTTTAGGCCGTATCTTCACTTAAAGAACTTTTTGTGTTGCGAGACGCGAGACGCGTGCCGCAAAAGCCCGCGCGGAGCGCGGGCTTTTGCACAAGCGTCTCGCCGATGCCCATAGGTTTACTGGTTTATTTTTGAATCGTAACTTTGTCCAAATTTGTTAAATCATGGCAATTTTGGTCGAATTTGCATTTCGAATTTTCTAATAAGATTCTAAGTTGGGGAATATAATCTATATTCCCTTATTATATTCCTATATAATGCGGTACACAACTGGCCAGGTACACAAACGGCCAAGTACACAACTGGCGGTACACAACCGGCCGTACACAAACGGCGGTACACAAACGGCGGTACACAATGGTCCCCTACCGTGTTCGACCAACTACTCTGAGGCGTATACACTGAAACGACCTTGCCTTAGTAAAAATATTTTGTGGCCACTTGAGCGCCTTCAGATGAAACTATTTAGGCATATACGGTCGCCGTGTGCCTCCCTCCCCAAATTTTCTGGTTTTTTGGTAACTATAGAAACAAGAATATGTATAAATTCTTAATTTTTAAATGTTTAATTCAAAATATTCTTTTTTATCAAAATTAGGCCAAGGAGCACACGGATCTGTACTTAAAGCGAGAAATTTGGAGGTAAAACTTGAAAAAAATATTTTAAAGAAATAAATATTTGTCAGACAAATAAAATAGTTGCTATAAAACAAATAACTCTTATAGAAGATATAAATGTTCAATTACGTATTTTTCGTGAAATTCAAAGTCTTCGTTTATGTAATCACAAAAATGTATATTTAAATTAAATTAAATTAATGTCATTTTTAAGATAATTAAATTATTTGATATAATTTTTAATAAAAGAAATGATGAATTAATTAATATTTCTTTAATTTTTGAATTTATTGAATCAAATTTAAAATTAGTAATTCAAGATGTTAAAAGGCCTTTTTGTGAATTAATACCTAATTTTTATTTTAAACAAATAATTTATGGAATTATTTATTTACATAATTTAAACATTATGCATAGAGTTTTTTTGAAATTTAATTTTAAAATATATTTTCTTTTAAAAGGATTTAAAACCAGAAAATATTTTAATAACATCCAATAATCAAACAAAAATAGCTGATTTTGGTTTAGCTTGTATTTATTTCCCGAATGATATTAATCGAGATTATGAACATCAGGTAATTAAAAAAACTTTTTTAATTTCTAGTTGACTTTAAATAAGGGGAAATTAAAGGGAGGGGCAACTCCATTTCCCCCCATAGAGTCAGTAAATACCAGACACGCTCATGGATTCGAATTTGCTATCCTATCCGCGGATTTAGAGCATCATATCCGTATCCATCCATACCCGCGGATATCAGCGGCTATCAGGATATTATCCGTATCCGTGAGCAAGTCTGGTAAATCCAATCAAAATTCGTGTTTATTTTTTATTTCTTCAGGTAGCTACTCGATGGTATAGAGGTTAATAATGAAAATAATTTCTAAAAATTAATAATTCTTAAAGCTCCAGAATTACTTTTTGGTGCAACAAAATATACCCCAAAAATTGATATTTGGGCATTAGGGTGTATTTTTGCAGAATTCTTTAATGGAATACCTTTATTTATGGTTTAAAAAAATAAAAAATTTTTAAAATAAAATTTATTACTAGGGAGGAACAGATATAGAACAATTATCTAAAGTTTTCCAAATTTTGGGTACTCCAACTGAAGAAAGTTGGCCGGGATGGGAATTTTTGCCAGATGCTGGGAAAGTTCTTTTTGATATAACAAAGCCTGTTGAAAATTGGAAGAAATTAAGTAGTTTTTAGATAATTTTATTTAAATTGGGGTTATTTGTCTTAAAAGTTTTAATTTTTCTCTTTAATGTGAGGAAAATAAATTATTTGAAGAAAGTGTTGTTGTTGTTTTATTTATTTTTATATTCTCAATACTATTATTCTATGTACATCAATGTAAAATTGATGTAAATTAAATCTCTATTTTTTAAACTAAGTCCTCACTAAAACAAACTCAAATATTATGCCCCTTCCTGATCCAAAACAAATATTTTCTTTTTAAAATCCAACAAATTCCAATTAAATTTTATTTTAAAGTTCCATTAGCCACAAATGAATGTATTCAATTTATCCAATCATTACTTCAACTTGATCAGAAAAGAAGACCTTCAGCCATTCAATGCCTTCAAAATAATTATTTATCATCTAATCATCAATGCTTTACTTCAATTAAATACAAACCTCCATTTTTAGAGGATTATTTAAAAAAGAAAATTTTGGAAATTAATTATAAAATAATTAAAAAAGAAGAAAATAAAATTTAAATTTTTTTTATTTTAATTTATTTGCCTAATTTCCTTTAATTTTTTTTTATTTAACATTCATTGGTTGGCAGTTTTCTATGCCAAAAGGAGATGGGAAAATTAAGGAAAAAGGGCCCAAGTAAAATAAATAATTTGTAGCAATTTTAGTCATTCTTTGGCTTTCTTAAATTTTTTTTAAAGAAAATAATTTTATTTTAAATAATTTTAAAAATTATTTTTTAAATGGCCAAACTTTTCCTCACGTCATTAACACCCTCTAAAAAGCATTCTCTTTTCAATTTTTTCCATTTAATTATTTAAATATCCATCAATCACTTATCCCTTAACAAATTAACAAACAAGAAATTCTTTTTTTATTTTAATTTAAAGCCTTTATTTATTTAAAGAAAATGTCATTTGAATAAAAATTGAGTGAAAATAAAAAAGAGTGTATGTAAATATGCTTAAAATACTAGAGTAATATGTGTGTACATATTCATTTTAAGATCAAATTAATTCTCCTCTTTTATTCATTTTTTAGACTTAATTAGAGGTTTTAAATAAAAAAGCCTGTCTTTTATTTTTTTTTCAATTTTGTTGACAAGCTGTCCTTTCCTTTCATTTGGCCAACTAAAAATGCATTTTCTTTAAAAGGAGGGAAATAATATATTTAAAACAATTCCCCTTTTCCTTTAGAAAAATAATTTTAAGGCATCGATAAGGCGTTAATTTACTAAAATATTTTAAATTCAAAATATACTCAAAATTATATTCCAATTACTCTTTTAATCTTTTAATATTTTTAGAAAAATGTTTATTAACGTCCAAACTTTTCCACGTCATAAACACCCCCCCCCCCCCCAAACCTCATCTCTTTCCAATTTTTCCCTCAACATTCATCACTTTTTTTCTCCAAAATATATGCCAAAATAATTCTTTAAACTAATTTTCTTTCGTCATTTTTTTCATTCCATTTCCCAAAATAAAATAATTTTTTGTTTAAATTTAACCAAAAAAAAATAATTTTTTTTTCAAAAAATTATTTAAAACATCCTTTTTTATTTAATTTAATGGTTGAATTGTTTATTTATTTAAAAAGAAAAACTTTTTTTCTTGATTAAGCTAATATACCTACCTATTTATTTATTTACCTACTTTCTTCCTTCCTCTTCCATTTTCCCCAATAATTTTTTGTCCGTCAGGAATTGGCTAAATCAGTCTTTTTTTTGTTGGAATTTTTATTTAATTAAAATAAAAAAAGAAAATTTTACAAAAAATAAATTATTAATTCCCTAAAGCATTTAAATACACAAAAATCTTCTTTCCTTTTTTACAAAACACATACTCTATTCTTTCATCTTTTTTTATCATTTTGCGCGGTTATTTATCAAAAAACATTTTTCTAATTTTTTCCCCTTATTTTTCATCAATTTATTTGGCTTAAAAAAGGAATTGGTGTTATATTTCTTTGTTAAAATTGAAACATTTTTATGAAAATATTAAAGAATTGGAGAGGTGAGGGGGGAAGGGGGGGGGGGAGGTTGGGTGGGTTATTTATTTTTGGAAAATGGAAAGAATTTTAATTTGTTAAAAAATTAAAAAATATTTTTTAAATTTATTTATTTTTATGTCAGTCATTCTATAGTTGGTTTCTAAAATTAAAAAAAAAGGATTTTCCAGAAATTTCTTTTTTCTTTCTTCAAAAATGGATCTCTTACATTTAAATTGTACTTTATTGGATAATTTATTTAATAATCAAAATAATTCTTCCACAATCTCAACAACTTATTCAGCTACTTCTTTAAGTAAAGGAAGCGCTAATGCTGTTTCTGATATGGCTTTAACTGTTGGAAATGTAGTTTTAGAAACAAAATAAAAATAAAAATATTTATTTAAAAAAAAGGTTGATTATTTTATTCAACATTATATATTTCCAATTCAATTTTTTCTTGGAGTTTTTGGAAATTCTATTAATTTAGTAATTTTAATTTAAAAAATATTTATTTATTTTTTAAATAAAAAAGGTTGTTTTACTTTCTTCTGGAATGAAAAATCAAGCAAATATTTTACTTGCAGCAATGGCCTGTGGTCAGAATTAAATATTTAAATTAATTATTTAATTAATTAATTTTTCTAGCTGATTTAACTTTTTTATTTTGTATGCTTCCAAATTCTCTAGTTTCTTTTCCATTATTTTATCGTTCAATTGGTTTTGCATATTTTTATTTGTTTGTTTTTTCTTTAAATTATCTAAAATAATTATTCTCTCTCTTTCATTTAAAGTTTAACAAAAATTCATTGTTTTGCCCTAGCCAATTGCTTTTCAACTGCTGCTACTTTGTAAAAATTAAAATTATTTTTTTATCCTAAAATTATTTTTTAAAGTTTTGTGTTGGCAGTTTCTTTAGAAAGATTTACTGGGGTTTGGCGTCCAATGCATACAGTTAATTAATTAAATAAAAATAAAATTTATTTTTAATTTTAAAAAGTGTTTTCAATTACGTGATAGACGCTTATTTTTACTTATTTTGAGTATTTTTGTATTTGCCTTTTTATTATCTTTTTATCATCATATCGACCACAGAGTTACTATACAAATTCAATGCAATAGAGTAATTTTTGGATTTAATTAAAAATATTTTTTTAAATTTATTTTTTAAAGGTTTGGGCTAATTTCCAGCATATTAGCCAATTAAAGAATATTTCCCCCTTTTTATTGAAATATTTGAGAATAGCCAAATATGGCCAATCGTTAATTGCTGTAATTCTGCCTGTTATTGCTGTTGCTATATTAAATGTTTCTTTAGTTTATTTTTTGAGAAAAAGGAGAAGAATATTAAATAATAGTACAAATAATTGTGATGGAGATTTAAATGAATTTAAAGAACAAGAATTTAGGTAGTTAAATATTTAATTAGTTTTTAAATAATTGGGTATCCAATAATTACTCATCAAACGGGGGATTCGAACCTTTGTCTATTGTATTCCCACCTGTGTTTTAATTTTGAAATTTAGACGTATCGTCTCGTACTTTCGTACCTGCCTCATTTTTTTGCTCGTATTCGTTCTTCGTACACATACGAATTTCAGTACGAGGTTCCAAACACTGGTTCTTACTAACTAAAACAACCTTCATTTTGGAGTAATTGCATTAATCTAAATATTGGGGAGTTTTCTAATTTTTAGTGTTTATTTAAAGTCAAGAATATAATTTTAAAATAATTAAAAGAATTTCTTTATAAAACCAATTTTTTCAGATACTCAGATATAGGAACATTTCAGCGTAGAGAAAGAAAAGTAACTGCAACAGTTATTGCTATTGTTACTTGTTTTACAATAACACACGTAAATAAATTAAATAAATAAAACATTTCTAATTAATTTAAAGTTGCCAACATTATGTCCAGTTATTTGGGAACATTTTTTGCCAAATAAAAGGAGGGTTGAATTGGTTACTGTTACTGCTGTTTTGAATTGTATTTTGGTGACTGGAAAAGTTTTGAACTTTTTCTGTTTTTGTTCAAGTTCTGAACATTTTAGAAAAAGAACTGTTTTGATACTTAAAGCACAATTGGTAATTAATTAATTAAGGGATAAATGGGGGGAGGGGGGGGGGGAATAAGGGGTAATTAATTAATTTAATTTAAAAAAAGTGTCAACGCCGTTCTCGAAAGAAATATTCTTCAATGGTTGCTTTATCTAATTTAGCTACACAAACTAATTTAACTTTAATTCAAAATGGTTCTAATCGAAAAAATTCGAGTTCTGCCAGAACATCGAGAACAACTTCCCATTCAATTATTTCTTCAAATCAACAACAACAACCAAATAATAATTACAGAATACAAAAACAGTCTATACTTAGTTTAAGAGAAGCATTATTGAGACAAAGTGGAGCTGAATTTGATGATATAATAATTAATTGTAATGGACAACAACAATAAATAAATAAATATATTCACTATGTATTAGATACCTTTTGGGGATGAAGAATTGATCTTTAAAATAAACCTCTTAACTTGAATCTAATATGTATACTCTATTTACCCCATCCCTATTAATTACCTCCTCCTCAGAACTTGAAACAATAATTACCCCACTAAAAATTAATAATTCTTCTATTAACCTCTAAAACCGAGGATTGAGCCGAGTGTAATTAATTAACTATACGTTAAATGGTATCTAATAGTAAGTTCGACTGCACTATAGTATATATATTTTTATTTTGTGTATAAATTTTTTAATAAAAATAATTTTATTTAAATTACTAAATACATTTATGTTAATCTTAAAAATTAATAGAATTTATACTATAAATGTTTAATAATATTTGAATATTTAAATATTTATACCTATTTTATACAATTTATTTCCTTATTTAAATATCTAAAAAAATATTTTTAATTGTTTAAAATTGTCTATAAATTATTTTAAATAGATAACAAATTTATATTAATTTTTTATCAATTATTTACTGATATTTTTCAAAAAAAATAATAAATTAAAAATTTATTATGCCTGTTCAAGAATTACACGGAATTCGTTCAAATTCCTTAAGATCAATACTTCCACCTTTTAAACAACCAAAAAAAGTTTTTTGGCTTTGGAGACATAATTTTCGTTTTTTTCTTTTAATAATTGGATTTTTGTTGAGTACTTCATTATCTATAAATACAAATTTATTTAATTTTACATTAATTTGTATGGAAGAAGAAACAAATATTTTAACTAAAAATCAACAAAATTATTTAATGTGGGGAATGGGCTTAGGGAATTTATTGGCAGCTTTTCCTTTTATTTTTCTTTATTCAAAATTTGGTCCTCGTTATGTTTTTTTCTTTGCTTCAATAATTTCTGCAATAATTACTGGATTAACACCTTTGGCTAAAATATATGGATTTTGGCTGTTTTTGGTTGTTAGGATTATTCAAGTAAATTTTTTTAGTTTTTTGGATTAATCAAATTATTAATAAAGTGGCGGAAAAATAATGGAATCAAAAGCTAAAAAAAAGTAAACTTTTTTAATTTCCTCGACGTACAAAGTTTGTACGTCGAGAAAATTAAAAAAGTTTACTTTTTTAGCTCCTGATTCCATACCTTTTTCCGCCACTTTAGTTTGCCTAATTTAGGTGACAATGAAACTCCCTCTAATCCTTAATTAGTAAATTAAAGATGCTGTTCCTAAATATTAGATAGAATTATACTAACTCTTAAATTTTGAATAAATTCGAATAATTAATTGAAAAATATACATATATTTAATTCTTTAATTAATTTAAAAATTAATTAAATTTAAAAGGGAATAACTTTTGCAGCAGATTTTGCAGCTTTGGGTATTTTATGTACACAATGGGCACCTTTAAATGAACATGGACTTTTTCTTTCATTAGCTTCAAGTTTCTCTCCATTTTCAATTTCTATCGCAAATTTTCTTTCCGGAATTGTTTGAATTTATTTTAATTAATTTAAAAATTATTTAAATATTTTAAAGTTTTGTTCTTCAAAGTTATTTGGTTGGCATTTTATTTATTATATTTCTTCTATTTTTTGTTTTATTTTGGCAATTTTTTGGTTATTATTTTATGAAGAATTACCTCAATTCTCGTCACAAGTAACATCAAAAGAATTTAATAAAATTCAAAATGGCAAGAGTAATGCCCATATAGAAATGAAGACAATTAAGCAACAAATCCCTTATAAAGTTAGTTAAAAATGTGTGGAGAGATGAATTTTTAACGATTGGACCTTTCATGGACCAACCCCGTCTATTATCCAATACCGGCATTTCTGGCAATTTCCCCAGATAATTCAAATTTTCTCAAACTCCTAGATATCTAAACTATATCTCACACTAGATATTCATAACAAACAATAAATAAACTTTCATTATTAATTATTTTTAAAGGCAATTTTAACAAATGGAATTGTTTGGATATGTTGGTTAAATGCTTTTGCAGAATTACTTCCTGGTGTATTCATTATGCAATATAAACCCCAATATTTTAATTATGTTTTGGGTTATAGTATTTTTGATACAGGATGGTTAACTGCTTTAACTTCTCTTTTACATATTCCTTTAAAATTAATTTTTGGTTGGGCAAGTGATAAAATTAGGTATTTTTAATTAAATTAAATGAAGAATATTTTAATTTTTAGTTTTATGTCAGAAAAACAAAAAATGATTTTATTTAATAATATTAGTGTTGGATTGCCAGGAATTAGTTATATTGGCTAGTTTTTATTTTAATTATAAAGACAATTTACTGAAAATGAATTTAGAAAAACTTTTTTAAGGAAATTAAAGTGAGAAGATTTTTAATGAAAAGCATTAATGGGTATTATTTTGTGGCTCAGGCTCTGAGTATCTCAAAATCAGCGTGGGAGTTTTCGGAGTTTACTTCCGGAGTCATACCCAAACTGACGAAAGGTTTAGTTTAATGTGGGAAATATGTATTTTGTATACTTACTTGCTTTATACTGACAAAGAAATAGTAATCTTATTTGTTACGAGATACGAGGCCAAAACTACATAAGAGTCATTAAAGTTCAAACATCAAACAAAATCTGCTCTATATTATTTTAAGTAAACCGAATTAACCCTTTTTTTATTATAAAACTTCTAATTAAATTATTTATCATTTAAAGCAATTGTTTTCGCTCCAAATCCAAATTTTGCCTTTTTCGCTTTCATTTCTGTTTCAATTTTTTATTCGGCTGCTTGTGGGGGATTTTATAAATGTGCAACATTAACATCTAGACAATTTGGACATTTAATTATGGCCGGAATTCAATTAAATAAATGTTTAGCATTTTTTATAAGTCCGGCTTTAATAAATATTTTTGTTGATCAAATTAAAAATAAAAAGGAATGGAATTATATTTTTGTATTATTTTTTGTTTTAAGTTTTTTGGTTTGTTTTTTTTATTTAAAATTAAATTAAAAATTATTTTTTAAAGGCAAATATTTTATTTTGTATTGTGGCTACAGATAAACCACGAAAATTTACACATACATTAGAAAATTGAATTAAATAATTGGACACTTAATTAAAATATTAATTTTTTGTATATTAATTATTTTGTATAATCTCATATAAATATTTTCTTAATTAAAGAGACTTTGAAATTTTTGATTAAAAAATAAATAATTAAATTTTAATATTCTTTTAACAACCGCCATTTTTGTTTTTTTTCCTTTCTCGGAATTTGCCAGCTTTTGAGGCTATTGCCAACTAACATCTACTTTTACATATTTCTCTATAATTCTTTCTTTTCTCTTTTTTGGCATTTTTCTCTATTTTATTCATTAAAATAAATAAAAATATATTCAATAAATAAATAACTATTTTTTATTTAAAATATTTAGTAATTTTGGTTAAAAATATTCATAATTTAAAAATTTATTTTAACAAAAATGTGCCAAAATATTTTTAAAATGTAAGTAATTTAATTAAAGATTATTTTTTTAAAAGAATATTTACATATTTCAGTCGATTTCTAAAAATATTTATTACTTGCATTTATTTATTATTTCTGCCTTTAATTTGTTTATCAGAAGAAATTATAAAACATTGTAATTCTGATGATCTAATTTTTCAATTTACTCCGTGTGATCAGAATGGTTTGGAGAGGGTTTTTAAAAATAAATTTAGAATTTAAATTAAGCAGTTTTTATTTTGTTAAGAAATTAAATAGTATATTTAGTAATACCTAATATTTTTTGCTTTTTTGTTACTCAATTAATTAATCTCTCACAATCAAAAATTTATTTAATTTCAATAATTACTAGATAAACGTTGGTTATTCGCTGTCCCCCGTTCTCACGACTTTCTTTGTACCCCAGAATCTGTTCCAGCACCTTTACATGGATTAAATTGCAGTTAAAATTAAAATTTAAAAATATTTCCCTTTATTAAAATAATTTAAAGGCGTTACTTGCCCAGCTGGGCATTTTTTGGAAATGAATTCACAAAAATGTAAATTATGTAAACCAGGTACTTGAAATAAAAATATTCTTTTAAATTTTTCTTTTAAAGGAACATTTAGTTTGGGTGACCGTGTTCGTTATGAAGAATTTGAATTAACAAAATTACCAGAAGGTTTTTCTATTGAAAATTCCCCGGATGAATCTTTTGGGGGAAGAACAATTAAATGTGGAGGGGGAGGTTGGAGTATTGAAGGGAATCAATTACGCTATAGCTGGACACCTTGTGTTTCTACTTTAAGTATTTCTCTACACTTAACTAGACCCGGATTTGCTGAATTTCAATATCAAGTATCTAGAGAGAGTAAAGGGTTAATTCAAATGTTACAAGTTCGGAATGCACAATGCCAAAGTTACGGGTAAAAATAAAATTCAAAAATGAGGAAATTTAAAGTTATTTTAAAGAAATTCAAAATCGTTATTACTTTCACAACAAAAACATTTAAATAAAGAAAATAATAATGAAAAAGTTAATCAACAAGAAGGGGCTGATATTCGAGTACAAAGATTATCTCTTAGAAGAGGACAAAATTTAGTTAAATTATTTAAACTTTTTCCTTTTTTAAAATATTTTAAAGATTACTTGGACTGTAGCTGTAAATCCAGTTCTTAGTTCGAGGATGGAAATGATTAGAATTATTAGAATTGATATTTCTGGACTTGCATTTGCACCTGAATGTTCATTATGTCCAGAAGGAACCTTTTCTTCTGTTCATGGTGCTCAACATTGTGAAGTTTGTGGTGAAAATGAATTTGCCCAGAAAGGGGCAACACAATGTCAACAATGTCCACCAAATATGTGGGCAGGTAATTGAAAATAATATACTCTAATAATTATCCTTAATAATTATTGTTTCAATGTCTCGTTGGGGGGTATAATTAATAGAGGGTGGTTGAAAGAGGATAATTAATAGGGTTTCACCGGAAGTTCCGGTTCCGGTTCCGGAAAGTTCCGGTGTTTTTTTTGGTTCCGGTTCCGGTTCCGGGAACCGGAACTCAAATTGGTTCCGGTTCCGGCTCCGGTTTTCAAATCGGTTCCGGGCAAACCGGAACTTTTTTACACCACTAAAGATTGATTTTTTCAAAAATATGGGTTGGCCTTCCACGGCTGGCCTTGCAATATTCTCAAAATTTTCGCCTGCGGCGCCAGAAAAAGAAGAAATCTAGCTCCGTGTCCTCACAAATTCTCAAAATTTTTGCCTGCGGCGCCAGTAAATGAAGAAATCTGGCTTCTTGTTCCTTCTAAATTGTCAAAATTTTCGCCTGCGGCGCTGTAAAATGAAGTTGAATGGTATATCGTAGAATGTGGATGGATGAAGGTGATTTTAGTTAAATCATGTATTTCAAAGGGTCATAGGTAATATCTAGGATTTGGGTATGATATTGAGGGATTGTGCTGTGCAAGGTAGATATATTAGGGATGAGATAGCTGGGGATTTGGCTTTCCAAAACTTGGAATTTCTCACTTGGCCTTCCGAAATTCACGAAATTTTCGCCTGCGGCGATAAAAAGGAAGGAAGAATAGGTTATTTTACAGAATTTGCATGGATTAATGGGATTTGGATGATATTGGGTGATTTCGATATCATATAATTGGTGTGGTATCGGGCATATCAGGAGATTTGGGTAGTTCGGTTCGGTTTTACGGTTCGGTTTTGGTTAACCGAAAGTGTTAGTCGTTTCGGTTAACGGAATACCGTATTTATTCTAATAGAATGGCCCCTCTAATAGAATGGCCCCTCCAATAGAATGGCCCCTTTTGGGGGGTATCGAAAAATAGAGTGGCCACCTCCATTAGAATGGCCCCTCCAATAGAATGGCCCTTTTAACTACAAAGTATATACCTAAATACATTTCTTTATTTTCTTATTCCTATTAAATAATACTCTTTAGTTAGGATAATCATAATATTTTTAAGCAAATCTGGCGTCATAAAAGGGAGATCAAAAGGGATATCAGGGGATTTTTGAGGATTAGTAGTGATATTACGAAATTACAACGATTTACTGAAAATAACTACTAGTATCAAGGAATTAAGAGAATTAAGGTTAGATATTCATGGAGTGGATAGATTAGATTTATCAGAGAACTTGCTGGGATACATAGGATTTACAGGAATAATGATGGATTTGGTGAGAATGATGGATTTGGTGAGACTTATTAATCCTTCGATATCATCCAAATTCATCAATATCCCTCCGAATCTCTTCCGATTCCAATATATTACGTTCAAATAACAAGATCCCACGAACTTTTAGGACATAAAAGTTGCCCTTTTGCCCAGCAGGCAAAAGACTTTTATGTTTTATGGTGTTACGCTAAGGTAGATTCGCTAACCAAAGTCGAAAATATAGAATTTTACAAGAAAAATCAATTAAATTTCGAAGTCGAAAAATATTCGATTGGACAATAGATTCATCCAATCTCAGATTCTAACCTATGAAAAATAGAGTGGCCACCTCCATTAGAATGGCCCCTCCAATAGAATGGCCCCTATTTGGGGGTATCGAAAAATAGAGTGGCGGCCATTCTATTAGAATAAATACGGTAATTTGGTAAAACCGACAACCCTACTTTAAAATTAAATTTCTTTTAATTTTTTTTAAATTTTTAATTTGCTAGCAAATTTTTTTAAAGTTCCGGTTCCGGTTCCGGCCCGGAACTTAGAAAAGTTCCGGTTCCGGTTCCGGGAACCGGAACTCAAATTGGATCCGGTTCCGGTTCCGGTCAAAATTTCGGTTCCGGTGAAACCCTAATAATTAATATATTTTTTGTAAATAAAAACATTAAAAATTATTTATTTAAGAACCTCGATCAGAATTTTGCCAAAAACGTCCATTTTGTTCTACTCTCGATTACTTCCCTGTCCGTCCATCAACTTGTGTTAATTCAAGTGAAGAAAATTTAAAAATATTTTGGAAAAAATTAAATCCCCAAATTTGTATTGACAATGGAATTTTAAATACTTTATCTAATAAAAAAGAAAAATGTTTGCCTTGTGGGCCTGAAATGGAAAGGAATAATGCTGGTTATTGTGAAAATTGTCCTAAAGGATTTATTTCTTCTGGAGAAGGTAATTGTGTTCCTTGTCCTTCTGGATCAATTCCAAATTATGGAATATTTTTAACAAATTGGGATTCCCTTCCTTCAGGAATTGAATTAAAAAAAGAATGTGAATTCCTTTCAGCAGGTTTAAAAAAAGTAAAAATTAAAAAGAAAAATTTTCCTTTTAAAGAAATTCCAAATGAATGTCCAGTTAATCCATCTTGGATATCTTATGGAAATAAATTGGAAAGTGCTACAACTAGAATGAGGGGGGTTGCTTTGGAAATTAATAGTTAATTTAAATAAATATTTAAAATTATGGAAATATTTTCTTCTTTTTAGTTAAATTTAAAAATGGATTTTCTTCCCCTTTACATACAGGGAAAATAACTAATGAAAATCCTTTGGGTAAAATATCAATGGAAGTTTCTCTTCAATGTAAAGGAAAATGTCAATTTTATATTGTTCAGGTGTTAATTATTTTAAATTAAAATTTTCCATTTCAAAAATTTCCTTCAAAAAAATAAATATTATTTTTTAAATTTTTTTAGAAAATAGAAAAAGAAACTTTACAACAATTTATTTTTCCTGAAAAAGAAGAAAATCTTCAATTATTAAAAATGTTAACTGGAAGTTTTACAAATAATTTACTTGTATTTCCAATTTTAAATTCTTTTCCAATTCATTTATTAATTGCTTTTACGAGAACTAATGCAATTTTGGGGAAGGATGAAATTAATGATAAAGCAATTATACATTCAATAAATATTACAAATAATGGAGATATTAATACTAATTTTTGTATTAAATGTCCTATTTATGAAAAGTGCTTTCTTAATTTTAAAATTAATTTTTAAAAAATAATTCTTCTTTTTTCAGTGGAAAATGTAAACCATGTCCTTCTGGGGAATATTTTGATAAAAAGGTTTTTTATAAAAAGAAATTTTATTTTGCAATTTTTTTTAACAAATCATGACTCTTTTTAATTATTTTACAATGATTTATAAAAAAAAAAGAAGGGGGATTTGAGGGGGAAAATGAAAAAAAAACTAAATGACTGGATATATTACAAATAGGGTTGTCGGTTCTTGGAAAATCTTCGGATATCCGAAACTGAAAAAACATAGGTTCTTTGGTTCGGTCCACATCGACAACCCTACTAATTAGTAACTCTAATTATTTGTAATTACACTAATTTCTTTTTTCTTTAAGAAATGTACTCGTTGCCCTCCAAATACAATCCTTAACCAAACAGAATCTATTTATTTATTATCAAATATTAATTTAAATAATTCCAATAAAATTCCCTGTTCAAAATGTCCAAAATATTTTCAAAATTCTGAAGACGGACTTTTTTGTGAATTTTCTGGTAAATTTGAATTGGAAGAGGAAGATGGAATTAATTCAAAAATTAATTTTGATTTAAGTTTATTAAAAGGAATTCCCCTTTCTGCAAAGGTTTTCTCTTTTAAAATTTAAAAAGAAAAAAATATTCTTAAAGGGAATTAAAATATTTGCACGTGACGGACAATCATTTACTCATATTTTTAATTTTTCTTTATTTCCAAATTACCCAATTAAATGTAAAGATTCAATTCCAACAAAAAGACAAATAAATATTGAAGAAGAGGAAGAAGAGAATAATGCTTTATTTTGTCGTTCTGCAGTTGTTCCTATTTTTGGGAAAGAAACAAATAAAAGTGAAGAAGGGGAAGAATTTGTGTATATTTCCTCTACAATGTATTTAAATAAATAAATAAATATATTTTTAATAAAAAAAATTTTTTTTTAAGAATTTCAAATAAATTGGTTATGATTAGTAAACAGAGAGAATATGGAGGGTTTAAACTTTCTGATGAACAATTAGAATATGGCTAGTTTTTGAGAATTTTTTGAGAGAATTTAATTATTTTAGCTTCTCATTAAAAAATAATTTTTACCCCCAATTTATTTAAAAAATATTTTCACAGAATTAACTCAACCAAATACAAAAAGTCAACGTCCTTTGGATATACACTTCTTTTTTGAATCAACAAATATTTTAATTGAATGTCCAAATGGAACTATGGCTGCTGTAACTGTTAGATGTGATCCAAGTATTGTTACTAAACCTTTAGTTGGTTTTTAATTAATTCGAAAAAAATAAATATTTTTTAAAGGTTCGTTTATCCCGTCATTGTCCAGATGGAACTTGTGATGGTTGTCTTTATCATGCTATTGTGGAAAGTGCTTTGGGTTGTCCTGTTTGTAATGAAAAGGACTTTCAAACAATTCGTGGAGAATGTAAAGAAGGATTAAATTTTTTGATTAAAATTTCTTTTAAACAAAAATAACCCTCTAGGTATAACAAGAATGGTCACTATTTGAGAAAAAAGTCGGGTCACGGGTTCCGGTTAACCTTGTGATATCCGAGTTCCATAATTTATTAAATTAAAATTTAATTTCAATTTAATTAAAGGCATTAATGATATTCAAAAAGTCCACACAATCCCCTCTAAACATTGTGTTATTTCTGGCGCCCAAAGTCATGAAAGAGAAGAACCTTGCCGAACAATTCTTTCATCAAATCTTCGTTTAATATTATCATTAACAATCATTTTAATTTTAATTCTTTTATTAATTATTTGTGCAATTTATAGAAGAAATAAAACGTAAAATTTTAAAATAATTTAAAAAATAAATAATTTAAAAATAGACTTGAATATCGTTATATGAGATTAATTGAAGGAAAAGATATGGATAATTCTGCAAGAAGTTGTGCTTTAAATAATAGTGATCAAGAAGATTCCGAAGAAGAAAATAATGAAGGAGAGGTAAAGGAATATAAGTAGTAGAGATTAATTTAATTTTTTTAAAGGAAATAATTACTAAATCTTCAAAAGCTCGAGTATTTTTTAGTAATAAAAAATCAAAAAAGAATAAAGAAAAATATGGAAAATTAGATGAAAGAACAGAATTTATTGTAGAAGAAGATTCTGATTAAACAAAAATAATTTTTAAGTTATTTAAAAAAACATAATCGTATAATTTAAATCGGTGCAATTTTTTAGTTTTTTATGTGAAGTTTTCCTTTATTTTGATAAAATATTTATTTTGAAGGAATGTTTTCTTTTTTGGAATCTATTTCACTATTTTTGTCACCTATTTTGGCTTTTTTACCTTTATAGGTACCTATTTTAGGGTTTTCACAACCTAAACATCCTCTCCCTAACTATTAATTTTAGTATTTTAGTTATTTTAATGAGAAATAAGATAGAAACTTTTTAGATTGAAAGAACGATTATTTTATAATTTATTAAGGCATACATACAATACAAATAGGCATTACAACATATTTACAACAAATCACATCTATATTTATCAATTTATATATATATTCATCTATTCCCAGACTTCTACAAACCAACTACAGTATTTAGATGAACGCTCCACAATGCGCATTCAAGGACGAATAGTGAGTGATGAGGGCCCTAACACTCGCAAATCTGTTAAAAAAATATTCAAAAAACTAAATGAAGTCAAGAAAATCTACCCCAGATGATATGGCTCAGCAACAGAATTTCCATTAGAATCATATGGAATAGCACACCACAACTCAGCATTCTTGTTGTTATTCTCCTTAGAGACAAATCGTTTGATTTGGGAGTGCACAACATTTCCAGTGTCCGATTTATATGCAATCATCAATGGCAGTTCAAGAGGAATTTTATTCACGTCCTTAAACGATTGACTCGATAGCTGGTAGTAGATGAAGAAATGACGCAATTGACGTTTCTCAAATTGAGAATAGGCACGCTTAAAAAGAAAATATTTTTTATTTGAAAAGAAAATTTCTCTCACTTCCATGGTCATTGCCCGAACAGGATATGGAGTTGGTTGCTCTTTTGGACAGACAGCCACATTGAATTCTCGAATGAGTTGGTCACTTCCAGCCTTCCTTTCCCTTGCCATCTTCTTCTTTCTCTCCTGTTTGGAATGTGTGCCCGAAGGTGGAAGTTGAGGCCATTGAACCTTTAAAAACAAAAGAAAAATATTTTTTAATTTTAAATTTAAAATGCCTGGTATTTGTCGCTTATCAACTTCCCCGCTTCATCAATCTCAACACTATATGTTGGTGGAGAAACACACGAAGAAGACCTCCTTCCATCAGAGGAACTCGAACAAGCTAAAAAATAATTTTTAAATTTAAAAATTAAATAAAAACACAAACATCTGCAAGACATTTGGACGCAAACAAACGAAGCTGTTGATGTTGAGAAGGGTTTATTTGGAAGTGTAGAAGATTATGTTTTGGTAATTTTAATAAACTTTTGGGTTTTTATACAGTGCTGGTCAAAAGTATAGCCGCACCTGAAAAAACGGTGTAACTCCGGACTGAGTTAGCCAATTGTTATCAAATTTCGCATAAAAATATTAGATTATATGTGAAACATGATAACATTAAAAGTTTTTAAAATTATTAGAAGGAATTAAAAAAAATCAAAATTTCCAAAAAATGCCAGAATTTTTACTGGTCAAAAGTATAGCCGCACTTTGGATTTTTATGTTTCTAATTATAGGAAAAATCTACAAAAATTTCACATAACATATTTATCGATACTAAGAAAAAATAAAAAAGAACTAGGCCCATATCTCATTTTAACTTCGAGATCTCGATACCTTGAAAATCAACGTAAATCAGGGGTAAGGCTCTTTAAAAAATATTTTCGACCCCTTATGGATTATTTTAAATTTTTATTTTAGGCTTATCTGAAAGCCCTTGAAATTTGCTACAAGGCACCAAAAATCTTATTTTTCAGAAAAAATTCCAAAGAGAGATACAGCCAGTTAAATTCCGAAGTGTCTTGAAAGGGCAATTTATGGGGCATTTAAGCGTTTTTTGGTGACATAGAAATTTAACTCTTAGTAACCAACCGAAATATTTTTTCTGAAAAATAAGATTTTTGGTGCCTTGTAGCAAATTTCAAGGGCTTTCAGATAAGCCTAAAATAAAAATTTAAAATAATCCATAAGGTGTCGAAAATATTTTTTAAAGAGCCTTACCCCTGATGTACGTTGATTTTCAATGTATCGAGATCTCGAAGTTAAAATGAGATATGGGCCTAGTTCTTTTTTATTTTTTCTTAGTATCGATAAATATGTTATGTGAAATTTTTGTAGATTTTTCCTATAATTAGAAACATAAAAATCCAAAGTGCGGCTATACTTTTGACCAGTAAAAATTCTGGCATTTTTTGGAAATTTTGATTTTTTTTAATTCCTTCTAATAATTTTAAAAACTTTTAATGTTATCATGTTTCACATATAATCTAATATTTTTATGCGAAATTTGATAACAATTGGCTAACTCAGTCCGGAGTTACACCCTTTTTTCAGGTGCGGCTATACTTTTGACCAGCACTGTAGTAATTAATTTGTCTTCACATTTTAGGTAATTTTTTTATTTATAGGGTTGGGGTCGTTTTGGCACCTAAAAACTGGCACTTAGGCGAGATAAAATACACCTTTAATCCTTGTGATAAACTACGATTTACTGTTAAATTGCTTTTTGTTCGATGGCCTTTTGTCGTAGTTTCAATTGTCTCAACTTCTTATTGTCGCATTTTTCATTAAAGGGAAAAAGGAATACTAAAGTCTAAATTCTGTTTGTTAAGATTGTGTTAATTTTTGTGTTGATAATTTATTTTTCAGTTAAATTCTTGATAGACTATGGCACTTGTTTTTGTAAGTATTAATTATAGAAGTTATAAACTTTGGTATAATTATTTGAATTATTTATATTTATATTGAAGTTAATTTTAAATAAACATTTTTGCCAATTTCAAGGAAAGTGAAGATATTGCATATGAGGAAGATATAATTCGAAATCCTGGATTGCTTCGTCCATGGGAACGATATATTGACCACAAAATTAAAACAAAAGCTGATCCAAAACAAGTTCGAATTATTTTTGAGAGACTCTGAAAATATTTAATAGAAGTTATAAACTTTGGTATAATTATTTGAAATATAGAAGAAGAACAATTGCACATAAACCACCAACAGATATTGCTTATTTACATCTTTCTGATGCTTATGAAAGATGTTTAGTATTTCTTAATAAGGTTTTTTTTTAATTTTTTTAAATAAAAATTTGTATTTTATTAGATGCCTAGAATTTGGTATGATTATTGCAATTTAATGGTTCGTCGTGGTTTAATAGCTGATACACGAAAAGTATTTGATCGCGCTCTTAGAGCTCTACCAATAACTCAACATATGAGAATTTGGCCACTTTATATAGAATTCGTTGTTAAACATAATATTCCTGAAACAGCAATCAGAGTTTACAGAAGACATTTAAAAGTTTATCCATTTGCTAGAGAAGATTATATTGAATATTTAAAACAAATTGATAAATTGGATGAAGCTGCACAACAAATTGCAATTTTAGTTAATGAAGATAGACCAGTCAGTGAAAAAGGGAAAACTGGACATCAAGTTAGTTTTTATTTTTGGTTTTTGATAATTTTTTTTATTTTTTTAAAGCTTTGGACAGAACTTTGCGATTTAATTTCTAAAAATCCAAATAAAGTTTACTCCCTTCAAGTAGAGCCAATTATTCGTCAAGGAATTTCTCGTTATACTGATCAAGTTGGAATGCTTTGGTTACACCTTGCTGAATATTATATTAGAGCATCAAATTTTGAAAAAGTTTTTTCTCCAATTTTTTTTAATTTTAAAAAATATTTTTTTAAGGCTCGTGACATTTTTGAGGAAGCAATTAGTGTGGTTAAGACAGTCAGAGATTTTACACAAATTTTTGACGCATATAGTAAATTTATGGAAAGAATTACTTCCCTAAAAATGAAAGAACTTGAACAATGTAATTCTACACATACAGCAAAAATTGAATTAGAATTGGAATTATTAATGACTCGTTTTGAACATTTAATGAATAGGAGGCCTCTTTTGTTAAATAGTGTTCTTCTTCGCCAAAATCCTCATAATGTCCATGAATGGTTAAACAGGGTTCAAATATATGAAGGAGATCTTGAAAGTGTTAGTTTATTTATTTTTTGTTTTATAAAAATTTCTATTTTTTTAGCAAATTTCTACATTTGAAGAGGCGGTCAAAGCAATTGATCCAAAACATCAAATTGGTAAATTAAGCCAGCTTTGGATTTCTTATGCAAAATTATTTGAGAAATATAAAAAGTACACCGAGGCAAGGCAAATTTATGAAAGAGCGGTAAAAATAAATTTTGCTCGTGTCGATGAACTTGCTCAGATTTGGTGTGATTATGTTGAATTTGAGCTTTTACACAGGTAAATGTTTTGTTTTTTATATCTTTAAATATAAAAATTTTGAAGCGATTATTCTGCAGCTGTTTCTATTTTAAAAAGAGCTACTTCTGTTCCTGCTCGACGTGGTCAATATTTTGACGAAACAGATAATATACAAACACGTGTTAGTCGTTCTCTTAAACTTTGGTCTTTATATGCAGATATTGAAGAATCAATTGGAACTTTGCAAAGTTGTGCGGAAATTTATGATAAAATGATGGAACTTCGAATAGGTTTTGTTGAAATTTTGTAATGCTTGAAGAAAAAATCAAAAAAAAATTTTTTTATTTAGCTACACCCCAAATTATCATAAACTATGCTTTGTTTCTTGAACAAAACAATTATTTCGAAGAGTCCTTTAGAGTAAGCTTAAGAATTTCTTTTTCACTAAAATTTCCTCTCATTTTCAGGCCTTTGAAAAAGGAATTGGTTTATTTCATTGGCCTTTAGTTTTTGATGTTTGGAATGTTTATTTAACTAAATTTATTAATCGATATGTAAGTTTATATTTAAATATTTTTTTCAATTTTTAAAAGGGAGGGAAGAAATTGGAGCGTGCAAGAGATTTATTTGAACAATGTTTAGAAAAATGCCCCCCAAAATATGCGAGAGGTTTTTAATTTAATTTTGATATTTTAATACAATATTTTAGATATTTACTTACTTTATGCACAATATGAAGAAGAACATGGATTGGCAAGACGAGCAATGGAAATTTATAATAAAGCTACGGATGCTGTTGATAAAGACGAAAAACATTTGGTTATTTTTTTTAAATTTTGTGAAAAATGCTTGAAAACTTTTCTTATTTTTTTATACCAATCGCCGCTATATAAAAATTATAAATAAATTTAATTTAAGATTTACAATGTCTACATCAAAAAAGCGATGGAATTTTATGGAATTACAAAAACCCGGCCAATATTTGAATCAGCAATTGAGAGGCTTCCTGAAAATCGTTCAAGGTTTCGTAAAACCTTATTTAAATAATTTTATATTTTTAAGAGAAATGAGTTTAAGATATGCACAAGTTGAAAGGAATTTGGGTGAAATTGATCGTGCAAGGGCTATTTATGCACATTGTGCTGAAATATGTGATCCTAGAGTAAATATTTGCCTAAAAATTATTTTTAATTGTTTTTTAAGGTTCACTCAGATTTTTGGGAAACCTGGAAGGAATTTGAAGTTAAACATGGAAATGAAGATACAATTAGGGAAATGTTGAGAATGAAACGTTCAGTTCAAGCAACATTCAATACAAGCGTTAATTATATGAGTGGTAATTATTATAAATGATTAATAAATATTTTAAAAAATGATTTTTTAAAGCTCAAATGCTTGCTTCTCTTGGTGGTAAAGCTGAAATGGCTGGAGAATTGAGTGCTGCTGATTCGATGGCACAGTTAGAGGCAAGAGCTTCTCAAATTGCTCAAGAGGAGGCTGCAATTTCTGCAAGAAAATTAGCTCCTTCTGAAGGTTTTTTTTTCAAATTTTATATTTTTATTTAATTCTTTTCAAGATGGAAAAATATCTTTTGTTCGTGGAGAGATTAAAACAAATAAAGAAAAGACGGCCGAAAATCCGGAAGAAATTGACATTGGAGATATTGAAGAAGGAATGGAAGCTGAATCAAATAACAATGATGTTTGACATTTGAGGGAAATTTTAAAGTTTTTTTAATGTTTAAAAAACCTCTTATTAAAAATCAATTTTTTCTATTTTTATAAATTTATAAGGACCTAAATAGAGGGGGAGGAGGGAGGAACATTCCCTGCCGTGACAATTTGTTAGTTCCTTCTACTTATTTTTAAAAGGAGAACAAATACAATAGTTGAAAAAGTAAAAGCTTTGAGGGAAAAGGGGGAGAGAGTATTTTTACTTTTCATTTGCTCAATTGCTGCTCTTTATATAAAAAAATATAAATTTGCGCCTTTCTTTCAATTTGAAAGTCAATCTTCATAAATGACTAGAATGATAAATTCAGTACAGGTTTGTTTTGACAAAAATTTTATTGTTTTTTGTTACCTTTTGGAAAATGTTGGCAGACCTCTTCTCTTTTATATTTGAAAAGAAAAACTGTCAGACCCTAAATCTAAAAAATGATAATTTTTGATATATAAAATTGTTGAAAATTTGATGTCCCTAAATCTAGTTTTATACATTAAATTTTAACACCTTTATACCTTTTTCAGTCTGTTTTACTTGAATTATTGTTAACAATAGCTAGGCCTTCACTAACCACCACAGATTTCGTTCGCCCTTATCGATCAGAAACTGCTAGGTGTGAAAATGGGTTCGAAAGTTCAGAAAAGGCGCAAGATTTGGCTCGTATTTTAATGGATAACTATTCTAGGTGAAAGGATTTTTTATTAAATTTATATTTTTTTTTGACAAAGCTTTGTCCGAAAATTTTATTATAAAAATTAGATTTAAAATTGAAAAGAAAAAATATAAGTCTGATAAATTGAAAAAAAAATAAATTTACATAAAAATAAAAAAAAATTCATTAAAAGGAGTGCTTTACCTGAGCCAGCTCCAGTTAATGTGCATGTTGAGGTCTTTAAAATAAATAAAAATAATTTTATAAAAAAATTTCTTTGTAGATAACAATACAAGATATATCTGATATTTCAGCAATAAGTGGGACTTTTGTTATAGATTTTTGGATTTCTGCAATTTGGTAGAGAATTTTATTTAAAAGATATTTTAATTATTTTAGGCAGGATACTCGACTTAAATTTTCGCATATTGACCCTTGCCGTCGAAATTTATCATTAGATCATGATATGGAACCAAGATTATGGTCTCCAAATGTCTGTATTGTTAATAGTAAAAAAACAAAAGTTCACGATTCTCCGAAACCAAATATTTTATTAATGGTTGGTTTTAGAAGGAAAGAGAAATAAATTTTTAATTTAAAAGATTTTTCCTAATGGAACAACGTGGTTAAACTATCGTATTAGATCAGAATCCCCATGCATTATGGAATTAAGAAAATTTCCTTTGGATTCAATTCGTTGTGATTTAATTTTTGAAAGGTTTGGGGAAAGATTTTTTTATTTAAATTTTGGGGGTCTTTCAGTTATTCCTACAATATAGCAGAAGTGACGTTGGATTGGCTTGAATGGTTACCTGTTTCGATAATTAAAGTAAAAATAAAATAAAAGAAAATTTTATTTAAATTTATTTTAAAAAAGGATGATTTAAACTTGCCAGACTTTAAATTAACAAATATTACTTATGGAAAAACAACTGAGGTAATTTTACAAATAAAATAATTTTTCTATACTTTTCTTTATAATTTTTATAATTACACTGCGGGGCTTTGGAATCGACTTTATGTTAGTATTTATTTTGATAGACTTTTTGGGTTTTATGTTCTTCAGGTAAAATTTTAGGGAAATTTTTTTTATAATTATTTAAATTTAAAAAAGATGTATTTACCAACTTATGTTTCTGTTTTTATAAGGTTTTGTAGTTAAAAAAGGAAATTTAAATAAAAATTATTTTTAGTTGGATAGCTTTTTGGATGGATACAAGAGCACTTCCTGCAAGAATAACACTTTCTGTTAGGTTAGGGGATGGGAATTTTAAAGGAAATTAAAAAGGATTTTTAAATTAATTAGTTCATTAATGGCTTTAACATTTCAATTTGGTACAATTGTTAGAACTTTACCCAAAGCAAGTTATGTAAAAGCAATTGACCTTTGGGTATGTTCCCAAACTTATTTTAAAACTTTTTTTGTTTTAAAGATGTTTAGTTGTGTTGGTTTTATATTTGTATGTTTTTTAAACAAATTACAAATAAACTAACTTTTAACTTTAAAAAAAGGCAGCATTAGTTGAATTAGCTATTGTTGCCTATAATGACAAAATTGTAGATCAAAATCAAAGAAGAAGAAAAGCTTCTGCTGTAGGTAATTTACTTGCTAGAGCAAGTATAACAACTGCTGGATTACCTGATATGAAACAAAGAAAATCTTCTAGAGGGGATTTATTTCTTGATTATAATTCAAAAGAATTACTTTCTGTTACAACAAATAACAATAATCATTCAAATAAACAAGAGACAAAGCCAAATTATGGTTCTAATCAAATACAAAAAAGTTATTCACAACAATCAATTAAAAAATCCCCTCCTTCTGAATTGGGGAGTGCTATTGACAGATTCTCTTCTATAGCATTCCCTATGGTTTGTTTTTAATTTGGAAAAAAAGTTCAAATAATATTTTAGGCATTTGCTGTATTTAATGCAATTTATTGGACGTAAATTATTAAATTGTTTTTTTTAATAAATTTTAATTTTTAGTTATTACCTCTCATCGTATTCCTCAACAAAATCGCTCATTAACCGATCGCTTGATGTTTTATAATTTTTTGTGAAAATAACAAACGCCTTATTTTTCTTGAACTTTTCCTGTTTTCGTTTTAATTCGAGAAAATTATAAACATAAATAAAATCTGTAACGAATTTTGAGATTGGAATTGTAAATAAATATATGTACATATTGTAATACTTTATGTATTCGCCATCCATCTTTCGCCGGATTTTCGCCTTTTTTGGTTTTTCGTCTTTCGCTATTTAAAATCTTTCGGCACATCACTGATATACATACAACATTGTATCGGGAAAAAGAAGTATATGTACAACAAAGGTATAACTATGATCTTTAGTGGAGTCACGGTTCCAAGACCTATTCCATCCTGGAATGAAATTCTCCAAGGAATTCATAAATAAATTCAAAAATTGTCTATGTGATACTTAATTTATGGGATTTCTATTACCAGAATATCAGTTCTGGTTCATCTTTATACACTAATTAAGAAGAACAAACGATTAAAAAAGCTAGAATTTAAAAAAAATTGAAGACGTGGTGAGACTCAAATGTTTAAAAACCTAAAGGTTTAGGCTTCAAAAGGTTTAGACTAAAAGTAACCAGGTAACTAAAGAGTCTTAAAATATGGCATCAAAACGAAAGTTTTTGGGATATAACTTTTTTGTTTTTAAATCAATCCAAGTAATTTTTGCTTTAATTAAAAGCTCTGGATGTGCTGGTTATTTTTTCATAGAAATTGTTTAATTTTACCGTCTTTCAAAAAAGTTAGGAGCCGTTAACTGCGAATAATCGTGATTTAACATACTTAGGCGGGTGTAACTTTCTAAGAAATGATCGGATCCTTTCATAGAGTTAATAAAAAGAATAAAAACAAATATAGATTCTAATTGATAAAGAAAATTTCTGGAAATGATCGAAATAAAAAAAAGTTATGGCATAGAAAAAGGCGCTTCGATGCTAAGTCGCCGAGACTCTATTGACAAGCAAGCCTAAAGGTTTAGGTTTGTGCTGAGACTGAAAATAAATGTAAAGACAAAAGAGTCTTGCTGACTTTTTGACATAATTCAAGTCAATTAATTGTACATGTACTTTCTATTTTATAAAATATAGGTATGATGTTTCAAATCTCATTGTATTTTCAGATATCTTTTTACAATGAGCAACATTGAGGAAAAAACTCTGAGTGACGTAAAGGCTAATGAACTAGGAACTGAACTTGGGAAGAGAGGAGAGACTCTCGAAAACAGCTTAGGTTATTTAATTCAATAAATGATGAAATGAATTCTTTTGTTTAGTGTCTTGTGGCGGAATTTCAATAAATCCAAGCATAAAAACTGAAGGAGGTTTCGATGGTTTCTTTTAGTTTTTTAAAATATTTTAATTTTATAGATGTGCACAATGATGATTCCATTTCGGTGTTGTCTAAATCCTCAGCAGAACCACTTGAAGCTATAGAAGCTGAGATTGTTAAGGTTATTTTATTACTTTAGGTTTACTCTTTTCCTTGGTGTTCTCCCTTAAATCTTTGAGGTTATTAGTGTTTTTGATTTTTAATTGCTTTGCCAAAGCTTGGACACGCGTCAATTTTTCAACTTTATTAACAACTATCGACACATTCTAGGTCGATGCTTTAGCAAATCAACAAGTTTCTGAGTTAACTATTGATGAGTCACCATCAAAGAAGGATTGTGCCGAAATTAACGAAGCAAGTAAAAATCCTTTGAATATTGTCGAGGGTCGTGAAGAGAAGAATGACGATGATAAGGAAAAAATCGAAGAAGGATTTGAAAAAAATTTAGCGAAAGAAATTATAAAAGATGGTCAAAATGGAGCTCAAGCAACTATTACAACTGAAATTATTCGAAGCAAAGTAACTGAACAGGATGATGTTATGGTAGTAGAAAAGCAAGAAGAAAAAGCAGCAACAAATATTGTTAAAGAAGATCCATCAACCGACGCATTTTCAGCAACAACAACGACAACTGCTTCTCGTGATTTGAGTTCAAGTATCTGGATTAGAAACGTTTGTTTACAAATTTAATCTTCAACTTTTGAGAATTGATATTTTTGAGCGCAAATTTTTTAAAAAAGCTACAAAAATTCAAAATCTCTAACATAAGTTTACAAAAAAAATTTTGCAGATCACTAACACAACGAAAGCTGTTGAACTTAAAGTATGCCTTAATTCAAGTGTTTTGTGTTTTCAAAAAAAATTTTTTTGTGTATATCATTTAACACATTAAGGCGCTTTTCTCAAAGCATGGTAAGGTAGTGACAGCAAAGATTTTCACCACAAAAAACAAGCAAAGCCCAACATGTTTCGGGTTTGTTGTATTATCTGATGCTTCTTCTGCTGATTTATGCGTTCAAAAACTGAATAGAATGAACTTCAAAGGACGCATAATAAATGTTGAGAAGGTTAACTATAAACGTAAAAAAATATAAATGAGAAAATTGTTGCAAGTTTGAACAGTCTAGTCTCTTCAAAACCTAACAATTTTTTGCAGAATTTTCTTTAGTCTTATTAAATAATAATCTGGACACAAAATATTCAAGGCTGATCGATCAAATCTATCTCAAATTAATAAAAGCGCAAACGGAGCAGCTATTAACAACAATTCCGTTGCACCCATTCAAAACAATCCTTCAGAAAATTCTTCATTTAAAAGCAATGGTGATTCATCTAGTGGTAAAGCTAAACCAAACATCAACACTTCACAATCTAAAACTCATGAGTCGGAGAAAATATCGACTGGAGAAGCTAAACGATCGCCTCGGGCTAGGATTATCTCCACATCTAATGCATCGTCTAAAGAAACTCATAACTCTTCTACAAAATGGGGAGGATCAGGCTGTAACTTTCACATTTTTTTCTTAACTTTTTTATCTTGATAAGCGTGGAAATTGGTGTCAGGGTTCGAACCCGTAATAAATTCGATTTATTTATAACCGTTTAAATTTGGTTTTTTTTATTCTTTCAGTCGAGAACAGTGGCTTTGCTGGTTCAAGATCTTTTGGTTCTTCGAGATCTCGCATGAACGCATCTTACGCAACTGGCAGGATTATGGGAAACCGAGGACGTGCAGGGCGTATCAGCGGAGGACGAAATGTGCGAAACTCCTCGGCTCGTGGAATATCCGACAATTTCAATCGACCTCGTTTTGGAAGTAGTAATAGACGTTCTACCGGTCGTCGTCGAGAAGAAGAGAGTCGACGTAGCAGTCATCGCCATAAGCCAAATGATGTTCGTAACTCGTCACGACGAAGTCCGGCAAATAGTAAAAATAATAATGATTCAAAAGACAAAGAAGATCTCATACGTTTTATGCGTCGCAAAGAAGAAGAACATCGTAAAAAAGAAGAGGAATTAGTTATGGAACGTGAGCGTGAAAGAATTCGTTATGAGCGTGAAAAATTGGAGCGTGATAAGCTTGAACTTGAGACTTTAAGACTTCAGGCGCAGCTAGCTCAGGCAACACAGTTACAATTTGCTGCAGTTGCAGGTTTACCACAAGGAGGTGCTGCTGCTGTTTCGGTTCCTCTTATAACTGGAACAGGAGATTCTTCTACATCAGCTCTCCATAATCAACACTTTGGAGGTGGTGGATTTAATCATCGACGTGAGAGAGAGGGTGCTATGCCAACAGCTTTCTCTTCAGAACGACGAAGTATTGATATGTCGGCTAAAAGTGAGATGAGCCGAAGCAAATCACGAACTTCTAAACAAAATGATAGGGATGAACGTTCTGACAGGTACATGTTCAATTAGTACAAATTGAATAAATTTTTGTTTATCACTAGACAGGGTATTCTAAAATCAGTTGTTGTTAGGGTCATGAATTTACACACGTTTCAGCCTCATTTACCATCTTTTAATTTAAGATTTCGTCATTCCTCACGAAGTGCGCGTGGCCCTGAGTCAACTCGTTCATCACGTTATCGCAACAAGAGTCGAAGTCGTTCACCTTTACGACGTTCAGGAACCTCTCGTCACGATAGTCTAAACAAGGAACATCATACAGGTGGTGCACTTTATCAAGGTGACAATGAACGTGAACGTCCAGCAGCCATCTACTCTGGTTCCCGAAATATTCCTATGCAAGTGGGCAGAAACAATAGTCCTCATTCGAAGCGTGTTGATGGGGGGCGATCTTCTGAATTTGGTTAGGATTTTTGTTTAACTTTTTAAATAAAAATTTTTCTTTTTTATATTATGATAATAAACGATATTTCTACAATACTGGTGGCATTGATTCAACTAGCAAAGATGGTGGTTTTGCTGCGGCTAGAGGAGATCACCAAATGTCCGTTCGTCTTAGTAATGTTAGCAGCGATAGACAGGTGGTGTCTTCACCGCCACATTGTGAGTCACCTGGCCGTTAATCTTGATTAAAAAATTTTTTTTAAGCAAATGAGCGAAGCATTCGTCGAGATTATTACAGTGGTGGCAATCAGTATAATACAAGTGGTACTGCTTCTTATACAGGCGGCGGGGGAACATTGCAATCTGATTCCATGTATGGTTCACGTATTCAACAACAGTCACAGGTTTACTTTTTTAAATTTTGGTTTAAAAATTTATAAATTCAAAACAGAATCAAGCACTTTCTTCATCTCGTCCAACTGGTGAAATGTTTGGTAATGGAGTTTTCACTCAACCTTCTTTGGGTAGTGGAAATAATAATGCTCTCTCCAGCGGTATGTTTTTTGGTTGATTTTTTATTTTTTGAACAAATTTTATTAGGCTATGACTCTCAACATACGCCTCAACAATTTGGTAGTGGAAGCAGTGGGTATTATCAACAAGGTTCAGTTTCGGATTGGGGTGGGCAGATGGATGTTAGTGGTGGAACAAATGAACGAAATGCTGCAGCAACACGCTCTTTTCTTGGTGGAGGAAGTAATGTTGGAAGTTCATCAACACAGTGGAATTCTGGAGGAGGTTAAAAATTGTTTTTTAAGTCAACTTATTTGAATTTTTAAGATTGGGGCGGTACACTTGGTGCAAACACTAATAGGGCTGGAACGTCAAGCAGATACAACACGTCTTACAGCAAACCTGCGAGTGGTGGTTATTCTTCTGGAGGAAGACGTTATTAAGAGAAATAAGGAAGTATTTAAATATGTGAAGAAATGACAAATTGAAATCCTAATAGATTTTTCACATCCATTTTTATAATGCACTACTTTATAAATTTTAATTTTTGGGAAATTTTTTTTTCGAATTTTTCGGATTGTTGGGAACAACACCGTATTAAAAATATCTGCCTTTAGTGTCCTTCGCCATAGTGGTAGCGCCATAGTGTCCGTGTCCCAATTTAGTCCTTTGATCAACCGAAACTTACTCTTATCCAATTGGATAAGAGCACTTTCATATATTCCTTTGCATTAAGAGAATCATTCATTCACTTTTCTGATTAAACATTGATAAAATTTTAATTTTATATAGATGCTTTCTTTAAAACCAAGAGTGTTAATTTCTTCATTGACTGCTTTACCTTCTACAGGGTTTTTCTTTTAGTATTTATTAAACTTATTTATTTTAGGCTTTATTTGACACAACGTTCATTAAGTTATACTTCTCGCCGTTTAGCTTCCAATACAGTTTTGAATTTTGTTCCTCAGCAAGAGGCTTGGGTTATTGAAAGGATGGGACGTTATTTAAAGACACTCCAACCTGTAATTAATCTTCAAATATTTTTTTTAAATTTATTTTTGAAGGGTTTAAATATTCTTTTGCCAATTATTGATAGCGTTAAATATGTCCAACCATTAAAAGAAATTGCTATGGAAATTCCTGAACAGAGTGCTATCACTTTAGATAATGTTCAACTTACCTTAGACGGAGTTCTTTATGTTAGAATTATTGACCCTTATAAAGTTTATTTTAATTTTTTAATTAAAATAAAATTTTAATTAAAGGCTTCTTATGGAGTAGAAGACCCCGAATTTGCTGTAAAACAATTGGCACAGACAACAATGAGATCTGAAGTTGGAAAAATTATTTTGGACACAGTTTTTAAAGAACGTGAAGTTTTGAATATTGCAATCGTTGGTATTTATTTAGTTTTTGAAAGATTTATTTTAAATTTAAAATTAATAGAAGCAATAAATAAAGCAGCAGAGCCTTGGGGAATTGTTTGTTTGCGTTATGAAATTCGAGATATGAAAATGCCTCAAAAAATTCAAGAAGCGATGCAAGTAAATTTTAAAAATTTTTCTTTTAAAAATATTTTTTAATTTATTTTTAAAGATGCAAGTAGAAGCTGAAAGGAAAAAACGAGCAGCAATTCTCGAATCAGAAGGACATAGAGATGCAGCTATTAATATTGCTGAAGGGGAAAAACAAGCTTGCATTTTAGGTTAATTTTTTTTAATATTTTCTGAATTCCTTCCCTTTAACATTTTTTTTCAATTTTTAGCCTCTGAGGCCAAAATGCAAGAACAAATCAATGCTGCTAATGGAATTGCCAAAGCTATACTTTTAGAGGCAGAAGCTCGTCAAAAAGCACTTAATCACATTTCAAAAGCTCTTAATGAAGTTTTTTCTAAATAAATTAAATTTTTATTTTAAAAAATATTTAAGGAAAAAGGCCGAGATGCTGCTAATTTATTAGTTGCTGAAAAGTCTGTAAAAGCTTTTGAGAAATTGGCAAAGGAAAATAATACTTTAATTATGCCTGCTGATTTAAGTCCAATAAATTCTTTACTTATTCAGGTTTAGATTTTAAATTTTAGATTTAATTAAAATTAATTTAAAAAGGCAATGTCTGTTTATAAACAACTTTCTGACAATCCACAATCTTCCAATGTTGAAATTAAACAGAAAAAATAGTTTTGACAAATTATTGGATTTTTGATTATTGTTTTTGTTTTTAGTTAAATTATTTGGTTTAAAATAAATTTTGTTTAAATTCATTGTGTAGACGGTGTTTCCCCAACTAAAGGGCTGGGTCTAATTAATCACTGCCTGGTTCGGGCTTGGGTAACCTAATTGAACCTAACCCGCTCCTTACAACCACTGCCATAATTGTTGTCTTATTGTTAGTTGAGTAGGTCGCGATAGCCATTGCCGGGCTTAGGCAACCTAGTCCACAAACTTTTTCGCGGTGTACTCTGGATGTTGAGTTACATTATGCAAATCAGTGGCAGTACTTAACGTGCCTACAATTAGCCACTGATTTTTAAAATGTAAGACGGGACTAAATTGTTGATTTCTACTTTTTAAAATAATCCTCATTTTTTTCTCACGCAAATCCTTTCAAGGTATAGATAATATGAATTAAGGATTAAACTTGGTGTACTTTATAGAACATAAAGGAAAATAACAATTTTTGTGATTTTGTAAACACGGGGTCATAGGATCGATACCGGATCAAGGCTAAACTTTTATATGGCCACTCTGATTTGATAGTTTTTACTTAATTTAAAAATAGTTTTGCACAATAGTAAAATCTCTTTATAATCCAAATGTCAAGTTAAAGATTTTGTTTTCAGGTGGGGGAGGGACACAAAATATTCCATTGGATTATTAAATATAATAAAATAATCTTTTTTATTTTATTTAAAAGATTATTTATTTCTTTTCTCTCTCTTAAAAAAAGCAATCGCAATAATTGGCAAATATTTTTAAAGACTTTTAAAATAATCTACTTGTATAAAATAATAATATTTTCTAATTCATTTGTCAACCGTTTTATTACTTTAAAAAATAATTTCCTTTTGATAATAAATAGAGGGAGAAGGAATTTATTTAGTGGGAGAGGGATAATTATTTTCTGCTAAAAATTTCGACGTTAATTATCTAATATTTTTTAAATTAATTGTTTAAAATATAAATGAGATTTTGGCCTGATCTTGTTTCTAATTTACTTCCCGGCTTTGCTTTGGTGAGTACAACTAAGTTGAAGTTGAAATTGAGTATTTTTTGTTAATTAGAATAAAATTAGAGGGAATAATTAAGTGGAATGAGGAAATTTAATTTATTATAAGGAGGGTTAAGAAGAAATATTCTTTTACATTTTTGTATATCCTCCCCCTAAAATATATTTAATTCCAAATTTTGCAAACTTTTACCCAAAATTTTCAGTTAACTACATGTACTTCTTTAGTTTTTCTTATTGCCATGAAAAAAGCTTCTGGTGGCTTTATTGCTGCTTTTTATACACTTAGAGTTATGGGTAATTAATTAATTAAAAAATAATTAATTAAAAGATTTACTTCTCGGTTTATCCCTTTTTTATGCTGGATTTCATGGAATTCTTCTTTCGGTATATACTGAACAAAATGAACAAATACCGCCAATAAAATGTTTATTTACTGCTGTCCATCTACATTTTTGGGTTGGGAAAAAATTAAAAAAAAAGAGAAAAATTGTTCTTAAGATTTTTACTGATTCTGCACAATTATTGCTTTTGGCATTACTTTGTGTTGATCAGTTTATTTCTGTTGTTTGGACAAAAAGGCATAAAGAAGTAAGTGTTAAATATAAATATTGTTAGGGGTCTTCTCTTCTCAAAACATCTACTGTAATTTAATCACTTTACATATATTGTAAGGATGATTAACCTAGCAGCATTTAAAATGCTTAGGCGGGGGTTAAACAATCTAAAAGGATAAAAGAGTAAGCATTAGTCGATGCCCCGGTAGCTCAGTGGTAGGAGCTCCTATGTGGTGTGAGCGAAAGCGCCTAGCAATAAATACGAGGAGATCGCAGGTTCAATCCTGCCCTCTGGCTAAACTTTTGCTAAACTCTTTCTCCATATATATTTTTTTAGTTTTCTGAATATTATTTCAATAAAGCATTTATCTTTTTTGTCTTAATACTTTCAATATTTTCTTTTATTCCTGCTTGGATTGAACCAATTTTATCATCAGAAAATTCAACAATTAAAGTTTCTTCATTTTGTGCAATGCAAGATGTTTTTTTAAAAATTAATTTAAAAAATATTTTTAAAAAAGGTTCTCGGTCAAAACTTTTATAATATTCAATTGGAAATACGTAAATGGTTTCCTTTTGTTTGTATCGCAATTCTTTGTTTAACAGCTTTAATTCTTTTTTCTTTACAATTAATTCAAAAAGGACATTTTAAATGGTCTGACAATAATAAACAATCAACTAAAGTTTCTAAATAATAATTTTAATTTTAAAATTTAATTTCAAAGTTATTCTTATTACTTCTCTGTAGAGCTATTTTATTTATTGTTTGTGTTCACATTCCTCTTTTAGAATTACCTTTAGTTATGAAAACTGCTTTTCCTGATAGACGTTCTTCTAATAAATTGGATGTTTCAAAGTCTTTTTTTAATTTTGAAAAAAAAAATATTTTTTATTTGTTTAAAAGAATTCCAAATGAACAAAGATTTCTTCAAGAAATTTTAATTCGAATTTGGCAATCTCTTTTAATTGGATTGGTCTGGCAGAAAATTTATTTTTAAATATTTTTATTTATTTCAGTTTGAGCCTTTATTGGATGCCTTCTTTCTGCCCCAATTTCCTGCAGAAATTTGTGCTTTCTTTAATTTACATGAAGTAAATATGTATATTATTTAAATATTTTAATTATTGGGTCCAAAGAATTGTTAGTTTTAAATTGAACCAAAGATTTTCAGTTCGGTTAATCGAAGAATTTGGCAAAACCGACAACCTTACTAGAGAATCTGGACCGATTATAAATAGGGTTGCCGACAAGTTATTCGAGTCTTTTTTCAGGCTAAACAGCTTCGGCTCGCCTCGATCCTTCTATCGAGCGAAAAATTAATAATTTAATTTAAAAAAATTAAAAAAATTTTTTAGATGAAAAGAACATGGCAAAGTGCCGATGGTAATTTAATTTTTAAAGTTGGAAATTAATTTTTAAAAATCTAAAAAAAGATCCTCCATTGCCATGTCGTTCTGTTGGGGCCTCCGGTTTTGATATTTTTGGGTCTTTTCATTCAATTACGGGAAATATTATTGGAGAAGCTGGAATTCCAATGGAATTAAATGCTGATATACAACGATCTGTTTCTTTCTATTATGATGAATAAATAGAAAAAAATAAATTATTTTATTATTTAGAAAAAGATTTTGAAAAGAGTTTTTAGATAATTTAAAGCCAAAATGTACATATATAAATTAGAGTTTAAATCCGGACAGGATCCGGGTCTTAATTTTCCAGATCCGGTGAATCCAACATTTTGCTAACTTTAAACTCTAATATAGTACATACATAAATATCATTCTTTTTTTAAATCCTCAATGTTTATTTTTCACATTTAATGACATTAAAAACATTTACCTATATTTTTTATTTATTTAATAGATTGTCAAGATTTCAAAGATTTTAAATCATTTTTGGGTTTTTTTAATTAAAAAAAAGCAGTTACGTCAAAAATTCAAACTTTTATTTTTTAAACTTCAAACAATTCATAAATTTTTAAATAAAATGACAAAAAAAATGAAATAAACATCTCCTTTTTTCTTTCAATTTTTATCATTTTATATTTTTAATTATTTTACGTTTATCCGCCCCCACTTAAATAAATCACAAAAAAGAATTTTCATTTTTTTCTATACAACCTACCTAACAAACAAATTTCCCTCAAGAAAGTAAAAAAGAAGCAATTGCTCTTTTTACTTTCTTTTCTAAAAAGCTTTGTTTTAATATTCACTCTAGAGTAGGAACAACTGGATCAGCTTTAAGTAGAAAAAAAAGATTTAATGTTGTTTAGGTTAGAATAAGAAATATTGTGATGATTATTGTGTGTGTGTTTTAACTAAAAAGAAAGATATGATGCGGCAAAAATAAAATGAAAGACAAGAAGCTTCTTCCTTCTTCTATTCATTCTTCTTCCCTATCATCTACTTACTACTTACTAAAAATACTTTTTATTCTTTTCTTCTTCCCCCCCCCCCCCCCCCCCCCCCCCAACATTTCCTTCTTCTTGTCGGCCAAATCGATCAGTCTCATATGGCCTATTATTTTTTTGTTCTTGAAATCTTTTAGTCCTTACACATTACTCATCCTTTTATCTTACGTAAAAAACTCCCAGAAAATTAATGGCGATATCCGATCAGATTTAGTAAAGATTTTCTTTCTTTTTTAGTTTCTTTTAAAAGTTTGTTTTTCTCGATTTTTAACTTTTTAGGGATGACTATTGTATTGAGGGGAGGGGAATCTGGAAGTATTGGTAGTGGGCAACAACCACTTTCCAATTCCTCAACACAACGTGCTAACCGTTCTAGCGGTGTTGGTTCTCGCTTTAATGGAAATCGTTATCGTCGAACAGCTAATTCTACAATAGCTGGTACTGGATCTTCTTCTTCCTCTATTGGTAAAAAAGAGAAGAGAAGAGGGAATATTTAAAAATAATTTTAAGGTGGCCATCCATTAATTGGAGCTGATCCACAGAAAAAAGAAATTAAACATCGTTTTGAAATTACAGCAAAATTAGGCTCGGGGACCTATGGAAAAGTTAGTCTGGCATTTGATCACAAAACAGAAAGAGAAGTTGCTGTAAAGCTTATAAAGAAAAGTGCTATAGAAAATAAACAAGATTTGGTTAGAATAAGAAGAGAAATTCGAGTAATAAAAAATTTAGAAAAATAAAAATATTTTTAAAAAATTTTAAAGATAATGTCAATGCTTAATCATCCAAATTTAATACAAATATATGAAGTTTTTGAAAATAAAGATAAGGTAAAAATTAAAAAGGGGAAGATAAATTGGAATATTTTTAAAGATAATTTTGGTAATGGAATATGCAAGTGGAGGAGAACTTTATGATTATGTTAGTAAAAATGGAAGTCTTTCTGAACAAGAAGCAAGAAGAATATTTAGACAAATAACTTCTGCTGTACTTTATTGTCATAAAGTAATTAATTTTAATAATTAAAAAAAATATTTTTTAAAAAGAACAAAGTTGCCCATCGAGATTTAAAATTAGAGAATATTTTACTCGATTCAAATAATAATGCAAAAATTGCTGATTTTGGTCTTTCAAATTATTTTGGCCAAAGAAATAAATTATTATCAACATTTTGTGGCTCTCCTTTATATGCCTCTGTAATTTTTAAAGAAAAGTATTCATTAAAAAATAATTTTTTTAGCCAGAGATAATTAATGGGACACCTTATAAAGGGCCAGAAGTTGATTGTTGGAGTTTGGGAATTCTTTTATATACTTTAGTTTATGGTTCAATGCCTTTTGATGGAAGAGATTTTAATCGAATGGTAAATTAAATTAAAAAAAAATTTTTTTTATTTTATTTTAAAGGTAAGACAAATTAAAAGAGGTGCTTATTATGAACCAGATACTCCTTCAAGTAATTAATTATTTAAATATTTTTTTAAATATTTATTTATAGCTGCATCTATGTTAATTCGAAATATGTTGCGTGTAAACCCTGATAGAAGGTATTTTTAAATTAAAAAAAAATAAATTTATGTTTAAGAATATAAATTAAAATTAATTAAAATTTTTGTCAAGATGGGAAACATTATCATATCATTTTATCACTTTCGACCAATAATTCCTCGACCCTCTACTTCCGTTTACTTTTATTAGTATCGGAACTAATTCTAAAATAATGGCGGCGCAAAAGTCGCAGTGTCACGGATTTTTCAAATAATTTTGGGGAAATTTTTGTTTTGGGAATGAACAAATAGCATTTATTTAGAGCAACAATTTATGATATTTCTGGACATTGGTGGTTGAATTTAGAAGAGAATATGCCCGTTATACAAGAATTACCTGAAAATCAAGTTTTAATTATTTTAAATAATTCTTTAAATTAAAATACTTTAAAGATAACAGATCCAACCCCTTTAACTGAAAGAGCAGAAATAATGGTTGTCCAGGAATTGGCAGACGAGACAGACGTTTTTATGGAATTTGGACATAGTCAAACAACAAGAAAAAAGATTGAAGAATTTAGAAGAAGGAGGAAGGAAGCTGAGGAATATAATGAAAATTCTCCAATAAAACCCCCAAAAACTCGAAAAGATGAAGAAGATAAACTAAAATTAACTTTGGAAGAAAAAAGTTTAAGAGAAATAAAAAAAGAAGAAGTTAAAAATGAAGAGAAAGAAGAAATTAAATTAAATAATAATATTTTTTCTGATCCATTAGAGAGACTTAAAAAATTAGAAAATAGATTAGGAGGAGGAGGAGGGAATAAAAAAGAAACAAGTCCAAAATTGGAAGAAAATAAAAAATTGAAAAAAGAAGAAGAAAAGGAAGAAGATTTAATTAAAAATAATAAAAGAAAATTAAGTACAAAAATAAATTTAAAAAGAAAAGATTCAATTAATGAAAATGTGAAAACTCGAAAAGAAGAGGAACAAAAAACATCAACAACTTCAACAACAATAAATAATAAAAAATTAAATGAAGATCCAACAAAATATTGGCGTTTAGAAACTGACAGTCTAAATGCTTTAATGAATCAAGTAAATAATTTTTAAATAAATTTTAACAAAAGAGTGTCTTTTTAAAGGTATTAGAACAAATGGAGAAAGGCCCTGTTTCTCTTAATTTAATTGCAAATATCCGTGCCCATCCATTTTATGATGAAAGGCCGGAAGTTAAAGAATTATTAGAAACAATAATTGCTGCCCAACCAGTCGAGATACAAAGAAAGGCTTCGAAAATAACAAAACAAAAATCGAAAGATGTTGAAAATAATTTGGAACAAAATTCTTCGAAAGAAATTAAAAAAGTTGGAAGTTTAAAGAAAAATAATAAAATAATTAAAGAAAATGAAGAAGAAGAAATTGAAATAAAAACAGTTGAAGAAAAAAGAAAATCTTTTGGTAAAAGAAGAAGAGGTCCAGCAGAAGAAAGACGATGGCATAGTGTTGAGGTAAATAACCGGAACCAATCCGATATATTCAAAAAAATACATTGCCGTCTCGGGAATCGAGATTCCCGACATCTCAATCCGTGTACCTGAGGGTATGGAATAATTATGGTTTATAATTATTTAGTTAATCTGACACGGGACTGATATTCCGCAGATACAAATATCTTAAATACATATATTTATTTAAAAAGGTTGGATTCTCTACTGATTCATCTACAGAAGAGATTAGTCAACAACAAAATGATAATTCTACTCCAAACACTCCAAAAGCAACAGTACCTCCCCCTCATCCTCCACAAATGTCAGCACCTAAATTTGTTGGGACGGCCAGAATTTCCCGTTCTGAGCCTTTGGGAGGTATTGATGATGAGGAATATTTAGAAGATGAAGATGAATTTTATGATGCTGCTGAAGAAGGAGAAGATGAATTTGAAGGGGAAATAGATGAATTGGCAGAAGAAGTTGAACAAATTATTGGAGAGGAAATTAAGGAAGAAATAAATAAAAAAGAAAATAAAACAAAAATAAATAATGAAAATAATAAAAAAATTGTTGGGGTAGTAGCTACAGTTAAACCAAATATTCCTCCAAAAATTGTTGAAAAATCAGCCCTGCCAGAACCTGGACCTTCAACTTCAAAAACTACAGATTCTTTAGAAAGAGGATTGGCTAAAAGAGTTGTGAGTTATTGCAAAAAGAGAATTTTAAAAGAAAAATATTTTTTCTTTTCTAGAGTAAAGGCAAATATCAATATAGCGATTCTGTTGAATTACCAAATCAAGATAAGAAAGAACAATTTAAAAGAAATAGAGTTTGGATGAAAAGTCATGATCCAGATGCTGAATCTTTGTCTGCAGAAAATAGTAGTAGTTCGGCGATTGCTCCAAAAGCCGAACCTGAAGAGGAAGAGGAGGAAGAAGAAAATAATGAAGAGGAAGAAGAGGAGGAGGAAGAGGAAGAAGATATTCCCTTTAGACCTAAACCTTCAACAATTATTGGATTCCGAACAATTCATCCAGGAACGGGTTGATAATTATAAAATTTAAATTGAAAATAATTATATTTTATTTTAAAAAGATGGAGGAATACCAAAAGAAGCGCCAATTGTTCAAGTTAAACCCCAAAATTCCCAACCTCAATCACCCATAAATAAAACACAAAATATTCAACAACAACTCCCACAACTTCCACAACAACAACAATCACCTAAAAGAGAAAGTCCAGAACCTTCTCTTCGTTATGAAAGTGCTGCTGCATATATTAGACGTAAAAATAGGGAAAGAAGGGCAAGGAATGCAACTGTTGCTGTTACAGAAGATACTTGGACTAGGCAAATACCGTATTTCCTAAAATAGTACTCCCGGGAGTACTATTTTTCAACCCTCCTCCAAAGGGGAGTACTATTTAAGGGGGGAGTGCTAATTCAGGGGGGAGTACTATTTTTCAACCTTCCTCACTGATTTATCTTGTGAAAATTTATTTCAAAATTCTAAATGTCTAAATCAATTAGATTTCTTAATTTGAAAAATGCTGGATCCGTACATAGATTTTCAAAAAAATTCCTTTATAATTCGCAAAAAATATCCAAATTATTATAAAATTGAGCACATGGCAGGACATTTAAACACAAGTGACTTAAAATAAGGATTATTGAGGGATATCAAGAAGTATATATCAGTGGATTTGGAGTGGGGATTTAAGCTATAAGGGGATTTAAACAATTAAGAGTGAAGCATGCTTTGGACTAAGGTGGATATCGAAAATTGATACATCACTTTTGTTCTTCCGATATCCCTTCGAATCTTATGATATCCATATTTGGCGTAATATCAAGGGATCAAATTATGTAAGTTGGAGATCAGTGAGTTGGATATCTGAAAATTCTTGAATTAGAGGTATCGAAATAAAATCGTTGGGTTGAGGAGGATTCATGATTCAATTTTATCTTAATCACGCTTAATCAACAAAAAACTACTAATATGACTCATCCGTCATTATTCCCTCAAATTCCTTTATCCGCCTTTAATCCAATGATATCTTTTAACTCGCCTGATCAATTCAGAACCCCTTTTATCACCCGATATCAATACACTTATATCCCTCAAATCCACTTTTATCCAGCCACTTAATCACAATATACCTATCTCCTTAATCCTCAACAAATTTACGGTTCGATTTCGGTTAACAGGAAGTTTCGGTTCGGGTTTTCGGTTCGGTTTCGGTTAACACAGAATTAATTGAAACCGACAACCATAATTAGAGTAAATGAAATAATTTAATGAGTCTTTTATAATTTTTTCAAATATAGGGGAAAAATATTTTAGGGGGGAGTACTATTTTAGGGGGAGTACTAATTCAGGGGGGAGTACTATTTTTCAACCCTCCTCCAAAGGGGAGTATTATTTAAGGGGGGAGTGCTAATTCAGGGGGGAGTACTATTTTAGGAAATACGGTATTTAAAAAAAAATTTTTATTTAAATATTTTTTTAAAGATTTCCTTCACAAGAGCAACCGAGTGAACCAAGTTCTCCAAGACATAAAAATAGCACGGGCTCTGGCAAATTATCAAATGGAAGTGGTTATGGTAGAAATGATGAAAATAATTATTCGAGACAGGCAAATTTAATAATTTTTGAAAAAATATTTTAATAACCCCCGCCCATCTACTGTAAACGGGGAGGGTATTTTTTGGTGTTGTTGGAAGGCATCGACCTGGGTTTCCATGAATCAAACACCGACTGTTTAAAAAACAACATCCCTTAATTTTTATATTTTTGTTTCATTTTATTTATTTACAGACATATCTCGATCGTCGAAAATCTTTTCATGAGATGTCTCCCCCAAATGATGATACCCCTTATGATAGATATGCAATTGCTGGTGGATATTTTAATTCTTTGGTTGGAAATAGTTATATGCCTTCAAATATTAGTAAATATGAAGAAGAGGTTTATAATGCTTTTAATAAACAATATGGAGGGGGAACATCTACTAGAGCAGCAACAAATAATATTTGGCCATCACAACAACATCAACAACAGCAAAATTATTATGGGGGGATTGCTAAAGAAAGGCCTGAAAGATTTGAAGTTTACAAAACAATGGCTGAAAGAGCATCAGAATTTGGAAGAAACGAGTTTAGAAAAAAATAAAATTTAAATAAATGTTTGACTAATTTAAAAACAGTTTAACTCAATATCAACACAGAATGTCTGCAGGTGGAAGTTGTTATTATCCGGGAGAAAGGCCTTTAAGTTCTTATGCTGGTGGATCAATCGGTCTTCGTTCAGGACCTCGTACAGAAGAATATGGAGGAATGGGAGGAGGAGGAGGGGGAATACGTAGAAGTATTTATGAAACAGAAAGGCCTAGTAAATAATAAACAAAAATATTAAATTAATTGTTTCTTGTTTAGTAACTCCTTGTAATGAATATATTAGTGGAAATTACTATTCTCATAATCAGCCATTACCTGAACCAGAATCTCCCCCGAGAGGAGGGGAAGGAAGATTTAGACGAAAAATAGCTGCTTTAAGGGATGCAGATGGAAGACGTTCTTCATATGCTTCACGTTCACAATCTAATGATCACATGGCTTTACTTTCAAGAGGTGCTTATATGCCTGATGAATTGGAACAAATTGGTGGGAAAGAGAGAGCGGAAATATATTTCTTTAAATTTAAGAACCAATAAGTGGAAATTCTCGTTATGCAACACCCGAAATTGGTGGAGGAGTAGGGGGAGGTGGAGGGGGTTATTCTAATCAACTACCCGAATATGCATATATTGCTTATCACGATTCTGGAATGCCAAATGGAGGGGGTGGGCAGCAATATATAAATAGTAGATCTAGTAGAAGAGATCAACATAATGTTGATTTGGATGCTGCACCTATACGTGGAATTCTTAAAAATAGACAAGTAAAGAGATTAAAAATGTTATTATTTAATTATTTATTTATAGGCTTATGAAGGGGAACCAAGAGTACAAGGTTGGAAAATAATTAATTAAAAAATAACACAAATTCTTCTTTTCCCTTTCCTTTTAACAAAAAAATTATTTTTTAATTTTCACAATTTCCCCCCAATTTTTTGCACTTAATTTTATCTAGGCCGTCTACGTAGACATCAATCTGTTGATAAAGGATATTTAAATAGCCATTCATTGGATGAACATCAAAACTATAATAATCAGGAATTTTCAAGAATTGGAAGTTCTTATTCACGTCGGTATGGAGGTTCTTCTGATCATTTACCCGGAATTATGCATGGAGGGGCTGCACCCATTTTGCCTTCCTATCAACAACAATTTAATTATTTGGATTCTTCCGTCCCTTCAGGCACTTTTAAATTTAGAGCACCTTTTTAAAAAAATTTTAAACAAAAAAATATTTTCTTTTCCTTTTTTAAGCAAATCGAGAATATGATTATGATGTTAATTTAAATAATAAAAAAAGAGGAAGTGCAGGCCTTTTAAATTTGGGTAGACGTAAAACAACAGAAGTTAGGTTGGGACCTGAATCTGTTCCAAACTCGAGAAAACAAAGTGCTAATATGTGAGGATATTTAAATTATTTGTTAAGAGATGAGGAGGGTCCGCCAACCTTAATAAAGTGTTTAGCAGAAATTTATCCCAGTCTTTTATAGAAAAATAAAATACAATTGAGGGGGCTGCTTTAGCTATATCCCCCCTTCCCATTATAAAATATACACCTCATGAAATCAACTTTATTTAATATTCTCCAACAAGATTTTCCATTTTTATAATATTAAATTAGTAGGATGGGTACACACTAGTGTTTCGCCGGAACCAGAAATTTGACCGGAACAGGAACTGAAGGGCTGGAAGCGGAATCGGAACCAAAAAATCCCGGAACTTCCGGCCTACCGGAACTTTCCGAAACACTAGTACACATAATAGAAAAGCTTTTTTTTATTAAATTAAAATAATTATAAATTTAAAAAAAAAGTTTATTGGAAGAAGAATTTAAACGTCCTCGTTCACCAATCGAATGTATAAAATCATTATTTCGTGGAGGAAATCAAAAAATAACAGGAAAGGATAATTTAAATTCTGTTGGAGGAGGGCCTTCATCCCGTTATTCAACAAATATTGGGGCAAATAATAATGGAAATGGGGGAAATTATGGATATACTACAAGTGGAGGAGGAGGAGGAAATAATAATTATATTAATAAACGTTATGGAGTTGGGGGAGGAGGAGGAGGAGGAAGGTAATTTAAATAAAAATAAATAAATAAAGAATAAATTTTAATTAAAAAAAAGATCTGATGGAGGGAGATTTACTTCAACAAATAATTATAATGGAGGAAATCGAACAAATGCTCCCAATAGATGGGGATATGAGGTAAATAAAATTAATTTTAAAAATTGTATTTAAAATTTATTTTTAAACAGGACACACATCTTTAAAAGAAAATAATTGTTTTTTAATCATTGCTAGTCTTTAAATGTTTATTTCTAGTCAAAATATATGTTAATACCCATTTTTTAATTAAATATAATCTTAATGTTCCCAAAAAAGTTTTTTTTGATTATTATAAAATTATCGGTTTTGACTGAGCATTATTATAGTTAGAGACCCGAGACGAGGTCTCGAACAAAAATCACGGTTATCTGGATCGACGATATTTTCAAGATATCTAAATTCTCGTATTACATTCTTAATCCGGGGCCTCCCCTCCCAATCCGGTCTCTCTAATTATAATAATTACATAAAATTTTTTAAACAAATAAATATTCAGTACTTTTATTTAAAAATAAATGGCAATAAATTAAATTAGAATTTTTATTTATTTTTTACATTTTCCACAAGTAAATGGACAATATGTTCTCATAATAAAATAAAAAGATATTCTTCTACAATAGTCAATAAATTGGTTACAATCAACAAAATAATCATTACATTCTTTTTTTAAAAATAAATAAATTAATTTAAAATTAATTTAAAAAATACCTTTTTGTTCTTCTTCTTTTAGTAAATAATTAGTATTTTCTTTTTCTTCTTTTAATTTTTTTCTTAATTTCTTTTTAAATTTATTTTCAATATTTTCTTGATAATTATTTATTTTTCTAAAAAATTTCAAAAAAATAATTTTTAATTAATTAAAAACCTTTTTTTAATTAAATAATTACTATTTCCTTTCTTCTGTTTATTACAATTATATAATTTCATTATTTTTTCTATATCTAATTCACTCAATTCAAAAGATGTTCCAATTATATTTGTAAACTTTATAATTAAAATTAAAATTTAATTTTATTTTCTCTTTTCAAAATTTACATCATTAATTACAGCTTCTAAAGTATTTTTCCCATTTTTACTAAATGCTGAAGAGCCGTAATGCATAATTGATCTATTTAAATTTAAAAATATTTTTATTTAAAAAATATTCCCTACTTATAATCATATGGCTCATTTAAAGTATCTTGTATAGCAGAAGAAACATTAAAGAAAAAAATAATTTTTTAAAAAATATTCTTTTAACTAACAATATCAAATTGTGAATCTAAACCAGGTAATATATTCTCCCAACGAATTATTATATGATTATCTCTGTCTGCTCTACTATGTTCGTGCCAGAAACCCAATGAATGCATTAATTCATGAATTATCTTTAAAAAAAATTTTTTTTTTAATTATAAATATTGGGGAATTGTGGGGACTAAAAGAAGTTTATAAAAGAAAAGCCTGTAGTCCTAAAGTAGTGAGTGGTACCGTTCGACTCAGCTCGAGACGAATCGAATGACACATATCACGTCCCGAAATTTTACCACTGGTACACTACACTATATCCAAAGAAAATAACCATTCCCGAGATTACTTTATGTTTTCCCTCCCCCTCCTTACAGTTTCATTAAATAAACATCCTTGTCCCAATGAAAGTTCTTGTTTACCACCAGTTTTCCCAACTTGAGAATAACATCTACAAACAATTTATTTAAATTATTTTTGTCAGAATTCACATTTCTTTCTTACCCATTACCCCTTACAATATTTAAATAATCATTTTCAAAGTTTCGAGGCTTGAAATGGATACATCCAAAAGTACGCCTTAAAATAAAATTAAAAAAATATATTTTCTTTATCAACTACCGTCGATAAATTCTAAAAGCTTTTTGTAACAGTTTAACTTCACTAATTGCTAAATAAAAATATTAATTTAATAATTTAAAAATAATTATAAATTACAAAAAGCCTCATCCAATTCATAGGGAACAATACCATTTGGCCTTTAAAATATTTTTTATAAAAAAAAGTAAATCTTTCAATAACCATGTTAATTGATGATTCTTTAAAGCATTAAATTGAACATTTGGATCTGATAACTAAAATACTAGTTATTTATTGTTGAGTTTATACACTAGTGATCGAGATTTTTGAAAAGCCTGGGCCTGTTCCTGGTTTGATTTATTGACCTGGGACTGTAGTCCAGGAAAAACCCAGGAAGGTTAAAAAATGCCTGGGTCTGGACTCCGGGTACAGGGAAACCCCAGGCCGTCCAGACCCTGCTCGATCCCGTTTATACAAATTAATATACCTGTTTAAGTAATACTTCATCAACTCCATCAATATCCCCTTGAAACTTTCCTAATTATAAAAATTATTTCTTAATTTATAATTAAAATAACCAGAACGTAACCAAGCTGGTTCTTCTTTTAATGTTAAAATTTTATTATTTAATTCTTCTTTTGTCAAATTTTCTTTCTCGTCTGTTCTATTTACTTCGTTTAATACAATTGAATCGTAATTCTGTGATGCTAAGAAAGAGAGACAATTGAAAAATAAAGTAAAATAAAATCCAAAAATATTTGCTATTAATTCCATCTTCTTTTCTTCGCTCCAATTGAAATTTTAATTATATTGAAACAAAATTATCAATTCTTCTCCCAATTTTTTTAAATTAAAATTTAACAATGAACACCGGTAGGAATATAAATTGATTTTAAAAGTTTTCTCTCTCAACTACTTCATTTAGCCAAGAAAACAATAAATAAAAAATTTCCCCTCCCCCCTCCTCTTTTAACCTCCCCCCTCAACATCCCGAATCTAAATTTCATTGACCATTTACTTTTGTGGGTTCCTAAAACAAGTGACAAAAGCCGGTCAATTTGTTTACATTCCTGAATAGCGATTTGTGCGAAAAGGAAAAAACATTTAAGAGTGGTCAAAATAATTTATTGAAGTTAAGAAAATTAATTTGAAATTTTATTTTAAATTTAAAAAAAAATTAAATAACAATAAACAAAAAAATAAACAATAGGTAAAGAATATATACCAGCATTTTAAATATACCCTTTTCTCTCTATTGAGGTGATGAGAACATTAAGTGAAGATAAATAAGAAAAAAAGTCAAATCAGCGAGATAATGAATAAAAATAAAATCTTTTAAGGCATTATAAAAATAACAATAAATTCCCCTATATAGGTCAAAGTATTGAAAAACAAATAAATTTTTAAATTTAAAAAATTAAATATTTAAAGACTTGTCTCTCTTTCATTCCCGTTTTTTGTTTTCCATTCATTTCTATGTCTTGCCCTCGAATTAAAAATATTTTCTTTAATATCATCTTCATTTTTCGATCTTAAAAGAGCTATTGATGAATGGGAAGGCTTAATTTTATCTTCAATTGTTGAATTTGTTGTCATTTCATTTATTGAATAACTTCGTTTAGGAGTTTTATTAAATGATTGTTTAGAATTATTATTAGATGATTCATTATTAAGAATTTGTACATTCTTTTGTGCTGCTAAACGTTTTTGAATTAATTCATTTTGTTCTTGTCTGTCCTAAAAATATTAGAAAGTTTTTTCTTAAAAGAAATTAAAATTTTACTTTATAAACAATAAGTGCTCCACAAGGACACCAAATCATTAAAGAAACAGCAACAACAATAAAAACTATATAATCGGCAAGGAATTTTCCTATTAAATTTTAAGGAATTTTAAATAAAATAAAAAATATATTTACGTTGTTCTCGTCCATTAAAATTTTGAAAAAAGCGCCAAATTGGGCTCGAGTCTGTTGCCTCTTTTACACACACTTTCTAAAAAATAATTTTAAAAATTGAAGAATTCTTCAGCCAATCCAAGAATTGGTTAGCCCCCCACCCATATATCCCATTTTTACCAAATTATTAAAAAATACATTAATGCAATGTCCATAAATACACATAGAATTGTCTTGTAACCAATGTTCTGGTTTCACTGGGCTACAAATACCTGTAGTAATTGAACGGCAACAACGTTGGCAAGCAATTTTAGCTAAAATATTAAAAAATAATTTTTAAATAAATTTAATAGAAACCATCCTCGCAAAGACAAGGCATCAAATCTGAAGAAATTGAATGACAAAAAGGAATACAATCCCCATTTAAACATTTTCCTCCATCTGTGCAATTTGTGCCATCCTCTAATGGTTTTGGATTTGGACATTTTTCACTAACTCCACTAAAAAAGGAAACAATTAAATTAAAAGCTTTAATTTTTAGTTACAGAAGTTCGAGTCTTTCTTACACTAAAAACTTTCTTAACTGAAAAATGGTGTTTGGATAACTAGAAAAATTAACAAAGGAAGAATATTAAGAGGTTGGCGGAATTTATCAAAAAATAATTCAAAATTAACCAAAAATTAATAAATTACCTGCAATTAGCCTCGGCCTTGCACATATCACTTTTTTGTGCATGGCAAACAACATCTTTGCTAAGAAAAGTACAATTTAGTGAGCAACATTCAGAATGTCTTAAAATTAATAATTTTAATAAAATCCCAATTAAAAAATAACCTTGGAGAACAAAAGGCTCCTAATCTTAATTTACATTCTTTAGTACAACAATCATCTCTAACACCAAAATGTTGAAAATGAGCACCACCATCACATTGTTCCCCTTCCTCTAATATTCCATTACCACAAAAAGCTTTCTTTTCTTCCACAAAACAACGATGAGCAAGGGAATAAAGTACTCGATGAATTGAACGTATTGAACATGAAGAAAATTGATAATTATTTTTATCATATCCAGTATTTGCACTTTCCCACATAACAAAACGCCCATCTCTTGAATTTTTTGGAACACATTCATCTTGCATTTCATCATCATGAATACTACCCCAAGAATGCCCAAGTTCTATAAATTTAAAAAATTTTATTAAATTTAAATAAATAACCATGTGCAAGTACAAGGTCAACAACACGTGTAATCATTAAATCTGATCTTCGCCGAACAGTAATAAGAGCTAAAATGGATAAAAATATTAGTGGATAAATTACTACATTAAGAGAATATATATATTGAGTGAGTGAGGAACGGAAGAAACTTTCAAAGTTAATTGACTGATTTGTGAAAATGCTAGGTGCTATGGTGAATAAAGAGAAAAAATACATAATAGCAAAAAACTAAATAATATTACCTGTATTCATATAGTGGCTGTTATTAAGTTTTTTGACTGCACAAACACCCCTCCTGTCAGGATCTCCAATCTATAAAAATTATAAAAAATTGTAACCAGAGAAACAAACATTTGCCAATCCAACAACACCAGATTGTAACGATTTTGCAGTAATAAGTATTGTTAAACATGTCGAATTTGTACCTTCCTCAGTCGAAAAAGACTAATAAATAAATTATAAATATTTAATAATTTAAAATTAAAACATCTAAAATATCAACAGCATTAACATCAGATTGAATTGGAGAATTGAAATGACTAATAGAAGAAGAATCTTCAGGCTTCTCAAATATTTTCATTTCTTTGATAACAAAACCCAAATTTGAAAGTCGATCACCATTAATGTCCAGTCCCCATTCAATAGGCGAAAATATCCCATTAACTCTTTCAATTAAATTTATCTGAATTAAAGAAAAAATAAGTTTTTATAATTTCAAATAATGCCCTCATTAATTTAATTTTTAAAGAATTAACCAGGCACTATCGGATGCATGTTAACAATAAAAAATAATCTATTATTGGAAGGACCCCATTCCCCAAGGAAATTGATAACTAATTTAAACATAAAATATACCAGATATCTAGCAGCATTTGCATAATTTCTATTGCCAATATCTCTGTAAAAAATATAATCAGCCACCAATTTTAATTCACATCGATTTTGACGAATTGAGTTTGAAGCAATTAATTGACTTTGTAGAAAAAATAACAAAATAAACATCAACATTTATTCAATTGTTGTTTCTATTTTTTTCGTAAAGATTTCTTTAATAAATTTAAAACAGGTTGATAACCCTCGAAATGAATAAAACGAATGTAACGACCCTTAAATAAATTTAAATATTTCAACAAAAAAATTCTAGCAAACCTTAATAAATAAAGTTCGAAGAGAAAGAGCTTTTAATTTTTTAATTCCTCTTCTATATACAACAATATTAGATAATTCAGTGTTTAATGATTTTGGTTCTACAAAAACGATTTTCCCTTCAATAGCTGTCTCGTCTTTAAGCTCAATAACTACAGTCGATCCTTACAGTAAATAAGTAGATTTTTTAATGTAGGTAAAACAAATTTATAAAATGTGAAAAGCAGTGAACTTTTCAATTCCTTAATTATAAATTTGTTTTACGTTTTTTTAATTTACCTATAGATTCTTGAAGAAAATGACCCAACGTTACAGTCATCCACTAATTATTTAAATTAATTTAATTCAAATTATGTCGGAAAATAAATATTTAAAGATAAAACAAGATAGTAAACAATCATAAAAATCAACAATTTTTATCCAAAAACAAAGAACATTTGCAGCGATTAACACAAATAATTAACATTTATTTTTACTTAACTGACGGTTGTTTCGGCTAAAAAGTCTTTCTTAAGTTTGCCCATAAAAGCTTTCTTTTCGGCACTCGTCTGGAATCGACCATGTCCAAATTTAGAGCTTGTATCAATCCATTTAAGATCAATTTTCTCAAAAGCGAAACGCTTCGTTTGGGTTATAAGGCTCTTTCGCAACGTGATCGGACGTTTCTTCGGACCAACACAACAGCCTCGGATCATAACGAAGTCTTGATTAACGAGTCCATAATGAGGAAATCCTCCCTTAATTAAAGATGAGTGTTTAATAATAGTATATATTTATAAATACAAACCATTGGATTAATCGTCTTTTCGGTTGTATCAAAATCCGTAGAGCCGTTCTTTTTTCCTTCAGGCGTCAAACAAGATTTTCCAATACGGTAGATCTTTTTGTTAATTTCTGTTCGATGATGATATCCCTTTTGTCCAGCTCGAGCAACTGTGAACTGAACTCTCGAAGGGTGCCAAGCACCAATACAAGCAACCTATAAAATAAAGTTATGAATAAAAACACAAGAAAAACCTTTCGAAGTCCTTTGTGCGTCTTACGAGGGAGCTTTTTCGTATGCCAACGACTAGTCACACCCTTGAAACCTTTTCCCTTTGTGACGCCTATACATCCAATCATTTCGTCTTGTTCGAAAACTTGATCCACCGGAATTTGCTTTTCAAAATGTTCACGAGCCCAATCAACTTTTTCGGAAACAGTTCCACCATTTATTTGAATCTCCATGATGTTGGCTTTTTTGTTGCGATGTTTCATTAGCTTCATCTAATGTAAATAGAATGACAAAATAATCCAAAAAGAAACTTCAAACCTGAGTATGTGCGATAACTCGAACATAGGCACAATACTTCTTAATTTTGTTCAGATCCGCTTCAATAGACTTTTGACCATCTTCATCCTGCCATTTCTTCGCATATTTAGTAAATGCCTTCTTTTTGCATTTGTACCTAAAGATTTTATTTTTCAAAATTAAAAAAATAAAACCAGTTTTTGTAGAAACGGCGTTTACAGTCCTCGCTCAGATGCTCGGCAAAGACAGCCTTTAGAGGTCGAGGGCCACGTGGAGTTTCAATATAACCAACAACGCCGACAATAACCATAGGCGGAGTTTCTATAATTGTTACGGCTTCAACAACTTCCTTCTTATGCACTTTTGATCCAATCTTATCAACATCACGAACAATATGCGTCATTCCAGCTTTGTAGCCAATAAAAGCAGTTAAGTGGATAGGCTTTGAAGGATCATCCTTAGGAAAAGCCTTACACTTTCCAACATGTCGTTTTGACCGTTTCTTGGGAGTGAATCCCATAGACCCATGTCTAGGAGCAGAAAACTTTCGATGAGACATTGGAATAAAATATTTTTCACTATAAAGTTTATCTAAAGAAAATGAAGATTTAAAAAAAATTTTTCGATAGAGAAAAAGTTAAAGGTTCTGAAATTCGATTTTTGTTAATCGCGCAGCATTGGTTAGTTAAATCTTACAGACTAAAATTGGAAAACAAGAAAAAATAATACAGAACCTGAAAATTTTAGGCGAGTGACAAAAGACCTCAAGACAAATGACCTCACGACAGAATACCCATAGACAAAAGACCCAAAATACGAATGACAATTTAGGTAAATTTATTTTTTAAACTTCACAAAACTTTTACCTCCATTTTATACCTTAACTATGAACTTTTTATCAACAGATTATGTTGTGGTCGGTGGTGGAGTTTGTGGTGTTTGTATAGTTGATGAACTAAATGAATTATTGAACAGTGAAGAAGTTCCGGGTACTTCAGATCATTCTATAATTTTTGTTAGTGGTCTTGGTGGATATATAAAGCGAGCAGTAAATATTAAAAAGGTTTTTCAAAGAATTTTTCATTAAAAAGCTACATTTTCTTTAATTTTTAGGTTGGACAAATATCGACGTCTTTTGACATAAAATCTTTAAATTCAAATATATTTAAAGAATCTAAAAGAATAACTTGTTTAAATGATGAAGTAAATAAATGGATTCCTAAAGGAAAGGTTATCTTTCTACAAAAATTAAAGAAAAATTTTTTGTTTAGAGGCTAATTCTAAAAAGTGGAAAGATTATTTCTTACAAAAAATTAGCAATTGCTACTGGCGCTTCTCCTAAACAAACAATTCAATCAAATCCTTTAATTATTCGACTTCGTGATACTCAAACAATTAATGATCTTAAAGAGGCACTTTCTAATTCTCGACGTGTTTTAATTTTTGGAAATGGGGGAATTGCTTCGGAATTAGCGTAAAAAATTCTTAAAATATTTCTTTAAATTTTATTTTTTTAGATTTAAATTAAAAAATATAGAAGTTATTTGGGTATTTAGACATAGTCATATTTCTGCAACATATTTTGGTTTTTAAATATTTTAATAAAATTATTAAAAATTAATTTTATAGATATGGCTGCAGCAAAATTTTTTGAACCAAAATTAAACGAAAAAGAAGAAAATAAAGAAGTTAATTCTGAAATAATTTATGATAAAATTACTTTAAGTAATGAAAATAATGAACAAGAAAAAGACAGTTCTTCTTATTCTGGTTCAGCATTAGGGCCTCATTGGATAGCTAAACTTGCATTAAAACATTCAGACAAGGTAATTAATGAGATCGAGCTGGGTCTGGACCAAGGCATGGGTTTTCCTGGACCCAGATTGGTCAATGAAAATAATGAACAAGAGAAAGAGAAGAGAGAAATAATGAACAAGATAGAAGACCCATGCATTTTTTCCTGGGTCTGGGTTCTTCGTGGACTACAGGCCCAGGATCCGGCCTGGACCAATAAATCAAACTCAGAGTCCAGGAACAGGCCCAGGCTTTTCAAAAATCTCGATCTATAGTAATTAAGTATTTAAAATATTAGAGAATTTCTTTTTTTATTTTTCAAGGATTCAAGAAAATTATTTATTTTAAATGAGATTGAGTTAAATTCTGTTTTTAATTCAAAGCCTGATAAATTAAAAGAATATGAATTACCTAATTATTTTTCTAAAAATTCTGATTGGAAATTATTTGTTAATTTAAATGATGGAAAATGTATTGGGTGTGATTTAATAATCGAAGCTACGGGTGTTGTTCCAAATACAAAAATTTGGAAAAGAGATTGCCCCGAATTAGAATTAGCTGAAGATAAGGGAATTTTAATTGATGAACATATGAGGTATTTTAAAGAATTTTTCTTGTAAATTACAATTTTTAGAACAAATATTCCAAATGTTTTTGCTGCTGGAGATGTTTGTACTCCAAGATGGACTGAAGAACGTTTACATTGGAAACATGTTTACCTCTGATTAAATAATTTGAAAAAAATTTTTTTAAAGATTAGACTTTGGACTCAGGCTAGACAAATGGGTATTTATTGTGCCCGTGCTATTTTAATTGATAATTTATTACCTGACATTGCTTTTGATATTTTCACACATGTAACAGAATTTTTTGGTTACAAAGTAATAAAATTTTAAATTATTTTTTAATAAAATACTTTTAAGGTTGTTCTTCTCGGTGATTTTTCTGCTGAAAAATTGGAAAAACCTTTTGAAATAAATTATAGAATAACAGAAAATGTTGAATATATTAAAGTTATAACAAAAAATCATCGAATTCAAGGAGCTGTTTTAATTGGTGAAACAGAAATGGAAGAGGTTATGGAAAATTTAATATTAGACCAAATAGACATTTCTCAAATTGAGGATAAATTACTTGATCCAAATATTGACTTGGAAGATTATTTTGATTAAATTTTTGAAAATATTTTATTCCAAAAATATTTCTACAATCCTATTAAATAATTTACTTTAAAATTAACAAAAATTAACAATTTTCCTTTTATTCATTCGATTGCCCCAATTCTAAACGCAAAAAATCTTTAACGTCTGCCCCATGATAGTCAAGATATTCAAAAACTGTTTGGCGAGGATTAAGCATAAAAGCCTGCCGCATCAATTGAGATTCATTTTCATCAATTTTGGTTGTCTAAAAATATTTAATTAAATTATTAAAATTTTAGTTTTAATTCAAATTAAATTCTATGTGTATTAACACCCCAAATTTAAAAAATATTTTTACATTTTCAGAAGAATCACCACTCTCATCATCATCCATCTTTTCCTCATTCTCTGAAATTTCTTTTACTTCATTAATTTCTTTATTTTCATTTGGTTCTCCCAATGTTTCCGGCACCATTCCAATAATATGATGACAAATTTGACGACCCAATTTTTCAATCGGAAATCCCGAATTTTCTTCCCTTCTTTTCATCGATACAATTGAAACAAATCTTCCCATTTCAACATTACCAAATTTCTCTTTAAAAAATTATTTAAATTTTAAAAGAATTTTTATCAAACCATTTGGATGTGAATGTCCAAAAATATTAAATTCAGGCGAAGTATAAAATATTTTGGCACAATTTAAAGATATTTTTTCTCCCAATTTTCCAATAGAAGATACAATTAATTCTTCAAAAGAGTGACCATTGGGAAGTTTTATTTCATTTGTTGCTAAAAATTTATATTAAAAATTAGTCTCTTTTGGAATGCGTACACTTCCATACGACTAATATACTATTTCTGTTTAGCCAAAAAAACTTACAAACATCCAAGGAATTTAGTTCTCCATTGAAATTAGTTTTGTAATCAGATTTTGAATTTAAAGCATTCTCGGCATGCTTAAAAAGAGCAGTAGTAAGTTGCTGGGCCTATAAAATTTTTAATATTTAAAAAGAAACCTTAAGGGTCTACAGAGAAAGAATTAAGAAAATAAAAAAATACCAATCCCCGAAATTCATCATTTTTTGCAACAAAGTCAGTCTCACAATTTAATTCAATTAATGCTGCAATATTTTTTCCAGTAATTAAAGCACATAATCCCTGTGAAGCATTTCTATCACTTAACCTTTAAATTCAAGTAATTATTTAAATATTTATTTATTTTTGGATACTTTGCCGCTTTTTCCCATCCTTCTTTAACAGCTACTTCTTTTATCCAACGAAGTGCTTCACTATAATTTTGTTCCCCAAATTTAGCCAAAGCTTTTCGACATTTAGCATAACTATAGCCAGTTTCTTTTCTCATTTTAATTAAACTCTAAAGAAACGAAAAAATAAATTTTAAATCTAAAATAACCTCTTTGCTAATGTTTACATCTAAATTTTTAACTTCAGCAGGCTGAATTGAGAAAGATCGAGTAATATTTGGAAGGAATAAAAAATTACAAAATTTCTTTTGTAATTTAAATGCATTCATCATTTTTAAAGTCAAAAATAATTTATCTAAAATTAACTAGAAAATAAATGAAATGTCAAAAATTTAAATGAAGAGAAGGGAATTCCTTTCATTAAGCTTGTTTCAGTCTAATTATCGTAACCTTAATATAGTAATTTACCATTTTGGCTAGGTACCATTCTGTCGCGTACCATTTTTCAAATACCATTTTCAACAAAAATTCCATAAATGGTCATTCCCAAAAAAGGTCACTTTTGGTAAACATGGGCAATTCGTCGCGTTTTGTAGTTAGTTTAACTTTTTTTATCACATACTTTTCAGTAATTTGACAAATTTAATATTTGTTATAAAATAAATTTTTCACGTTAATCGTAAAATGGCAAGTCCTGGTGAAGCAATTTTAGCTCTTCATGGAAAGCGTACAACAGGTCAATCAATTCGAACACAAAATGGTATTTTTATTTTTGAAATTTAGTTTTTTTCTAATTTTTAGTTATGGCGGCTGTTGCAATCTCAAATGTTGTCAAATCATCCTTAGGGCCTGTCGGTCTTGATAAAATGCTTGTGGACGATGTTGGAGTATGTATTACCGTATTTCCTAAAATAGTACTCCCGGGAGTACTATTTTTCAACCCTCCTCCAAAGGGGAGTACTATTTAAGGGGGGAGTGCTAATTCAGGGGGGAGTACTATTTTTCAACCTTCCTCACTGATTTATCTTGTGAAAATTTATTTCAAAATTCTAAATGTCTAAATCAATTAGATTTCTTAATTTGAAAAATGCTGGATCCGTACATAGATTTTCAAAAAAATTCCTTTATAATTCGCAAAAAATATCCAAATTATTATAAAATTGAGCACATGGCAGGACATTTAAACACAAGTGACTTAAAATAAGGATTATTGAGGGATATCAAGAAGTATATATCAGTGGATTTGGAGTGGGGATTTAAGCTATAAGGGGATTTAAACAATTAAGAGTGAAGCATGCTTTGGACTAAGGTGGATATCGAAAATTGATACATCACTTTTGTTCTTCCGATATCCCTTCGAATCTTATGATATCCATATTTGGCGTAATATCAAGGGATCAAATTATGTAAGTTGGAGATCAGTGAGTTGGATATCTGAAAATTCTTGAATTAGAGGTATCGAAATAAAATCGTTGGGTTGAGGAGGATTCATGATTCAATTTTATCTTAATCACGCTTAATCAACAAAAAACTACTAATATGACTCATCCGTCATTATTCCCTCAAATTCCTTTATCCGCCTTTAATCCAATGATATCTTTTAACTCGCCTGATCAATTCAGAACCCCTTTTATCACCCGATATCAATACACTTATATCCCTCAAATCCACTTTTATCCAGCCACTTAATCACAATATACCTATCTCCTTAATCCTCAACAAATTTACGGTTCGATTTCGGTTAACAGGAAGTTTCGGTTCGGGTTTTCGGTTCGGTTTCGGTTAACACAGAATTAATTGAAACCGACAACCATAATTAGAGTAAATGAAATAATTTAATGAGTCTTTTATAATTTTTTCAAATATAGGGGAAAAATATTTTAGGGGGGAGTACTATTTTAGGGGGAGTACTAATTCAGGGGGGAGTACTATTTTTCAACCCTCCTCCAAAGGGGAGTATTATTTAAGGGGGGAGTGCTAATTCAGGGGGGAGTACTATTTTAGGAAATACGGTATTTTATAATTTGATTTTCTATTCAACTTTTATAAAGGATGTAACCGTTACTAATGATGGAGCTACAATTTTAAAGCTTCTTGAGGTTGAGCATCCTGCTGGCAAAATACTTGTTGATTTGGCACAATTACAGGATGAAGAGGTTTTTAAATATTTTTGTTTGATTTGAAATTTTGCAATTTAAAGGTTGGCGATGGAACTACTTCTGTTGTTGTTGTTGCAGCTGAACTTTTGAAGGCCGCAGATGAATTGGTTCAGAAGAAGATTCATCCAACGAATATAATTAATGGATACCGTTTGGCTTGTAAAGAAGCTATTCGTTATATGACTGAAAATCTCTCTTTTCCTGTCGAAGAATTAGACAAGGGATTAATTATTAAAACAGCAAAAACTTCAATATCTTCTAAACTTATTGGATCGTGAGTTGACTTTTTTTTAAATTATTTTAGTTATTTTTGCATCTTTTTATAACTTTATGGGAATTTTTTTTGATAATATTGTCGTTTTTCTCCTTTTTTTATTGTTACACCTTAATCGAACTCATTAAATTTAATAGAGAATCTGATTTCTTTGCTGAAATGTGTGTTGATGCAGCAATGGCTGTTGAACGAACCGACAGATCTGGAAAAGTTACATATCCAATTAATACAATAAATGTTTTAAAAGCGCGTGGACAGTCAAGCAAAGAAAGTTTGCTTATTAAAGGTTATGCTCTTAATTGTACAAGAGCAAGTGAAGGTTTGGATTTCTATTTTTTATATTGGAAAAATATTTCTTTTATTTTTAGCTATGCCAAGAAAAATATTAAACGCTAAAATTGCTTGTCTAGATTTTTCTCTTCAAAAAACTAAAATGCATCTTGGCATTTCTGTTGTTGTTGAAGATCCATCAAAATTGGAAGCTATTCGACGAGAGTATTTTTTAGATATTTTTTAAGTTTTATTATAAACATAATTTAAGGGAATTAGAAATAACAAAAAGAAGAGTTGAAAAAATAATAAAATCTGGAGCAAATGTTATTTTGACAACTGGGGGTATTGATGATTTGTGTCTTAAACAATTTGTTGAGGCCGGGGCTATGGCTGTGAGACGTTGTGCTAAAAATGATTTGAAACGAATTGCCAAGGGTACAGGAGGTATTTTTATTTTTAAAAATTGATTTTTAATGAAAGTTTAATTTAAAGCGACTTTAACTTCTTCTCTTGCTACACTTGAAGGTGATGAACTTTTTGAGAGTTCTTTACTTGGAAATGCTGAAGAAGTTGTTCAAGAACGAGTTTCTGATGATGAATTAATTTTAATTAAAGGAACAAAAGCTAAATCTTGTGCTTCGATTATTTTGAGGTGAGTAAATATTTAAACACTTATAAAGCCATCCAGGGTATTTAGTATTGTAAGAAAACAATTCAATAACTTTCTCTAAGAAAATTTAATTTTTTAGAGGTGCAAATGATGTTATGTTAGATGAGATGGAAAGAAGTGTGCATGATGCCTTATGTGTTGTTAAACGAGTTCTTGAAGGAAAGAAATTAGTAATTGGTGGTGGAGCTGTTGAAACAGCACTTGATGTCTATTTGGAGAATTTTGCTCTTAATTTGGTTTTTTTTAATATTTTTTTCTTATTTTAAAAAATTATTTAAAGACAAGTAGAGAACAATTAGCTGTAGCAGCATTTGCTGATGCTTTGTTAGTAATTCCTAAAACATTGGCAACAAATGCAGCGCAGGATGCAATTTCTTTACTTGCAAAACTTCGTGCTTTTCATAATAAGAGTCAAAATGATAAGAAATTTGAGGATTTGAAATGGTTTTTAATTTTTTTTTATTTAAAAAAATATTTTTTTAAAAGGTCTGGACTCGATTTAGTTGAAGGAATTGTTCGTCAGAATAAAGATGCTGGAATATTTGAACCATTAATTAGTAAAGTAAAAAGTTTAAAATTTGCAACAGAGGCAGCAATTACAATTCTTCGAATTGATGATTTAATTAAATTAAATAAAGTTGATAAGAAAGGAAGGGACGAAGATGAATGTGAATAAAGAAACAAAAGAATTTTTGATATATAGTAAATTGAGAATTAATCTCATTTTGACGAAAGAAAAAATAAGTTTTTGTTATTTTAAATATTTTTTTAAAAAATTGTTTTGATTTGCCTAAAAATGAATTTGAAAATTTTTGGTTTCCGCTTTCATTTTGTTATTTTAAAATTTAAAAATAAATACTTCTCGTAATTTTTTTAGACTTTAATTATGTTTATACATTTTTAATAATACTTGAAAATATTTTTAATCAAAAATTAATATTTTTGTTAGTTCTTTTAAGTTACTGCAATGGTTTGTGAAAAATGTAAGTTTGTGATTTATACATCAATTTAATTAATTTTTAGGTACAAACAAAATATCTAAATTAGCAACTGTCCATGTCGTCGACAAAAATGCAAGTGGATCACAAAGATTAACCAACGAAAATAAATTTCTCAGTTCAAAACAAAAATTTAAGCCGGGAGTTGGAGAATTTAAAAGATGCAGAGTTTGTAAAAAGATGACACATCACATTGCTGCAAATTATTGTCAAGATTGTGCTTATCAAAAAGGAATATGTCCAATGTGTGGAAGAAAACAAATAGAAACGTGCAAATATAGACAGAGTTTAACTTGATAAATATTTTTAAATTAATTGAAATTTTGAAAAAATGTAAATTTTGAAAAAAATGTATTAAACATGCTCGATATATTAAAGGTTTTTTATACCGTTTTAATGTTTTGGGTCCGGGATTTGCGAAGCCTCTCAGCTTGTTGGGGATGCTCGGAGCAATGGGATTAAATTAAAAATCTGACGATTAAATTTTGGAACGATTGTCTTCATTCGAATTTTGGTCGTTAATAGTAAATTGAGTCTTTATCTGATAATTTTAGCGTGGGACAATAGTTAAGTGACTCAACTTATATATTAGTTTTTTACTTTAATTTTTGGTCCTTTTTTACTTTTACAAAAGTTTTAATAATTTGGATTTTTATTTAAATTTATTTTTCAGTTTTTTTATTAATTAAAAGTCTAAAAGAAAATGGTTATGGAACAAAATAGCAATTTGGGTGAACAGGTTGAGGAAATAGCTGCCGGGCATCATGTTACCCCCGTTGATATGACAACTGCAACAAGCAAAATTCAAATAGAAGTTTTTTTTTTAATTTTAATATTTTTTTATTTTTTATTCAAAAAAGGCTTCAGAAGTCAGAAATCCAATAAATAAGCCAAATTGGACTTCATATTTACGTTCACAACTTGTTCCACAAAATGAATATAATTTTATTGTTGCATTGGAAGGAGCTAAAAGTAAAGCAGAACGGACAGAAGTATTAAATAAAGACCGTTTAAATACTGCAAAATGTTTAATTAATTTGGTTACCGAAATTACAAAAGAACAATTAATTCGTTATATTTTAACTATTTTTGATGATTTATTACAGGTATTTTTTTCTTTTTAATTAAAAATTATTTTCATTTAAAGGAAGATAAGTCAAGAGTTGAAATATTTCACGAATATGCTGCTCGTCAAAGAAAAACTATTTGGTCGTGGTTTCAAGGAATTTTGACTAGAAATGATGGTTTTATTGTTAATCAAGTAGTTTTTTTTGGAATTTAAACAAAAAAATAATTTAACTAAAAAGATGTCTACAATTTTTGCTAAATTGGCATGTTATGGTTCTGTTCGTATGGAAGGTCAGGAACTTCACGCTTATTTTAATTTTTTGAGGATGGAATTGAGAAATACTGTGAGTTTTGGAAAAAATAATTTAAATAAATATTTTAATTTTAGTCCAATGAATATATAAATACATCTGTTAGATGTTTACAAATGATGCTTAGAATTGAAGAATATCGAAATGAATTTGTTCAATGTGAAGGTGTTCCAAGTATTTTGACAGCTTTGGATGGAAGAACAAATTTTCAACTTCAATATCAATTAATTTTTTGTCTTTGGTGTTTATCATTTGACTGTAAAATTGCTCGTTATATCCAAAGTATGGGAGTAATTCAAACTTTGGGGGATATTCTTTCTGAATGTTCAAAAGTTTGTTTTTAAAAATTAATTTTTAAAATTAATTTTTTTAAAGGAAAAAGTTGTCAGAATTATTTTACATACTTTTCGAAATTTATTGGAGAAAATAGATAATAGAGAACTTGTTAGGGAATCGGCACTTCAAATGGTTCAATGTAAAACTTTAAAAACGTTAGAATTAATGGATGCTAAAAAATTTGATGACGAAGATTTGGTTAATTTTTTAAATCTTTTTGAAATTAAAGCTAAAATTGTTTTATTTCAATAAAAGCCCAATTTTTAATAATAAAAAAAAGATTTTTTAGTTGGAAGATATTGAATTTCTTTCTGAACGTTTACATACTTCTGTTCAAGATTTGAGTTCATTTGACGAATATTGCACTGAAATTCGTTCGGGAAGACTTCATTGGAGTCCAGTACACAAATCAGAAAAATTTTGGAGAGAAAACGCTCAGAGATTTAATGAAAAGAATTTTGAATTAATAAAGTTTTTTTTAAATTTTTAAGTAAAAAATTTAAATATTTTTTAGAATATTAATTCGATTACTCGATTCTAGCGATGTTTTGGTACTTTGTGTTGCTGCTCATGATGTTGGAGAATATGTTAGACATTTTCCACGTGGAAAAGAGTATAAAAATATTTTTTAATAAATTTTATTTTTTGTTAAAGTATTGTCGAGCAATATCAAGGCAAACAAGCGGTAATGAAATTGTTAAGTGCTGAAGATCCAAATGTTAGATATCATGCTCTTTTAGGTTTTTTAAAATAAGTTTGTTATTTAAATTATCTTTTAGCAATTCAAAAATTAATGGTACATAATTGGGAATATCTTGGAAAACAATTAGATGTATCTGAAGGAAATAAGGGAGGAGGAGGAGATGATAATACAAAAAATAAAGACTAAATTATATAAAAATATAGATAGATAAAAATATAATAATGAGTCTAATTTTTAGTAGTTTTTAAATAATAAATTTTTCCTAATTTTATAAATGCATAAAATAAATCTCGAAAAATAATTTTATCAACAAGACATAAGACAATTTTTGTCCCAAATAGTAACTAATTTTCGGAGTTTAAATTTTTATAACATTGAAGGGTTGATTGAAAGTAACATAATTTTTAACTATAAAACCTAACAATTAAGGTGTGGTGGTTGGCTGAACAAAATATTCCACAGCTAAATCATCAGCACTTCGAATAAATTGAAGTTCTAATTTAACCGGCTGTTTTAATAAATTTGATAAAATTTCTTCAGTAAATCCATAAAGCCAATAAATTTGTTCCATATTTCCCTTTGGTATGAGAAAACCAGTCACATAAACAACATTTCCCCTTCTTTTAGTAATTAACTAGAGAAAAAACTTATTAGAATAATTTAAATAAAATATTTTATTTACCTCAGTTCCCCCAACAGTTAAAGGCAAATAACTGTAGAAAATAGCTCGAACAAATCGTCTAATAATTTCATCTTGTGCTACAGTCAATCCTAGTTGTTGTCTTTAAAAAGAATTAAAAATTTAAATTTAATTTTTTATTTAAAACTTAAAATCATCCAAATTTTGTGTATGCCAAGTCATCCAAGATTTACTAACAGCTATATCAGAAGGTAAACGAGACATGTCGTAAGTCATAATTTGGGGTTTTCCGCGCAAATAACGACAAGCCTAAAAATTAGATTGAGAAGTACTAACAAAAAATTGTCGTTAACTTTCCCAAAACTTAAAATTATAGAGTAAATGAAGAATTGACCAAAATACTAATAATCAAATTTTTTACAAAATATAAATTTGGCATTTTGGAGTAAAAATGAAAAGTTAGTTTTGTATTAATTCAAAGAAAAAACAATTGTTAATAACACACAAATTGTTTAAAAATATAATTAAACCTTATTTTTGTATTTCCCAGACATATTTTGAGCCAGAGCAGAACTTGTTGAAAATGCCCGTCTACTAACTTCTTTTGAAGATAAATTAAAAATAAAATTATTTAATATTAACATATTAAATTAAAATCTAAAAAAATAATTAAATTATAAAATTAAAAAAAAAATATTTTTTTAGAAAAAAATCTTTTAAAAAACGAAAATAGAAACGTCAAAATAATTTTATTTTAAAAAATTCAAAAATGGCAAGGTTATTTTTAAGAAATTCATTTTTAAGTGAAAATCAAAAAATGAGAGAGAGTATCGTTGAAAATAATATTTAAAAACAAATATAGGTAATAAATTAAAGAAATGCTCAAATAATTTAAAGTATCTTTTAATAATTTTAAGAGATTCAAAATAAATATATTTTTTAAAAAGAGAGAAGTACTTCCCTTTTATTTCCCAAATTAATTTAATTTTAATTTGTCATGACGCAAATTATTAAAATAACCAATTTTTTCTTTTAAGCTCAACAAAATATAGCCAAAAACACCAAGAAAGTCTGCAAACAACATTGCCTTAACAAGAAAATTTTTTAAAAATTAATTATAAATTTTTGTTTTTAAATATTTCGGAAAACTAGAAAAGGTTTATATTTTTCGAATTCAGAGATAAGAAAACTTAATGTTTCTGCTCATTATAATTTTGACATAAACCGAACTTTTATGGAAACGACCCAAATTAGATGTCGGCGCGGGACGGGATCCCGTGCGGGATTTTGCAGGATGCCGTTCCGTAAAGATTTTAAAAAATCCCAAAAACATGGTTTGCCGACCTCTAACCCAAATACTAAATTCCAAAACTTCCATTCAAAAATATTTTAAAAAAAATTACCGTATGCCAAATATAATCAGTATCCCGTTGTTGGCGTTTCTCTACAATCATTTGTGTATCATAAATGACAAAAAGAGCATTTGTCGTTAACACACTCCAAAGAATTGTTGGATAAATAAAATTTGGAGCAACAAAAAAAGTCAACAAAAAAGAAAATAAAGTTGACAGAAAAGTAGCTAAGAAGTTTAAAAAATAATAAAAAAAATTTTTGTTAAAAATACCACAAAGATGAAGACATTGAATTGACTCTGAATGAATAACAGACAAAGCAAAAGAAGCATAAACAATCTTTTAAAAATTAAAAAAATAATCTAGAGTTAGTCCCCAGGGAAAACTTTTACGGGGGAACGGGGAATCGGAGCCCGATAGATTAAATTAAAATTGTATTTATTTTAGGCTTATGTTAACAATATTTATTTTTCATAGAATTACATTTTTATTAAAAAATTTCAAAATTACCAAAGCTCCAAAAAAGAAATTAAATTCAATATGTCCAGGATATTCAAAACCAAAAAATTCAAAAAATGACCAAAATTTAATTCCAATTAACCAGGAAAGCATTAAAAGACCATAAAAGCGTTTAATTTCCAAATTTTGTTTGTAACTACAAAATCCCAAACCTTTAAAATTAGAAAATTAATTTAAATTTTCTAACAAAAAACAAACCAATAAACAAACAAAAAATTAAAAAAGTAACAAATTTGTGTAAAAAAGCATTAAAATTAAAAATTCCTCGAAAGAAAATTCCAAAAAGAGAACATAAAAGGCAAAGAGCAGCTGTTGAATAAACTTTTTGTAAATGTAAACGAATATCTGAAGGACTTTAAAAAAGAAAAAATTTTTTAAAAATTAAATTAAAAAAAAACATTTTATTAGGTAAATTGTCAACAATTCTTCCAAAATTTTCTGATAATTGTTCAGAGGCAGATTTTTTTGTTTTAGTTGAATATTCTTGTTCATAAAATGTATTTGTCGAATTATAAAAAGTATTTTTGTTGTTATTCATTTTTGAAAGAGAGATTTCTTGGAAAATAAACTTTAAAAAGAATATTTATGTGAAAATAAAATAAATATATTGGAATATTTTCAACAATAAAATATAAAATAAATAAAGAAAATATTTTTTTATTTAGAAAAGAAATTAATAATAAATCAATGTTTAATGATTAAAAAGAATAAAGTGTTAAATCAGAAGATTAAATAATTTATTTTGATGCATTTCGAACTTCACAAGAACCTTGGAAACCAAATGAATCTGGTGGTAATTTTGGATAAATAATATCTTGAACGAATGGCTGGTCTGTGGATTCATATTTTTGCAAAGGTAAATCATAAGGCAAAAGTAAACCTAAAAAATATTTTTTTTATGTTTTCAAGAAAAGGTGAACAGAAATAAATTTAAAGAATAATTCTTTAAAAAAGAAAAAAGTTTGGGAATCATCAGGTATTCACACGTTATAAAGTAAAACAAAACCCTTTTTTAAATATAAAAAATTTAAAAATGTTTAATAACCTTCTGGATGATCTTTTTCACATAAAAGAACGCCCAATTCATAAGAACGAATATACAACTGTTCTCCACATTTTTCCAATTTTCCCCAAGCGGACGTAGAAAGATTTGCACTACTCATTAAAATCCAATTAACTTTGGAATTTTCATCTAAACCTGCATAACTTTTTACATGAGGCATTGCTAACGATCTTTAAAAAAATAAAAAGAAATTTTAATTAAAAAAAAAACCTTCCGTGTTTATCACTTTTCCATTGATGAAAAAAATTTAACAAATAATTTTGTCTTATATGATTTTTGAATAAATATGGAAGGTAAAACCCAGCAGCATAACCTTCTAGTGATTGTCTAACATTTTCAACTGTTGGATAAATTAATTTAAGAGAAGAAGCTAAAAATAATTTTCTTTTAATTTTAAGCAATTTTGATTTAATTACGTGGTAATAAACTATTTGATCCAGAAAGACTACACAAAAATTCATCAGATAACCAAGTTTCTGCTTTAGCTCCGAGTGAACCAATAGAACTGAATTGGCCAATAAATGTCTAAAAATGTTACAATTAATATTTTTAAATTAAAATTTAAACTTTTAGAGTTTTTAATTCTTTTGGAGTAAATTTAGAAGACAAAGATGCACGTAATTTTAAATGGCCAAATTTGCTGTAAGTACCGTTGCTTTTCTGAAATCTGAAATATCGTTTAAATTTTAAAATGGATAAAAACAAAAAATGTGTACCTCCCCGGAACGGAAGCAATCAAACGATCTTTGCATTTGCTAAAGTCAGCTTGCCCACCAATAATACGTTCTATCCAGTAAGAAACAAGTTTATATGCGTTACCAGACCTTTTTGGGTAAGCAACTCTCAAATATTCAACAAGATCATCACGAAAACTGAAAAATATGTTTTTAAGACCAGGAAAAAGTACAAATATAACCTTTGGCCCGTATCTTTTGTTTCAATATCCTCAGCATCTATAGTTATTAATGGTCTTGATTCTTGTGTAAATGGTGCCGCAAAATGATAAAACATTTGTGTTTTAAAGGCCCAATCCTGGGGCAATAAATTCGCAGTGCCCATCACTACATGCAATGAATGTTCACTTTCAAACAAAGAAAGCTTTGTGTGATGAGTCCCGAAAGGGAATGGAAGTACTGCACCAGCAACCTAAATTAAAAGAAAAAATAAACAAAATTTTAAAAATTTACTTGAATATTTGGCCAATTTTTACATTCTTTTTCCAATTCTCCAAATTCTGGCTGACCAACAATAAAAGATATTGGATTGTTTCTTAAACTTCGAGAATATTGCCTGAAAAATGAAAAGACTAAAAATAAACAAAAAAACAAACTTAATAACCCATCCAGGATCAATACAAAAACTAAAATGAATCGAAGCAATTGGGCGAATCTGACGGATTAATTCAAAAAGAGAAAGTGCTCTTTGATTAGTTTCTGGGGGAAGACAATCTATTTTGGTAAGATAAAGACCATTTCCAAGAAAAGGTGGAGGCCATGAATTATTTGTAGTTTTATTGTTGTTAGTTAATTTTAATTTTTTTGTTAGTGAAGACTTGAAATAAATTTTTGGAAAAATTTTTATTTATTTATAAAATCACCTCAGTAGCATTTATTGAAGCAATACAAATTAAATCGTCATTTTTGTTAGCAATTTCTTCATTATTATGGGAGAACTCCCTATCAAAATCACATACTGTTGAAGAAAAACATTCATCAGAACATGTTTCCAACAAGTGTTTTCTCTTCATAAGCGAATCCCTAGAATGTGGTTAATCTAAATAATTGAAATTATTGTGGAAAAATTTAAACATAAATTGTACGCCATTAAGTCCAATTTGAAAAATATTTGATTTAAAAATCATTTACATAAAAAAGGTTAAAATTAAATATTTTTATGAAAAATTTTTTATGTAAAAATACAAAAAATTTTAAATTCAAATAACTAATTATATAGAATTTATCACAAGTTAATCCCATTTATTAATTTATAAGTCACATTTCATTAAATATTTCATTACTCAAAAGATTTCGAGCCACCACGAGACGCATTATCTATAAAAAATTTAAATAAAAAAATATATTTATTTAATTTTTACTTCATTTGTTCCTTCAATTATTTGATGGACACGACAATCACGTAAATATTGCTGAAGAGGGTAATCTTTAAGCATACCATAACCACCATACATTTGAACTGCTTGATTTACAACCTAAAATTTGTTTAAGTTTTAATAATTCACTGACAAATTTCCAAAAGTTAATCCAAACTTTAAGGGATTATCCACTTCCTAGCCAACATTTCTATTTTATTTTAATTGTGTGAGTTAAAATGGGGAAAAAATTTAAAAAATTTATTTAAACAAACATTAAAAGCTTCATCTGTTATATACAATTTTGCCATTGCACTATAGGAAGATGCATTTGGTGTATCATTTTCTACGTGCAAACAAGCTTCTCGCAATAACAATCTTGATGTAACTAACTAAAAAATAGAATAAATAGCGAATAAAAAAAATAAAATTTACTTTAACAGCCATTTCTGCCAATTTAAATTGTGTCCATTGAAACTGAGAAATTGTTTTCCCAAAAGCCTCACGAATTTTCGTGTGACTAATAGCCAAATCTAAACTCATTTGTGCTGCACCCAATGAACAAGCAGCTATATTTATTCGACCTAAAAAGGAAATCGTAAGGATAAAACTAAAACAAAAAGTTTATTTTTAATCTCACTTTCCCAAACTTTCTGAATTTTATTCGATTATTCAGAAATTTTAAAAGAACTGATATGTAGATGTGGAAAATTGAAAAAACGGTACTTTATGGATATGTCACACCCCCCTCCTATTTTGAGTCTCAGAGTTTTCCTTATGCGTAGAAAATGGTCAGAGATTATTTTCTTTTCCGTATCATTCATTTTTTACTTCGAGCAAAATAAGTGAAATGTGGTTAAATGTAGAAACGAAATGAGTGAAATGTAAGTACAAATTTCAAAAATATGTGAAAAGGCAAAATAAACAAGGAAATACTTGAAGAAGAAAAAAAAATGATTGACATGGAGAAGAAAATAATCTCTGACCATTTTCTACGCATAAGGAAAACTCTGAGACTCAAAATAGAAGGGGGGTGACATATCCATAAAGTACCGAAAAAACATTTAAAAAACCTATTCGTACCTCCATTCAATCCTTCCATTGCAATTGTAAATCCTTGACCCAATTCTCCAACTCTATTTGTTATTGGCACCTCAATAAAATATTTATATATTTTTTTACTCATTAGAAACCTTAACATCCTCAAAAGTAATTATTCTAGTTGGTTGTGTACACCAACCAAATTTTCTTTCATCTTTGCCCAATTGAAAACCGAAAAATTAAAAAAATAGAAAATAATTATAAAAATAATTTACCAGGCATATCTGGTGTCATAAGCAAAGAAAAAATTCCTTTCGGTCCCGGTGGTCCATCGGCCAAACGCATCATTACCAAATAAACACTAGATACACCACTGCCGCTAATAAATGCTTTAGAACCGTTAACTAAAAAAATTCGTAAAACATTTTTTAATTAAAATTACCTATATAATAATCCCCTTCTTGACGTGCAACAGTTCTTAATGCAGCAGAATCGGAGCCAAAAAAAATAAAAATTATTTGTTAAATAATTAAAATATTTAATTACCACTTCCCGGTTCAGTAAGGCCATAAGAAGCTAATTTTTTAAAACTAGCCAAATCAGGAATATATTTTCTTTTTTGTTCTTCAGTTCCAAAACGGTCAATCATCCAAGGGACCTAAAAAGAGAGTGGAGGAAATTATTTAATGTAAAGCTGGAAATGATTTTTTCTTAGTCAAATTATTCAACTTTGATTTTTTCGATGATTTAAGAAGACAGATTTTAAGTGAAGCCGGGACTGACATTAATAGAAATTTATGATCCAATAATTAACCGTTCATTTATGTTTAAAAATAATTCACTTTTTAATATTTTAAAAATAATTTTAACAAACCATATTATGTACAGCCATATAAGCAGCAGTGCTTGTACATCCACCAGCTAATTGCTCAAATGCCAATGCTGCCTCATATCGTCCCAGACCAGCACCATTATATTCTTCACTACAATAAATAGCACCAAAACCTAATTCCCCAGCTTTCTCAAAGGCATGAAGAGGTAATTCGCCCTTAAAAACTTTCAAGTTTTTTTCAAAAATATTTTCAATACTTTAGTATCAAATTCATCCATATGCGGAAATAGTTCATTTTTGGCAAATTCTTTAGCCGTTTTTTGAATTTCTTTTTGTTCTTCAGTAAGTCCAAGTGTAGCTAAATATAAAAATATTTTTTAAATAAATTAAATAAAACTTACGATCTACACAATAACTCAAATTTCTAAATGAATTTAATTGAAATTTAGTATTTTTTAAAGGAAATGATGATATTAAACGTTTAAACATCTTTCCTATAAATTTAGAAAAATATTTTTAAAAATGTTTGGGAATATAATTGAAAAATGTGATGTGATCAAAGAACGATTTAATGAAAAAAATTACGCGTGATAATAGAAGAGGAATTTTAATTGATTACAAAATTTAATCAAATGGGACATAAAATTAGCAGAAAAAAGTTGAAAGGGTATTCTTCGAGAATCTATTAAACACTATTTTTGAATTAAACGACTATTGCTTATATGCCAGAAAGTTTTTTTATTAAGAGTAGGCCTTCCTTAGTAGGACTTAAATTAATAAACAGACGGATAGAATTGGCCAAATAACTTCCGATTTCGATTACAAATTTAAAATAAAAAAATAAATTGTGTAAAAACATCGTTTCATATAAGTGATAACCAACAAATTTTTTATTCAATTAAAAAACAGAATAACAGCCAATTAATTTCAATATAATCGTAACAAATCATTCCTTCCAATTCTCCATAATTTTACTTCAACGGAATAAATCGGGAACTGTGTGTAGCTCCAATACCAGGACGACCGTGCTTGACAGGCTTATAAGTAATCGAAAATTCACCCAAATAATGGCCAATCATTTCTGCACGGATTTCAACCTTTTTTAATAATTAATTTTTAAAATAATTTTTTAAATAATTACTTGATTATAAGCTTTTCCACTGTGAATACCCAAAACACACCCAACCATCTCAGGCAAAACAATCATATCACGTAAATGAGTCTTCACACATTCTGGCTTGGTCAACTCCGGAGCATTCAATTTTGCCTTACGAAGACGAACAAGCAAAGATTTGTGTTTACGGTTCAATCCACGATTCATTTTGCGTCGTTGACGACAAGGAAGCAATTTATTGAATTGCTGACTTAAAAGAAAAAAATATTATCTTGAAAATAAAAATTCAAAACAAACTCATTCATTTCCAAAAGTTGCTCCAAATCAACGCCACGATAAACGAATTTACGAAAAGTTCGCTTTTTCTTTTGCTCAGCTACGTCCGTCATTTTTTTTATTTTTTAAAAGCTATCTATGAAAAAGAAAATTTAAAATATTAATTTAATTATTTGAAGATATTAAAATTGAAAACATACAAAATAAAAAATGTATTTAAAAAGCATTTATATATTTATATTACAAAAATAAAGTAGTCTTTTACTTAATTATTAAAAATGAATTAAAAATCTAAGCAGAAAACTTTGGTTAAATTCACAATTAAATTTTAAAGATATTTTATGATAAAAATTTCCAAAAATACAAGTTAATAGCAATCTGTAGTTAAATAATTATTTCAATCAATTCGTTATTATTAAAACATTTTATGAATCAACAAGACAAAAATATCAATGTATTATTAACTTGTATTAGGAAATGTTCATTTTCTAAAAGAGAAAATTCCTCAAAAAGCTCTCATTTTTACAACCTAAACTTCTTTTCTTATTTAATTTTATTAAATAATTGGAATATAATTATCAATTTTAGCCCGATGACGATGTGCAATACACTCAGAAATCCAAATAATATTACGCATTTCTTGCTCCTTCAGTTTAACAAAAGCATAGAACACTCCAAAATGGAATTGATGTAAATAAGCTTGGACATTTAATTTTACCTGTAAAATTTTTTAAAAAAATTAAATTTTAGTATTTAACAAAAAAACCTCATGTTCAAAAAATTTATCTTCAAGAGTCTTTTCTCCTGGATTGTTTCCGCTATTTTCAAAAAGTTGTTTGTAGTCAGAATAGTAGTCACAAACTTGCTTGACTTGCTCATAATCATCAGCCTAAATAAAAAGTACTTTTTAAATTAAAAGAAAAAAACCTTTGCAAGTCCAGTTAATCCCTCAGGATAAAGCTTTCCACAACGTGGATACAAATTAGCGCGGTCATCTTTATTAAGTTCAGTGTCAAAACTATTTATTGTAATGATAATAGCACGACGATCAGCTTCAAACTAAAATTTAGAAAATTAGTTCTTCCTCTGGGAAAATCTAACCGCCAAAATTTCACACATAACTTCGGCCGTTTTTCCTCCAAGTTTTTTACAAAAATTATAAAAATCTTCAATATAAGACTTGTAAAGTGTATTTCGAATAATCTCAACATTCAATTCGTCCAAGTCTTGTTCACTAATACAATCAACAAAATAAGGAGCTGAAAAATTATAAGAAAAAAACTATACAAGAAATTAACCTAAAGGTGTGTCGACAAGAACAGCATTATAAAGTTCAGCAGAATTTGAAGCAATATGTATTGCTTCCATTTGCTCAAAAGAACCCAATGGATGGCATTTTGAAATTAATTCGTTAATAGGTCGTTGATGCAAAGTTCCAGTTATTAAAAGAATTATATTGTCAATCATGTACGAATAGCTAAAAAATATTTCAGATTAGTTGAACCCTTTATTGATAATCAGGCCCGTAGCCAGGGGGGGGGTGAGGGGGGGAATTCCCCCCCCCCCCCCGAAATGGGAAAAAGGAAAAAATTTGGGGAAGGGCTGGGGCAAAAAAAGTGAATTTTTTTGGCCTACGGCCTCTAAAATTCTCAAAATTTTCGCCTGCGGCGCTAAAAAAGGAAGAAATCTGGCATCTTGAGGTCCAAAATTCAAAAAATTTACGTCTGCGGCGCTGAAAATGAAATTTTTGGCGCCTGTGGCGCCGAAAAAGTGAATTTTTTTGGCCTACGGCCTCTAAAATTTTCAAAATTTTCGCCTGCGGCCCTGAAAATAAAAATTTTTGGCGCCTTCGGCGCCAAAAATTTGGCGCAGAAAAAATTTTCCCCCCATGCCCCCCCCCCCCGAAAAAAATCCTGGCTACGGGCCTGTTGATAATAAAAGAGAAATGGATACAGGAAGAAATACAAATAGTACATTTGACATTAGAATAAGACTCGTTAAAACCATAAAGACAACACACTCCAAAAAATAGAAAAACAAACGTAATAAAGTCCAAAAAAGTCGACAAAGGCTCCAAAGCATTGTTTCGAAGATGATTAAATTCTGCAACCAATTTCTCTTTCAAACGTTCATCAATAACCTTAAAATGATTTTCTGTTTAATTTAAAATTGAATTAAAATAAACTTGAACAGTAATACTTCCAGGTTCATTTGCCAAAAAATTTCCATAATCAGTTGATTGAATATGCAATTTTAAATCTAAAAAATACATTTAAATAAATTTATTTTCAAGTTTAAACCTTCAAGAGTTTCGCATTGAACAAGATTAGCGTAATCCGTCGTTGTTAAAAGACCAGACTTAAATCCACGAATTAATCCCTCTAAATACCCATGATCGATATTAAAGAAGAATTCACTCATTTCTTTTATTAACTAGTCTAAAATACTGCTAAATAATTTTGTAAAATAAAATATTGAAAATTGATCAAATCAGATACAAAATCCTTCCCATTTAACAAAAGATCAATGATCACAAAAGTAAAATGACGCACACATAATTCGCGAAACGTCCCAACTGAGTCCCGCCGACTGAGTCCCGTAGCCTATTTTTTTGGGCCATAACTCTTTCAATTCTTAATTGATTTAGACAATTAATATAAAATCGAAAGATCTCGATGAAAGGATTATTTTATCTAGTAGGATTAATCTGACCAGGTCAACATACAAAAGGTTACAGCTTAATAAAGATCAAAAATCACGATTGCGCGCACTTAACTAGATGCAACTCTTTGTATGATAATCTGATTAAATCACCCCATTCGGCAAAAATAATTCTCAAAAACAGGGCTTTCGAATGATAAAAGCTTTATTTGAATTGGTCGAAAGCCAAAAAGTTATGGCCCAAAATATGGCTAGAGGCCTCAGTCGGCGGGACTCAGTCGTCCCCCACCGCATAATTTATGTTAGTCCACTTTGTCGCAGACCATTTTGCCTACAATAAGATTCTGAAACGCCCAATATTAAAAACTTTCTTTTTTGTCTTGTTCCACAATTTCTCTGCACTATTAAACGGAACAGGACGACTGAACGCGACCAATACTGATAGGCTATTTTGAATCGACCTGAATCGACATCGACTTTTACCGCGACTATCGAGCGGTGGCAATTAGGCATGGACCGGTTAAGGACGATTCAGTCTCGCCGATTCAGTATCGCCGATTCAGTATCGCCGATTCAGTCTACGCCGATTCAGTATCCGCCGATTCAGTATTCGCCGATTCGGTATAGCCGATTCAGTATACGTGGAAAAGAGACGATTCAGTATACGTAGAATAAAATACCCTAAAAATAGGAATTTTTGGAAGGGAACTGATTTATTTTTTCGTTTTAAGCATTTTCTTTGTTCTTTAGGTGGTCTACCATAACAATTAGCAATAATCAACAACAATTATTAACGAAAAAAATAATTTTTATGGAAAATTTAGAATTTTTTTAATTTTTAAAAATTTTTAAATTTCTTCAATTTTCTTAATTTCTCAAGACAGCGAGAATTCTACAGTGAATGGCAAGGTTTCTACTACAGACACATGGTTTATTTTTTGGTCTTTTGGCTTTTTGAAATTTTTTTTTATTTTCCCCATTATGTACAAGGGGGAGCTATAGCCCCAGAAGCTCCCTGGCCGTTATCCCTACGAATTTTTGCGGGCTTTTTGCGGAGATTTCTTACTTCCCAATTCCACTCCCCATTCCATTTTTTATTTTTAAAATTTTTTTAAATTTAAGACAATCCAGTCCTGGACTTGTTTTTATTTGTGTCAAGCAGCTTGCTGTTGAGGTGGTTGCCTGGTCCTCTTTAGGGCCACAAATCTAATAAGTGAAATGTAGATCTTGTTCTTATTTATTTTTTGATAAATTTTTGTTTATTTGACTAATTTTTTAAAAAATTTTTGTTCCCCGAAGAAAAAAAGTCGAGACCAAAACTTCACCCGAGGCCAGAAAAAGCCTAAGAGAAGCCTAGAATTAAGACTTGGCTAGCTTTAAAGATGTTCTATAGATCGTAGAAAGTAAGAAACACGAAAAAAATCTACAAGAAAAAAGATTTTCTAGCCCAAAAATATACGTATACTGAATCGTCCCCTTTTCAACGTATACTGAATCGGCTATACTGAATCGGCGAATACTGAATCGGCGGATACTGAATCGGCGTAGACTGAATCGGCTATACTGAATCGGCGAATACTGAATCGGCGGATACTGAATCGGCGTAGACTGAATCGGCGATACTGAATCGGCGAGACTGAATCGGCGATACTGAATCGGCGAGACTGAATCGGCGATACTGAATCGTCCCCTACCCGGCATGGACTGTAGTTGTTAATTATTAATTTACTAATTAATTGTTCCACCTAAGGCTGTTTGAGTTGCCAGTGTTAAAAATATTAAATGCCTAATTGGCTTCTTCCTTATCTTGTTGGACCCAGCTTTCCGTATTCTTTCGAATGACATTTTTGTCGAAATTTTCCCAAAAAGTAAAAAACCACTAAATGTTTTAATATTATATTTTTGTGTTATTTTCTTTTTTCTATTTATTAATTGTTAATTAAAATTAACTAATTAATTTTTTTAAAGAGTACAATGAGTGTAATTTCTCGAATTCGTTCATTGCCGGTTACTTCTTCAACATCGACTCTTCAATCGCTTTGCTTTGTGCAAATTGTTCCGCTTCGTTATCTTACATATGACCATTTGCCTGTTCCGCCTCCGGCTAAAATTCAAATGAAGCCACCGCCAAATGAGAAGGGACATTTTCACTACGAACGTAGTTGGTCTAGAGATAAGCGCTACAAGCCGCAAATCAATAGTAACACGACATTCAGGTTTGTTTAAAAATTAACTGTTATATTCCATAAAGTCCCTCATTTCTTGCAAGGTTTTTTCGATATTATAAATTACAAATATGGATTCTTGATTCAAATGTAACAGATTCTTTTCACTTTCTTCCAAAATTTTTCTATAATTTATGTCTTCGAGCAGATATCGAGGAAAAACACATTTTTATTTTTATACCCTCCTCTTATTTTCTATCATTTAATTTTATCATTTAATTAAATTTCTAACAGATTTTTGTTCCACAATCTCGAACATGATTTTGAGCTTTGGCCAATTCTCTTCCTCTTCTCTGTTTCTTGTACGTTGGTTCTCATAATCGGATTTTATGCAACTAGGCGTATTGAAATTTGGTATGATCGAAGTATGTGTATTTAAATTTGTTTTTATTATTAAATTTATTTTCAGGCACGAAAATTCCTCCATGGGATTGGTCGCGTATTCGTGAGGATTATTGGAAATACCCGACTCAAATGTAAGAAAATAAAAAGATATTCTAAATATTTTTTAAATTAGCTATGATCCATATGGATATTCTCATCAGCGTCTATTCATTATGGAAAAGTTGCAAGACAAATTATTGGAAGCTGCTCGTGAGAGGGGAACTCGCACTTGATTGAAAGGAATATATAAAATTGTTATAGGTAAAAAATTGTGGAAATTAAAATATATTTTAGTTTAAAAAGGGGAAAAAGAAATTTAGAATATTCTTTTTCCAACCAATTATTTTTTTGAAAAAAATGTTCTGTAAAATGTTGGATAAATTGTGTAGACTAAATTGCCCTTTTTTGTTTTAGAAATAGGAAATTTCTAGGTTAATAAGATTTGAAATTAAAAAAGTTAGTTGACATTATTACCATAAAATTGTTTCTTCATTAAAGATTTATTTTTTTGGTAATTTTTTAAAATTTTATTTAAAATTTATTTTTGATATTTCTTATATAATTACAAAAATTTATAGTTTAAATTCTAATCTATAAAATTGTTATAGGTAAAAAATATACAAATATTAAAAGTTAAAAAATTAGTCTGGAAGAAGTTCATCTCCATCATCATTTTCAAAAAGTAATTCTGATTGTTGTTCATCCCCAGCCCTTCTCATTCCGGTCATTGGGCGAGTAGCCATAGAAAAAGAATTATTGTTTATATTGTCTTTCCAAATTAAATCATCTGCAGCTAATTTTTTAATTAAAAGAAAATTAAACAAAAAATTTCTTTTTAAATATTTACTAATATCCCTTTTTGTAGCTTGATAATTTTGATTACTTCCCCCAACTTGTTGTAAAATTTGTGAAGCCCTTTCAGAATTAGTTGTTGTTCCTCTTCCACTATTTCTTTGACTATTTTGTTGGGATGTTGGAGTTGAAATATCAAAAATATTTTTTCTTTCATTATTTGCTGATAATTGCCTTTGTCCTCCAGATTCTCTTTGTGCTTTTAATTGTCCTATTTTTTCAATTCTTCCCAATTTTTCTGTATAATCACGCTCTTCCACCGTTAATCGTAATTCTTTGCTTAGTTGTACAAGAAATTTTAAACCTTTAAAATTAAAAAAATTATTTTCTTATAAATTGAAAAGATGGGTGGCTCTGTTGGCTAAATATTTTCCTATTTCTATTGCCTTCAGTAGGTGTGATAAAAAGATAACAATACAAAAGCTTTAACAAATTTTCATTTCCCCCACTGTATCTCACATTTTTAAATGTTCCATTGCGATTTTAGGGACAGAAGCATTACACAATTACAACCAATGCTTTTTATTTTTTAAAATTTATTTTTTAAAAAACCCTTTACATTCAAGATTTTCAGGAAATCTTCTATGCACTTGTTTGTATATTTCCAATGCTCGTTGAAAATTTCCTGAACGTCTTTGGCAACCAGCTGTCAACATTGGCCATTCCTTTTTTGAAATAAAAAATAATTTTTAATTAAAAAAAAGAAAATAACCGGATTATTTGGTTCCATTAAAGCAGCTTTTTCAAAATATAAAACAGCCTTTTCTGAGAAATGTGCAGACATATAATAATTTCCAAGCCATTTAATTAATGAAATATTTGAAGGAAAATGGTGAAAACTCTTGAAAAAATTTTTATTTTTTTTAATTAAATTTAAAAAAACATCGCGAAAATATTGAAAAGCTGTAGAATTATCACCAAAATTCTCGTAAATAGAAGCTAATCTTTCTAATATTGAAGGGTCTGTTGGGGCTAAAGTACTTGCTTGAGTAAATAATTCTATTGCTTGTGGATGTTCTCCTTGTTGATTATATCTTTTTTGGAATTAAAATTAATTAATTTAATTTTTAAAAAATATTATTGAACTAAAAAAGGATTAAAATAAACGAAAAGGGCAATTGTATTATGTCAAAATTATTAAATACATATTTCTTTTCAAAAATTTTAAAATTTACATTTCCGCTAATTGAATAAGTACTTGAGGTTCATGTGCCAACATATCATTTAATTTAAAAAAATTTCTTTTTGCTTCATCTAATTGTCCAAGTAAACGACAAACTAAACCAGAATTACTACAAAAAAGAAAAAGAATTTTCTTTTAAATAAATTTCCTTTCTCTAACTAAATAGCTTGTATACAACCAGAATCTACTTGTAAAGCTTCTCTAAAACATTGCAAAGCTAATTGAGGCTCATTTTTATAAAAATGAATATTTCCACGATTTACCAAAGCATTTGAATTGTAACTAGTAGTTAAATATATTTTTAAATATTTTAATTTTAATTATTTTACCGATCTAAACTCAATGCTTGTTCACAATATTGTAATGCATCTTCTAATTTATCTTCTCCTTTCTTAAAAAAATTAATTAAAAAAATTATTCTTTTATATTAGAGTTGAATCCAGTGTTTGAAAGCTCGTACCAAAATTCGTACCCGCACCTGTGTACGAAGTACGAGCAAATTTCAAAATTCCAAACACTGGTCGGATCTCGTTAATAAATATACTCAAATAAAAACACCCCTCAACCACTTCTTTGTCTATTTACAAATTTATTTTCGACTGTTTTTTAAAGAATTTAAATTTACCAAAAGATTAATTAAAGCCAAATTATTACTAGCCGCACTAGCTATTTTTCCATCTGTTTTACTATTAAAAGCTAATAAATCTTCAATTGCTTGGTCTAAATGTCCTTGCCGTAATAATTCAATTACCTTTTAATTTAATTGAAATTTAAATTAAAATAAAACTTTATTCATTTCCAATTCTGTAGCTAATGTTGCATATATTGAATGTTTTATACATTCAACACACCAAGCATAACCTTCTGAAAAACTGAAAAAAAAACTTTTTAAGAATTATTTTCCTCAAAATTAGTCCCTTTGTTTTTACAAACTTTTACGATTTAGAGGAATTAAATATGTCAGATGATTTTAGAAATTTTCAAAAAAATGTTTGCCTTGGGGCAATTGCTTGAGAAATTATTTTTGCAGCCAAAAGAATTGTTTTCTCTGCTTGATGTCGTTTACGCCTTTCCCAAATAGCTAAAGCATCATTTTCTAATAATTGGGTAGTTAATACATCTAATTCCTCCTTTTATTTAAATTAATTAAAATATTTCTTTTAATTAAAACCTACTTGTTGTTGTTTATTTTCATCAATTAAAATAGGTATATCAACTAAACGTTGAAATGATTCTCTCATTTTTTCTTCATTTCCTAAACAATAAGCCTACAAAAGAATTAAATTAAAATTCTTTTTTTTTCTCACAGCCATTATTAAATTTAAAGCAGTCGAATAATCAGCTGCTGAACGTCCATTTAATTCTAAACTTTCCTCAAATGAAGATAAAGCATCTTCATAACTAAAAATTAAGGAGAAAATATATTTATATTGAAGGTGCAAAAGTAATTACTCAAAAATTATTAAACCAATTAGTAAATTAATTGTGAAAAATTGCAAGGAAATAATAATCTAATGAAAAATATAATCCTTGAGTGCATTACTTATGCACACCACTATATTTTTTATTTTTTTTACCGCCCAAGTCTAACCATAGCAACTCCAATATTACTCAAAATTTTTGCACGCATTCTTTGATGAACCTAAAAATCAAAAATAATTGAGAGAGAGGGAGAGAGGGGTATTCAAATAATTGAGAGTAGGGTTGTGGGTCCGGTCCGGTCCGAAAGATCGATCGGGCATCAAATTTTGGCCCAAAAAAGACTCGGTCGGGCCGGCCCGATAAAAATGACTCGAACGTCGGCCCGACTCGAAAACCCCAACCCTAATTGAGAGGGATATCCAGAGAGAGAGGGCTGGGATATCAATTGAGAAAGAAAGAGAGGGATATCCAATTATTAAAAAAATAATTTTCTTTTCCTCACTTTTGGTACTTGATCTAAAGCCATTCTATAATATTTCAAAGCTTTTGTATATTCTTTTTTTCTAAAGTAAATATTTCCAATATTTATTTTTAATCTATGTCCATTTGCATAAGAACGATTTCTACAAAAAAATAATTATTAAATTTCCTCTATTTAAAAAAATTACTTGACAATTGTTTGATAAATATTTAAAGCTTCAGAAGGTATTCCATTAATTAATTTTTGTTGTGCTAAACATAATAAAGAACACCAACCCAAATCCATATTTTGTTGTTCTCCCGAACTTTTACGTAAATTATCTGATGTTCTCCATTGTCTTGTTGCTTCTTTAGCTTTATCTAATGCCTTTTAAAGAAATTTAATTTTTAATTTTAAATTTATTTTCTTTACAGCTTTTATTTCTCCTCTTTCAGCCAAAAAAGTACTTTCAAGTAATTGTTCCATTGCTTGATCTTCTAATTTCTTTGCTTTCTCTAATTGCGCATTTTCTTCATTTTGAAGGTTATTATTGTCTTCATTTTGTTGAATTGGTATTTTATCGAAAGTACTTTCTTTTTGTTTTTGAAATTATTTTTAAAATAATTTATTAAAATATTTACTTCTTCCAGCAGAAGAATAACCAGCCCCTCTTATTGCAGTCATTGGACGTGCTAATTCTGAAGGCATTCCAGTTCGTAACCCAGCAGCTGTTCCACCAGCAATTCCTGTCCTCGCACGAGATAAAGGGAGAGGATGATGAGCTACAGAAAAAGATTTTTAAATTTATTTTGAGGTTCTTTTAAATTCAAAATTACCATTAATTCCTCCAGTTGCAAGTCTTTTAACGCCCATCTGAGAATATGAGGCGGCTGTGGGCAATCGAAGACCCATTGCAGTTCCTACAGGCATTGATGTGCCCAAACGTGAAGATGTTGCCTTTAAAATTTATATATAAAATATTCCCTTTTTTTAATTTAACCGGTCTACGTCCATAACTTGACCGAACGGCTGCTTGAACAAAATTTCCATCAGAATATAAATTCTTCAAATATATTTTTGTTAAATAAAATTTTTAATAAAAAAACAGTGATATTTTGGTTTACTTGATGATTTTTTACTTTTTCCCTCCCTCCTTTTCCTTAATCTCTCGAAAGCGAAAAAAGCTACTATGTATAACCAAAATTTTACAAATTATAGAAAGTAGAGAAAACGTTGGGGTCTGTTAAGTAAACTTTAGTCATGTAATGGATGTTTATTGCCATTTTTATTGTCTACATTAAGTTAATGACTTATACCACCGATGTGGTCTCAAATCTCAATCATTTTTCACTTGCTTCAGGAACAATAAAGGGAAAAAGAGGAAAGGAAAAAGGGAGATGTAAACCAAAGTATTATTATCAAACAACCTCCAAGTCATAAGCATGGTCATAATCATTAAAACCTCCATATGGATCGTCTTGTTTTTGTTGATTATTAGCGGATGATAATTGTTGTGTTTGACGACTTTGAGCACTCATTTTACTTTTGATAAAAGAATTATTTAAAAATTATTGGTAAATTTAGAATTTCTTTTCCTTCTTTTTATTAAATAAAAATTATTTGTAACCAATAGCAACAAATAAGGGAGAAATAAAAGTAAATCAAAATATTATTATCAAAAACAAAAATAACAAAAAAAATAAACACAAAAAAACACCTAAAAAATAATATTTTAATTTTCCTTAAATTGTTTTCTTAATCGCCAATTTTGGTTTCTCTTCATTTTCTAATTCTCGATTTTCTACTAAAAGAATTGGTTTTCCCCTTCCCGCTTTTTGAAATTGTTCATAATCCTCTTGTCTGATATTTTTACGTGAAGACCATTGATTAGCAGCTAAAAATGAATATTAATGGAGTTTCTCTCCATAAATCGAGTCATTTTTGTGAAACCTTTTTTAGGGACCGATAGAAAAGTTTTCTATTTCGAGAGGTTAGTACCATTAAATGTCAATATAATCGAGGCGTAGCTTCAGATTGATAAATTACATGCCAACCATTTACCAATAATTTTCGAGATATTTCGATGTATTTGCTAAAAACAGTAATTTGACTACCCTGAATCTTTCGACCATAACTCTTACTACTATGCTTAACAAAAAATTTTAAAATTTTAGAGGCTGTTAGAGGAAAGTCTAATAATATATGTACAAAATAGCATAAGATACAAAAAAGTTTGAAACTATTTTAAGTGTTAAAATACGCGGCTAATTATGATCGCACCGAATATTATACTAATTTACCTATGTTTAACCCCTTTTTGTCAAAATAATAATAAAATTAACCATTGCTTGCCCATTCCTGGTAAGCTTGTTTAAGTTCTGCCTTTCCAGATTTATTGTACGCAACAGTTTCGGGTAAATCCAATAAACGCCGAACAGCATCCCTTTTAAGTGTGAATGATATAAACATGGAAAGCACATTGTTTGTAACCCAATAAACACAAAGTGCCTAATAAAAATATTTTTGTAAAATTTTCAAAATACCGAAGGAAATTGTAAAGCAAAAACAAATACAACAGCTGGAAAAGCATATAAGAGAATTGGACGCATTATTGGAGACGCATCTAAAGAGCCTATATCTACACCACTCTTAATTGTTAAAAAGAAATAAATTTAGAAATAAAGTAAACCTTAAAAACGAAGTGAACTGTAATTGCAGAGATGGCAGGCAAAATCTTTAAAAAAGGTAGAATTTAATTATTAATATAATAATTATTAATTTTCTTGTATCTAAATGAAAATAAAATATCATCACATTGGAATTTCGAAATAAACCCCAAGGAATCCTTCCGATATCCCAGGGAATCCTTCCGATGTTAGAGGAAATAATCAAAAATAAACGAATCATTTCCAAACACAAATAAATATTTAAAGAACCTTTGCATATCCTTAATAAAAATTAATATACCCAATAAGGATCGCCAACAGTGAGGTCTGTGAACCAATAAATCCCTCCATCTTGAAAACCCTAAAAAAAGAAAAATTAAAAATATTATAATTTTCAACTAACTGGATATTTAGCAACCGCCATATTTCTTATAGCAAAGAATTGTGACATAAATACCAAAGAGTTTGAAGCGATTAGCGGCATATATTTAACAGGACTTATATCCTTTAAATAAATTTAATAAAAATAAAAAAACAAATTACAACCTTTTGTTTCAAAAAATCCTTTTGTTCCATCATTATTTGATAAACTAAAATAAAAATTTTAAAAATTTTACAAAACAAACCAAGCATGTGGTCTCCCTCTCTTTTTGCCTCCTTTGTTCGATCATTAAATTTTTGAATTTCTGGTCGAAATTGACTCTGCCTGGCATTAAAACGTTGAATTTTAATTGGAACATAAATCAAAGTTAAACGAATTAGAACAGTCACTAACAAAAAGAAAAAATATTTTTATTGTTAATTTAAAAAATAACTAACTAGCTGCAATTACTCCCCACCAAGGCAAATCAGTGTAAAAATGGCACAATTCAAAACCCCAACGCAACCAACAACTAGGCTTCCACCAAGTCCACAATTCCAAATCATCCAATATACTAACCCCTGCAGCCACTAATTCTTCCAACGTTTGTTTAGCGCCAGAAGGCACTGGAGGCGGAGGAATTTGCGACGTTAAATCAGCTAATAAAAATAATAAAATAATTAACATAAAATTTAAACAAACCAATTTCTTTAAAGAAAACATCCTTTGTAGACAACGGCCTAACAAATTGAAGATTGACAATGCTTTTTGTATTAACATATTGAAATGATTTATTAACCAGCCCTTTAGAACATGAAAAATGTCGAAAGCTGATGAGAACTTTAACAAATTTTAATTTTCTTTGATCGCCAATCATTTTTAAAAAATATTTATTTTGTCCTAAAAAATATTTTATTGTAAATAATTTAATCTATTAAAACTAAAAACCAAATAATTATTAGAATTTCATTGTATCCAATTTTAAAAATAAAATTTAAAAAGTAAATTTATTTTATAATTTATTTAAAGCACTAAATAACAAACAAGAATAGACATATTTTAATTTTATTGCCACTAAAGTGTCATCAAGCAATCTACATTAGAACCAGAATTAAAATAAATTTAAAAAATCTAAAAACTATCACAAAGTATTATTTAAAATTGTATTTTAAGAAAGAAATTAATTTATAAAATTGTTGGGTTTTGAAGAATGAAGTTAAAGAAGAAGTTTTTTAAGATCTCAAGTTGAACAAAAATATATATTTAAGGATTCTCAGAATTTTCTGGTTGTGGAGGATAAAGTGTATTAAGCAAAAAGGCAGCAACATCCGGATTTGTCCAATAAGAAAAATGTGAACGAAGCATTGACCAATATGATTTTTCTAAAGTCCAAGGTTGGACCTAAAAAATAATTAAATATTTAACTAAATAATTCCACAAAAAAAACCTGAAAATCGAGTCTTTGATTAATTCGTCTTTCAGGTGGAATTTCTTCAACTAAACGACCAGCTTCACCCATTGTTTTCAAAATATCATGTGAGGCAACATTCTTTTGTTGATTACTTTCAACATCACTAACTAGTTCTTTAAATTTTTCTTCATCATCAACCCCAGGCTCAATTCCAACTTCAAGTGCTTGTTCATCGATTTCTGTTTGATCTTTATTAATTTTTGCATAAGAGTCAGGATCACATAATTTTAATTCCTGAATTGTTGGAGTAGCTGGAGTAAGTGTCGCGTTTGTATTATTTTCAATATTATGGGGAGTTATACTTCGAGGAGATGAACCTAAAATTGGTCAAAAAGGAAAGTTATTAGAAAGTTTTTGTCAAATGGGGTTTCGAGATCCGATTTAGATAATTTAATATTATATATCGATCTCGAAAAATCCGAAATCTCTTAGCAATTGGATACTTATAAGCTAATGGTTATTCTCAAATATATTTTTAAACAAAACCAGTCGCCGGAGTTGAATTACTTTGACAGCCAGCATCTGAATCAGAATCCACTTCATATTTAAAATATTCATCTTCGTCATCTCCATCGACTGACTTTGGGCGTTCTTTCTTAGTTTTTTGGGATTTACCACTATTTTTAGATCCATTATCACTAAAAACGAAAAAATAAAATAAATTAAAAAAAATAAACCTTTTTCCAGTCTTCTCTTTTGATTCCTTTCCTTTATTCGCTTTAACTTCCCTTCTCTTTCTATCTTTACATTCTTCCAAATAACTTTTATGGCAATCATAAAAATTATTATCATAAGGTTTTACTGCATCCCGATAACTTTTAAAATAAATAAAATTTAAAATTTAATTTTTTAAAAATTACTTGAAAAGTTTAATTGGCCTAATGTGTTTATAATTCTCATGAAACATCGGCTCCAACCGATAAGAAACAGGGTCATATGGATGAAAAATATTAAAAATTCTTTCAATTTTATCTTTATCCGGCACAATACTGCGATAATCTGCTCCTCTCATTATTGTAAAAACAGCTAGAGGAGAACCAAGACAGAAAAGATATTTTACCTTAAAAATAATTTAAAAAAATAAAATAATAAAGTCAACTTTAAATTTAAGTGGTTCATCTTGTCTAACCAAAATTTGTTCCATTAAATCACCCAAATCAAGCATTTTTTTCCGGCTATCATAAAATTGTTCTAATAATTGCTTTTGTTCCGCTGGGAAATTTCGTTGAAGATTTTCGGCAATTGCATTGGTTACAAATTGATCATAAAGAAGGAAAGGGCTCCAATTGGTTAAAATATCATAGGCAATTACTGATCCGAGGGAATGTCCAATAACAGAAACAGGGCCTAAAAGTTTAAAAAATGACCAAAAATTATTTTATAAAAACCAGAAAAATCAGGATTATTTTCCAAAAATGAAGTATAAACATTATTCAAACATTTGATGACTCCATTTACAATTTCAGAACGATAAAGAGGGGAGTGATAATACATTAAATCCATACAAACAGAATTAAGTGTACTTCTTGCCCAAACCATTTTTGGAAGAGTTACAACGTCTGTCATCCCTTTGGGAAAAAATATATGTAAAAAAAATAATTTAAAAACCATTGTCTAATTGAAGAGTTGAACGCCATTCAATGGGTAAAATTGCTGGACGTCTCTTCTCATTTGGATAATATTTGTCCATTTGGTGAATTACCGCATCACGTATTTGTGCTGTATTTTTAGCTATTAAATTTTCATATCCTTTTTGTCCAATTCCGTGGATTACAAGAATCTATTAAAAGATTTGTAAATAATAAAAACAAAAATTAACCAAATCAGAGAATTTAGGTCTTCCTTCCTCTGGGTTTGCCATTTCAATATATCCTCTACGCAAAGGAACAGTTTTAGCCCTAGTCAAAAAACGAACAACTGCATTACTTTTTGAAGCTATATGGACATCGACAACAGAATTCCAACAAACTTTTTCATCTCCCCATTTAACTGTGGTTAATTCTAAAAAATTTAAATTAATTTATATTTCAAAAAGTATAAAAAATAAACCAGGTTTTTTGCTGGATTCCGATTCACTAAAAACAGGTGTTTCTGGAATAACATTGCCTTTAAAGCTTTTTAAATGGTGAGTCTCAATTGTATCAGCAAAATCATCTGGAAGAGGCTGACAGGTTTCCATATAAAACCAAGTCCCTCGACGAATCTAAAAAATATTTAAAAACGACTTATTAAATAGTCACGGATTTCTTTTGATATGCGAAAGGTAACATTTTTCGCTTCAAATCTATTTTCAGTTCAAAATTTTTACAAACTTAATAAGCTTAATACAATTATTGCACTCAATATTCTGCCAAAGTAAAAGGCTGAAAAAAATAAAAAGAAATCCGGGCTACCCAAGTAACCAAAATTTTATAGAAAAACCTGAAAAGTATCCTCCTTCCAATATATTGCATTAATATTTTGCAATTGTTCATCTGCCACGTAATTACCTTCCATTACAATTACAGATTCGGGTAAAGAATTCAAAAATTTTGTTGTTTCCTCATCAAATTCTAATCCTTTTTGACGTCTAAAAGCAACTTCAAGAACAGTAGAATCATAACCTAAAAATTATTTTTTCCAAAAAATCATTTTATAAAACCTTTAAAAGGCATCCATTTTGTGTCCTCTTTTCGTCTAAAAAACCATCTAACTTCAGAACAAAATAATTCCACAACTTTTCTTTTAATTCTTGGCTTTATTGCAATAATATTCTGAACTTTTCTAGCCGGACTTTGTAAATTTTGTTGTGTTGAGGAAACAGACCCATTCTTTTGTTGAGAATTATTTGTTGAAATTTTAGAGTTGTCAGTTGTTGGAGGGGCAGAAGATTTCATATTATCTTAAAATAGCTATTGTAAAAAGTGTGTAAAAATTGTCCTAGAGATCGAACCGAGACGAAATCTCTAGTAATTATCGAGCCCGATATTTTTCGAGAGAGTTTTTCTAGTAGTTGTGTTTTTCGGTATTTCCAATGGGATATGAATTGAGAAAAAGTTGAAATATAACTTTAAAATATTTTTAAAAATAAATAATTTATAAAAAAAAACAAAGTAGTGTAAATATTTATAAAAAAAATAAGAAAAAAATTTAAATGCAAAATAAATAATATTTTTAGTTTCACTGAGTTTTGAGCTTTAAAAAATTAATTTTATGGCATTATTCTAATTATTGCTATTTCGACCCAATCGGAAAAGTTTCCTCAAAGTACTCGATCCATTACGCAAAGCTGAATTTCTATTATTATTTGGTGGTGATATTGGTGTTGGATTTCTGAAAAAAATTAAAAAAAAATATTTTTCTTTCCAAAAAATACCTAAAAGTGTAATCTTCTGCTAAATTATTTGTTTGCCTTAATTCTTTTGTTGAGATCATTCCAGAAAACTTTAATTTAAAAAAGAAATTTTAATTAAAATAAATTTCTTTTACTTCTAAAGAATTATTATTTTCATTTAATTGCTCTTGAGCGGAATCAGCCAAAATTGACCGTCCAAATTGTAAATATTGGTGAATATTCGAAATTGGAGGGTTTTCGTCCATTAAATTATTATTTAAATTACTTCCATCAGAAAATGATGAAGAAGAAATTTTTGAAGAAAAATTTAAAGAATTTCCAGTAACTAAAAGAGAATTTGAACGACATTTTGTTGTTGTTATTGTATTTAAATGTTTCCATTCACTAAAAAATAAAAGGTAAAAATCAAGTGGAAATTGGAGAGAAGTTGTAAATAATTAAATAAAAATATTTTATTTAATTTTGTCAAAATATCTCAAATTTCTACAAATTTTCTAATCAAAAACTTCCCAATCCCCTTCTAATTTCAATTAAATATTTTCAAAAAAAAATTAAATTTACCGAATTTCAACATGTACAAGCAAAGCAGACAATTCTAAAGGTTCATTAAATTGATTAAGTAATGAAATTGAACGAAATCCAGGTCGAATACAATCAATTGGAAATATTGCTTGGCCAATAAAAGGATCCGTTTTGGGTCCAACAAAATCCCCATCCTCGACAAAAAACCGTAAAAGGCCCATTTCGGGATATTTAATTTTAAAATAAAAACGTTCTTGCCAAACAGGGCTTAAACCATTAGAACCTTTTTTGAAAGAAATTTAAATTTAAAATAATAAAAATTTACATATAGTATTCGTTTTTTGAATTTGAGAATCATTTCCAAATCCAAGTAATTCAATTTCAACATATGGAGAACAAATTCCCCCTTTATCATAACCACTTTTACGAGTTAAATGTCTTCCAGCAATAATTGTAATAATTAAAATAATTGGTCTATTTGAAGTAAAAAGTGTTGAGGAATTATTATTAACCTTTTTTAAAAGAAAAAATAAATTTTAAAATTAATTTTTCTAAAAAAAACCTTATTATTAATTATTCCATTTAAATTATTTTCTTTTTGTTTTTCTTCCAAATTTTCATCAAAATCTAAATTTATTTTGTCACAACAACATTTTTGTAAATCTCCATTTTCTTTTTCTCTTAAACAAAAATATTTTTTTAAATAATTAAAAATATTCTTTACTTATTTAAAGGTATTTTGCTTTTATTACGGCAAAATCGACAAAGCAATTTTTTCTTTACTCCGTCTAATTTTTGATTAAATAATTCATTTTGTTGTTTTTGCCAAAAAGTTTCATCCATTAAATATTGAGGTTTTAAGACATATCCACATCTTAATAATTTTATTTTTTAATTAATTTTAGAAAAGAAATTTTGGGAGGAAATGAAAAAAATTATTTTATTCTTAAATCAAAATATTTTTTCTAAAATTTCTTCAAAAATTACCGTCCATTTGCATTAAAACGTCCAAAATTTAATTGCATAGGTTTATCCCCAGTTTGAAAATTTAGAGCAACCATATGACATCCACTATTCCACATTGGTATTGGATTAAAATTTGTTGAAGTTAAACGGCTAGCTTGTGGATATACTCTTGAAAGTTGACGTTGATTAAATAAAGGTAAACCTTTCTCTATTAATTTATCATGCTTTGATTCACTTTTAAAAAATAAAAATTAAATTACAAATTAATATTAAAAATACCTAAAAGAACACATTTCAAAAAAAGAATTTCTTTGATCTTGTAATTTAAAATCTGGATTGAAAGGAACAGCTTGACAATAAACCTGTTTTAAATAATTTTTTCACTAGAGTTATACCCAGAACAGGGGTATGCCAAGGTACGGGGTTTCAGGTTGATTACTGGGTGTGGGTTTGAGTAAGAGGTGAAATTTGCGTGGAGTTGGAGAGGAGAGGGGGAAAGCATACCCTGAAAAAATTTCGAAAGGGAAGGGGCATTCCTCAAAAAATCGTTTGGGATCGAGGTTTGAGGTGTGTATAACATTAACATTCACTGAAGGAAGGTATTCAGAACCAGACTCGGTGCAGTGCCATAATATTATTATAAAATGAATTAAATTTACCACTAAACAAGACAATTGACTAGCAATCCTCAATTGTCTTTCCCTATTCCTTAATTGCTGTATTTTATCATTTGCTTGTCTAGATTGTTGTTGACATATTAATAACCATTCTTTTAATTCCTCTTCATTATCTGTAGCAACTATATAAACTCGGACTTTCCAATGAGATTGTGTTAAAGAAATTTTGAATGAATAAGGACGTTCTTCTCTCTTTAAATTTAAGAAAAAAATTAATTAAAAAGAAAAAACATTTTCTTCAAAAGAAGTTCCAGCCAATTCAATAGTTCCATAATTTAATTCGCTACTAGAATTATTAGATTCAAAAGAAACATCAGAAACCTCCTCATTAACACTACAAGGTGGAAACCAACCAATCTATAAAAAAAATTTTTTTAAAGGAGGGGTTGGGGGCAAACAAACCTCATTATTATATCTCCCTAAATATAGCCATTTATCTATTTCTTTTTGTTCTTCATTTTTATTTAAAAAATATTTTTGTAAAACAGTTATTTTAGCACCAAGGGGAAAACATAAAGCTTTACCATTATAAGGTATTCCTTCTTTAAAATAATCTTTTAACATTAAATCTTCAATAAATTGAACTTCTTCGAATGATTCTATTGCCTCTACTTGAAACTAGAAAAATAAAATTAGAGTTGAAATTTCGAGGGGTACACCCCGATGTACCGCGAGCGTAATGTACCGCCGCGCTATAACTTCGCTTAAGATTATCGAATCCGGGACACCGTGGTATGGTTCGATGCGGCTCGACGAGCTGAGTCTAACCATACTACGGCGTCCCGGATTCGATACTTTTAAACGTTATAGCTCGGCGGTACATTGGCCTGCTCCCTTCGTGAGAATCTATGGAATGTTGGAATTAAAAGGTGTATTTTTAATTTAAGTGAGAGCTAATTAAATTTTAATGTGTCCATTTTTAAAAGAAAAAGTTTTTGGACAAAAGAAAATAAAAATTGTTAATTCTCAATTCTACTTTCTGATAATTAAAAAAATATTAAAAAAAAATTTTTTTACCTCATTTTTCAAATCATTTAATTCAACATAACAGCCATCAATTTGATTATCCTCTTCTTCTTTTAAAGAATTTAAATTTTCTTTTGTATTTTTATTTTTTACCTTTAAATTAAAATTAAACAAATTTTTCAGTCATTTTTTACCGTTTCTTCATTAACTGGATATTTTAAACAAATTCCTCTAAAAAATTGTATTTTTCCAAAATATTCAACTAATTGACACAAATTCTCGAATATTTGATTTCCAACAACAAAAACTCTTCCCTCTCTTTTTAATCTTAAATGCCAATTTATTGAATCCACTCTTAACGACAAAACAAAAGAATCTGTGTCATTTTTGCTATAACGAATAAGAAATCCCCCATCTTCTCCAAATTTTGTTAGCAATTCCTCTGCTTTTTGTGTATCACAATTTAAACAAAACCATTGTTGGTCTAAAAATTTAAAATAATTTTTAAATAATTACACCCCCATTCTACTATTTTATAATTTTGGGACACCAAAACAAATATAATGTAAGCCTACAAGGAAGCGTTCTTAAAGAGTCCATTACCAATCTTACACTACTCCCACAATGGAACCGTGTCAAGCGTAGAGCGTTGAGTGTAAAGGGTTTTGGTCTGTGCCTTTTTTATTTTATTGTAGGAAGGACACGTACCACCCGATACGGAACACTTGACACTCAACAAAACACTCAACACGGATGTCATTGTGGGAGTAGCCTTATACAAAGAATAGTAGCTATTTTTATCATTTCCAAAATTCTTTTACCTAAATGTGGCTGTGGTTGAGGACACGGTGTAAGTAAATAAGTCTAAAAAATTTCTTTTTTTTAACTTTTCATTTTCAAAAGAAACAAACCTTAAAATTAGGAGTATTTAACGAATGTTTCATATAATAACTAATTAATTCATATAAACTTTCTTTTTTTAAAGTATCCAATAAATGATAACGTTTTTCTCCTCCAGGTAAAATATTTGTTTTTATTCGGCAATGATGTACTTCATTATTGAATAAAAATGAAAGAGTAAAATCTCCAATAAAAGTATTCGATTCTCGCACAAGAAATGTTCCATTTATTTTATTTTTAATTAATCTTTCCTTGGCTTCTTCTCTGTCTATTTTACCGTGAAACCATTCTTCTGTTATGTGACAATTTGAACAATCTTCGACTAATACAGTTGTTGTTGTTGAAGTAATGCTTTTTTTTAATAAAAAATTAAATGAAAGTTAAAGCAGGGTGGACTTTTCCAAATCACCAAAATGGGGCATGGCTTCCCAAAAAGGGGGCGAGAATCAAAAAGGGGGCAAATGCCTCTCAAAGGAGGCAAAAGGACCACCCTTAGTTTAAATTAAAGAACTCTAAGGAACCCAAAACCGATTTAAAAGTTTGTTTTTAACAGACATTATTTTTATATTTCCCTTTATTTACCTATTTCTATGTCCACTATTCCCTCCATTATTTTCCTCCAATTCATCTCCATTAAAATTTTCATCATTTTGACTTCCAAAACTTTTCTCTCTAATAACATTATTTAATTTATTATTTATTTTATTTTCATCATCAATTGGTTGGATTAAATAACATAAACGATCATGAAATAAAACAAAAATGTGTTTTCTCCAAATTGATTCTGTAAAAATATTACAATTAAAGTTATTTTTGGTTTAAGATTCAGGTATAGGGTTGTCGGTTCTTGGAAAATTTTCGGATATCCGGAACCGAAAAATCATCTGTTATTCGATTCGGTCCAGAATCGACAACCCTATTCAGGTAAACAATAAAATAATTTTAAAACCCTTCTCTCCTTCTACTATATTATTCACCTTCCCCCCCCCCTTTTAAAAATATAAGAAATACCTATTCCTCCATTATTATTTCCATTAGAAACATCATTCTTTAACCACAAAACTCCTTTTTTAATACATTGTCTACTTAAAATATCCTGATCTAATTCATCTTCTAATAAAAAAGAATTATTATTTAAATTATCATTTTCTTGTTGTTCTTCTCTCAATTTTTTGTGTTTTAAAATAATTTTATTTCGAAGGGCACAAGGCGATGGAAGTTCCCATTCGTCTCTAGAAATTGGTGAAGTTAATAATAAATCCCCCAAAACTTCTTGAATATCAATAGCCATTTGACGTTGGGCTGGAACAGAACAATTATCTTCTATTGAAAGTATTAATGGATAACTAGAAAAAAATTTTTGAAAAAAATATTTTCTTTCAAAAAAATTATTTACTCGCTAGTTTGAAAGGCATAATGTTTAATTGTTTGTAAAACATCTTTTAATGCCAATTTTGAAGTCATTGTATATCCATGATAAATAACTATATCAATTATCGTTTCCCCATTTGGACCCCTTCTTTGAGGTCCATCCCAACAATCTAACTCTACACATCTAATAAAGAATCCTTTCCAAAAATATTTAAATTAAAAACAAATACCTGCATCCAAGTAATAAAGACCGGGCATAAGCATCCAAAGAAGATTCACTTTTAAGTTGATCTCCAGTTAAATAAGTGTTGTGAGAAGAAGATATCCAATAATGAGTTAATGGCTAAAAAAGAAAAAGGAATATTTTTTTGTTAAATTAATTCCTTTACTTTAGTCATGTCATGAACAACTTCTTTATTTAATGGATCGAATAAAGCTTTAAAAAATTTAAATTTATTTTTAATTTTCAAACAAAATACTTACAATTATCACAGGAAAACAAATAATCAACAAATTCACTTGTACTTAACCAAGGCTCGGCAATATCCCTGTCTGGATCAACATCTCGAAAATAACGCCTTAAATAATCTGAAGCCAATTCTGGACTTTTACCTAATTCATCCTAATTTTTAAAAAATTTTCAAAAATTTTTTTAAATTTTTCCTTACATTTTGTACATTTTTAAGAAAATCAACAAATTTTCTAAAAGGCATTTTTTGTTCATTTTGTGGATGAACAAAGTCCGAAAACATTGACATAAACAAAGAATGAAAATTTAATAACCAATTATGTGCAAAAACAAAACTTTCAAAGCCCATTTCATTCTAAAAATATTTTTTGTTTAATTTTAAACAAATTATTTAAAAAAACTTCAATAATTTCTTGTAATTGTTTTCCACTAATTTTACATTGTAATCTTTGTTGAACAAAAGGTTTCATGTGTTTTATTGATATACAAGCATTATCTGTTGGATGAACAAGTAAAGAACAAAACTGAAAAAAAAAATTTTTATAATATTAAAAATGAAAATTGTTGGAGAGTCCTTTAAATTAATTTTTTAAAGATGAAAAATTGAGTGAGAACCAAACTTGTAGGGCTAACACACTGAACGGACAAATCACGGAACAACCAACTCACGGAATGACTAAAACACGGAATGATTTAAAAATCGTAATTTTTTGAAAAATCTGAATATTTTTAAAACAGAATTTAAAAAAATCATGAAAAATTGTGATTTAAAATATTCCGTGATTTGGTGATTCCGTGACTTATCGTTCCGCGACTTGTCTCTTCTGTGAGTTGGAATTCGAGTTAGCCCCCACCCGAATCAAAAAAGAAAGGGAATATTTATTTAAAGTATTTATGTTTACTTGTTTTCTTAACCACCGTTCAACAATTAATGCTTGAGAAGCATTTGCTTGTTCTAAACATAATTGTCGGAGCCCTTGGCACCACAAATTACACAATTCTTTATTATCGACTTTAAAATAAATTTAATCAAAAATTCTTTTTTAAATTTTTTTCTTACATAAAATCAGCCAATTATTTGGAATAAAAGTAACACCCCAACTGATACACAAAACTGTATTTTTGTCAAAACGTTGTAAAGCAGAATCTCTCCTCCATTTTTCTGTTATTTGCATTGTTGTCCCTATTTGTGATAAAACCTGGACATCCTTAATTAATCTCAAATCGAGTGTTTGGGTTTTCAAAGAAGAAAATGAAGAAGTTGAGGAACATGAACGTGTTGAAGTTGTTGCTGTTGAATATTTTGGAGGAATTGTTGTACTATAACTTCGACTATTTATTTCGATTTGCTCTTCTAATGTTGAGGAAGAAGAACCTTTTTAAATAAATTAATTTGATGATTAAAAGTTAAAATTCTAAAATAAAAATAAATTTAAAATTAAATGACTAAATTTTGGGAATTTTGAGAGTATCTCTCCGCATGCCCGCAACTTTTTTCTTTCCCTTCTCCTTCCTTATTCTCTATAGATTAAAAATGGTCAAGGACTGATAATCAAAAGATTACCTTATTTAGGAGGCCAAATAACTGATATTTTCTTATAAGTCCATTCGAAAAAATAGTAGGAAAAATTGAGGACATGCGAGAAGATACTCACAAAGCACCAAATTCACATATTTTTTGCCAAAAATTAAAAGTTTTTTCAATAAAAAATTTCAGAAAATGAGTGATTGCTTAAAAAATTTCCCAAAAAAAAAGAAACCACTATTCAATTAAAACTTAAAATCAAACTCCTATTAATAATCCAACTACCGTCGCCAACAACCCCCTCTAATTAAAAAACCTACAATTAATATCCAGCGAAGAGCAAGAAGAATTTGTATGATTAAAATTATTATTCCATTTAGACAAAACAATTTGTTGTGTTTGTGTATTTAACCATAAACGGAAATAAATTATATCAAATTTCTTTAAAGCAATTAATTTACAAACCTTTTTAAAAAATTTTAAAAAATTAAAAAATTTTTTTAGATTTACTCTATGTCCTCTTTCCATTAAATTAAAATCATTTTGATTTAAAGGTTGTTGTTGATGTATTTTATTATTATTTTTGTAACATTTTTCTTCTTTATTTGAGGAAGAATTGAATATTTTTTGATTTTTTAATTCTTTTAATTTTCCTCCCATTTTTGTTGGATTTTGGCTAAAATAAAAAAAATTAATTTAATTTACTTTTAAATTTAAATGATTAAAAAATAATCAATAAATAAATATTTGGATAATAAAATTTAAAATTAAAAGAGAAGAGAGAACATTAAAAAAAAAGAATTTATTTTTATTTATTTTTGTGCTTTCCTCCTTTCCTAAAAATTACTCATTTAATTCTCTTCAATACTTTAAAAAATATACAAAAATGTTCTCTCTCTCTTTTTTTATCGCAACTAGTTTTAAAAGGGAGAGGAGAAGGAAGGGTATTTTATTTAAGTTAAATGTTTGATAAAAAGGTGGGAAAATCGTTCTCTTTTTTGGATTTATTTTTTGTTTGTTTAATTAAAAGGGGGGTATTATATTTAAATTTTAAAGAGAATTTTTGGTACTTTTCCCCGTTATCCCTACGGACTTTTTGCGGACTTTTTTTCCTTCTTTTTGCATGTTTCTATCATTCCCCTCAATCATTTCTTCTCTTTTCTCTATCATTAATTGCTTGAAGAAAATAAATTTACTGCCTTTTATCTCCGCAAAAAGAAAGAAAAAATTCCCCAAAATGTCCGTTGGGATAACGGAAAAGTACCGAATTTTTTTGTTTAAATTTAGAAATTAAAATGAAGTTTTTCCAAAAATTAATCAAAATTATTTTTTAATTATTAAAATTTAATCGCCATAAGAGTTACACAATTTTGATAAAAAATTAACTAATTAACTTACATATTTTCCACTTTTCTGTCCAAAAAAGAGGAAGAAACAGAAAGAATTGTGTTTTGATTCACAAAAATATTTTGTTGTTTTTCTAAAAAGAAAAAATATTTTTTAATTAAAATTTTTTAAAATTTACCAAACAAAAATTCACAATTATTTTCAACATTTCCCCCTTCACTTTTTGTATTATTTAAAGCAAAACGTTGTCTTCTTGTTTGGGCTGACAATTTTTTATTATTTTCCATATTTTGTAAATTATTTGAAGAAACTAAAAATTGTTCTGATTCCCCCTCTTTTTTATTTAAATTTTCTTCATTGCAACATTCTTCTTCTGAATTCTACAAAAGAAAATTGGCTAGCTTATCAGCAAGATTAATATAATTTTTATTAAAAGTTAATTGTTTTTTTGCCCTATTCTAATGCATACTATTTTTTATTTCAAACAACTTAACAATTTTTATGGTTCCACAACTAAAAACATGTTAATTTGGGGTAGTGGGTTCGAACCTCCATAGGAAAATTTTTTTTGAAATTTTTTGCAGTGATTCATTTGCAGTGATCCAAATTTTCTGAAAATTTAAATAGCACAATTTTTAGTTTTTTTTTAATCCAAAATTTAAAAGGATTTACCCGACGTTTCAAAGAATTTTCTTGGACATGATTAATGTTATTTTGCATTATTGTGTTTATTTTAAAAATTAAATTTTTGTAAAAATAATCAACATTAAAATAAAATTATCTTAACAAAAAAACTTTGTAATTAAAAATAATTATTTATTTAAACTAAAACCCAGAAAAACAATAAAATTTTCATTACTAAAAAATAAAATAAATAAATTTTTGTTATTTAATCAGAAAAGGAAATAAAGTTAATAAATATAATAAACTCTAAAAACTATTGCATATTCTCTTTCAATTTCTAAAATTTTATTCGAGCTTAAATTATTTTAAGAGAATATTTTGTCAATTATTTAATGTCATTATTAGGGAGTGGCAAAATATGCACGGAAAATCCCAAAATATGCGCATATATGCACCGAAAAAACCCAAAATATGCACCAAAATATGCCAAATTTGCCGAAATATGCACTAAATATGCAGCGAAAATAATGAAAATGTGCTTTAAAATTCAATATTTCAAGTAAAAAATACAAAAATACAAATTTAAATTGCAGTTTAAGAGCACTTCTTAAAGATTTTATTAACTTTTAATTCAACCAAAGAAATTTTTTTGAAAAATTTTTTTCCCGAAAAATTTTTCGAAAAAATTTTTTCACCAAATTTTTATCAAAAAATTTTTTGCTCAAAAAATTCCAAAATTTTGAAAATTTTGCTCGATTTTTACTAAAATTTATCAAAAAATGCCAAAATATGCACAAATTTTGGCAAAAATATGCAAAATTTCCCAGAATATGCATCGATATGCAAATATGCACTGAAGTACCGAAATATGCAAAAATATGCTATAGGAACCCGGTTCCTAATGTTCGTACCAACGTAAAACACCATTTTTGAGCGTTTCAGCTCATGGCATATCCGCATACAAAATATGCATTTGCATGTTTTGCCACTCCCTAGTCATTATCCTGATAAACAATAATAATTTGGGAAAGAAGATAATTTAATTTAAATAAAAAAAGAATAATGTGATATTCTTTAATTTTCAAAAATAATTTTCTTATGCAAAAAACTTTTCAAGTAAAAGCAAAAAAACATTTTTGTTTGAATGGAAATTCATTTTATATAAAATAGAAAAATGAAAATCAAAAAACTGAGCATCTTCATTGATCGAAAAGCAACCGTGATTCATATTTAAGTGAAAACAGAAAAGAGAAAATAAATAATAAAACCGGTCTTCTAAACCGGATATTTTACAAATAATCTCTTTCATCAGAGCTGGCTGAGTACACATATCTTCAAAATATTTCCTAAAAATATTTGGCCCAAAAGATTAAAACAAAGTATTACAAAAGTTAAGAGAATTTGATTAATTCTCACCCTTTTTTTAGCTCAGCTCTGATATTTATTAAAATCAAAGGTTTGATATATTCCAAACTGGTAAAATTCCGTCATATCACCCGGAAACCGATTCGGACAAATGATATGTCATTCGAAAGATCTCGCCGAGCTGAGTCGAATGACACCAAAATTAGCTTCGGGACTCGCCTATGGGCCGAGATATAGGCCCTCGAAAATCGAAAAACCATAGGGGGGACTAAGCTCGATTTTGGGGTGAAAAATTCGAATATGCAAATAATAGCTCATTCGAAAGAACTCGTCGAGCTGAGTCGAATGACACCAAAATTAACGAAATCTGACTTGATTTGGCAAAGTTATGATCGTTTATTTTAGCTCCTTACCTATGCCTCCATTGAAATGTTTGCTGCCGCGGAGGAACCCAGGCATGCCCACCTCATCGATTATAGGAATAGGATTAAGTTACGAGCCCAGACCCAGAGCCCGTAGACTCCCCGCGAGGCGCGTGCCGCAAAACTCCGCGCGAAGCGCGGAGTTTTGCACAAGCGCCTCGCCGATGCCCCATAGGTTTACGTTGACCATTTTGAGCTTTTTATCTCGGCTCAAAATCAAGATCTCGAGCTGATTCTGGTGTCATTTGACTCAACTCGAGGAGCTCTTTCGAATGAGCTATCACTCAAAAAATCGAATTTCTCACCCCAAAATCGAGCTTAGTCCCCCCTATGGTTTTTCGATTTTCGAGGGCCTATATCTCGGCCCATAGGCGAGTCCCGAAGCTAATTTTGGTGTCGTTCGACTCAGCTCGACGAGATCTTTCGAATGACATATCATTTGTCTGAATCGGTTTCCGGGTGATATGACGGAATTTTTCCTCCAAACTTACTATCTTGAAAATAAAAAATGAATAAATCTCGATATTTTTAAATAAAACTCCTTAAGTTTTGTTTCATTCTAAAAAGGCAAATACGATTCATGCATACCAACTTGCGGAATTTAAAATTATGGAATAGACGAATGAATAATGGGACGGACTGTGGGTGTAAAATAGTTTAAATAACAACTACCTATGTGTGAGAAAATTAGCAACCCTTTACATTAGCACTCATTACAATAATTCATCCTACATTAACTCCATTTTTAATGTGCACTTTTTTTTATTTTTTTCTTGTTAATAATTTTTAGCTTTTTCATTTGGTCGGGTTGATGTATTGGGTAATTATAGAAGTCAATGATACATACCATGGATCCTACCGTCCCGATTCACGAAAATCGAGGACCTGGTTTACAGGTTCGACGTGTAAACCTACTCCCTGGGTAAGGACCTGACTTCGTCATATTTCCCGAAAATCGTTAATCTATTTTTGTAAGCAGAACCTCTGATACATACATACAAGGGATCTAGCTAATCCGATTCCCAAAATCGTGAATTTCATTTTTATGTCGGCTAGACCCTTGATACATACCAATTTTAAAAAGATTGGGTAAACTTTTAACTAAAAAATATGTATGTATATTTACCTAATTTCTCAATCTTCATCACTTGTCCATGATTAAAAAAGTGCAAAAATTGTGGTAATTTACTTGAGATATAATTATATTAGAGATCGAAAAATGGATGGATTTTTATTTAAATTTAAAAATATACGGGCCTTCCATGATTAAGTTAATATAGAAAATACGCAAGTGCTCTGGGAAAAGTCAGAACGATCTCTAGTATATATAGAATTTTAACAAAAATGCATAACAACCATAATAGACACACAATATAGAACCGTATATATTGGCTGTAGTAATGATTGGATTGGGATGAAATTATTTTTGGGAATTTTAAAAACCAATAAAATTAAATCGAAAGTCAAAATTTCAACACCCTGATAAATCACTCGTAATTTTCTCCTTTACTAAACCCCCAGAAAAAATGGAAAAAATAAAATCTATAAATTTGTAAAAATTTGTTTAAAGACAAGTAAAGCAGAAGATTACTCAAACAAAGTGAAAGTAAATATTATCCAAATCAAGTGAAAATAAAAAATTGCTTTTGTTAAACAAAAAAATAAATAAATTAAACAAAAAGTCAAAAATCGAAACAAACGATCAACAATGAAAAATCACCATGCACTAGCATTGGCATTACCCCAGCCTCCACCATTGGTCGCATCCGATCCTCCACCATCACCACCAAAATTGTAAGAACTTCCTCCTCCACCGCGACTAAAGCTTTGTCCACCACCTCTTCCACGGCTACCACCATTTCCAAAACTTTGACCACGGCTTCCTCCACCTCCACTATATCCGTCACCCCCATTTCCAAAAGATTGACCACGGCTTCCTCCACCACCACGAGAAGTTCGTCCACTATATCCGCCACCTCCATTCCCAAACGACTGACCACGACCGCCACCTCCACCAACAGGGAAAGAGTTACTTCCCGTAAAATCACCACCACGACGAGAGCGAAATCCATTTTGTTCATAGAAAGTGCCATTAGCAAAATCGGCAAGTCTCGCTGGCACATTCTTAAATATTGTAAAGTGAAAAATCAAAATAAAGTATGAAAACCTGATTTGCTTCCTCAAGGACTTTAATCAAATCTCGTGCTTTGGGAGCATTATTTGATGTGAAAAAAGTTATCGCCGTGCCCTTAATTTGGGGAAAAATTAAAACTATTAAAGCTGAATTAATGTTAAAAACTCAAAAAACTAACAGAGCGATCTCTACGTCCCGTTCGTCCAATTCGATGAACATAATCTTCAGAATTGTTCGGATAATCAAAATTGATAACAAATTTCACATCCTAAGAAAAAATATTGACTTCAAGTAGAAAAATTTGACTAAATTAACTAACATCAACATCTAATCCCCGAGCAGCAACATCAGTGGCTATAAGAATTGGAGTACGAGAAGCCTTGAACTCTTAACAAAGAAGTTTATTCAAGCAACCTAATTATATTAATAACCTGCCAAAACCCATTCACGTTCTCGTTGTTCCTTGTCACCATGGATACAAAGTGCTGGCCAGCCTAAAATAACAAAATATTTGCTGATACATTAAATAAGTTGTAAATTAGTAACCGTCCTGTCTCATCCAACGGGTCAAGTCATCAGCCTTTCGCTTAGTCTCAACGAAGATTAAAGTCTTTGTTTTACCCTTAATTCATTCAAAAATTAAAGTACGTTGAATGATTAAAGGAAAACTCACGTCTTCACCCAAAATATTGTCGAGGATCTCAAAAAGTTTGTTATTCTTCTGATGATCTTCAAGGCATTCAACAGTCTGAAGTATATTATGATTTGCTGCCAAGTCAAGAGATCCAACATGCAAATGAACTGGATCCGTATGAAAATCAGCTGCCAATCTACGCACTTCCTTTGGCCAAGTTGCAGAAAACATGAGCGTTTGTCGATCCGGCTAAATAAATAATAATGCTTCATGAAAATAAAACAAACGCGAATCTGATCTGCAATTCGGCGAATTTGAGGCTCAAAGCCCATGTCAAGCATTCGATCAGCTTCATCAAGCACAAAATAACTACATCGTCCCATGTTAGTAGTGCCATTGTCAAGAAAATCCAAAAGTCGCCCTGGAGTAGCGATGCAAATATCAACACCTAAAAAGAAAGTTAAAATAGTTAAGAATGGATAAAAATTAATAAAACTAACCATACATCAAATCACGTGCTTGTGGCCCTTTGGAGGCGCCTCCGTAGCAGCAAGTAGCCTTAAGGTCTGCTACATCGCAATATTCCTTTGCAACCTCCTCAACCTGAAGAGCCAACTCACGAGTCGGAAGAAGCACAACAACTAAAGGTCCCTCACGCATTTCGCGCTTAGGCTGGTTCTTGACATGAATAATAGCTGGCAAGATGAAACCCAAAGTTTTGCCAGAACCAGTTTTAGCGATTGAGATCTAAGAAAAGATAAATACAAAAGATAAGTAAGATAAAACAACCAAGTCATGACCGCTCAAAGCTACAGGCCAACTAATGCTTTGAATTGGTGTAGGCTTTTGAAAATGCTTCAACAAAAGATTGACAATCACTCCTGAGAAAATAAGGAAGAATTAAGTTGGACATAAGCCTAGAGTAGAAACTAAAGTCTAAAAGACACAGGACTGACATGCTCGGAAGAACGTGAAAGAAAACAAAAACCTGGAAAAGTTGATTCTTCAAATTCAAAAACAGGGCACGGCACATTCTCGCCATTTACCGTCACATCATTGTCCGCCATCCAACGATCAACCTCGGACTGAGCTCGAGTTTTGACAGAAGCAACCGGCTTATAGTTGTCTTTGCTAATTGGTAATACCGGTGCAGAGTTGCTGCAATTTTGCTTCGTCGAGTTGAATCCACTTTTGTAACCACCACCAATCCCTGAAGAGGAATTCTGCCAGTAGCTTGGCTAAATAAAAGATTCACAATCAATATTTGACTGCTAATTAACCTGTTGTGATCGTCCCCCACGGCTGTTACCAAAAGAATTTTCACTAAAGTACATTTCAAGGTATTAAATGTAATTCCTGAAATAACAAAAATAATTAAAAAGTTGCAATAAATATCAAAAATGAAGTTCGCTTATAAATTAATAAGCATAAATTTATGAATTAATAAAAAACGATTCACTAAATAACGAGTCTGTGTATAAAATCGGGCGCTGGTCTAGTTTATGCGTTCAATGAACTTTTATGCGCCCAATGAAAAGTTCATGATCCAATCAAAATTCTAAAGCTAAAGGGCTAACCAGCATTATGCTTTAAACTCAAACAGGGATTGAGATACGTTGGTAATTATTACCACAATATTGGACTGACAATATTATCTTAACACTTGCCACCAACTTATTCTGTATTCACTAAGCTAATTCTTGAACACGGTACCAAGTCGGAAATCGGAATTGTCGGAAATGGCTCAAAAGTTGAAACGGGAATCAATATAAATTCGCAAAAATATTTTCTACTTATTTAGCGCGCTTTTATACCATTACATCGTAAATTCCAGACGACAAAAAGCCACATGAAAAAATGTCATTAAATAACTTTTATTCCAAATTGGTAAACAAAATTGCAGACACGCAGATCAAAATAAGCAAAGTCACAGCGGGTCAAAGCGGACATAGTGAAGTGTCTCATTTTTCTGCTTCTCTAATTTGCTCTCTTGTTTAAAGCCGTGTCCATACAAAGGATCGTCTCATAAAATATCGCCACGGCTAAAAACGTTTAAAGGATCGCAACATCTAAAAACGATTAAAGGATCGTCCCGGGCAAAAAGTATTAAACGGTCGCTCAGTAAAAGATCGTCCATCAAAAGATCGCCATGGGTAAAACTATCAAAGTTTCGTTTTTTGAGTCTCTACCAGTAAAAAATCGAAACGCTAACAATAATCAGAAGTTTATTTTTTAACTTTTTGGCAGATTTTGTCGTGTTTTAATTAGTTGAAAATTTTTGTTTGACGTGCCACGCCAATATTTCAGCTCACGGCCCTCCCCTGGCTCCGGCTGTTAAAATCAGCCTATAACTAATTTCAACCGCGACCACTGTCTGCTCCAGACTGTGGAAAATCTCACGAAATATTGTTTATCGTGTAAGATACCTAGGAAACTGATAACTGTAACAGACTCCCTCGCGACTAAGTTTCTTCATAGAAACTATCATAAGATGACTAAATTGAAAATTATACAAATATGCAGAGTTTATAAAATAAAGAAATTATTTATAAAATTTTAAAGAAATTCAATTAATCCATCTAATTATTTTTTTATTTTCTTTTCTAATTTTCAAGTTTTTCGACTGGCAAATTTTTGCAAAGCTTGTTGGCACTCTACACTTAACCATCTTTGTTTAAGAACTGCACATTCATGTTTACAAACACGTAGCAAAGCATCTTTATGTACATTTCGAAGTAGTTGTTTATTTACTTTTAATGATTCTGGCGGCAATTCAGAAAGACGAGAAACCTTTTTTTAAATATTTTTATAAAAATATAATTCTTATAACTAACCAAACGTTCAGTTTCTTCATAGAAACTATTATGAGGTATAATACGTGTGACTAAATTTCGTTCATAAGCTTCAGCAGCCGTTAATTTTTTGTCAAATAAAAGCATTTCACAAGCCTTAAAAAGTTTATTATATTCAGTTTGTAAGGGAATTTTAAAACTTGACAATATTTAGACCAAAAATAATTCCCTATTTTTCTTTATAAAATCGGAATCTAGCAACAAGCCTCATAAGTATTTTAAAGGAAGAAATTCTAAATAAACCTTCGTAGCTCCCATAAGCATAGGAAACGTGTAAGAAGAACATCCTTCAGGAGATTGACCCAAAGAGGAAAATGGCGAATGAAAAGAAGCCTAAAAATATATTTTTTTATTTACGAAAAAAATTTAAATAAAAACTTTATCAGAAGCAATAACTAAATCAAAGAGAGCCATTAAAGTTACTGAAATACCAATTGCTGGCCCATTAACTAAAGAAATAAGCGGTTTTTCATGTTCAATATGTGCACGTACAAAACGTTCCAAAACCTTTAAATTAAAAAATAATTTCAAACAAAAATCTACATACATCCTCTCCTTTATCAGCCATTTTTATAAAATCATTTGGTGTTTTGACATTTCTTGTAAAATTAGATAAATCATTTCCAGCACAATAATAGTTCCCAATTCCTTAAAAACACAAGATTTACTTCTCTTACAAATTAGATTGTTCAAAAAGAAATAAAAGATACATAAAACGCTGATGAGAAATAAAAATAATTTACGTAAAAAAAGTATCCAAAAAAATCAATCAAGACTCATAAAACAATTTAATTAATTTTACAAGTTAAAAAACAACCTGTTAATACAGTTATACTTGTTTCATTACATTTATTAGAATTAGAAAAAGCATCAATTAATGCTAAATTAAGAAAGAAAAAATTTAGAAAACTATAATCTATTTATTTTTACCTTCATACATTTCCCAAGTAATTGCATTATATTTATTTGGTCGATTAAATTCAATTCGAAATATTTTTCCTTGTTTTTTAATTAAAATATCTAAAAATGGAAAAATTTAAAGGAACACAAAGGTTAAAAAACTAGTATAGGGCTAATATATTTTCTAAATTTTTAACTAGAAAGAATCATATATTACAATAAACTAGATTCTTAACGAAAAATTATCAGAATTTAATTTAAAATAAAAAATCAAATAAGCACGCTAAACATTTAATTCTAATTGTAAAAATTAAAAACCTTCAACATTTGATGCTTGGTCAACACTACCAGTTTGTTCAATTAATTTATTAATAATTTCTATATATTTAAGTTTCGCTTCCTCCTATTAAAATAATTTAAAAGAATTCTCAAAAAATTAAAAAAACCATTGATAATCCTTTATTTTTATTCCAAGAATCATATTTTGCTCTACCAACAAAATCAAGCATTCCTGGCCTTTCTCCTTTAACATCACCAGCAGAAGCCTTTAAAAACATTTCTGAAACTGATTTAAAGAAAATAACAACTTGTTTAAAAAGTCCATATAATTCTAATTTTATTTCATCATTAGGTTCTTTGGACAAATTTTTCAAGTCAGAAACAGCTTTGTCAAATAAAGAGGATGTATTTGATGAATATTTAAGACTTAAAATATATTTTATTATAAATTAGAAAAAATTACTTTGAATATTGTAAAAATGCATTTAATTGTAGAAAGCTTCTTCTATTTGTTTTGAAAAAATTATTTAAGCCTGATAACATATCTAGAAATTCAACGAAAATATATTTTAATAAACATAAACAAAGATATGTATTAAAAAAAATTTTAAAATTATTTATTTTTCAATAAAATTAAAAACAGATTTATAATTCTATATAAATTTTCAATCTAAAAACTGTGAAGCAAAAAACCGTAAATACAAAAATAATCATTCATTACGCATAAAAATAAAATAATGAAGATTGTTTGAAGGAAATGAATGTTTTGAGAAATAAGCATTACTGCAGGAACATAACAATGTTAATACCAGCATGAAAACAATAAAAATATGATTACTAACAATATTTCAATAACTATTTCAAACCTCTTTTCCAATTAATTTAATTGGCCTAATACTTGATATTCTTTTCATTCAACCTGCTAATTGTGTTTGACTTAGATTCAACAGTTTTTCCTTTAATGTCTTCCATAATTGATTTTGGAATTTTTAAATTAATGGAATTATCGAGCAATGAATCTCTTGGCCGAATCACACGTCCCTCTTTTACAATAAGATTGTAGAGATCGTTAAAACTAAAAACTTTTTTTAATTTATTTTAAAATATAAATATTGTATACCCTTCATGTTTTTTCAATACTTTTGAAGACGCAATTAGAAAAAATTGTCGTTTTGCTCGAGTAATGGCAACCTTTAAAAATTAATGAAAATAAAAATTTTAATTAAAAATTACATTCATTCGCCGTAAATTCTTCAAAAATCCAATGTGTTCCACGTTATTATTTCTCACAAAAGACATAACAATTGCTTCACGTTGCTGTCCTTGGAATGCATCTACAGAGCTAACATCAAGCGAATCATCAGAATTTGCTGCGAGTAATTTTTTAATTTTTTCAGTTTGCAAAGCATATGGAGTTATACAACCAATTTCACTTGAATGTAATCCTGCTTTTTTAAGTGATAATATCTGATGTGCTGCACAAATAGCTTCACCTTAAATTTTAAAATTTGTTTGGTTTGACTGATAAAACAAACCTAAATTATAATAAGAAGAGGAAATTTGAGGCTTTGAATCAAAGAAGCTAATGGGTGACAAGAATGGATATTTTAGTTGTAATTCTAATAATTCTTCCTTTTCGATGTTTGCCTATCAAAAATAATTGTAAAATTCTCATTTTATTAAAATATTTTATTATACTAATTTTTTATTTTAAAAACTGAAGTATAATTTTAAAAAATAAATGTAAATTTCCGAATAATTTTTTCAGAATTTTCATAAAATAATCAAATAAATTTAAATAACCAAACTGTATCTAGAAGAACAAGAGGGTCATCAATAAGTTGGTAACTATCATCTTTTGTTATTTGATTTATATGAATTTTCTCGGTTTTGACAGAAGGTATTAACATTTTGTCATAGAACTGATTATTTGACCATCTTTGAATTAATTCATTGGAACGATAATTGACATTTAATGTAAAAATATAACCCTAAAAATAAATTCTATAAAAGAAAATTAACAAGAAAAACCTTTTTATCTTTAAAATCAGACATTAATCGCTCTAGTAAAGAACAGGGAACAAAATCAGATGGGATACCTTTTTCTCTTGAAAAAATAATAGAATCTAATTGATGGTGATCACCAACAATAACAAATCTCTTGCCCTAATTTTTTTAATATTTATATTTTTTTAGATTATAAATAAGAAACTAGTAAGAGAATTTGCCATGAAATTGGTTCTGTAACTTGACCAGCTTCGTCCAAAATTATCAAATCTGGGTTAAATAAATTCTGTTCTTTAAACCAATGAAGAGAAGTATTTGTTACAGTGCAGAAAACCTTAATAAAAAATAATATCAAAATTGTAAAAATGAAATAACCATAAAATTATCTAATATTAAATATTTTTTTCTAAATTTATTTTTAATTCCCAATTTTAAACTTTATTTTTAATGGAAAATTTGTTAATTCTTTTAGGCTTATATCTAATTAATATTAGGTTAATATTATCAATTTTAGACTTTATTAACATACTTTTTTGCTTCTGTAAAATTAAAATAACAAACTTACAACTTCAATGTCCCTAATCAGCGATCTATTAATAAACATCTCAAGTTTAGAACCTCTTGATACAATATCACCAAATTTTTGAAAATACTCACTAAAAATTTTAAAAAATAATAAGAATAAATTATAAAATTACCTATCTGCTTCATTAAATTTCTCCCTTCTGTTCCAATAATCTTGAAGACTTTCATAAAATGTGTGTTGTCTAAAAATTGAAGCAAAATGTGTTGATGAGATATTTTCATTTATTTTTGTAAGTCCTAGACGCAGACAAACTTTTTCATCGATTCCACGTCTTAGACAAGCAATTAAAGCATTCTAGAAAAATATTCAATAAAATCGCTAATTATGTTTGTGACTATTTTCCTCCCTCAAAAGATGCATAATGGTCTGGCTTTCTTTCCCGATTTAATTGTTACGTATATCAATTTCAGGGGAGGGGAGAATTGTGTATATCATCCGAATTTAACTTGCTTTTGATGGTTTCAAAAACGATTCCTTCTATGATATAAAATCTACTCGTTCTACGTTCTATTCCTTTTTTTGGATGGAGGAGGGGGATGAAATATATAATTTTTTTATTAAAACATACATCAACAGCTTTATTGGAGGGAGCACATACAATTATACGTTCATTTTTCTTGAGAGACTAAAATTAATTGAAAATTAATAAAAAAGAAATTCCTATAAGAAGTGAAATAGTACTTGGGAATATTGATGAATTTTTGAAGGAAAAAAGGAAATAATTGTTCTACATTTTTTTAAACATGTAACTAAGTAATTCCAAAATTTAATAAAAATAATTTAGTAAGCACCTGATAAACAATTTCTGCAATAACTTTAGTTTTGCCAGTTCCTGGAGGTCCATGGATTGCAACAAAATTTCTTTTATCATTTATTGCCGCATAAATTGCACTCTTTTGCGACTCGTCAAATTCCTTGAAAAGTAAAAAAATAAGAAATTAAAAAAATATTTTTAACCTTTTTAATTTTTATATTCTTCGTTTTGTCTCTCAAAACTCTATTAACAGTTCCAATCTTGAATGACTTTAATAAGAGTCCATAACCAGGATACTCTACTAAATTTTCACCTCTAAACATTTCCAGTAAACGCTCAAAAAAATTAATTTCCGCAAAATTCAATATCCATGTGCTGTTGACGCGGAAGGCATTTGGGCTTAGTTGATGGCCTTTTAGAATGACTTTTAATTTCCCATGACTAAAAATTGAAGAGATAAATTTAATGCAATTGTTGCAATTGTAATATAAAATAAGCCGCTTTACAACTCCTTATAAGGACTAGAGTATTTCGAAAAACGCGAGAAAAGACACATTCAAAATTTCGTGGAATAAAATAATTATGAGTAAGTTTTTCAAAATATGTCACTAATAGAAAACAATGATGTTCACCAAATTACCTGAAATACACAATAACGGCTGGAATCTCAGTCGAAGGGGCATTTCTTGATTTCAAAATAACATGTGAACCATTTTTAAAAATAGAAGAGAATTCAGATAGCACGTTATTACTCTCTAACTAAAATAAATTTAAAAAATAACATTTAACTGCAAAAAGAACCTTACGAAAGGAAAATTCAACAAAAACTCCTTCTGGAGCCTCATGCCAAGAATTTAAAACAGAAAGGGAAAGTTCAGGGCATTTTGACTCAAAACGTTTTGTCGTCTCCATAACTGAATTTTGAATAGCAGAATTTTCTGCCTTTAAAAATCTTATCCATTTTCTAATTTTCCCAGTAATACGAGAAGAAACTCTGGCATTGCCAAGCGCCTTTTTCTGTCGTTCGATTTCGTTCTTGCTTAAAATTTATTTCTTATTGTTAGTAAAAACCTAATAACTAACCTCAATGCAGCTTTTGAACTTTGGTAAGCAATCCTTGCAAAATAAATATCATTGCAATTTAAAATACTTGTAGAACATCGAGCAAACATTTAATCCGTTAAAAAGGCTATGTAAAGAATAATCAAATTTAAAAATAATAAAAATATTGCAAAAATACACAAATTATTATTTGAAATAAACAAAAAAATCTTTAATAATTTAAAAAATTACAAACAAAATTATACATCATTCTCAATATCAAAAATAAAATGCTTAAAGTTGTACATTCTCGGAATTTTCTTCTTCTGATTCAACTTCGTCCAAATTATCTTCTCCACAATATGACGGCATTTCTGAATCCTAATTTAAAAAAAAAATAAATTTTTTAAAATATTTCAAAATTTACTTGAGCTCCATTTTCACTTTCTCTCATTTCATATCTGTAAAATTCAGTATGGCTGATTAAACAAAGAATAAAATCATGTCCTTGTTTGCATGCAAGCAATTCTTGAAGAGATATTCTTTAAAATAATCAGAAAATTTTAAACAAAATTTTACAAAAATCTAAACCTTCTATTAACTGCAGGCTTCACCATATCATAGAATTGATCAGTAAAATCACCAAATTCAGGCATTGCACCATCCATAAACCAACCATTATAAGCTAATCGAAGTTCAGTGTAAAAATAACGCAATTCATAATTATCTAAATAACCATCAGAATTTACATCGAGAATTTTAAAGAAATAAGCCAAAGCAGAAGGATGCTAAAAGAATAATTTATAAAAATTTATTTGTCGAAAATAAACTTACAGCAAGGTGATTATAAGCTATTTGAAAGATAACAAATTCTTCATAACTCATTTTTGAACCACCATTAGAAACATGTGTTTCAAAAAGTCTTTCAATAAAAACTGATGTAAATGAACCATTTTGAACTCGTTTAAAGTCTTCTTTGTCCAAATAATTTTTCTGCCGCGTATCGAACATTTGGAAAAGTGAATTCATTTCATGAGTTTTTTCAGGGGAAAACCTTTAAAAGAAATAATTCTAAATGTTAAAAAAACAAACCAATTTTCGTAGTCTTCAAAGTTGTTTTGAAGTCCAAAAGCTGTTTCCAAGAAACCACTGACAAGTAAATCGGTAATTCTAATTTTCCCCCAATGTTTTGGATCAAGAAAAAAGAAACAAAAAGACTCGACAGTATTTATATAGCAAATCTCAAAAGTTTCCTGAAAAAATTTTTATTATAAAATAGCTCGGTTAAACTATTCGAGACCTTAAACCGGTGGCTATGACCTAAACGCGGAATTAAAAAACCGAAAACCACAGGTTTGAGCTACCCTATTTAAAATAAAAAGCACCTCAAGGTCCTTTAACACATCAACAGCCGGCATAACCTCACCACGATAATACGCAATAAATTGCTAAAAATAAAGATTTTATCAGAATTATTTTTAAAAACCTCTCTGCTTAAAGTTCCATTCCCTGTCGTATCATATTTAGCCATAGCAATACGATTTCGAGCATAAGAAGCCTTTAATGTAATGTAATCAATTATTGTCCCGATTGGCACTTGCAAGTCCGAAAATGAACGTGGTGGCCATTCTGAGTGTGCGAGAAAAAATGTTGCAGGTTGGAGAAAGGAAATAATTGTTTTAGGAAATTGCTTTGACAAAGACTAAAAGAAAATAAATAATTAAAAGTTTTGATAAATAACCATTAAATTGTTAAAAGTTATGCTTTTCTGATCATTATCGTCATGTACTGAAAGTGGCGAGTTTTCCAAGCATTGAATAAATTTCTGAAAATTTTTTTGAAGTAAAAATCGAAAAAAAAACAAACTTGAATATCATCCTCAGTCGGTATTTTTAATTTAGAAAATTTTGAAGCTGATAAACTCTTCGTAAGTATCGATGGAACTGTCTTTTGGAGATCTGTAGAACGTTTTTGAAATAAAACCATTTTTCAATTAAACGAGCAACCTTTCGACTTCTAAATAATGGGACAAATTTATTATTAAAAAACTCTTTTGTGCGCGCCCTTATGTTCTACTATGGAAGGGACACGCCCGAATAGGTTGCGCCCACTCGGCTCCTACCCGCCCCAGAATGTCAACTGTCCACTTTTTATCATAAAAATTTTTTTTTCAAAATTTTTTAAATAATTTTTAAAATTATTTTTTTAAGTTTAAATGGGATTTTTCAAGCGTAATATTAACGAAAACAACAAAAAGCGGAAGTTACCAGCAACTGGCAATACAAAAAAGGGGAAATTTCTTCAACAAAAAGGTAAAAATGAAAGGAAATTTGAAAATGAAGAAATTCCTTCTGATGATGAGGGGGAAGAAAGAAGTATTGATTTAAATCAAAGTAATGAGGAAAATTTAAATGAGATTGAACAAACTGAAGAAAATGATACACAATATGAAGATAATCAAACATTGACTTTTCGGGAGGCTAAAAAATTGGTTGAAAGTATTGAGGTTTTTTATACTAAATTTATTTATTTTTAAAAATTAATTTACAGATTCCATCAGCTAGTCAAGATTTGGATGATTTTGAGGGAATTACTGAACCATTAGAATCTCAACAAAAAAGAAAGGAAGAATTAAAATCTGTACAAGCTCATCAAAAAATTGCTGACTCGATTAAAATTGATGAAAAGAGCTCTTTTAGTTATCGTCCTCACAAACTTTCCCCAATTTGTGTTTGTTTTTCGCATTCAGGAAATTTTATTGTTTCCTGTTCAAAAGATGGATCAATTATAAAATGTTTGTTTAATTATTTATTAAATTAATTTTCTTTTCTAAATTTATTAGATGATTTAAAAAAACGTTGTCGTGTTGGTGTTCTCTCTTCTATTTTATCCAAAAATAAAAATAATTTAAAATTAAAATGCTCTCATGTTGCCAATGAAAATCTACACAGAGGACGAGTATTGTGTTGTGAAATATCCCCTAATGATCAATTTTTGGTTACTGGCGGTTCTGATAATTTAATAAAGTTTATTTTATAGTTAATATTTTAATTTATTTTTAAGGATTTGGGATTTTGAAAAGCTTGTTTTTATAAAAGATTTTGATGGACATCGAGGTCCTGTCAATTCTCTTCGGTTTAGACAAAAATGTGATTCTATTGAATTATTTTCTGCAAGTACGGATAGATCAATTATTGTTTGTTTTATTTTTTGTTTAATTTTTAATATTATAAATTAGGTAGACTTTATTTCAAAATTTTTCTTTTTTTCTGATTAAAAATTAATTTTTTTCAAGGTTTGGAATATGGATGAGATGGGTTTAATGAATAGATTATATGGTCACCAAGATGTAATTGAACAACTAGATATTTTACAATGGCCAAGAGTTCTTAGTTGTGGAGGAATGGACAAGTAAATTAATTTTAATTTAAAAAAATATTTTGTTAATTTAAATGTTTAATGTAAAAATATTTTTTCAAATCTAATTGCTTTCTTTGTCTAATTTCAATTTAAAATTTTTTCTAGATCCTGTCGTCTATTCAAAGTGATAGAAGAATCCCATTTAGTTTTTAATGGTTTTACTGATTGTATAAGTATTGACTGTGTTGCTTTAATTAATGAAGAACATTTTATTTCTGGTTCTGCTGACGGGTAAATTTTAAATAATTTTGAACTCTTTCGACAAATCGCTTAGTTTTTCATTTCTTTCAAAACTTTTAGTTCGTTGTATATTTGGTCAATGTCAAGAAAGAAGCCTGTTTTTGTTAAACGAAAGGCTCACGGTTTTCATTCAATGCCACAAATCCAAGACTCTAACAACGAAATGGATGTTGATTTAATGGAAAATTTAAAGTAAGTTTTTATTTTTCATTTATTTATTCTTCTTCTTTTGCTTTAGCACAAGAAGAGCCAACAAATCCGTGGGGGAGCCAAGATGGATCTGTTCTGTAGCTGCTTTGCCTTATACAGATTTAGTTGCTAGTGGTAGCAGTGATGGCTTCCTTCGTTTATGGAGAGTGGGACAAGATTGGAAATCACTCGATCAAATTGCACAATTTAATATGGTTAGTTTAAAATATTTTTTATAATTAAATTAAAAATCTTGTGATTTTCCCTTTGGCCTTATTTTTGATTAATTTGTTGGGTAAAAAGGCGTTACTGGTTAACAATTAATGTGAACAAATCAGTCAACATTTCTTTTCTTTTTTTACATTCCTTAAATCCCAATCACACTCATCAAAGTTCTTTTAAAAATTCAATTTCTCTTTTTATTTTCACAAAATATTGATCAAAAAAATTTAAACCAAAATCATCAATCATTTTTTGAATTTAAAATAACATTATTCTTTTAGTTTAGTTCATTTTTATCAGCAAAAATTGTTGGTTTAAATTTTGTTATTTTTATTTTCTTACTAGTGGAGAATATTTGAAAAATTCTTGATCTGAAAAATTTTCTACTAAATTTTCCTCAATTTCTCCCAAAATTATTACTACTTTTTTTGATTTTGTAAAGAGAAATTCCCACTTTTATCACCCCTCTAGTTACAGGCCTGTTCTCTCCTTCATTTTATTTGTATTTTTTCCATTTTCCTCAATTCCATTTTAAGTGAGCGCAATAACCGATCAATTCACTCACTCTGCCAGCTGAGAACCGGTCAAATATAAATGTATATTTGAAAATAATATATCGCACTTTGTTGCTACTTTTTCCAAAAAAAAGAATACAGATAGCTTTAATTTAATACGCTTGTATATTTTTGTAGCACGCTTATTTTTAGATTTCCATAAAATATTAATGAATTAATAAAATTTATTTATTTAAAATATTTTTCCCAAAATTGGTTCTGACACGTGTAAAATAATCTTTTTTTTTTAAATATTTTTCTTCTATAAACAAAAATGATGAGTAGTTTGTTTCTCTTTTCTCTTTTGTATTTTCATTCTAAAAATCAAAGCAAATATTTTCTCTAAATACTTCTTTATTCCCGTTTTTAGCCAGGTTTTATCAACGATATTCGCTTCTCATATAATGGATGTTATATTGTCTGTGCAGTTGGCCAAGAACACAAACGCGGTCGTTGGTGGACTTTGAAAGAAGCTAAAAATCGTATTATGGTCATTTATTTACAAAAAGATCTTGAAATGAGGGAAATAGGAGGGGGAGATGAGTCAATTGAATTGGATGAGCCAAATGTTGGTAGGGAAGAGGAAAAGGAAATGAGAGAATAAAATTAAAAAAGAAGAAGCAAGGAAGGATTGCCTGTTGTTTGTGTAGTAGCTAATAACAATTTGTTATTTTATGCATCAACAGGCAATTCTTACATTTATCCTTAATGTGTGTCTTTTTTGTTATTTTAACAAAACAAGGATGAAGACAACTTTTTTTGAATAAAATTTTGAGAAAAATAATTTTTTAATTAATGTCTTCAACTTGTTATTTTCAATTTGTTGATTTTCACTTTTTGTTGTTGAATATTTTTATATAGTTTAATGACCTTAAAATTCTTAAATTTTATTAAGAGAAGCTTTTAATGCATTTTCATATTTTTGATCAATTTTTAACAAATTTAATATTATTTGTCTCTTAGATTCTTGCCATTAATTTTTGTTTCTAATTTTTATTTCAACAATGACGGCACCAGGAAATACTTTGGTCGTTCACGGTATATTTTTTATTCCATTTTCTTAATTTTACAAAACCAATGTGCTGATGTTATAATTTCAGTTGTCTCGGCTCGTGGTCTTTACGTCAAAGGCGGAAAAGCAGTTGATGTTTACTGTTCTCTCTCCACTATGGGCAAAGGCGCTTGGAAAAGCAAAGTGAGCACAAATCAACTTAGGTTGGATCCATCAATTCCTGAAACCGAACTTAAATGGGATGAACATTGCGAATTGTTTGTTTTTATTTATTAGAAAAAATTTGCCATCATATTGATGAATTATAAAGGGGAAAAGAGCATTTCCCACTCAACGTTACCTTAGTTAAGTTGGTAGAGGTTTGCTCATAGTTGTGTTGTGGTCAACGGTTCAATCCCTGTTCGGGTTAATGTTTTATTTTCTCGCATATCCTCATAAATAAGCCGGGTGGCTGACCAATTTAAATGGTTTTCCACTGTGCAAAAGTGAGGTAAAACAAATTAGTCAAATGAGAGTAGCAGTTTTCCTTTAGTGGGCTTCTGCCTAGTTCATTGGACACAAAAAATATAAAATTGTTTTAAACTTTTTGAACGCAAATCAATTCTTGTTTTTTTTAGTCAACTTAACGAAATGGATACAAAATTAGTCATCCATATTAACCATAAAACTTCATTTGGCACAACAGAAACATTGGGGGAATATATTTTTCAATTAGAAAGGATGCCTAGAGTTCAACCTTTAGCTTGGTTTAAATTATCAAAAGCAGGAAGGTAAAAAATGGAAATTTGTATTTTAAAATATTTTTTAAATTAATTTAGTGCTCTTAATCCACATACCACAACTTCTAATAAAAATAGAGGGCAAATTCAATTGGGCTTTCAATTTTCTAATTCACTCGGCAATCGCGGGGCTACATCTGTCTCTAATATGTCTTTAAATAAAATTGATAAAGGTTTTTTTTTTAATATTTTTTTTCAAAATTGTTGATTTAAGAAGGTAAATTATATCGCCTTCGTCGAAAAATGCAACAAATTGGTAGGAAGGCAACGGGTATGGATGATACAATATCAAATCAAGGAGATGATTCTCAATCTTTTGCTTCTGTTTCAATTAATAACCATCTTGGTAATCATCATTATGGGGCTGATGATCATCGACGTTCTTCTCTTTTGTCTACAAATTCCGCCGCTCATTTGGCTCTTTCTTCACCATCTCCTAATCCCTCAACACAATTATTGCCTGATGATTTAACTTCTGGAATTGGAAGGCAATTAGCCGATGATGCAATTTCTACACAATCAACAACATTTGGTGTTGGAGTGACACCTCGCCATCCCTTTACTAATCAAAATGCGAATTCTTTATCTGTACAGAATATTCAAATTAATGGCTCAAATCGTAATATTGGAGGTAATTCTAATTTTAAAATATTTTTTTAATAAATATGCCAATTCTAGCTAAAGACCAAAGAAATGCTTATGCCAATACATCAAGTGAATTACCTTCTTTTGAAAAACAACATCTTCATCCTAATGCTTCTTCTCAAAGTTTTGATTTTGAACAAAGCTCTATAGGTATATTTAAATTCCTTTTAGTTTGGTAAAAGAATATAACTTCAATTTAGATGGAAATCGTTCAAGTATCTCCGGTGGTTCGGCTTTTGGTGGAATAATTGTTACTCCAACTTTGATTAGAGAGGAGACTCTTTTAAATGATGAGGTTCTATAAATTATTTTTAAAAATTTTCTTTAATCAATTAACAGCAACCACAAGTATCTTCTAACAAATTGCGTGTAAAAATGCGTCAAAAAGCGGAACAATTACTTCAATTGCGTGGATTAACTGGAGGCAACAGTTCCTCAAAAAAACAAAATTTAACAAGACAAGAATTATCGGAATTTCCTGATTTTGCTGACAAACTAAATCGCCGCGATTCCCTTGGCTCTTCTTCTGGATTTGTTTCTCTCGGCTCTGGACAATTGAGTGCTTTGGTGAATTTATTTTTAAGGAAAAGATTTTTTACTAATTTCCGGCTTTTAGAATGAACATACTTCGCCTGATTATTTACTTAATGTGATAAAACATTTGAGAAATGAGTTGATGAAGAAAGAAGAAAGAATTCGAAGTTTGGAGGAATACACAGACAAATTGGTGGCGAAGGTAGATTTTTTTTGTTTTTGTTAAAACTGTTGAAAAACATCTTGGGCTGTTTAGGATTCTTCCTCACCCTTTTAGGAGAGTAAATATTTTAGAAATGAATTAGTCATTATTTTATTTTTCAATAGAAAGATTCTGCCTTCTCTTTTATTTTTTCAAAAAATAAATTCTTTTTTCTCAGGTGATGGTAACAAACCCAGAATTACTTGCCGCCCCTATTAATACTTCAACAACAAAAATTATATCAAAAAAGAAAAGGCTTTAATGAATAGAAATTTATAAAAAAAAGTGAAGAAAAGTTTATTATAAAAAACCCTGCCACCTGCGCTTAAAATAAAAAAAATATTTTTAAAGCCCATCTTGCTGTCTATATTAACATTTTTATTTCAAATATATTTACTTTTGTGTATATAAAAATAAAATAAATATTATTTTTATAAAATTAATTTATATTCAGCTTTAAAACACAAAAATAAATTTAAAATATAAGTTTAAAAAATGTTCTTTTTTTTTGGTCAAAAAATAATTTAACCAAAAAATAATATTTCTGAATGTTTTAACTTTTTGAAGTTATTCCATTTGGTTGATAATAGATTTCAATTAATATTTTGGAGCAATTTCAAATTTATTTTGCCTTAACTTTTTGGAATTTTGTAGATGTTTTTTTACAGGATTTTATTATTTTATTTTACACGCGTCCGTTTCTTTTATTTTTTACATTTTTATTCATTTACCCTTGCCCTTTCTTTTCAATCTGAAAGCTTCCGCCCATTCATTGCTTTACAACAAAATTTTCAAAAAAAATCCTTCAGTTTTTCTCGTAAAAATAAAATGTTCTTACGTGTATATACACAAATAAATTCTTCCATTTTGCCATCTTTTTTTGTTTGTCATTTTATAAAGTGGAAGAAGCATTAAAAAAACAATTTTTCAATGTCGCTTTTCTCACATTGGTTGAAGTGAATTTAATTTTAGGTTTTAAGTTCGCCTTGAATTTCCCATACGATTCAATTACTTTTTATTTTTTACAAAAAAATTGCTAGTATATGTAGATTGTTTGCTTTATATTATGGATATTCTTTTCGGTCCTAAAATGAAGATAATAGAAATATCGTATATACTATATTAATTACCCTGGGTAATTAATAGTTTCAACTTCTCTTTGGAGGGAGTATTTAATAGAGGGTATTTTATGAAAGCTACTAATTATAAATATTTTCAAGGGGTAATTATTGTTTCAACCTTTCGCTGGAGGGGGTGATTATTTGAGGGAGGGTAATTAATAGAGTATATACGGTAAAAAAATTAACCTCTTATTTTCCACATATTTTTAAATTTTTGTTTTGATATTAAATAAAAATTCCAATCATTTTCAAAAAAATATATTTAACACTTAATTATTCATGAAATAATTCATATACTTTTCTCTCTCTCTCTTTATTTTTAAAATCAAAAATGAATCATACAAAAATTATTAGAAGAAAAAAAAGAGTATATTGACCTAAAGCCAAGCATTTCCTTCTTTTTTGTTTAAAGAATTTTCTGTATTTTTAATTCCTTGTTAAAGCCATTTTAAAAATAAAATAATTTAAAATTATTTTTTAATTAATTTGCAGCTGAATTTATTTTTAAATTTATTTACTCTCTTTCCTAGACATTTAAATAAAAAATAAATATAAAATTCCAATCTTTTTTTTCAATTCAAAGTTTTATTTTTCCTCTCTCCCTTTCATTTTTCTGTGACAAAAACAATTCAAATACTTTTTAAAAAGTTGGGGGAAGACTGACAGATGGTGACAAACATATTTTTTAAAAATATTGTAAAGTAATTAAATAATTATTTACTATAAGTTAAAAGAATTTTTGTAAAGGAAGATTTTTTAATTTTAAAAAAAATATATAAAAAATATTTACAGTCTACAACTCAATTTAAGATGTATTTTGATGAATGAGGAGGACTACTAAGTGATTATTTAATAAAAACAAATTATAGGATAATAATTTTTCACCCCAATCTCTCCAGTAATGAGATTGTATATTTAGTTTAGGAAAATTAATTAATTAAATTATTATCCAATTCCTTTCCCCATCCAGAAACAACTCGCATATTTCTTCCCTTTCCCCCTCCCACAATCAACTTGAAAATTACGTAAAACCGACAATATTTTTTTAAAAAACTAAAAAAAACTTTTGTTTTTTTTAATTTATTTATTTTCCCTTAGGGACAGATTATTTTCTCTTTTTCTTTAATTTTGTATTTTATTTTTATTTTCTTCCAAAAAAGGCTTTTTTTTTATTTTAACAATTTTTTATATCCATCAATTAGCTATTTTTATATTTAAATAAAAACTTTTTTTTATTTATTTCAATCACTTTTTTTCCTTTTCTTTAAAATAAAAATAAATAAAATGCAAATTTCATTCATATTTTTTACTAAAAATATTTTACAAAAAAAGAGAAAGTCTGATCAATCTTTTTTAAATAAATTTATTTTGTTTCATTGTTTTTCAAACAAATTTTCTTTTATTTTTTTAAAATATTTAAAAAAATAAAATTAATTTTACCTAAATACAAATACTTATTTTAGGGAAGAATCAAAACTTTTTTAAAAATACATTTAAATATTTACTTTTTAAAAATTTTCTCTTTTTTACCCATAAATTTATATTTTTAATTTAAATTGTTAATTATTAGTTAGTTGATGTCCATTCTTTTTTTAAATAAATATTTTACCTATTTAATTTTTAGTTTTTAATTAATGCTTAATAATAATTTGATTTCTATTTTTTTATTTTTCTTATTAATTAATATACAAACAATTAATTTAATTAAAAATAATAATTCAACAAATTTTTGGTCTCCACATTTAATTGATCAAATAAGTCCATTTAGGTATTTTTTATAAAGAGATCCTTACTAAAATATAAAATACATTCACCAAATAACTTCTTTTTATTTAATGTGGAATAGGGTGGGTTACTCGAAATTCGATTCGAGAAATTTTTGAAAACCTGACCCAACTTTTTTCTCAATTTGTCCCATCTCTACCTAATTATAAAATACAATTCTTCAACCAAAAAATTATTTTTATATTTTATAGTAAGCAAGGGGGGGGGTAATTGTTTAAATTAATTTAAAATTTAAATTTAGACTTAAAAAGAAGAATATAATAAATGAAAATAATTTAATAAATACTCAATGGAAAGAAAAAATTGAAAGGGCAAAGAAAAGGAAAAAAGAATTGGCTAAAAAGCAAACATTGTCTGTTGATTGGCAATTACCTACTCCAGAAACACCAAAAACTATGGATAAAGTAAAAAAAGAGAATATTAATATTTAAATAAAGGGAAAAGAGGGAAATTAATTTAGATAAGTAAGGAAGGGGAAGGGGTTTAGCTTTGATATTTAAGTCGGTATTGCATGGGGATAGTGAAATATTTAGCATTAACTGGCAAAAGGGTTGAATGCCCTCCTTAAATTCTTTAATTCTTTAAATATTTCAATTAAAGATTCAATTAATTAATATCCACGCGGATATAAACTTTTTGGCAAATCAAATATCAATACATAAACGAACACCCATTTATTTACTGAAAGATAATCAATGTCTTCAAGTTAATTTTCGGATTGAAGGAAAAAGAACGAGGTAATTAATTAATTATTTTAAGGAGGTTATTTTAATTAAAAACAACAAAATAACAACCACCCACTTTCGGGTGAGGGGCAACTCACGGACCATACCAATTCAAGGAACAGACAAAACAAGGAACGACCAACTCATGGAATATTTCAAAAATCAAAATTTTTTAAAATATTAAGATTTTCAAAAATTCTGATTTGTCTGCTCCTTGAGATAGCCCGACACGCCACTTCCTCCTCCCCCTTCCATTCTTTTTTTTAATTTAAATATTTAAAGATTATTATTATATACTTGCAATATGTATGAAGGGGGTGAATGTGTTTTAGACAAATTTTTGGCAACAACTTCAACTAAAACTTTAAAATCGTTTAATAATGAAGAATTAAATGAATGTTTTAAATTAAAACCTGTAATTAACTTTAATTAATTTAAAAATTATTTTATTTCAGTGGATGGATAATTATTCCCCTTTTGCCTTTCATATTCGTTTTCTTCGCCGCCCACGAAATTTTAAGGATAATTTACAACGAAGAAATGGTTGGCATTCAAAAAGAGAAGTAAAAAAATATTTAAATATTTCCCTCTAAAATTTAAATTTTAAATAAAGGTTGGAAGAATTAAATTATCAGGTTTCCACCCTTGTGATAAAGCTTGTGAATCTAATCAAAATGTACTAGATACAGAATTAATTAAAATACAACCACATTATGAACAAAATAAACATTTAGAAGATCCTTTAGAAGGTTATGGATAAAAAAATAAAAAAAATATTTTTTAAATTAAATTAATATTAATTACTGCCCATATTTTAGAGAATATATTTAATTATTTTTGATCTTTCCTTTTCTTTTTTTAACCCGGCAATCTTTTCCCAAACTATTAATTAATTAATATAGCTTTAATATATTTTCTTTTTTTTTCTCACTGCCGATATTCTTCCGATTCCAAGAGTAGTGAAACCAACGTATCCGTAGGCAGAGAAAAAGGGCAATAGCGTAGGCAGTCGGGAGATAGATAAAGAGATAAATAATTTTAAAATTAAGTCCCTTTATTTTCCTTACTTTTCGTCGACTCCTTTTCCTTATGGTTAGATTTAAAAATTTTATTTTACTAATCCAATTATGTAAATTTTTATAAAACTTATTTTTAATCATTTGAGGTCATTATTTCTATTCTTCTTTATATGGAAAGGATTAGCCTAAAAATTTCAATTATTAAGATTCTTTTCAGTGTGAGAGTGAAAAAAAAGGAACTTTGAAATTTTTCTTTTGTATTTTTCTTATTCAAATTTAACCTAAAATTTAAAATTTTTATTCTAAGATTTTTCTATGCAAAGATTGACCTAAAAAACTCAAATTTTTAGAGGATTAAAATTTCTATCGAAGAAATTTTTTATTCAAAGATTGACCTAAAACCAATCAAAATTTTCAATAGGCTCAGAATCTTTATTGTATTACATATCGAAAGATCTTTCTATTCAAAGAGTTAACCTACAAAACTGAAATTTCTATTGTATTCAATTTGAAGGAAAAAAAGGAGTCCTTGAATTATGTAAATACGTAGGTTTAAGAAATGATGAAAAAACAATGAAATAAATAAAGAATAAAATTGGTTATTAAAAGATAAATATAAAAATTCTTATTTTAAATAATCTTTTTTTTTAAATAAAATATATAATTTCAATATCTCTTTATCATCTTTATATTCCTTTTCTAAGTAAAATTCGAACAAACGCAAAATCCAATGCTATCTGGTGTGTTTAGTATTTAGTCATGCAAACTTAAGATAGTATAAAAACCAGTGAGTGTTAGTCTAATTGGATCATACTATCTGGTTAGTCCCTGATCTCCTTCATCTAATCCAACCCAACCCACTTTGCCTACATTGTTAATCTCTATATGTGATAGTGTTATCCTCTCGACCCTTAATTAAAATATCACTCACTCATGTATTTAGTTGAATATAATATTATAAAATTAGTCAATAAATAGGTCAAAATTTCAAGGTTATTATTAAAAATCTTAACCTAGTTAAGAAATTTCTCTAAAAATCCAACTGTGTTTTAATTTGAGAATAACCTAATATAGGTGGAGCTAGAACGGAAGTATAAAAAGCGACTTCTTTTGACCTGAAATATCATTCTACTGTTCAACGCCTGCTTCTTCACGATCAAATCCTACAAATACCACATTCATAACCTTATTTACCCATAGCCTGCCTTCATAGAAAATTTAATTTAGCTATAACTTAAAATTTCATTTTTATTGTTGAAAACAAACATTTATTTTTGATTAAATTTCCTTTCATATATCTTATATCAAATTTAATTTTTTCATTTTAAATTTTATTTTCAAAAATGCAACCTACCCCTCCCAAGAAAATTAAAATCACCCCTACTGAGAGTCTTGACTTCTATGTTAAAAAACTCGGTCATGAGACCAAGTTTACCCAAAAATTTAATCTTCTTAAGTTATCAACCAAATTCATAATCACAAATGTTTCCAATAATCCAGAAGGTTTACTAGGCTCGATTTTTGAGTATTGTATCGATCAATCTCTATTAGAAAATCATGAACGACAAATGGAACCAGATCAGCTAGGGTGTATAATTTCGAGTCAGAACCTTGACTCAGACATTTGGATCCCGGTTCGAGAAATCACGTCCAACACAATTGATTCAATTTTGAATCAATTCCTAAAGGTTGCCCAGAGTAAGAAACAGGATAATGGTATGTTATGGGGGGCCCCTTTTCTTGTTTCAATAACAACTATACAAAGAGATGGACTTAATTCTAGAACCGTGCATGGTAGCGGTAGAGAGCTACAAACAATTCATCATAGGATTAATGAACAAAACCTTATAAAAATACGAAATACTGATACTTACTGTCTCTTCCACGCTTTGATGGCTACTTTTGTTCACGCAATATTTTCCTGGCCAAGATGGAAATTCTATGATTATCTCCATAGTCGAAGGGGGATGAAACAACTTCTCGAAAACGATGTATTAGAGCTAATGGAAGAGATTGGAGCTGAATTTAATCAAGAGGTGTACTGCGCTGAAGAATGGGTCCCACGGGTGGTTGACTTATGGAATACAGTGAACAGAGGATGGTTTAAAGTTTATATATTCGGGGATTTGGGGGGAAAACCTATTTATAAATACGGGCCTGATAATTTTGATATCCCTATAATTTTGTATTATAATAAGGAACACTTTGATGGTGTCCGCAAGGTTAGTGACTTATTCGGTCAACCCTACTGTTTATCTTGTGAAAGCGTTTATAATAGGAAATTGAACCATGCAATTTCGTGTAAATCTAGATGTCTTAACTGTTCAAGGGTTGGCCCAGGGTTTCCATGTAAACCTTTAGATAATTTTTCAAAATTTTGTAAAGGGTGTGAGAAAAACTTTAAGAATGAAAACTGTTACACCCACCATATCACCTCGAATTTTTGTAGTTCCTCTAAGAAATGTAAAAAATGTGGGGTTATCTGGGGTGTTAAGAATAATAATAGGAATGGAAGGGAGGGTCATATTTGCTCCGAACGCTATTGCACAACGTGCGGTAGCTACCACGATCCTAAGCGTGGGTGTTACATCAAGCCCCTTCTCATCAAACCCCCAAAGGCGTACCGAATTATCGCCTTTGATTTTGAAACCATGCAGCACCGTGAAGGGGAAAAGGGTAAAATACATGAGGTTAACTTTATAGGGGTAAAAGTAAACTGTCCCGAGTGTATCAATAACGGACCTAACCCTAAATGTTCCATATGTGATGAGTACCGTACGATCACCTTCTCACACAAACCCTTTTATCATACAAAGGTTGACCAACAAAATATAATCGTAGATCCACTGTCATCATTTGTTTCTTGGTTAATTAAGTCATCAATAACAGATACGATTGCTTTCTCACACTTTGGGGGTAGATTTGATATGGTACTAGTGTTTAAGGAATTGTTTCTTAGAGGGTTGACCCCAGAAATGATTAAAAAAGGTAATAAGTTATACGAAATGAAGGTAAAACTTGGTAAAGATAATTGGGTTATTTTTAGGGACACTTTTAATTTAATGCCCATGCCCCTTGCTTCCTTGGTCCCTGCCTTTGCACTTAGTGTAGAGGACAAACCTTTTTTCCCACACTTGGTAAATAGGCCGGAAAATTATGGTAAGGAAATTTTCCCGGTGAAGGATGACTATCTGGCTGATGGGATGATGCCCGAGAAGAGAGCTCAATTTGATAAATGGTATGAAGAACACAAGGATGAGTCTTTCAATCTGGTCGAATCATTGGCGTCATATTGTACCAACGACGTGGAAATTCTAATGGCTGCTTTGGTTGCATTTAGGCGCGAATTTCTGGATGTGTCAAATGGATTGGATGTTCTGAGAGAGGCAATGACAATCGCCAGTGCATGCATGAAGCACTTTAGGGCAAACCACCTACCGGTTCAACACCTTGGCATTGTTCCTGAGATTGGATATGACAACACAGACACCCAAAGTTTGCTTGCTCTTCGATTCCTTGCCTGGTATGCTGAAGAACACAATGTCAACATACGTAATGCTTATTCTAAAGGAGGGGAAAAGAGATTTGGGGATTATAGGGTAGATGGGTGGGTAGAAGAAAGGAAATTGGTGTTAGAGATTAATGGATGCTGTTGGCATGGTTGTAGAAAATGTTTCCCTTATGATGAAATAAAACTTCCCAATGGGGTTACAGCAGGGAAGCAAAGAGAAAAGGATGAAAGGCGTTTAGAATTTATTGAGAGTTTTGGGGTAAACGTGGAAGTTTATTGGGAGTGTGACATCAGGGGGATGCTTTCAAGGGATAGGGTCATGAGGCTAAGGTTTAAAAATTATTTGGACAATGGACCGATCGATATTCGATCGGCTTTCTTTGGGGGGAGAACCGGACCACTAAAACTATTCCATAAAACGGGGGAGGGGCAAAAAATTTCCTACTATGATGTGACCTCCTTGTACCCCTTCATCAATATGACAACACGCTACCCAATTGGTCACCCCGAGGTCCATATTCTAAATAACGACGTCAACTGGACTCAACCCTCTGACAACACTTATGAACTGGCTCTTCTGAAAGTTTTTGTAATACCTCCGCGCAGCATCGACATCCCAGTCCTACCTATGAAAATCGGAGACGACGATGAAAGACTTCTATTCCCCCTTTGCTCCACTTGTGCAAAGGAACATCTAAATGGGGATGTGAATGAGAACTACACTTGCAAACACACAAACCAACAACGTGGATGGGTCTCTACTTGTACGTCAATTGAATTAAATGAGGCATTGAAAGAAGGATATGTAGTCACCAAAGCATTTCGCGTTTTGGAATATAAAAACTACGACGACAATCTTTTTCGTCCTTATATTCGTGAATTTATGGCACAAAAAATTCACGCCAGCGGCTTTGACAACGACATCAAAGGAGATCAACAGAAGGAAGAGGACTTCATCAAAGAATGTAAGGAAAAGTTTGGAATCATCATCGACAAGGAGAAAATGAAGGTCAATAAAGGAAAGAGGACGCAAGCCAAATTATGCTTAAACAACTTATGGGGTCGTTTCTCTCTCCGTAACTTTGGATTATCTCAATGTGTAGTTACGGACGACCCTGCTATGTACATCAAATATTCAAACGACCCTTCAATTATTATTGATACAGTAGAGGGACTAACTGAGGATGTACTTCTTATTTCATACAGCAAAAAGAAGGAATTTGTGGAAGAACATGACTCATCAAATGTCATCATCTCGTTGTGGACCACATCAGCAGCAAGAATTCACTTGCTACACGCCATGCAACAGGTTGTGAGAACTCCTGATTGCAAATTGCTTTACACCGACACCGACTCCTTAATTTTTTCTCACCCGATTGGCAACTGCCCTCTTCAATTAGGTCCTCATCTGGGTGAATTCACAGATGAGTACCCTGACTTCAACATTTTGGAATTTTGCTCTGGTGGCGCAAAGCAATATGGACTGAAGATGGAAAAGAAGGATGAGCCCAACAGTGAACCAGTCTACGTTCTCAAGGTGCGCGGTATCACTCTCAACTGGGATGCAATAATCAATCAAGGAATGCGGTACGAAGCTTTTAAAGAAAAGATTTTCAATTTTGTTAAAGGTGATTATGACCCTATTACTATTTTGTATCCCAATTTTTTACGTCCATCTGTTATAGATGGATCTGTTACCACTTTACCTCTTAAGAAAAATTATAAGCCCCACGTCGGAAAGGGAGTAATCCGCCCTTCTGATTTTTCTGTATTGGACTTTGGATTTATCAATTTGTAATTTTTCCCCAAATTAACTTGGAGTTGGAAAGTAGCCAGGGGTATGGGCACCCAAATTCTATACCAACTATCGTATGTTGTGAGGTAATCCTCACATTGAAAATCGGTGGTAGCGGACTTGAGTAAATTCTCATGTCCCTGGTTGAGTTTGGTGATGTCTGTCGAATGGCGAAGCCATTCTCCTTCCCTTTTTATATTCATTATATTTTTATTTCTATTTATTTACACATTGTATTTAATTTTTATTCGTGATAAAAATTCTATAATATGTTGTTTAAAAAATACAATATTAAGAAAAATTAAGATAAAATAAATTACAGAATTAACGAAAATAGGTTTACAATTTTAGGGGTAAAATCGCATAATTAAGGAAAATAGGTTACAAATTTTAAAAACGTAATTGCAATATTAAGTGTAAAGTGCGGAATTAAGGAAAAGAAAATTACAATTTTAGGGGTAAAATTGCGGAATTAAGGGAAAAATATTTATTTTTATCATTTTTTCACTGTATATAGGGGTAAATATAGTGCGCACATGTATATAGTAGTGCTTAGGATATACATGAGCATATACATACCAACATTAATTCTGATCGATTTTTTCAACTTTTAAAAATATTATAACTAAAATCTTATAGAACATAAATATACGCCCGAATATTCTTTTAATTACTTCTAATCGCTCTACTTGAATACTCTACTTGAAGGTTTGATATCCGTTAAAAAAATTGGTACCTACTTCGATACCTCCTCAAATCCTCTTTTGTTATCCTTCTTATTTTCCAAGTATCACTTTCAATCATCCAGAGTCCCTCGATATAACTGTTAATATAATAAGTCATAATAAAAATAATCCCTCGAATATTTATGGTAGACTTTCTATTACATTTACTTGTTCATACTAGATCACATATCTTAGCATCCATGTCCAATATTGACCTCGTCAAAAAAACACTCCGACGTTTCTTGGGTCGGAATCCCGATTCAGAGATCACGAATTTATTTTTCTTAGGAATCCCGATTTCCCGAAATCGGGAATTTTGGTTTTTTAGCAGGATCCCTGGTATTGGTATAGAAGAGATGATGAATTAAATATACCGTCATATAAGGATTAGGAATAGCAAGATTATAATTATAATAAATGTTAAAAAATGATTATGTATCAGGTAAGGGTTGAATTATACAAACAAGGCTTTATTTAGTTAATGCATCTCTTAGTCAATCAATGCTTACCGAGCTCTTTTCGACCTGAAATCCTAACCCGATACGAAAAAAATTTTGAAACCTCGAACCAAAAAAGACAATTTATCTTTCTTTTCAACCGAACCATACTTCTTCATATATATGTATAGCGAGGTCCTTTGTACATCATTTTAATACAAGAAAAATAATTACCGGGTGTATGCCCCCACCCTCCACGGTTCATAATAAGAAGAAAATACCCCAACTGACACCCACGAACAAACTCTTCCTAATCTAGTCCAATAAGAGGCGAAACAGAAACGAGAAATTCTGGGTGGAAAACAACCTAAAAATACAAATTAATCATGTTTTTTGAAAAACAGGTTTAAATATTTACATAATATTACAAACAGAAATTTCTGCATGAAATAGTATAACATATAATTCCATGGAATTAATTCTCCGATAAAAGCTGCAAAAAAAAACAAATAGTTGAGAATTATCTTAATCGTTGGACCCTCCCCCTCTCCTTACTCTGTTTATATCTACTAACAACAAAGAAGCGATGAAACAAATTGTAAAATAAACAAATTGTAAAATAAATAACTTATTTATTTTTCTCTCTTTTATTCCTTTTCTCCTTTTTCTTTTTAAAAAATTTTTATTTTCTTTTTACACGTATCACACGCATGCTGTGATGTATTAAAAATTAAACGTCCTCATTTTATTGTATGTGAAAATGACCGATAAAATATAGGACAATTATATAAAAGAGTTAGAAATAATGAAAAGTTTAAAGTTTGAAAATTGAATAAAACAGCTTGACATAAACAAACTTTAAACTTTTCATTATTTCTAACTCTTTTATATAATTGTCCTATATTTTATCGGTCATTTTCACATACAATAAAATGAGGACGTTTAATTTTTAATACATCACAGCATGCGTGTGATACGTGTAAAAAGAAAATAAAAATTTTTTAAAAAGAAAAAGGAGAAAAGGAATAAAAGAGAGAAAAATAAATAAGTTATTTATTTTACAATTTGTTTATTTTACAATTTGTTTCATCGCTTCTTTGTTGTTAGTAGATATAAACAGAGTAAGGAGAGGGGGAGGGTCCAACGATTAAGATAATTCTCAACTATTTGTTTTTTTTGCAGCTTTTATCGGAGAATTAATTCCATGGAATTATATGTTATACTATTTCATGCAGAAATTTCTGTTTGTAATATTATGTAAATATTTAAACCTGTTTTTCAAAAAACATGATTAATTTGTATTTTTAGGTTGTTTTCCACCCAGAATTTCTCGTTTCTGTTTCGCCTCTTATTGGACTAGATTAGGAAGAGTTTGTTCGTGGGTGTCAGTTGGGGTATTTTCTTCTTATTATGAACCGTGGAGGGTGGGGGCATACACCCGGTAATTATTTTTCTTGTATTAAAATGATGTACAAAGGACCTCGCTATACATATATATGAAGAAGTATGGTTCGGTTGAAAAGAAAGATAAATTGTCTTTTTTGGTTCGAGGTTTCAAAATTTTTTTCGTATCGGGTTAGGATTTCAGGTCGAAAAGAGCTCGGTAAGCATTGATTGACTAAGAGATGCATTAACTAAATAAAGCCTTGTTTGTATAATTCAACCCTTACCTGATACATAATCATTTTTTAACATTTATTATAATTATAATCTTGCTATTCCTAATCCTTATATGACGGTATATTTAATTCATCATCTCTTCTATACCAATACCAGGGATCCTGCTAAAAAACCAAAATTCCCGATTTCGGGAAATCGGGATTCCTAAGAAAAATAAATTCGTGATCTCTGAATCGGGATTCCGACCCAAGAAACGTCGGAGTGTTTTTTTGACGAGGTCAATATTGGACATGGATGCTAAGATATGTGATCTAGTATGAACAAGTAAATGTAATAGAAAGTCTACCATAAATATTCGAGGGATTATTTTTATTATGACTTATTATATTAACAGTTATATCGAGGGACTCTGGATGATTGAAAGTGATACTTGGAAAATAAGAAGGATAACAAAAGAGGATTTGAGGAGGTATCGAAGTAGGTACCAATTTTTTTAACGGATATCAAACCTTCAAGTAGAGTATTCAAGTAGAGCGATTAGAAGTAATTAAAAGAATATTCGGGCGTATATTTATGTTCTATAAGATTTTAGTTATAATATTTTTAAAAGTTGAAAAAATCGATCAGAATTAATGTTGGTATGTATATGCTCATGTATATCCTAAGCACTACTATATACATGTGCGCACTATATTTACCCCTATATACAGTGAAAAAATGATAAAAATAAATATTTTTCCCTTAATTCCGCAATTTTACCCCTAAAATTGTAATTTTCTTTTCCTTAATTCCGCACTTTACACTTAATATTGCAATTACGTTTTTAAAATTTGTAACCTATTTTCCTTAATTATGCGATTTTACCCCTAAAATTGTAAACCTATTTTCGTTAATTCTGTAATTTATTTTATCTTAATTTTTCTTAATATTGTATTTTTTAAACAACATATTATAGAATTTTTATCACGAATAAAAATTAAATACAATGTGTAAATAAATAGAAATAAAAATATAATGAATATAAAAAGGGAAGGAGAATGGCTTCGCCATTCGACAGACATCACCAAACTCAACCAGGGACATGAGAATTTACTCAAGTCCGCTACCACCGATTTTCAATGTGAGGATTACCTCACAACATACGATAGTTGGTATAGAATTTGGGTGCCCATACCCCTGGCTACTTTCCAACTCCAAGTTAATTTGGGGAAAAATTACAAATTGATAAATCCAAAGTCCAATACAGAAAAATCAGAAGGGCGGATTACTCCCTTTCCGACGTGGGGCTTATAATTTTTCTTAAGAGGTAAAGTGGTAACAGATCCATCTATAACAGATGGACGTAAAAAATTGGGATACAAAATAGTAATAGGGTCATAATCACCTTTAACAAAATTGAAAATCTTTTCTTTAAAAGCTTCGTACCGCATTCCTTGATTGATTATTGCATCCCAGTTGAGAGTGATACCGCGCACCTTGAGAACGTAGACTGGTTCACTGTTGGGCTCATCCTTCTTTTCCATCTTCAGTCCATATTGCTTTGCGCCACCAGAGCAAAATTCCAAAATGTTGAAGTCAGGGTACTCATCTGTGAATTCACCCAGATGAGGACCTAATTGAAGAGGGCAGTTGCCAATCGGGTGAGAAAAAATTAAGGAGTCGGTGTCGGTGTAAAGCAATTTGCAATCAGGAGTTCTCACAACCTGTTGCATGGCGTGTAGCAAGTGAATTCTTGCTGCTGATGTGGTCCACAACGAGATGATGACATTTGATGAGTCATGTTCTTCCACAAATTCCTTCTTTTTGCTGTATGAAATAAGAAGTACATCCTCAGTTAGTCCCTCTACTGTATCAATAATAATTGAAGGGTCGTTTGAATATTTGATGTACATAGCAGGGTCGTCCGTAACTACACATTGAGATAATCCAAAGTTACGGAGAGAGAAACGACCCCATAAGTTGTTTAAGCATAATTTGGCTTGCGTCCTCTTTCCTTTATTGACCTTCATTTTCTCCTTGTCGATGATGATTCCAAACTTTTCCTTACATTCTTTGATGAAGTCCTCTTCCTTCTGTTGATCTCCTTTGATGTCGTTGTCAAAGCCGCTGGCGTGAATTTTTTGTGCCATAAATTCACGAATATAAGGACGAAAAAGATTGTCGTCGTAGTTTTTATATTCCAAAACGCGAAATACTTTGGTGACTACATATCCTTCTTTCAATGCCTCATTTAATTCAATTGACGTACAAGTAGAGACCCATCCACGTTGTTGGTTTGTGTGTTTGCAAGTGTAGTTCTCATTCACATCCCCATTTGGATGTTCCTTTGCACAAGTGGAGCAAAGGGGGAATAGAAGTCTTTCATCGTCGTCTCCGATTTTCATAGGTAGGACTGGGATGTCGATGCTGCGCGGAGGTATTACAAAAACTTTCAGAAGAGCCAGTTCATAAGTGTTGTCAGAGGGTTGAGTCCAGTTGACGTCGTTATTTAGAATATGGACCTCGGGGTGACCAATTGGGTAGCGTGTTGTCATATTGATGAAGGGGTACAAGGAGGTCACATCATAGTAGGAAATTTTTTGCCCCTCCCCCGTTTTATGGAATAGTTTTAGTGGTCCGGTTCTCCCCCCAAAGAAAGCCGATCGAATATCGATCGGTCCATTGTCCAAATAATTTTTAAACCTTAGCCTCATGACCCTATCCCTTGAAAGCATCCCCCTGATGTCACACTCCCAATAAACTTCCACGTTTACCCCAAAACTCTCAATAAATTCTAAACGCCTTTCATCCTTTTCTCTTTGCTTCCCTGCTGTAACCCCATTGGGAAGTTTTATTTCATCATAAGGGAAACATTTTCTACAACCATGCCAACAGCATCCATTAATCTCTAACACCAATTTCCTTTCTTCTACCCACCCATCTACCCTATAATCCCCAAATCTCTTTTCCCCTCCTTTAGAATAAGCATTACGTATGTTGACATTGTGTTCTTCAGCATACCAGGCAAGGAATCGAAGAGCAAGCAAACTTTGGGTGTCTGTGTTGTCATATCCAATCTCAGGAACAATGCCAAGGTGTTGAACCGGTAGGTGGTTTGCCCTAAAGTGCTTCATGCATGCACTGGCGATTGTCATTGCCTCTCTCAGAACATCCAATCCATTTGACACATCCAGAAATTCGCGCCTAAATGCAACCAAAGCAGCCATTAGAATTTCCACGTCGTTGGTACAATATGACGCCAATGATTCGACCAGATTGAAAGACTCATCCTTGTGTTCTTCATACCATTTATCAAATTGAGCTCTCTTCTCGGGCATCATCCCATCAGCCAGATAGTCATCCTTCACCGGGAAAATTTCCTTACCATAATTTTCCGGCCTATTTACCAAGTGTGGGAAAAAAGGTTTGTCCTCTACACTAAGTGCAAAGGCAGGGACCAAGGAAGCAAGGGGCATGGGCATTAAATTAAAAGTGTCCCTAAAAATAACCCAATTATCTTTACCAAGTTTTACCTTCATTTCGTATAACTTATTACCTTTTTTAATCATTTCTGGGGTCAACCCTCTAAGAAACAATTCCTTAAACACTAGTACCATATCAAATCTACCCCCAAAGTGTGAGAAAGCAATCGTATCTGTTATTGATGACTTAATTAACCAAGAAACAAATGATGACAGTGGATCTACGATTATATTTTGTTGGTCAACCTTTGTATGATAAAAGGGTTTGTGTGAGAAGGTGATCGTACGGTACTCATCACATATGGAACATTTAGGGTTAGGTCCGTTATTGATACACTCGGGACAGTTTACTTTTACCCCTATAAAGTTAACCTCATGTATTTTACCCTTTTCCCCTTCACGGTGCTGCATGGTTTCAAAATCAAAGGCGATAATTCGGTACGCCTTTGGGGGTTTGATGAGAAGGGGCTTGATGTAACACCCACGCTTAGGATCGTGGTAGCTACCGCACGTTGTGCAATAGCGTTCGGAGCAAATATGACCCTCCCTTCCATTCCTATTATTATTCTTAACACCCCAGATAACCCCACATTTTTTACATTTCTTAGAGGAACTACAAAAATTCGAGGTGATATGGTGGGTGTAACAGTTTTCATTCTTAAAGTTTTTCTCACACCCTTTACAAAATTTTGAAAAATTATCTAAAGGTTTACATGGAAACCCTGGGCCAACCCTTGAACAGTTAAGACATCTAGATTTACACGAAATTGCATGGTTCAATTTCCTATTATAAACGCTTTCACAAGATAAACAGTAGGGTTGACCGAATAAGTCACTAACCTTGCGGACACCATCAAAGTGTTCCTTATTATAATACAAAATTATAGGGATATCAAAATTATCAGGCCCGTATTTATAAATAGGTTTTCCCCCCAAATCCCCGAATATATAAACTTTAAACCATCCTCTGTTCACTGTATTCCATAAGTCAACCACCCGTGGGACCCATTCTTCAGCGCAGTACACCTCTTGATTAAATTCAGCTCCAATCTCTTCCATTAGCTCTAATACATCGTTTTCGAGAAGTTGTTTCATCCCCCTTCGACTATGGAGATAATCATAGAATTTCCATCTTGGCCAGGAAAATATTGCGTGAACAAAAGTAGCCATCAAAGCGTGGAAGAGACAGTAAGTATCAGTATTTCGTATTTTTATAAGGTTTTGTTCATTAATCCTATGATGAATTGTTTGTAGCTCTCTACCGCTACCATGCACGGTTCTAGAATTAAGTCCATCTCTTTGTATAGTTGTTATTGAAACAAGAAAAGGGGCCCCCCATAACATACCATTATCCTGTTTCTTACTCTGGGCAACCTTTAGGAATTGATTCAAAATTGAATCAATTGTGTTGGACGTGATTTCTCGAACCGGGATCCAAATGTCTGAGTCAAGGTTCTGACTCGAAATTATACACCCTAGCTGATCTGGTTCCATTTGTCGTTCATGATTTTCTAATAGAGATTGATCGATACAATACTCAAAAATCGAGCCTAGTAAACCTTCTGGATTATTGGAAACATTTGTGATTATGAATTTGGTTGATAACTTAAGAAGATTAAATTTTTGGGTAAACTTGGTCTCATGACCGAGTTTTTTAACATAGAAGTCAAGACTCTCAGTAGGGGTGATTTTAATTTTCTTGGGAGGGGTAGGTTGCATTTTTGAAAATAAAATTTAAAATGAAAAAATTAAATTTGATATAAGATATATGAAAGGAAATTTAATCAAAAATAAATGTTTGTTTTCAACAATAAAAATGAAATTTTAAGTTATAGCTAAATTAAATTTTCTATGAAGGCAGGCTATGGGTAAATAAGGTTATGAATGTGGTATTTGTAGGATTTGATCGTGAAGAAGCAGGCGTTGAACAGTAGAATGATATTTCAGGTCAAAAGAAGTCGCTTTTTATACTTCCGTTCTAGCTCCACCTATATTAGGTTATTCTCAAATTAAAACACAGTTGGATTTTTAGAGAAATTTCTTAACTAGGTTAAGATTTTTAATAATAACCTTGAAATTTTGACCTATTTATTGACTAATTTTATAATATTATATTCAACTAAATACATGAGTGAGTGATATTTTAATTAAGGGTCGAGAGGATAACACTATCACATATAGAGATTAACAATGTAGGCAAAGTGGGTTGGGTTGGATTAGATGAAGGAGATCAGGGACTAACCAGATAGTATGATCCAATTAGACTAACACTCACTGGTTTTTATACTATCTTAAGTTTGCATGACTAAATACTAAACACACCAGATAGCATTGGATTTTGCGTTTGTTCGAATTTTACTTAGAAAAGGAATATAAAGATGATAAAGAGATATTGAAATTATATATTTTATTTAAAAAAAAAGATTATTTAAAATAAGAATTTTTATATTTATCTTTTAATAACCAATTTTATTCTTTATTTATTTCATTGTTTTTTCATCATTTCTTAAACCTACGTATTTACATAATTCAAGGACTCCTTTTTTTCCTTCAAATTGAATACAATAGAAATTTCAGTTTTGTAGGTTAACTCTTTGAATAGAAAGATCTTTCGATATGTAATACAATAAAGATTCTGAGCCTATTGAAAATTTTGATTGGTTTTAGGTCAATCTTTGAATAAAAAATTTCTTCGATAGAAATTTTAATCCTCTAAAAATTTGAGTTTTTTAGGTCAATCTTTGCATAGAAAAATCTTAGAATAAAAATTTTAAATTTTAGGTTAAATTTGAATAAGAAAAATACAAAAGAAAAATTTCAAAGTTCCTTTTTTTTCACTCTCACACTGAAAAGAATCTTAATAATTGAAATTTTTAGGCTAATCCTTTCCATATAAAGAAGAATAGAAATAATGACCTCAAATGATTAAAAATAAGTTTTATAAAAATTTACATAATTGGATTAGTAAAATAAAATTTTTAAATCTAACCATAAGGAAAAGGAGTCGACGAAAAGTAAGGAAAATAAAGGGACTTAATTTTAAAATTATTTATCTCTTTATCTATCTCCCGACTGCCTACGCTATTGCCCTTTTTCTCTGCCTACGGATACGTTGGTTTCACTACTTCCAAGAACAAAAGTTCTGGTTTTCTGGTTCCGAAACAGGAAACACAAAATCTTTATATTTTTTGGAATCGAAAGAATATTTATATTTTACTGCCAAGCATTTTAATTAATTTAAAAGAATTTTTATTCTTATTTCTTTCAAAATATATTTTTGTAAAAACAAACACATATCCTCCCAAAATTCTCTCTCTCTCTATTCTCTAATTTAATCAGAATTTTAATAGAAAATGGAACAGATTTTATAATTTTTAAGAAGAAGTGATTGATTCAAAAAATCTTTTTTCTGTTTTCATTTTTAAAATATTTCTTTAAAATTTTGTTTTTATTCTCCTTTTTTATTCAAATAACCGGTAGAAAATAGTTTATTTAATATTTACAGTCAGTTATTGTCAAAAACTACTTTAAGAGACCGGCAAAATTGTAAGATTAATTATATCCTTTTTTAGATACTCCCCCCCTCCTCTTCAATTTGTAGTTTTGCCATAATGACTGTATTTCTCTTTAATTTTTAAAAGAATTATATATTCACTTTTTTAAATATTTTATTTTAAAATAAACATTATATTAAAAAATAATTTTCAATAAAATTAATAAATTAAAAGTCATATCAATGCAAATTTAGCAAAAATAGAGATTAGTACGTAAACCATATAGCCATTTAATTCATAAGGTTATGCAGTAAGCGGCATGGTGTAATCATCAGTCCGGTCTACTGAAGATGCTGGTTCGCTCCCAGCCGCCGAATAACCTTTTGCACTAGCTGAAGGAGAGAAATATGTAGTTATAACCCAGCTGCTTTACTAGTATAAAAACAAAACAAATTTAAAGATTTAATTTAAATTTCTTCAAAAACATTCAAAACCTCTTTCCAAACTCTCTCTCTTTTGTTCATTGTTCTCGTTGTTTCTTCAAAAATGGAAGAAGAGGTTTAGAATTTTTATTTTTTTTAATTTCAATTTTATTTTTAGCCTAAACAGGAGGAGCCGAATGCTAAAGAGGAGGGGCAAAATCCTCAGGAGGAAGGGCAGAATCCTCAAAATGAGCAGAATCCTCAAAATCCTAAAAAGGAGAAGGAATCTGAAGTTCTTCAATATCTGAAATATAAGGCACAAACGGAACAAGAAATTCTTGAATTAAATACGGATGAAGACAAAGTAACGACAATTACCGAAAAGAATATAATTAAGAAAGTTAGGTAAATAAATTAATTTCGAGATAAAAAAAATAATTATTTTTTATCAAAGGGATGTTTATGGACAAAGGGCAGCAGATATGATTGGATCAAAAATTGATTGGGCAAGTTGGGGAGTTGAAATGAATCCAAAGGAAAGAAAGCTTCAAAAGATCTGGAAGGATTGGATACTAAAAGTGCTGCTGCTAATGAAGATTATTCGAAATTGCCAGGAGAGGAAGAGCTGTTTCCGAATGATGGAGGTGGAGGAGGAGGAAAGGCTGGAGGAGGTGGAGAAACGGCTTTTGGATTTGATGAAAATGAGAAGAATGATGGTGGGGATAAAGTTGAGAATGAAGGAAATGAGAAGAAAGAGGAAGATGGAAAAGATGAGAAGGATTAGTTGGAATATATAAGATAAAGACATTAGGTATATAATGTATTTGTATAATTCTGTAGTATTTCTAAATATGTGTATTTTATGGATATTATTGTTCAAAAATATAAAACAAATGTATGTATGTAAATGTTTACTTAATTTTTATAATTGTATGTTTATGTACGTATAAAAAATTTTGGAGTTTAAAAAGGGCCCACACAGAAACGGGACGAAAAAAAATTGATTTTAAAAACACAATTTGATTCGCCTCGGTTTTTGTTTCTTTCTCTGATCATATGTTTGTGCCAATGTTGTAGTATTATTTATTTTATAAAAAGGATTTCGTCATTACCAAATCAAAACAAACCTCGAGTGTAGAGATCATAATATGTCACATAATTTAATCAGATCATTTACGAAAAAGAGGATTATCCGATGGAAATATCTTTTTCAACAAGGTCAAACTTTACCTACTCAAAATTATTTACTTTTAGGCCCCATAAAATTTGCGGACAAAACTTGCTTGTTTAAAAGATATAAAAAAACAAACTTTTGGAAGTCGCCGGTCATTGATGAGTGTTGACGTTGCTGTTGTCGAACTACTTGTTTGTCAGAATTCCTCCTGAACTGAACAATTTATCAGAATCCTCCTGAACTCTTTGTCAGAATTTACATCCTGAACTGAACAGTTTGTCAGCTGAAGTTTGTCGGTCATTGATGAGTGTTGACGTTGTTGTTGTCGAACTACCTGGAGGACTTGAATGACCCAGGCTAACCTAACAAATAGAAAGGGTTTGGACGATGTATCCTGAACTGAATTGCTTGTCAGAATTACCTGAACTGACTTGTTTGTCAGAATTCCTCCTGAACTGAACTGTTTGTCAGAATTTACATCCTGAACTGAACAGTTTGTCAGAATTCTCCTGAACTGAATTGTTTGTCAGAGTTCATCCTGAGCTGAAGTTTGTCAGAATTCACCTGAACTGAACTGTTTGTCAGAAGTCTCCTGAACTGAATTACTTGCCAGGATTCATCCTGAGCTGAACAAGTTGTCAGATTCTCCTGAACTGAACAATTTGTCAGAATGTTTGAAAAAGCCTGAACTGAACTGTTTGTCAGAATGTGAATCCTGAACTGAACAGTTCGTAGGGGGAAGGGCCCGTGGAAGGGGGAAGTCCTCCATATATTAAAAAGAAAATTTGATTTTAAATTAAAAAAACTAAACCAACGTTTTGTTGATGTTGAAAGTTGAACCTGCACGATATTGATGTTGAGTTGAAGAAAACTGAAAAAACATTAAATTTGGTTTAAAGATCATTCATTAGCAAGTTTTGTCCGCTCCTATAGTACCCCCACCCCTAAAAAGGAGGAGAGCCAATCTTGCTGTCGCAGAACACAAGAGAGCATCAAGCTAAAAGTTGAGTTTAATTACAAAACTAAAAGCAAAAGTAAACCAGAAATCCTAATGTAGAATATTAACAAAACGGCCAGCCATCGCAGCAACATAAGATTTAAAAGTATTGAAAGTAACTCGGCAGTTCCTTTGGGATATTTCATTTTGGATCCCCATTAATGCCTGCATAACAAACTGAGCCATAAAGACTTTAAAGAACAAAAACCTCGATTTGTTGGCCGCGTTACTCACCAATAAAAATCTGAAATAAAAATATTTTTTGGTATTTTCAGTTCAGTGGCCCCATAAACGTATCAGAAATGTGAGCTACCGGAAACCCTGCCCCATTTCGACCCGAAACTCAAACCGGAGGCCGAAACTCAAAAATACATTCTTGGTGCCTTAACATTTTTAGGTTAAAAACTCGGACCTAGTGAAGCCGAAGAGCCATAAAAGCAAAAAAAAACAAACCGTGCAAAAAACTTGAAGGTCAAGGCATATAGTCCATATCTGTCAAACGCCATGATCGAATCTGTACGGGTTTTTCACGGTCAGTTTCACCAAATAAGAGTATATAATAACGGTCCCCTTCACGATAACACTGAAATGAGTTTCTGCACAAAGCCTTCTTTAAGATAAATCAAAAACGCAGAACCAGTTACTTGTTTGTCTGATGCTAAAAGTTGAAAAAAATGTAGGAGACTTGACTAGAGGGCTGTTGGGTTGTGTACAAGGAGTTTTTCTCTAGGCCTGTTTACCAAGGTTTAGCCTGGATTTCTCTCGACACCAGGAGCCTATTCTGCAAAGCGACAGCGATTTCGAAGTCAATCGCCACTTAATTTTGAAGTCGCTTAACGGAACACAATGACAAATGGAATGTGAAATGATTGTACGTTGTTATGACATTTGTCGGAATATCTTTTGTGAGATAACCCCCAACTCCAAAAGCCGGGACCAGCTCGGTGGATTCGAAGTGTCCGGGCCCATGGCTAGACCCCTTTTAAAAATCCAACCTTGCTCCTGTTTAATTGTAAAAGAAACAGCAAGTTAATCTACAGGCAAGGCCAATCTACAAGCGAGGCATCAAATTTTAATCGAATTTGTAATTGGCGCCTACCATCTTGGCGATAAATGTAGTTTCAGTTTCAAAACGACACAAGCCACTTCGTCGAGTGTAGTGAACGACAAATCAACGTTTTCGTTGATTCGCGGCGAATATCAACAATTATTCGCGAACAACTTTTTTTTAAATACATAACGCCAGAACAACGTTAATATCAACGTTTTGCGCCAAACAACTGCGAATCAACGTTTTTGTATCTTTTTTTCTCTGCTCTGCCATTATATTTCTCTTCTTTTTTTCTGTTAATTTTCGTTCGTGTAGTCTCTCCTTTGGAATTTGCAATTTTCCATTTTTATAAATGTTCAGTCTTTTTTCTGTAATTTTTAGGGATTTTTCCACATATATTCTTACTAGATGGATGAATTTGAAAATGAATTAAGAGTCGCATTCGAAAGCGGCGATCTCGAAGAACCTGTGACACCGTCATCGAAACGTCGAAAATCCGATTTCCTTAAGGGATTAATCTAGGAAGTCCGAAGAGTAGGCGATCATGGAATGAATGTTTGTACTTTCGTGTCTTCCAATTCCTGGAGACATTTCCAAAATCAGAAAAAATATATCTGATTTAGTCAACAAAAATCTTACCTATCTTGGGCTTGACATGTCAAAAATCGTTTTTATTACTGATGAGGGATCTAATGTAAGATAAAGAATCGTTTAAAGAAATTGTTAACAAATATTCTGGAAATCACACAGAGAGAATGGAACGAATTTTTTCCAAGCAAAATCTTTTTGAAGCTTATATTCAAACTGTTTCAATGTTGGAAGCACCTTTGAAAATACTTGAGGTAAAAAATAATATTGAAATTTAGAAAATTTAAATTTTAGGCCGAAAATAAATGTACAATGAACAGATTAATGATAGAAATGATCAAATTGGAAAATGCTTGGAGAGGAGAAGTAAGAGGAGATGATTTAGTCAGAGCAGCTTTAGCCAAAAGTGGATTCTGAATATGATTTACAAGTATGGTTTGATTGGATTCTTGAGAGAACAAGAGAATGTCGAAGTACTAAATTACTCAGGTCTGTATTTCATGAAGAATTTTTTAAGGTATTTAATTGGGTCGTTGGCGACCGGTTTTAAAACCGGAATTTTTTAAATTTTTTGCCAAAAATTAACCGTTTTTAGAAAATTTTAAAAACCGAAAACCGGGGATACCGGTTGATAATCGGTTGCCAACAACCCTAGTATTTAAATTAAAAAGTATAAGTAATATTTTTTTCAAGGCTGCATGGGATGTACAAATTATTTGTAAACCAAAACTTCGTCGTGATTATTCAAAAAGTTACAAACAGAAATTAAAAACGATGATTTGGCCGAGAAAGGACTAGATTTTGAGATGGAACAGTATGAAACTGGATGTAAGAATTTGGGAGGACATAAGCTAGATTTGCTAAAATTTTGGAAAGAAACTTCAAACAAAATTCCACTTCATTACAATCATTATTTAAAGATGGATAAAATTTTGTTGTTTTATATATTTTTTCAATTTTAATAAAAAAATTCCTACTCGTAAAATTCTTTTAAATTCCAAAGGAGAGACTACACGAACGAAAATTAACAGAAAAAAAGAAGAGAAATATAATGGCAGAGCAGAGAAAAAAAGATACAAAAACGTTGATTCGCAGTTGTTTGGCGCAAAACGTTGATATTAACGTTGTTCTGGCGTTATGTATTTAAAAAAAAGTTGTTCGCGAATAATTGTTGATATTATTAAATCAACTTTTTTTTCTTAAGAAAACGTTGATATGTCGTTCCCTAGTCGAGTGGTCTAAAAAGAGTAAAGAAAATAGAGAATAACAGAAAAAATCAATATTAAAAACAGAAAGCCAAAAAAGGACGCTGACGGGCGTAAATTTAAGGACGCTGAAAGGACGCTGAAAGGCGTAAATTTAAAAATTTGTCAAAAAATTTTTTCTTAAAAATTAGTGCTCGGCACCGGGCCGACTACGGCCTGATTTTGCCTGGCACTAATTCAGAGTATTTAATTCAGAGTACGGCAATTGTCCAAAAGTAATTACAAAATTTCACGCGTGCGTTAAAATTTACTTTTTTTCCTTTAGCTTTTAATTTTTTCATTTTAAAAATGTCATATGGCGGTCCAAATGAGCGTTCCCCGTTACTTAAATCGGCAGCTGCAAATACAAGTTTAAATGCTTATAGTGAAACTAATTCAAGTCGAGAAGAAGCTAGACCATTTGGTGAATTGCCTGTAACAGATAATTTGGAACAAAATGGGGTTAGTTTAATTAAAAGTATTTTTTTAAATCTTTTTTTAGTCTGTTTTGTCAAATTCTTCCTATCAAAATCCAGAATTGCCTTCTTTAAGAAGTCCAAATATTAGTGGGTCACCAATTCAACATAATGGGACTAAAAATCCAAAACAAAAAGAAAATATAGACATTCAAAGAGACGGAGAAGAAGATTTTAATTCTGAAGATACTCCAACACAAAATGGTTGTTTTTAATTTAAATATTTTTTAAATAAATTTGTATATTTTTCTAGGTCCAATGGTTGTTTGCCGTGTTTGTGAAACAAATATTCCTTTTGTTGGCAAAACAAATCAACAAGTTGTTCGGTGCTCTCAATGTCATGAGGTTTTTTTTTTTAATTTTTTTGTTAAAAGATTGGGAGTGTTTTTCTTTATTTTTTGACTAAAACGAAATATTAGTTTTTAAATTTAAAATAATAATTCCAAAAAAAATTTTATTTTAAAGGTAACTCCAATCAGAGCAGCCCCACTAGTGAACGACAAATCAACGTTTTCGTTGATTCGCGGCGAATATCAACAATTATTCGCGAACAACTTTTTTTTAAATACATAACGCCAGAACAACGTTAATATCAACGTTTTGCGCCAAACAACTGCGAATCAACGTTTTTGTATCTTTTTTTCTCTGCTCTGCCATTATATTTCTCTTCTTTTTTTCTGTTAATTTTCGTTCGTGTAGTCTCTCCTTTGGAATTTGCAATTTTCCATTTTTATAAATGTTCAGTCTTTTTTCTGTAATTTTTAGGGATTTTTCCACATATATTCTTACTAGATGGATGAATTTGAAAATGAATTAAGAGTCGCATTCGAAAGCGGCGATCTCGAAGAACCTGTGACACCGTCATCGAAACGTCGAAAATCCGATTTCCTTAAGGGATTAATCTAGGAAGTCCGAAGAGTAGGCGATCATGGAATGAATGTTTGTACTTTCGTGTCTTCCAATTCCTGGAGACATTTCCAAAATCAGAAAAAATATATCTGATTTAGTCAACAAAAATCTTACCTATCTTGGGCTTGACATGTCAAAAATCGTTTTTATTACTGATGAGGGATCTAATGTAAGATAAAGAATCGTTTAAAGAAATTGTTAACAAATATTCTGGAAATCACACAGAGAGAATGGAACGAATTTTTTCCAAGCAAAATCTTTTTGAAGCTTATATTCAAACTGTTTCAATGTTGGAAGCACCTTTGAAAATACTTGAGGTAAAAAATAATATTGAAATTTAGAAAATTTAAATTTTAGGCCGAAAATAAATGTACAATGAACAGATTAATGATAGAAATGATCAAATTGGAAAATGCTTGGAGAGGAGAAGTAAGAGGAGATGATTTAGTCAGAGCAGCTTTAGCCAAAAGTGGATTCTGAATATGATTTACAAGTATGGTTTGATTGGATTCTTGAGAGAACAAGAGAATGTCGAAGTACTAAATTACTCAGGTCTGTATTTCATGAAGAATTTTTTAAGGTATTTAATTGGGTCGTTGGCGACCGGTTTTAAAACCGGAATTTTTTAAATTTTTTGCCAAAAATTAACCGTTTTTAGAAAATTTTAAAAACCGAAAACCGGGGATACCGGTTGATAATCGGTTGCCAACAACCCTAGTATTTAAATTAAAAAGTATAAGTAATATTTTTTTCAAGGCTGCATGGGATGTACAAATTATTTGTAAACCAAAACTTCGTCGTGATTATTCAAAAAGTTACAAACAGAAATTAAAAACGATGATTTGGCCGAGAAAGGACTAGATTTTGAGATGGAACAGTATGAAACTGGATGTAAGAATTTGGGAGGACATAAGCTAGATTTGCTAAAATTTTGGAAAGAAACTTCAAACAAAATTCCACTTCATTACAATCATTATTTAAAGATGGATAAAATTTTGTTGTTTTATATATTTTTTCAATTTTAATAAAAAAATTCCTACTCGTAAAATTCTTTTAAATTCCAAAGGAGAGACTACACGAACGAAAATTAACAGAAAAAAAGAAGAGAAATATAATGGCAGAGCAGAGAAAAAAAGATACAAAAACGTTGATTCGCAGTTGTTTGGCGCAAAACGTTGATATTAACGTTGTTCTGGCGTTATGTATTTAAAAAAAAGTTGTTCGCGAATAATTGTTGATATTATTAAATCAACTTTTTTTTCTTAAGAAAACGTTGATATGTCGTTCCCTAGTCGAGTGGTCTAAAAAGAGTAAAGAAAATAGAGAATAACAGAAAAAATCAATATTAAAAACAGAAAGCCAAAAAAGGACGCTGACAAAAGGCGTAAATTTAAAAATTTGTCAAAAAATTTTTTCTTAAAAATTAGTGCTCGGCACCGGGCCGACTACGGCCTGATTTTGCCTGGCACTAATTCAGAGTATTTAATTCAGAGTACGGCAATTGTCCAAAAGTAATTACAAAATTTCACGCGTGCGTTAAAATTTACTTTTTTTCCTTTAGCTTTTAATTTTTTCATTTTAAAAATGTCATATGGCGGTCCAAATGAGCGTTCCCCGTTACTTAAATCGGCAGCTGCAAATACAAGTTTAAATGCTTATAGTGAAACTAATTCAAGTCGAGAAGAAGCTAGACCATTTGGTGAATTGCCTGTAACAGATAATTTGGAACAAAATGGGGTTAGTTTAATTAAAAGTATTTTTTTAAATCTTTTTTTAGTCTGTTTTGTCAAATTCTTCCTATCAAAATCCAGAATTGCCTTCTTTAAGAAGTCCAAATATTAGTGGGTCACCAATTCAACATAATGGGACTAAAAATCCAAAACAAAAAGAAAATATAGACATTCAAAGAGACGGAGAAGAAGATTTTAATTCTGAAGATACTCCAACACAAAATGGTTGTTTTTAATTTAAATATTTTTTAAATAAATTTGTATATTTTTCTAGGTCCAATGGTTGTTTGCCGTGTTTGTGAAACAAATATTCCTTTTGTTGGCAAAACAAATCAACAAGTTGTTCGGTGCTCTCAATGTCATGAGGTTTTTTTTTTTAATTTTTTTGTTAAAAGATTGGGAGTGTTTTTCTTTATTTTTTGACTAAAACGAAATATTAGTTTTTAAATTTAAAATAATAATTCCAAAAAAAATTTTATTTTAAAGGTAACTCCAATCAGAGCAGCCCCACCAGGCAAAAAATATGTTCGTTGTCCTTGTAATTGTCTTCTAGTATGTAAAGCCAGTTCTACAAGGATTGCCTGTCCACGTCAAAATTGTCGTCGTGTAATTACTTTGGCTGCATCTTCTCCCGTTGGGACTGCTGGTTTTTATTAAATTAAAAAATTTATTTTTCAAAAAAAATATAAAAGTTCGTGCCCCCGCTGGTACTTGCCGAGTTCAATGTGTTCATTGTGCTGAGGTTTTTATGTTTAATACACTTGCTAATGCTGTGGCACATTGCCCGCATTGTAAAAATTGGTAAATTTAAAAGAATTTTTTAAAAATATTTTTTAAATTAAAAAAGTTCTTCTGTCGGTGTTCGTTTTGCTCGTTCTCGTGCTGCTTTGAATTTTTTTGTTATGTTTATTTTTCTTTTAATTCTTGCTGGCCTTATAGTTTTTTTTAATTATTTTTTTAAATTTAATTTTTAATTTCTTCAAGTTGGCAATTAATTATTCAAAACAAAATATTGGATTATTTAAATATATAATTTTGGGTTTAGTTGCTTTGGTTACTCTTTTCTTCTTTTATCGTTTCATTTATTATTATTGGAGATTGAAGATTAGCCAAGTTGGTTTTTTTTAATTTTTAAAAATTTAAGAACCCCTAAGATATTCAATAAGGGTTAAAAATTCAAATTTCATAAAAAAAGGGGGGGGGTATAAAAAACATCTGGAGACCCAAATTTTCATTTCGAGATGTTGAGATTAATACTTTCTTTTATTTTTTGGTTTTCACGTGCAAAATTCTTTTTATTTATTTATAGTACAAAAATTTACTTTTTATTTTTCTTATCTTTTTATGATAATTCAAAACAAATGAAAAGAAAATTTTAGGGGAAAGTAAAAAAAGAAAATTTAATCTAATAAAATAAATAATTTTTTGGTTAAAAATATTTTTTAGGTTCTTGGGCCTATTTGATGAAATTTTTGTGGAGGGGATTAATTTTGTATAGCAACGAAAACTTAATTTTATATTTTGTGATTGCCAAAATGTGTCTTTTCTGACTGAAATTAAATTTAAAGATTCGAAAAACAAAAAGAAATTTTTTGGAGGGTGCCTTATTAAATAAAATTGTATTTTAAAAAGTATTCTTTCTCAAAAAATATAAATATTCTACCCAAATAAATTATATCCCTCTCTCCCTTTAAAAATAAAAGGAAATAATTTACTTGATGATTGATTTTACTTAAATATCTTTAAAAAATGTCAAATAATTATTTCCTTTTTTCAATTTTAAAAATGTTTGTATTTTCCCCATTTTTATAAAAATTTCCATTTTTTTATTAAATTTGTAGTTTATAAAAATAAATATATTTTAATTAATTTTGTAGAACCTAAACTATCTTAAAAAATTATTCTGACAATTTTTGTATTTTTAATTTAAAACGCTAATATTTAAAATATTTTTATTTACAAAAATATATCTTTTGGAGAGTTCGACACTGTGCCGGGCCTAGGATCGGTTTTACGGGACCGGTAAACATAAAACCTGGTATTTTTAATAAAATCTGGTTTTATTGGGTATAAACGATTTTTCCAAACTGAAAAAATGGGTCTGGGCCCGGTTGTAAAATGGACCAGTTTAGAAGAAAAAAACGGATACAGAGCCCGACAATTTGGAAATGTCAAACTATTTTTTAATTTAAAAACTCAAAAAAGTCTTTTCTTCGTTGCAGTAAATCGTTTTTCATAATTTTCATATCCTGGAAGTGATTGAAATTCTCTTTCTTGAAACAAATTTCCGTCAAAAGAAATTAAAGAAATTTGTGAATTTGTTAAAAGTTCCTTTTAAAAAAAGAATTTAAATTAAAAATTAATTAAAAACTAAAAATTACATTAGTAAAGCATTCTTTAGCCAAACAATTTTCATCAACTCTGAGTGTTTTAAGTCTTTCACATTTTTCCAAATTTGAAGCATTTAATGAAGCCAAACGATTTTTTTGTAAATTTAATTCAATTGCCCGCAAATTACAAATCTTTTTTTAAAAAATAATTTTAAAATTATTTGATTTTAAATTTTCTTAGTTAAGGCTAATTTTTATTAAATAAAAAGTTAAATTTCTGTTTTAAAAATTTTTCTTAATCAACCATAATTTATTGTTAGCTAAACCAATTTCTAAAACTGGGAATATATCTTGGGCATAAACAGGCAATATATTAACTAACCTCATTAGGAAGTCCAGTAATTGTATTTCCAGATATATCCAACAATTCCAATTTAATTAAACAAGTCAAAACTATCGGAAATTCTTTTAAACGATTATTTGAAATAGAAATATTTGAGAGTGATGAACAACCAGCTAATGATTCTGGTAACTAAAAAAAATAAATTTTAAATACCAAAGGAAGGTAGAAGAGATGGAGGTATTGGAAATCAAAAAAAGAGGGGGGGGGATTAGGAAATAACCCCAAACGATGGAATTTTGAATTAGGAAATTTTTTTATAATTTTTCAGAATTCAGATCCCAAATTTAATACCAAAAAATTATTCAAAAAAACATAAACATCCCTCCAACCAAGAAATAAACAAACAAAACTTTTTCCAAATAATTTCCAGAAACATTCAAAACCTCCAATTTCCTCAAACACCCCAATTCATCAGGCAATTCACTTAATCTATTTTCACTTAAATGTAATTGTCGAAGCATAACAAAATTGCCAATCGAAGGGGATAAAAGTTTTAATTTATTTGAAGTTAAATCAATTGTTCTCAATTCTTCTGATAACTTTTTCAAAAAAATAAGAATAATTTTAACTAAAAATATTTAAAAAAACCTCATCAATTAACGGCGACATTATTTTCATTCCTGTCCCTTTTAAATTTAAAGTTTTGCTTTTTTTAGCTTGTTCCAAAGCTTTTTGAATTATTGCTGTAGATGGCTTTTCTCCAACTGATTTAATTACTTTTTGAATTTTTTGAGTTGTTGAAGATGATGAGGATGGATTATTTGAAGTATTTTCGACATTTCTTCCATCTGATTTTGTTGATTCATTTCCCATTGAAAGGTTTTAAATATAAAAAAGAAAATTACCTAATTAAAATGTCATCAAATCGCCGGGACAGAGTTTGGAGCCCGATTAACTAATTTTTTAAACAGTTATCACGCTCTCTAGTGACCCAACCGGAAATTTAAGCCTTTTCAGAGTACAGTTACCGTATTTGCTAAAATAATTACACAGGGTAATTATTTATTGTTTCAACCTCTCGTTGGAGGGAGTAATTAAAAAGGAGGGGGTAATTATTTGAGAAAGGGACATTATTTAAGCATTTACGGTAATATATAGTATTTTTGATGTATAGTTTCCATGGTTACCCGAATTTACAAATTTTAAATACCCCATCTATTTAGTACATGTTAAAAATAAAAAATGTTATTCCCAAAAATATTTGGTATTGGAATTGGGGTAGTTATTTTAAGTTTAATTTGGGTATTTTGTTTATTTGGTTTTTTTAATTCTACACGTAAAAAAGGAATGTAAGTATTTACAGTCATCGACATAAAGATAGGGGCAAGTGTAAATGAAATGAAAATTGACTATTTTTAAGTCAAAAAATAGGTTCTATATAGCAATCGAAAGCTCTATTCGTATCTCAGTTGACATGTTTCTACATTTTTCATGAAATTGAAAATTGGCCGAGATAATCCGGATCTACCGGATATACCAAATCCCATAATCTCGGAAAAATTTTTCGGAAAAAATTTAACAAACCCATTTGATAAAGAATATTTTTGTGAGTATTTACCAAAAAACCGCTTAGAAATATCTTTTTCCGGTCCAGAGATATGATTTTTTGAAAATGGCATTTTTCGCCTATTTTTGCAAAAAATTCAATTTTTAAGGGAAAAATGCCATTTTCAAAAAATCATATCTCTAGTCCGGATAAAGATATTTTTAAGCGGTTTTGTGGAACATACTCAGAAAAATATGCTTTATCATTTGGGTTTGTTAAATTTGTTCCGAAAAATTTTTCCGAAAAAGTGGGATTTGGTATATCCGGTAGATCCGGATTATCTCTGCCAATTTTCAATTTCATGAAAAATGCAGAAACATGTCAACTGAGATACGAATAGAGCTTTCGATTGCTATATAGAACGTATTTTTTGAATGAAAAATAGTCAATTTTCATTTCATTTACACTTGCCCCTATCTTTATGTCGATGACTGTAAATAAAATTTAAAAAAAATTATTTTTATTTATTTAAAGACAATTGGGAATTATTTATTTAATTTTTGGTTTATTTTTAACATTTATTTTAATTTTATGGCCAAGAGAAGAATGTAGCAATAAACAAAATATTCACAAAAATTATTCAGGTATTTTTTAAAAAATATTTAAAAATTAATTTTTTTTTAAATAGAAAATGCCCAACAAAAAATCTCAATTGATTTACTTGCAATTCCACGTTTATTAATTTGTTTATTTTTTATTTTTATATTTTCTTTCTCTTTATTTAAATTATTAAATAATTATTTATTTAATTTTTATTCCCTTCCTCCACAAAAAAATTTATTTTAAATTAAACTTTTATTTTTGATAAAAAAATTTTCTTTAATTATTTTTTATTTTAATAATAAAATTCTAAAAAAATTCTAATTTCTATAATATTAAGTATTTTGTCATTTTTTAATTAAAATTTAGTTTCTTCTTGACCATTTAATTTATGTGAAAAAGAATTAATTCTTTTAATATTTTTATTTTTCTCATTATCATTTTGTAAAATTCCTTTTATTTGTTGATCATTTTGTAAAGTTTCTGGTCTTTTTATAATAAGGGATTGAAAAGTTAAAGACTCTAATAATATATGACGGAGAGCATTTGTTGACTGAAAAAATTAAAAATTTTATGCAGTAATCGGAGTTTAATCGGAACAGACGGATGTGTCGGAAATTGAACTACCCCAAATGTCGGAACTTAGATATTTTAAAAAATTTTCGGAAATAGGAAGAAAATCCAAAAAGTTTTTTTTATTTTATATATAAACCTTTACCAATTGAACATCAGCCATTAATTCGTATTGAGCACGTTGATGGAGAGCATCCAATGCTCGAAGAGCTATATCAGCATAACCATTAATTAATGCAAAATTTAATCCATTAATTGACTCGATAAAAAAATGTGAAGGAATACTTCGAATTCTTGACTTTCTTTTAAAATAATTTAGACAAATTTTAATTTTGGAAAAAAAACCTGCTAAAATCTGCCAAAATTTCAGTAGAAGCCTGTTCTTTAAGTATTCTTTGTCTAAAATCACTTTCTTGAAAAGAAAATCCACTTCTACAAATATATAATAAAGAATGACATAAAGATCTACAAACAACTTCTGTTGCCATATTTGATAAAAGTTGATTAACCTTTAAAAAAAATTTTTTTTGAATATTTCTAATTTATATATTACAGTTCTAGTTAATCTTGTAAGCACTAAAAATCTATTTTCGGCAACAATTCTTTCAATTGCTGGGAAAGGGCCTATTTGAACAGTACTTTTTGAACGACCCTTAAAATTTAAAAAAATACTCTTTTTTTAAACTTTAAAAACAAACTCTTTGAAATAATCCACCAGTTGTAGAACTACAAGCTCCGTAACTACTACTTATTCCTGTTGAAGTTGTTGGCGTTGTTGCAGAAATAAATTTTTGATTTTGTCCATCTAATCTTGCTGAACTTCCAATTGTTTTAAGTGGCTGTTTTTTCTTTTAAAAATATTTAGATTTAAAAGGATGCGATTTTTGAAAGAAATTTTGCTAAAAAAATTCTCTATGACGTCCAAAAAGGACAAGAAATATAAAAAAATTTAATTTTCACCAACTAATTCAGTCGTTTCTTCAGGTAAAACACAAATTTGAATGCTACTACTACATTGTGCAATATTTCCATAGCCACCAATTTTTAAATTATTCTGCCCTGTAGAAGCACTGTTAGTTACTGGTTTGTGTGGAATAAGACGAAGGGAGGGAAGAGAAACTTCATCAAACTAAAATAAGTTTAGAAAAAATAAATACAAATATTTACAATAATTACTCTTTTAGCCATTGAAGGAGTACCAGGGCCAGCAGCTAAAATTTCCTCATTGTAGATTGCAAGAAAAAACATTTCTAGCATTTTTGCTGAAGCATTCCAACGCTTTGTTAAAGACTAAAAAATAAAAATACTTTGTTGTTTTAAAAAAACCTTTAGGTAAGCATGGATAAATGTTGGGACTAATTGAAGAACAAAACAACGAGCTATACCTAAAAATGACTGTGTAATTTATCGAGAACTTTAACAATATTTATCGAAAATTTTTAATTTTGTTTTTTCTTATTCAAATCCACAATTTTCCTATTCGCTAAATAGTCAAAGTATTTATTTTTCCATGGTAGATTTTTAATTTGGAAATTTAACAGAAAAAGGTTGCGGACTTTCCCTGATTAAATTTTAGAAAATATTAAAATTTATTTACAAAATATTCCAAAAACAAACCAATTTTGTAGTAAAGAGAAAGTATTTGTGTTATCAGAGGTTCACTAAGTCTAGGATCATCAAAATTACACATAAAATAATTAAGTAACATATTCGTTTGTGGTGCCAATTTTGAGAGAATTTTACTCCATTTTTGAGCTTCTGGGCCAGTTGACAGAAATGCCTTAAATATTTTTAAATTTTAGAGAAAATAATTCTAAAAACTTGTTCTCGTTGATTTCTTCCACTGTCATTAAAGAAAATTTCGTGTAGATTAGCAAGCCAGTCTTGAAGCTGTTCATTGTTCATTTGTTTAAATTTTTAGAAGATTCTTCACTGAAGGGCAAGAAAGTACTCAAAATTTATTCTGACCCAAGAATAATTGAAAATAAACATAAATCAGTATATATTTAAAAATATAATTATTATAATTAAAAACAACATTTTTCAAAAATTTATAACTAACAAAAATAAAAAGTTAAAGTAAAAATATTGCCATAAACAATAAATAATTTAAAACCAAAAAAAGTGAAGTTTAAATAAATAGAGAAAGAATTTTAAAATAATTTTAAATGTGTTCATTTAAAAAAAATTAAAATAAATATAAATTTGGCTATAATTGTTAAATAAATTAAAGAGAAAACAAAAAAAGTTTTCAAAAATATTAAAACCATCCAAAAAGACAAAAAAAATCAAAATAAATATTTTACGTATTTCCTAGTCAAAATTTAAATTTTGTCTGTAATCTTTACATTTCCATTGCCATTATAATAAATCAATTCAGCCGTCCCATCTTCTGATTGTTTTATACCATTTGAACGTTGATAATAATTCTTTTTATAATTATACCAATTCTTGTATTGAGAACTATAACGATGATCTCGCTGCTGCAAACGTGGCCGAAAATTATTTGAATTACAATTGCTGGTTGATTGTTGTGGTGCCTCTTCTTGATTTTTCACCTTTATATAAAAATTTATATTTTTTTGATTATTTTGAACCCTTTCGCTGAAGGAAGATTGAGAGGGAGGGGGAATAAAAAATAATTGTATATGTTAAGATTAATCATCAAAACAAACAAATACTCATAAAAAGCCCTATTCTACAATATATTCTTTAAAAAATTTAAAATGATGAACAAATACTTAAAGTAAAAAAATATTTAACCTCCGGCTCAATTCCTTTTGACTCTTGCTCGTCCTTATTTTTTTGTTTCTCATTTTCCGTTTCTCCTTCTTCTTGTTGTTTTGTAGTCACATTACTAACAACATTAATATCAAGGCTGTCGCCAATATTTCCCTCACTAAAATCAAAAAAGTTTAACAATGAAAACCAAATAATTTAGATTATGGAAATCCTTAATCCACAAAAAATACCAAAGCTCAATGAAATCCTCCTAAAAATTTTTTTGTCACACACTCCCCAATCCCCAAAGTTAAAAATTTTAAGCGACAGCCCTGGCATTGCCATTTTCTTTATCGTCTTCGTTGTCACTCCATCCACTAGACGAGCCCCAATCATCTTCAGGTGAACGTGCCGGCAATGGCTGGCATGTAATTGGATGTTCAGAAAGAACTAAAACTTGGTATTGTGGCCGTGGGCGAATTCTACGATTGTTATTGTTGTAATTCCATCCATGATTATTTCGTCGACGTTCACGTTGGTTATTGGCACTCTCTCGGTCACTATCATCGGAACTTAAAAAATATTATTTAGAGAATCTCTTTAAAAAATTAAAACAAACACAGGCATAGGCAAAACAACTGGTGGGGGGCTAGCCATACCTCCCCCTCCACCACCCCAACCTCCAATGTCATCAAAATCCCAATTATCTCCATCTCTAAAAGGTGAAATATGCCCATCTTGTTCTTCAAGTTGATAAGAAGCTATCTGGTTATTTAGATCAGAACGAAGTTCCTCCAACTAAAAAATAAAAATAACAAAGAAAAATTAAAGAAAAAGAAAATCCTACTTTAACTAAAATATCTCTATAAGTATCCCCAGCTTGACGTAATTGCGCTTCTACTGCAGACATTTCACAACGCAAATCTTGAACCCGCTTATCTAATCGACGTTGAAGAGTGCCATAAGTAGGCCAGTTGTGGACAAGAGCATCAAACGTTGAAACCTAACAATAAGAATGTAAACAAAAATTTAAAAAAACCTCTTCATAAAAATATTCTAAATTTGCGGGGCCAATAAAATGTTGCGATCCCGGCCATTCATTTTCCACTTGTTGCTCATCTGCTATTTTTTCCTCAAGTGTTGGTTCAGAATCAATGTCATTAACGAGAATATTCATCCATTCCAAAAGTTCTAAAATTTAAAAATATTTTAGATAAATTTGCCGCATTTGAACCACTGATATAATAAAAAATTACCCGTCAGAACAATATTCTTCCCAAGTCGTTTATAATTGGCATAAGTGTTCTTGCGACATATCCCACACTGAATAGTACTTTTGTTCATACCCAACTTCCGGATGCAAACTAGACAAAATGTGTGGCCACAGTTTAATGAAATGGGGCATCGAAGACATTTTGAATAAGGCTAAGGGCAAATACTTTCTTCTAAACTTTCAAAAACTAAAAATACCTCAAAACAAATTTTGCAAGAAAATAAAGCACGAGTTTCAGAATTAGGCAACTCAGAGCAACGTTCATGTACATTTTCAGACATAATTGTCGACATGGTTACTGTCCTCTGTAAATTAAAATTTCTTATAATTAAACAAAATTGATTAGAAATAATTAAAGCAAAAGTGTAATGCTATAAAATGAACAAAACAAAAATAAAAAAAATAAAATTGTTTTTGTTGTAAAACGTATAAAATTAAAGATTAATTTTTAAGTAAAGTAAAAGACAGGAATGATTTAAAGTGAAAAAAATAATGAGCAAATGTGTGCAATAAATACTTCGTTTTTTTTAAAAAAGAAAGGAATTTTTTTAAAGAAAAGTACATAAAAAGATTGAAGATTAAATAAAGTTTTTTATAAAAATTTATTTTTTAAGGCAATTCTCTTCTGGATAAAGCTTTTCAATAAGAAGTTGATATAACGAATCTGCATCGGTAAGGCAAAAATTGGAGGAATTAATAAAATATTGTTCAGCTTCTCCAAAAACAAAATTAAATTCTGAATAAAATTTGTTGTTTTGTAATTCTCGGAAAGAAATTAATTTATTATTGAAAACATGCTGGCCACGTTGAATTCTCGGTAATTGCTTGGAAGATGTTAAGTTTTGAGAAATGAACAAATGAATAATATTTGTAATTAATTTTAGTCTGAAAAAATGATTACAATTTAAGTTCTTAAAATCAGTTTAAACCTTGTAGAAAATAATTGTCGACGTGCTAATCTATTTGTAACAAGTGAAAGAATTCCCCCACTAACACTCTCCTCTGTATAAACTCGATGAAGCCAGCTAATATATTCATCAAAATAATTGTAGAATAACACTAGAGAAGGATTTGGAAGTGTAAATAGACTAATACAAATTCTTTGCCATTCTCTGACACAAAGAATAAAAGAAGGCTCGGATTTGGTTACAAATCTAAAAATAATAATAATAAAATATTTTAAATTGTAATAAAAATATACTTTGGTTTAATATTCAAAAGAAAATGAGAAAGCCGTTTTAATCTTGACAATAGCGCAGTTTCCTCAGTCTTAAACTTGTTCTGTTCTAAATATGCGTAGAGAACAAGAAAACGTGGACTAAAATGAAAATGTTTAGTAATTTACTAAAAAAATACAACTTTGGAACAATAAATAGTTGATCAATCTGATGTTTCGACAATTGAACCCATTTAGAAATTTCATTCCAATTATGAGAAATGATACTATTATTTCCTTTAAAATAAAGAGTTGAAAATAATTATTAATTAAAGTTTACTTTTAAAATAAGCATTTATACAACTTTCAGCAATTCCGAGACTAAATTGATCGTCTAACTCATTAGGAATTTTCTCAAAATTTTTTGAAATATTAGCAAAGAGAAGTATAAGAGGAGAGTCAGGATGTGCTTCTATCCATTCAGTAAGTTTAGAATATAAATGTTCAATAAATGTAAGGCACTTTTTCTCTTGTATATTGCCTCGATGCTGATTAAAATATTCAGCCCAAATTTTAATAAATTCACAAACAAAATCCTGATATTCTAATTTGTTATCTGTAAAGAAAAAATTATGCTTTGCGTTGAAAAATTATTTTATTCTATAACCTGCAGAAACTACAAGAAAATTGGCTTTATCCAAAAGTTCAGAATAATATTTTAACTTCTGGTCCGATTCAATTGTATTTGAAGAAAGTCGAAGAAGGAGGGTCAATTGAGTTCGAATGTAAATTGCCTGCTTTTTTGGTATTTCCAATTCTTTTTGAGAAATTTGTGACGGCAAACGCACATAAAATGAAATTTTTAAAGAAAATACTTTCTAGATTTATCGGGTTATCCGCCCCCATTTCTTTTTTTGTATTTTCTTTTATCTTTCTCAAAAGGATCGATTACAAATGACCAAATGCTTATAATTTGGAAGGTCTTTGAGGATCCACAAAATTGAGACACAGAAAATCGAAGACTTAGAAAGCTATTTTTCGTTTGTATGACAGGCATGATTACAAAAAAATATTTTCTGCCAGTGTAAGTAATAAAAATATGGCGATAAACCCATCAGAACATTGTTATATTTAAAATACCGGAATCGTAGAAACATGACAAACTTGTCGCCAAATTTCTAAAAAATATTGTTGAGCCTCATCTAAAGAATTATTTCCAGTAAACCAGTCTTCTGAATTTGGAAAAGTAGTAGATAGAAACGTTCCGACCTTTTCAATTGCTTCAGACTTCACGTAAACCCATTGACAATTATCACTAAGAAATTTAATTTTGTTGCACATTGTAGCACGAGAGCGCTTAAAAACAAATCATAATTAATTAAATAATAGCCTCTCTACTTTATAATTTGTCCTTTTCACAATACATTTAACAATTATTGAAAGCAATAAAGAATGAAATGTTCGAGTTGCATCCAATGGATGATATCCACACAAATATTGTTCTACAAGACCAGGCCAAGGTAACCGAACAAATATTTCAACAATTAAAGATGTAATATAATTATTACAAGAAGAGGATTCAGTTAATTTATCAGAATAATCTAATAATTGATCAAAAGTACCAAAATCGAGCAAAGTTGGCCAAAACCGGCTCCAATTTAATGCAATTAATTTACTTTCCTTTAAAAATATTTTAATATTTAATTTGAATTTACAAAAACATACATAAACAGAATAAATATAGAGTAAGTTAGCATTTTGAGCTCCACTACTTCTTACATTTCTAAATTGTTCATTGACAAGTTTCGAAGTAAAATAATTCCAAAAGAGAGATTCTGGACATTCACGATCTGGTGGAATATAAAGAGAATGAGGAAGCCAAAGAAGAAAATGAATAAATTGTTCAATTATTTTTGAAGCAATTAAAGTGTCGTTGTTATTCCAAGGTGGCAAGTTTGAAATTGGAATAGGTTCAAGTAATGATGACCAACATTTTAGAGAAATATGAAAAACTTTATCCAATTCTTAAAAGTAATTATAATTTAAAAATAAAAAAAAATTAATTTTAACCTTTCTCCATAATTCCAGCAGGAGCATCAGCACGAAAAGAAAATCGAACATATGAACGAAGAAAAAACTCAGACAATTTACAAATATGTTCTAGATAAGGCGACCACACAGTAAAAAGACTTGTGGTTAATTCTCTTCTTGAGGAAATTAATTGACCTTCAATTACGTTAATACATTCCAAAGCCTGAAAAAAAAATTAAAATTTAAATAAAAATTAATTAAAAAAAACCTTTTCAGCATCTAATTCTAAAAACTCTGAATTCACATTCTTCGAATTTTGTTGATTTAATAAAGAATAATCTTTTGATAATATTGAGTCGATATCTAAATGTTTCGAAATATTATCAAAAAGAGACACAGGAATATAATGTTTATCACAGCCACTCAAAGCCAGACGAAGTCCATTTGTGAAATTAAATGGAAAATGATGAAACATACTAAAATTTACAGAAAAATCGGTAATCTTTTTAAATTTAACTAACGTATGTAAATAATGTGATAAACAAAGCTCTTGTAGAGATTCATCGTTTGAACTTCGACTAATTGTTGCTGCAACCAAATTTTCGAACATAACGGGAATTAATGACTGAAATTGATTGCTTGGCAGCTGTCTTCCAGCATGTTCAATGTCTAAACGACGGAGCAAAGAAAGTGCAGCTTTTGAAGTGTTAGGTTGTCGAACAGCCAAAGATAAATTAGAATAAAGTTTGGCAAGTAAATCTGGAGGTTGGACACAATGTGGAGTAAAATGTTCTACCAATAGATGATTAAGAGGATTTCCTGCAAGAACGACAGCCATTAAATTCATTTGCTCTTCAGGCCTATTTGCAATAAAAGTCTGAAATTATTTATGAAATATTAGAAAGTTTCCAAGTTTTATTATTATTATTACAGATCCAAGGTTTTTCAGACAAGCAGACAAAACATCCATTCCTGTTGGAAATAAAAGTTGATCTCCTTGAACATTTGAACAAATCCCATAGAATAGACGTAGGCCCATTTGCAAAAACTGCTGCCTATCATTATCCGAAAAGTTTGAAGATAAATTAGGCAAGGTAGAACACGAATAAAAATACTTTCGTAGATCTCTAAAATTGTGAAATTTAGGTAAATAAGATTTAAATTTTATGATAAAAATATTATTACGTGCAAAGATATTCAAGACGAGCAGATATTAATGCCAAATGATTTGCTCTAGAAAGTATTTTTGCTGTCTCAAATTCTCGTTTTTGTCTATTGTCATTCATTTTGTCGGCAATTTCTTGTTGATATTCAAAAGGTTTTACCTAACAAAATTAAGACGTGTAAGTAATATTAAATAAACAAAACCAATTGTTCATGTATTCCAGGTCTTGGACAATTAGTTACTTGTAATATATTTCCACATCGAAGAGTAATTTGTAATTTCCTTTCAAATTGCTTATATAATTGTTTAAAAAGTTCAATATAAGTTAAATTTGATTTATCAACAAAATCTTTTATATCCAAAAATGATCTAAAAAATATAAATTTATTTAAAAAAAAAAGAACTAAAACTTGGCAGCAATATTTAATTCTTCCATGCGTGAAATAAAACGCTGAACTGTATCAGATGAAGGATCGGAAAAGCTTGTAAAAGGATTAAAAGATTTAAATCCGAAAGTTGATTTGTTTTGAATAAAATCAAAAATTTTGTCAGGAATTGGCAATTTTGTATCAATAATCAATACAGGTTTTGGCTTTACATTATCTATATTTTCGACGTTTAATTCAAATGAAGCGAAGAATTCAGTCAAATTTTTATATTCTTTATTGAATTGTTTAAAAGAAGCGTTAGAACCATTTGATAAATGACATAATTTGACAAAAAGCTGTAAAAACAGAAAATAAGTATATGTATATGTAGGTATGACAATTTCCCTTATTTCGAGTTTTTAATTCCGAAAATTTTGTTCCGGAATACCTTTGATATGTAAAAGTGTATTAAATATTTACGTTTGCTCGTTGCTGAAGAGACTTTCCATGTTGTGTTTGATCAATAAACTCTTCCCAAATTTGCTAAAATTAACTCAACTATTACAGAAAAACATTAAAATTACCATATTGCCAGAAATAATTAATTGAAGTAAATAATCCATAGGCAAATCACAATAACTACTAATTGGTAGTGAAGCCTCAAAACAACGCTCAGAACTTATCCACAAATCAAAAGCTCTTAATAAAGCATTTGTTTGAATTGGAGCAGTTGAAGGATTAATTCTATCATCACTGACATTACTACTTGAATTGCTATTTTTATGTCCATTAGAAGAATTTTGCAAAACATTTTTACGAAATTCATCAAATAATTTTTCACTTTGCTTGCATTTGTAAAATTGCAAACCCGGACAGAAAATGGTCCTTAAAGTAAAATAATTAAATTAACTAATTAATTAAAAAATACATTCCAGATTTCCTTCGTTGGAATAAATTAATAGCCAATTGTTGAAGTGCTAAAGTAAAAACAGGATGTTTGAAGTCTTTTGTGGAATCACTGGATTCGATACACAACTGAAGCCAACGAAAATAAGGTAAATTATCTACAGTAAAATTAATTCCAGATTTTGAAGAAGCTTTCTAAAAATTAACACATTTTTCATCACAAAAAATTTCAAACCTTCACAACATCTTCGAGAGAACGATTAGAATATTTTGGAAATGATTCGTAGAACTGAGCAAAAAATTCAGAAAATTCTTGTTGCTCAGCACAAAGTAATAAATAAGTTGCCCATTTTGAGACAGAAAAAAGATTTGAGCTAATAAGTTGAGGGCGAATATTTGATGAAAACCAAGAGAAAGGACCAGAAGAAGACTTCTTCCATTGCTGATTTTGTATTTTATATAATTTTTGCACCAGCTCAATTGTTCCAAAAAGTTCATTATGGTCAAAGAAAAATGCACATTCTGTTAAACATCCAATTAAGAAAAGAATATTTTTATCATCATTCCATTTATAGTTTGGTTTTTGACATGTTAACAATTGAAGCCAAGTTAGTGTTAATTCCCTCCTTTGCTCAATTTGAATGTTAGAAGTATATATTTGATACTGTAAAAGTTTAATTTAAACAATTAAAAATAATTGTAATATACAATGATTGCCGAAGAGAGAAAAGTTATTACAGGACCAGGAAATTTATCACCACCAGTAAAGATCTGTAAAGCATTATAAGCATACGATGTGTCGTCGGCATGCAAAAGGCGTTCAAAACATTCACAAAATCTTTAGAAAAAAATAATTAAATTACTTAAGGATATAAACAAACATCAAATTTCCCGTAAGTAAATGAATACGTGACGAAAATGTAGCTACTGCACGTACCAAAATAACTAAAGCCGCATAATGACATGAAGAATTAACTAATTCCAAAAAGTAACTAATCCCAGTCAACACAAATTCATTTGGGCTAAAAATAAGTTTAATTTACAGAAATATTAATTTTAAAATCACCAAGAAAGGCATTTTTGTATGCAATAAACAAAAAATGCCGTGAGATCGTTTGGAGAAGAAGGTGCATTCAACTATTAAATAAAATAATAACTTAATGTAAAGTAAAATTAACATTTTCTGATATTTTAAGTTTGATTAAAATATCCCAACAGAATCTATCAAACATTTGTTCAAGATCTGGACATTTGGTTGCCAAACGAGAAATTTTGTTAAGAGGCTTAGAAATAAGACTATTTCGTTGTTTACAATGAACAAAATGTGCCTTTTAAGAGAATATTTAAAAATGAGAAAATGGAGTAGAATATGTACTTTAACTAATGTTTCAGCACAGATATTATGGACTTCTATCGGGATCGAAACATCAGCAAATGTTGATGACCAATTCATTGAAGAGAAAACTAACCTGTAAATTGAAAAAGTTAATCATTTAATAAAAGCAATTCTCTGAAAAAAATACCTCGCAATAGCGGATGCTGGATGATTAACTGGTCTCTGAATAAGCCATTTACCAAGTCGGTCAGTGACATCTTCACAACAAAGAACACATTTATTTAAAGGAACATTTTTGAGAATATTAACGGTATAATCATCTAAATGGTCCACATAACGATCAATATATCTCAATATAGGACTAAAAATAATAGAATATATTTAAAGCCTTTCAATAAGACCTGAGCAAATTTGGATTTCTTTCAAGCAAAATGGCCATTGCTTCAGACCCAACCTTATATAAACTTTGTCGTGTATTTTCATTAAGAAAACAAATATCAATTAATTCAGTAACAAAATGCAAAACATCTTGTTCAGAATGAGAAACAATTGATGCCAAAGCTTGTACAGTATAAGTAATATCATCACTTTCTCGCAAATTTGTGCCACTACCCAATTGATCAACTAATGGGGAACAAGATTTTAATGTATTAAGTAATTGACAATCAGGAATTAAATAAAGAGAAGAAACTGTTGTAGAATTTTTATTTGGCAATTCACGAAGTAATAATTGACAACGAAGACGACAATTTTCAGTTATAGTGTCATATGGAAGATTAACGAGAAATTGACGAATTGCCGCGCTAAAAAAAGATTTAAAAAATTTAATTAAAATTTTAATACTTATTCTTTGAAGTAAGATAAAATATCGACTGTAGCATAACTCTATTCACTTCATTTTGCATTAAACGTCTTTCAGTATCTTCTAAATCTGTCCGAATTAAACGCCAATATGTGCAAAAACAAACAATAACTTTGCTAAAATTAAAAGTAAAATTGTTCAGTTAATACCTATTTTACCTAATAATATCAGCAATTCTTTTAGAAAATCCAGGCATTGCACAATAAGTGTTAAGACCATCATCAAGAATTTTAATAAGAGTTCCAACAAAAGAAACCAGAGAACAAAGAATTTGGAGTCGAATACCTTCTGAAAATTAAGAAACCCGTCAATATTTTATTTAAAATCCTTACTATGTATTAAAGTAAAATATCGAAAAGCAATGCCAAGTAATGGCCTCACAGTAAATTGAGCAAGCACTTCAATTAAATTTGCTTCGCTTATATCAGTCAATTTTCCATCTTCCTAAATAAAGTACTATCTAATATTTTTAAGAAACAATAAATAAACCATTTCTCCACTTTCAGAGACCATATTCCAACTATTTTCTCCTTCATAAAATCGAGTGATTGGCATTAAAAATTGATCACGATACCTGTGAAAATAACACAATATAAAAATTGACTGACGCAGTCATTAATTTTGTAAGTGTACAAAGAAATTCATATTTTGAATTATATTAGAGCAGAACTTTTCATATCGCGATTTTATCGCAACAGGGGTATACCCGCTCCCGAATGTTTGTTTTATCAACTAACGAGGATGAGATTAAAGATCGATCTACACTGTCCGTGTTTGTAATAAATGAACAGGCTGAATAACCTTGGATCATTTAGGTGAGATTAAATACACAAATAAAATAATTATGACAAGAGACTGAAACCCCAGACAAAAATATTCATATTTACTAAAAAAAACAAAACTTGCTTTATTGGTTGCATTAACATGTTAAGCATAGCAACAAAGTTGTCAATTGGTTTCTTTAATTCAAGAGTTGGGGTTGTCAAAAAAGTTTGAACCAAAGGAGCAGCCCAGTTTTCCAAAGGAGATGGAGTTCTTAAAATATGAGCCAATAAAAAGAATTGATCTTCACTTTTAGGAACGTCAAGTAAAATGGCAGCCTTTAAAATAGCATAAAAATTATTAATATTTTTAACAACATTAAAAACCAATTGTGTCATCCAATTAATTATAGATTGACGAAAGCGTTGTGGAATAAGAGGAAATCGTAAAAAATGAAACAAGTCAGACAACGCACCTCGTATTTCTCGTCTTATTGATGCTTAAATTAAAATTTAAAAAAATCAAATTAAAAATCTCTCACATTGTTCCAAAAGTCCAGACTCTCTAGAAATATTATTTTCATTGTAAAAACGTTCTCTCAATTCTGATATTGTCCACTGAATCTGGAATACGAGAGAACTGGCACGAACATTCTGACATAGACCAACATCAAGTTCACAGATAACTAAAGTATCCATAGCTTCTTTAAGTTGTATAAGCAATTCTGGGTGAATTTCTGCTTTTTGGTAATGAGTCTCTCCATAACCAACTCTATCACAACCACACTTACCCTAAAATTATATTTTTTCAACAAAGAATTTTAAAGTATGTAAATACCTGATGAACAACTTTATGATTGGAAATAGTCCAAACTCTTTCATTAACATTATGTGTTTCAGCAAGTTTTGAAGTTTTCAAATCATCATTTGATTGAATTTTTTCACAAGCATTTTTATATGCAATTAATAAATCATAAAGATTATAACGTGGTTCCAACTCGCTCTAAAATTAAATATAATTTTGTTTATTAAAAATATTTTACTTCATAAAAAGAATCAATAAAATCGTCAATAATCTCCAATTGATCATTATAATAAAATTCTAATAATTGCTGTTCACTAAGTAATTCAGCTTCACCCATTTCAGTTGATAAAGGTAAAGCACCAATCTCTTTCAAAGATGGATATTCTGATATATTAAATTTAAAAAAATTAAAAAATATAAGTCATACCAATTTGTGAGACTTCAATAGAATGCAGATTGATTGAAAAATCATTAATATCAGAAATTAAAGGATACTTTGGTAAAGAAATATTTTGCTCACAAATGACTGGCGTAGTCTCCTGTTGGAATTCGTTTAAACAAGATTCTTCCTGATAATTTGTAAATAAACAAAAAATTAAAACTAAAAATGCCTGAAATTGTTTCGAAGTTGAAGGCATTGCAGATTCCCTTTCATCATTTTCTAAGGGCTGCGTGATGGTCGAACTTTCTGCTGAATCTCTTAATTCTAAATTCATTTCGGGTTGATGTGAAAGCAATTCAGGCACTTCGGAAATATTTTCATCGATTGAACATTTACTAGAGGACTCTGAAATCCTTTAATTTATTGCTAAACCGAATATATTAAAATGCACCTGCAATGTCCTGCGGATTATCAACAGAAGATAAAAGTTCATCAAGTGTTGGAACTTCGGGAATTTGGCCACTAGGCTCTTCAATATTGTTTTCGCGTGATTTAGTTTTAGGCTTTCTAATCTTAGACGCTTCCATATTACTATAAATGACAACTTTTTACTATTCTAAAATTAAAATTATGCATTACTAAAATAAATAAACGTAAAAACGTTAGTTGTTACATATGACTAATTGTAAGAAATTAAAAGCAAATTCATTCTCCAAAAAGCGATAACAAAATGAAAACAATTAATAATGAAATTCAAAAAAATTACTTAAGATAGAATAAAAGGAAGCTGAGAGTAAATAACGAATTAAACAATTTTAAATAATTGACATGGAGAATATTTTTAAAAAATAGGCAGCAATTATTTATTTTGTGTCAATTCTATTTAAATATTCGTTTTTATTCAGCTCCTAATCCAGCAGCTCCAGCAGTCTCTGCACCACCAGCAGCAGACCCATCTTTTTTCTTTGTTCCGCTTACAATATCATCTATACGAAGTAACATAATTGCCTAAAATTTCAATAAAAGTATGATAAAATAATCAAAAGTATTTACAGTTTCAATGCTTGTCTTCAACGCTTGAAGTCGAACAACATAAGGATCCCAAATTCCGAGTTGATTCATATCTGCCAAATCACCAGTTTGACCATTAATTCCCCATGTCCAATTCTTTTCGCGATCCTGGGCATGTTTTGCGCGTAATGCTGTAAGTTGACGAATAACAGAACCTCCACAATTTTGTACCAATGTTCTCGGAATTATTTCTAAGGCATTTGCAATTGCTTTGTAAGGACCATTGTGAATTCCTTGAATTGATTTACTTTTCTCGGTCAAAGCCTAAAATAAAGAAATTAGTTAAAATATCTTTTCATTTTCTTATTCTAACAGTTAAAAGTGCCATCTCTAAAGCACCAGCTCCAGGAACAATTCGTGGTTTTAACATTACATTTCGAACACAACTAACAGCATCCTGTATATTACGATCGACCTCATTGATGATATCCTTGCTCGGACCCCGCAAAACAATAGTAACAGCAGTAGTCTTTTCTGAGGTGACCCATGTGAAGTATTCATCGCCGATTTTGGTTATTTCGAATAAATCAGCTTGTGTCCCAATATCAGATTCTTGCAAATCAATAGTGTCATTAACAATTCGAGCACCAGTCACACTGTTATTGAGAATTAAATTTTGGGTATATAAATGAAATGTCAAATTTACCGAGCCAATCGATTGTTGTCTGTTTTCTTCAAACGACGTAAAGCAGTTATTCCAGCGCGGACAAGATAATGCTGTGCAAGGTCAGAAATACCTTTTTCAGTAAAAACTAAATCAGGCTTCAATTTTATAATATCTTCACATTGACGACGTATTGCCTCTTCCTCCTTAAAGTTTATTTTGGAGAAGTTATATGATCAAAAAATTATGCAAACAATTTACCTGTTCAAGTACAAGGCTAAAATCATTTTCTCGCATAATTTCAAGCGCAGTCTGACTTTCACCCTTTTTATATTCCAAAGGACAATCAAGAAGTATAATACGTGGTTTTTCAATACGACGACTCATTTTTGGATGAACAATATCCTAAAATAAAAATTTAAGAATAATTTAAAATCAATTTAAAAATACTTTATTCAAAACAACTCCTTTAACTATTTGACTATCCTCAATTGAACCACCAGGAATTTTTTCAATACGACAATAACGTTTGATATCAATTTCACTCGATCCATTGCTTGTGATAGTTATCGAACGAACAGCTTGAAGAGCAATATTAACAGATAAATCCAAATATTTTGCAAGCATTTTAGTGCCCAATGAAGACTTTATTACAACAATTAATTCATTTTCGTTGTTCAAATCAACAGGCTTGCTAAATTTTTAAAATTTTAAATTAAATAGATAATCAAAATTGCCTGAATTTATCCTCAATCCATTGAGTCATGTCATCTAAAGCCATACGATAAGCCTGGAATAAGATGTTTAATAATTTAAGTATTTTAAGAAAAGTAGGAATTTTCTCGCCTTTATGTAAGGCGAAGAAAATTTTCGGACAAATAAGAAATTCCATTTACCTGAATAATCATAGTTGGATGAATTCCTTGTTCAAGAAATTGCTGTGCATGAGCCAAAAATTCTCCCGCCAAAATTATAACAGAAGTTGTTCCATCACCAGTTGCTTCATCCTGAGTTCTTGCAATTTCTATCATTGTTTTAGCTGCTGGATGTTTAACTGTGATTTCGCGTAAAATTGCATTTCCATCATTTGTAAGGACAATTCCACCCATTGGATCCATTAACATTTTTAACATAGCTTTTGGTCCAAGGCTTGTACGAATTACATCGGCAACCATCTTAAAATCAAAGAAAATAGTAGCCGGTTACGTCCGAACATTTCGTTTTAGAGCATAAATCTGACGGATACTTACCTTTGCAGCATTAATATTTTGTGATTGAACTTTTGATCCTTGCTCTCTTTCAGCAGATTTACTCAAAACCAATAAAGGAGTACCACCAACGCGAAGCATTTTTGTATTTAATTTCTGAATAAAATTTAAAAAAAGCTTATTTTGAAATTATAAAGTAAAATAATCGTTGATTAAACAAAAAAAACACCAAAAATTAAAATGTTTATATAACTTTATCAAAAAATTAAACAAGTGAAAAACAGTATCTAAAATCAGAAACCACTTCTGAAAAATCTTGTTTGATCGTTTTGATGTCTAGGATAATTCGATTGTTGTGGCGGTGGGAAACGATTACCAGGATTCTGAAAAAAATAATAGAATTTCAAAAAATCATTAAAGACATGTACATTCATTCTCGGGGCTGATTGTTGGGCAAAATATAGTTGTTGTTGCTGTTGTTGAGAAAACAAGTTTGGAGGTTTATTAGCATTTTGTAAAGATTGTGGAGGCGCTTGTGCATTATATGAATGTTGATTGGAGGGTCTATTTGGCTTTCTTCCACTACTTGAAAAATTACTCGAACCAGACTTAAAGCACAAAGTTAAAAGAAAAATAAATTTAAAAGACCTGTTGATTGTGTTGAAAAAATTGATGTTGTGGTTTTTGATGATGCTGATATGAAACAGGATTTGATGAATGTTGAAGAGAATCTGTATTAATTTCATTGGTTTCAGGCGGTACAAGACGTTTTCTTTTTGCTTGATTACCAAATCCGCTTTGAGCAAAACCGCTAGTGGATGCCTTGAAATAAATTCATTGGAATAATTAAAAATTTTCAATTCGTTACTTGCTGTGGCTGCTGTGAAAACGATTGTGAAGAAGATTGTTGTTGTGAAAATGAAGAAATAGTTTTTGAAAGTGGTTGGTGCTGGCGTTGCTGTGAAGATTGCATTCGAACTACCGGAGCTTGTCCAGCAACAGCATTATTTCCTTTTATTCTTTGTGTTCCTCCAGAGCCGGAAAATTGTTGATGGTGTTGTCCAAAATTTGAATGCTGAGACTTTGGTTGTTGTTGAAAGGCATTTAATGGTTTTCTTGGTTGTTGATGCATTGGCTGAGATCCTTGACTGCTGCCACTGCTATTATGAGTAGGAGCAGCAGGAGCTATAGGTCTTTTCCTGTTTGCATGAGCACCACATCCAGAAGTATATTCGAACAAATTCGTCTAAAAACAAACGCAAAAATAAATTTAAAATAAAAGCCAAAACCCCTTTAAGCTTGTCAACTAGGCCTTTAATATTTTCAGCAGAAAGTGGAGCTTCCCAAAAGAAATTATGGTCAAGTGCTTCTTCAGCTGTTGGTCGTCGTTCTGGGGGAAGAGATAACATTTGATCAATAAGAGAAATTGCTTGCTCGTTGTGCTAAAAAATTCAGATAATTTTGCAAAATTAAAAAATAAACCTCAAGAAACATTAACAATTTCTCTCTAACTCGACGTGGATAGTTTTGTGGAAGTGCGTTATTCAAAGCAGAATGCATTTCAGAACCACTTGCTTTTAATTTTGAATATAAAGGTAAGGCTTCACAGCCTTCCCATGTCTGACAATTTATTGATCCACACAATTTAGCAATCCTAATTAATTGTTCTTGTTCAGTGTTCCCCTTAAAATGAACATTATAAAGAGTCTAAAGACTGAAAAAAAACCTGTAAAATTGGAGACCTAGTCCAAAGTTCAGAAATTATACATCCAGCTCCCCAAATATCAATTGAAGGTCCATAACTACTTGAACCAAGTAATAATTCAGGTGGTCTATACCAAAGTGTGACGACGCGATTTGTATATCGGTAATCTTGTTGTTCTTAAAAAATGAGAATATATTATATTTTTAATTAAAAATATGCAGTTTTCTCATAATTAGAGTTTTTAAATTTAAATAAGAGACTCATTAATTGCATAAATCCACACTTGGAATACCCGAATCTCCAACCACAATAAAATAAAAGTGTAAAAAACTTACTAATCATTAATCGAGCCAACCCAAAATCTGCTAGTTTAAGAACTCCTCCAGCAGTTATTAATACATTTGCTGATTTCATATCTCTATGTAAAATATTGCTTTTGTGAATTTTGTTCAAGCCTTCGAGAATGTGCTTAGCCATTGTTTTAATTTCAACTAAACTGAATTTTATTTTTTGATTACTAAGTAGTCCAGCCAAATCATGTTCACAAAAAGTAAAAACCAAATAAAAAGAAAAACGTTCTCGTGCATTCTTTTCTGAATTAAACAAAAACTATTAAAATTAAAAAAGTAATTCTTACGCTTGCAAGTGCAGACATCGATTAATTCAGTTATATTCGGATGTCGAAAAAGCTTAAGCATTTTTATTTCACGTAATGCAGTAATTGGAAACTGAAAAACTTTTCATAACATTTTTTGTTTCTTTTGCCACTTACCCCTTCTTTCTCATTTTCCATTAGAATTTTTTTCAGAGCAACAAATTGTCCAGTTCTTTTACATCTTGCCTTGAAAACTTCCCTTAAATTGGTCAAAATATGGGTTAAACCATTAACCCAAGTACCCGAACGTTCCTTGCCCAATTTTCAATAATTGTTCATAAAATAATTGCACATCATTAACATAGGGGCAATTAAAATTTTCAATGTAATTCACCAATTTTGTGGAAATTTTGCACTCTTCCAACAATTGCTAAAAAAAGGCTATTATTAAATTTATAAATAAATATTTAAACCTGAACTTTAGCATCATATCCAGCTGGATTTACCATTATCGCATCTAATTTTTTTAATTTTTAAAGATCATAAAACTTCTGATAAAGAATCCATATATAGGGAAAATCTTTAACACAAATCGACTCAATAAACGGAACCGAGAAAACGGGACGCCTTGTTCTTCCGCAAGAATGCGCGAAAAACAGAATCAAGACGTGATTTCTGAGGATACGGACTGTATTTACGTATGATTTGTAATAGAGGTCGGCAAAATAGTGTTTGCGGGATCCCGCAGGATAAAATTTTTTAAAAAATCTTTGCGGGCCAGGATCCCGCAAAATCCCGCGCGGGATCCCGTCCCGCGCCGACCTCTAATTTGTAAACAAAAAATTGTCAAGTCTTGCTACAAAAGTGCGCGACAAAGTGACACTAACTCTTTGAGTCCGATAAATCGGTAAATTCAAGGCGATTTTGGATGGACTTACAATTTATTGTTGAAAAATTTCTTTCATTAAAAACTTTTAAAGTCATCGGTATTTATTAGGCTAAATATTTATACAATATATAGATATATCCAAATACAGTTACTAATGAAGGACTAATGTAAATGATTAGAAATGTATTGCGGTTTTAGTTTTTCTTCTCTACAATTTCAAACATAGAAGCCATATACTTGCTAGATCCATTCATATATTTCAGCATAAAATACAAGTTTAGTTAGTAAGCAATATTTTGCCAATAGTGAATTGCTCCTGTAGCTGTATAAGCAGCAATATTTCCATCAAGTACATCTATTGTGAGATTCTCGTTTAATTTTAATTTAGCCATTTGTTGAGGTTTAATTCCTTGAGAAAATACTCGCAAAGTGTTGTCACTGGAATTATTTAATAATAAAACAAATAAAATATTTATCTTGCCTGCAAGCACAAAATGTTCCTCCTCGAGTTACACGAATGCTTTGGTCTCCATTAAGTTCTCTCCCATCGTCATCGTTGGTAATAGTAAATTCCTGTTAATATATAATGATCAAACTACACAGCTTTTAAACAAACATTTTCAAGTTGTAACGTTTCCGGGTCAAAGAAAAGAAAATGTCCATTTTTAAGACTCAAACAAAGTTGTCTGTCCTCGTAATCAACATGAGAAATCGGCTCATTAGACTGATAAGTACCAACCAACTAAAAAATAAAAAAAAACAATTTAAAAAAATTATCTCGTAATTTACACTTTCGAATCTCCTCTTATCTACAGCTGCGAGTTGCTTGTCATCACCAATTGAAAATATTTGATTGCAATCGTCCTGCAAAACACAATTCTTTTTTATTTAAAAAAAAGTTGAAAATAACCATAGACGTAAGTTCAAAGACTGGCCTTTGGCCATGACAGTTATTTGAAGCTAGTGGAGATGTACATGGTGTTCGAGTATCATAGAGTAATGTCCCACTTCGAAAAGTTGATACATAAAGTATATTTTCATTTTCTGAAACGCACGAAAGTGCTGCCGTATCAACTGATATTTTTTGAGTTGGCTATAAGAATTTTATTAAAATTCAACTCAAATTTTATTCATAAACATACTACTAAATTATCAACTTACGAGAATAGATGCTTCTGCAATCTGCCATTTTTTAACTATCGAATCCCACCCGGCTGAGAAAAAAGAGTTGACATTATATTTTGAACAGGATATTGACCAAATCCAACCATCGTGTGCTTTCTCAGCAGTCCAATTATTCTTAATAAAAATATACAAATAAAGATATTCATTATATACATAAATAGTTGATTCCAAATCCCAAAGTATAATTTGTCGATCACGAGCTCCAGTCAGGCAAAAATATTTTCCATTTATGGTAAAGAGGCGAATAGCATGAATTATCCCATAATGAGCATCAACTGTTGATACTGTGTTAGCAAAATTTTTAAGACTATCAGACCAACGAATCGCAGTCTGCTCTGTGGCAATACATCGATAGATAGGCGACAACTGATAACAAAAAAAATTAAAAGATAAATAAAAATTAACTAACAAAGAATCCAGAACGATCATTATCAGTTGCTGGGAGAGAACCTGTCAATCTTTTAGGAAGAACAAGACTATGTAGATAATTGGCACGTTTCAACCAGTATGATTGCTCTCGAATTAGTAGGTTCAATCTTTGATTAACTAAAATAATATAAAAATAAATAAGTGAACGTATGACTGAATGAATGTAAATAAATCTCGGTTACCTGCTCTGAAGTTACACCAAAGATCATTGGGAGGCAAGTAATCAAAAATACGAAGGAGAAGCTCGAGTGGCAATTCTTCCAAGTACATTATCTACAAACAATCTCTAATTCCTTTAATTATGAAGGTAATAAAAATGTTAAAAAAATATTTCGTATAATATCGTTTTATTAATATAAAAAATAAGATTTTAATCAAAAAATTTATTCAAATAAATTAATTAGAAGAAGCATAGGAATTCATTTTAGAATATGGAATTGGATCAAAAGGGGGGAGCCATTTGAGCAAATCGGCACGAATAGAACGACGACGTAAAGAATCAGGGCTCGCGTTTAAAGCTTTTTCCTTTAAAAATCTTATAGAAAACTAAAAATATTTTAATTACAATATCAATGTAGAAACAATCATGCCTTGACACCAACATATCATTAACAATAAGAGTTGATATAATATCAGAACTGTGGATGGCGGTCTCGATACTCAGGTCTGCAAAAAATTTTTGTTTTAAATCAGCAAAAGTAATTCGACCTTTAATCGTTATAGTTTGAGAATTATTACGCTGCCTCAAAGCAGAAAATAAAACTGATCGCCAATAGCTACGATAAGCTAGAAGACCCATATCAGATAAGGGATGTTCTGGAGAACCAATTTTGTGTTCGAGTTTTGAAAATTGATAGCCTTAAAATAGAAAATAAATAAAACAAAAAAATCTTCCCACTGAGATCAATTAACAATTTTCCATATCCTTTCCCTTGAGCATGAGGTAATGTTAGAAGACAGCTGAGATTGTTATTTTTACTTGGATTCTTTTCCTTAAAAATATTTAAAATGTTTCAAATTATGAAAAAAAAACTTTTGAAAAATATCCGACAGTCACACAACCTCTCGTTGAAATTTCAGCAAGAATGTAGAAAGTAAATGTATCCACTTCGTGGTAAAGTGTTTTAGACGACATAAACAATTTGGCCATTAAACAAAGATTTCGACAATACGTCTGAAAATTGAACAAAAAATAATTTTGAGAGAAAGTTACCATTTCAAAGCATCCTTCTACCTCCCAAATGCAAATTCCCTCGTCTACGTCCCTGTATATTTCGTTGCCTGGAGGAAAGCAACACGGACAGAATTTCTAAAATTAAAAATAAATTTTGGTTACTTCATTTTGTTTCTGACCACGTGAGTTTTAAACAGTTGCAATGACAAGAAATGAGTAAGACAAAATTCACACACATAAATTATGGACGCAGAATTGAGTGGTTCAGCATATGAGCCCTCATAAAGCGGTTTAAATCGGACAAATTGTCCAAATTGAAGCCATTGGTTCAGTGTATTTCGCTTACTCTGGCCCTCCGGTTTAATGCCCATCTCGGTGAGAACTCGTTTTTGCAAAGCACTAGAAAAAATATTTTTTGAAATAAAAAGCAGAGAAAACCTGAAAATTTCCGAAGATTGGCTTGACCTAGCACCGATCCTTCGTTTTGTTTTGCCAGGAGTCTTTTGAAATTTTATTAGATTCTTTGATTCTGGGGTCTGCCATTGACTTAAATATTTAGATAATTCAAACTTAAATATTTTTAATTAATTTAGAAAAAAAATTATTGAAATTGGACGGTATTATTGTTTTGATATAGTGAGACTAAATTAGACAAACTTTGAATTCTCAATTAAAATTTGTTGATGTTCAGAGCTTTGTTGATTGTCTTGTTTGGATGAAGTAGAATTATTCAAAATAGATATACTAGTATCTGTTGATGAAGATAGTATAATCTTTTTTCTCAAAACAATTTGATTCAAATCAAGTTCCGGAGATCCTGAAGAGTTTGATAAACTTGAAAGACTAATTCTAAAAATTGAAAAAATATTAAAAATAATCTTTTCCAGCCCCTCAGAAAATAAGTTTAGGGAACAAATTTTAGTTTCAACACAAATGCATTGAGAGAGCTGAGTGTATCGTCATTGAGGCTTACACGTAAATTAAACTTTAACCCACTTAACCACAAATGAATATGTGGAATCCTACAAACCTATACTAAAAACAGAAAAGCAAAAACGATAACAAAACAAAAAATAAGCAACCAACCTTAATTTGCGATTAGACGTTGGTAAAGCATTTGGGCTAACAGTTTCGCCACGAAATAGTTTTTTGTTATTATGCGGCACCTCTTTCTTGATAATTTTTTTCTTTTCAAGACTTAAAGAGTTAAGTTGCATAAGCACACTCTAAAAAATATAGAAAATTTAAGAGATAACCTTTAAATTTAAACGTAAAATTGTGTAGTCAATAAATTTGCATGGAGAGGGTGGGGTTATCTTCTTCCCTCTTTATAAAATAAAAACCTTCGTTGTCCGCATATCCTTCCTGCGTCGTGAACGAGTAACACGAATTGAACTTCGCAATGAAGGCATTAGAAATATATTATTATCTAAAAATTAAAAATTTAGCATTATAAATTTAAAAATAAATCCAAGATTATCCAAATCGGCCAAGGATTCTGCCGAAATTACCAGACACGAAAAAGACGCTCATTTGTCCGCGCTCAGATGGCTCTTTTAAGTTTTAATGCGGCTAGGAACCATTGAGTCCCGATATTTTCATCAATAACTTTGTGGGTAATTTTTGTTTTTTTTGAAGGCTTTTAATTACTTTTTTGAATGTCACAACCGGCGAAACGTGTTGCTGTTAGCTCTGTAAATTGGGCGAAATTGGCTGAGAGATTAGTTCCAGAACATAAGAAAGAATTGGATCGTTTGAAAATGCAGAACTCTTCATTTCATGCCGAGTTTGTTTTAATTTCACTTTATAATTTAACAAAGATTTCAGGGTTGTTCAGCGTGAACAAGATCTTCCAAAAGTTGATTGGGCCGAATTGAAAAAGCAAATGCCTGAACAGTCGGCTGCGCTTGATACTCTTAAAAAACAATGGGAATCGCTGAATATCTCTTATGGAACTATTCCAGAAAATTTTCAAAAGGAAATTGACAAATGGATTCAATATAATGTTTTATTTTTTTATTAAATTTTATTAAAATTTATTATTTTAAGCAAGCACGTTTACAATTTACCGAGCAGAAGATAAAGGACGGACTCGATCGTGTTAAGAAGGTTGAGGAGAAATGGGCCAAAGCGCCACCAGTTGAGCATATGTATGTAATTCTTTTTAAATATTTCTCTCTCAACTTTGAGTTTTCCACTTAACTTCCCTCAAATGCTTCCGTATAAATTTCTTATAATTCTTTAGGTATCTAAATTTCCACCACATCACTTTCTTTCCGCATGAATTTGGATATGCAGAGAAACATGGTTATGCTGATTGGCGTATCCATCACGATGATGGTGAATGGCGTTATTTCGATTTATTCTTTAAAGAACAAAATGCCGATGAGGTTTGTTTTTATTTAGAAAAATTATTTAAATTTATTAAATAGGAGTCTTACTATCGTCGCCGCTATCATGATTATAATGTCTATCCAGCTGCTGGTTTGTTTAAAAGAGGATTATTTCTAAAAAATAATATTTTTAGGTAATCCACTAACTGGTCTTGGAATTCCTGATGGATCTGGACAGCCAAAAGAGCCAAAGCATTGGCCTGTTCCGTTGACTGAATTGGGCCGTAATTATGTTAAGCAATTGAAGGAACGTAAGAGACAGGAGAAATTGGCGGGTACTGCTGTTCCTGTTCGTGTAGACGATCATTGAGAAGTTTATTAAAGATTTTATTTTGCCTACTCTTAAGTGGACATTTTATTGTTGTTTTAGGAAATTTTAAAATAAAAAAATTAATTTAGAAAGTAAATTTTCTTGGATTTTGTATTGTAAAAATAAATATAAAAATAGCAAAAAATATTTTTATAAATTTATTTGTAATATTACATTTATTATTTATAATTAATTATTTCTGTTAATTTTAGTTAAATATTAATTTGTAAAGCGAAAAAATGACCGTTGTTAGCACTATTCCTTCAATTTTAAAACTTAGAATTTTGCTTCCAAGCAAGTGTGGACGGTTAGTTATTTTCCAGTTTTCTATTTTTTAAATTAAGTAAAGCTTCTGAAAAAATGTTTGGGGTTTTTTCTATTTTAAGGTGGAGCTGGAGCGAGGACTTAACAATTTTATAATCTTGTTTAGTTAGAAATTCTGTCTTTATTTTTAGTTCTCTCCGTTTGACTCACACAACAAAAACCCCGGTTCAACAATTTGGATTTGAGTATCTGAAACAACAAACAGCATTGGGTCGGCCAATTTCGCCACATTTGAATATTTATAAACCACAATTGACTTGGATAATTTCTGGCGGTCATCGAATTAGTGGTTGTATAATGTCTGGAAGTTGGTTTTTTTTAATTATTTTTAGAAGCTTTTTAAATTTATTTTAAGCTCTGTTGATTGGCGTTTTAGCTTTTTCTTTTGGTCCGTTCAGTTATAGTTCTTTTATTGAACGAATTCGTTCATGGAATCTTCCTTGGCCAATTACTGCAACTTTTAAATTTATCATTGCTTGGACAATTGTTTTCCACTCACTCAATGGAATTCGTTTTATGGTTTTTTTAATTCAAATAAATGACAAAAAAATAAATTTTAGGGATTTGATCTAGCAAAGGGAATGGAACTTCGACAAATTTATATGTCTGGTTATTTGGTGCTTGGGCTTAGTACTTTAATTACCCTTTTGATCGTTGCAAATTCGAAGCGAATTAGTGCAGAAGAAATGAAAGAGATGTATCTGTAGATTAAAAATCCCTTTGGGTCTGATATATAGAAATTAAAATTCTGTTTAAAAATATAAATGGTTCAATATTTGAATAAAATTTGAGCATAATTTAATAAAAACGTTTAGAACTCACTAAAGAAAGTGTGAACAATTTTTTGCAATAGTTTATCAGTGATTTTACATGAAATTAATATGCGAAAATAAAATATTATCCATATTTCCTTAAGTCAACAAGTTGAAAACTAACAATAAATATAGTAATAGTGTGTGGTACCTAATAAAAAATTAATGAGAAATTCCTATTCAATAAAATCAGTCATAGCGCTTTCCGCGAGGATAACGTTTGGGTAATTGAATGTTTGCAAGAGGATTCTTTTGCTCTTCAGGATATTCATGCGCCGTTTGATGAACAACTCCTATATCTGCTGGTAATGGCAATTCCCCAACATGTGCATGCAATTCACGTCTCAATTCTGGCCGCTCACGATGGCGTACTAATGGCAACAAATCAGGATCGACTTTCGGCGATAAAAGACGAAAAGCAGGAATCTTAAATAAAAAATTAGGAGAGCCGAACTTGTTTCAAACCTCTGAGTTCATACTATCGATAAAAAGTCGCTGTGAACGCTCATCCATCCAACGCACATAATCCTGGTCAAAACCATCCGGAATTCCAACAAAAGGTCGCAAAAAATGTTGAACAACTCGATGGATAAACTAAATTAGAATTCGTTTAAAATACACAAAACATTAGAAAAACAAACGATATATTGCATTGGTGTCTCCACAGAAAAAGGGCGGAAAAACCGCAAATAATGAACCGACTGCTGGACAGTATACTGAAATAAAAAATAGATACACTAACAATGCGCGCATTTTACAAACTTTATGCATTGGCCCGCGAAGAAGTTGACATATGGTAAGCTCGATTGCAACGAGGCATGCCGCTCGGCTAATTCCCAAATGGTCGTGAATAACAGTAGGAGTTGTACAAGTCCTAGAAAGGCGAAGTAAACGTAGAGGCGCATCCAAATCCTGTGAGTTATTTAAGTCGCCTTGCCAGTGCTCGAGACGAAGCTGTCCAAAAGTTGAACTAATTCGAATAGAGTATTTATTCTTACCTCCTTATCATTTGGGCCAACAATCCTCAACTTTGTAACATTGAAAAAAGGGTCTCGAGATCCCGATGGCTCAAAGCCCTCGTTCCAAATAACTAAACCATGGAACTGAAACGGATTCGAAGAAACTCTAAATAAAAAATATAAGCCATTCCATTCAAGTATACTTACGTCTCAGGCCAATATTTAGCGCAACGGCGAGTGTCGCCCCGACTAATAAGCATAAAAATGAAGCAAACACGCTCCTGCCAAATCATCTATAAAATGGAAGTTTATAAATTATAAATTAATTTTTATTACCCGCCAGAATTCCTTAATGGTATTGTCCATAGGTGCCTGCGTAATGATAAAATCATTGAAAAGTAGTGGCGAGTTGACATGATTAGCATGGATAAAAGAATCCAACGACGGTTCTTCGGGGTAACTAAGAACAACACGTGATTGATCTTTGCATTTAATGCCTAAAAATTACAGAATTAGTGGTAACCTACTTAAAGAAAAAAAACTTTGGTTCCTGCACTTTTCAACAAACTTGTCTGAATGCTCGTGGGTGAATTGGATGTGATTAACTTGATTGTCAACAATCTCAAAGCGACGCTCCATGCCACCAACGATAGTGTACATAAACACTTGTTTACGCGCTGGCCCAAAGATACGTTTTCCCAAATAAATATTGTTGTAATCTTAACATAAGATAGTAAAACTAGATGGAAAAAATGTAAAGTCCAATTCTGTAAACTGTTAAAGAAAATATAGACAAGAGTTTATTTCTCAGCATTAACACGCTCCGCTAGAAAGCGAATCAGATTCTGGGAGCTACTAAACGTGTAAAATCAAAATTTACATCTCCCATGCATCCGTATGCGGTCCTTATCTCCTTTCACCCTTTTGTTGTACATTTGAAAACGCCAAATAACTCCTCGACCATCAAAATCATCTTTAAAAAAGTCCGCAAGACGATGATTACCAAAAAGCTCTTTATAAAAATTTGATTTTTAGACTCCGTATATTAAATATCAAATACCTAATGCACATGAACCAACAAGCCAATGGCTAAGTTCGCTTTGATTTGTTAATTGTTCTCGAAGTCCAGGAACTGTTGAAAAATACTTTTCTTGTTTTGTCCGTAAAAAACGCCGTTTGTTTAGATTTTTGCTGTTAGTGAAGAGAACGTTTGACAGCATAGCTAAATTTAGAAAAAAATTTCCTACAACTTAAAGAAAACGGAACAGGACCAAAATTTATGGGTCTTCTTTCTGTAGGTATTTTGAATGTAGGTCTTCTGTCCGGAGGTCTTTTGGCTGTGAAAATTTTTAGCGGAAAATTCTTTTTTTGATGTATTTTTTTAAATTTTTTATGACCCTTTACATCGCCCTGCGGTAACCTCCGCGCTGCATTTAACACCGACATACCTGCCCCTAGTTTTAGAGCGCAACCCTATTTTTAATACACATAAATTTATTTCTTTTATTCTAGAAATCAAGTTTATTCTAAATTTTAAAATGTCTATGACTGACGATGACATTAAAGAGATTAAATCCCAGCTTAATAATATGTTGAAGAATCAAACTGTTATGATGGCCCATCTTCTTTTTTTGACCAACCAGGTTTATTTTCTATTTACATTTTAAAAGAAATTTTTTTAGATTCCTTCTCCTTCTTCAACATCTTCTAATTTGGCAAAGTTTTCACCGACTGTTCAACAATATCTTGCATGTATGTTGAAATTTGTTTTTAATTATTGGGGTGCGAATAATGAGGGTGAACCTTATGTCATACAAAAGAGTTTATGGCTATTTAGCTGTGAAATGTCTGTAAATTTAACAGTTCTGCTTGTTAATGAACTAGTGTCTCTCATAAAAGTTTACTTCAAACAACTTCTCCCCAAATTATTTAAACTTTTCTTAATTTACTTTTCTAGTACAAAAACAAAATCAATCTAGCCAAAAAATTATGAAACCATCAACTTCTACATCATTTGCTACACTCACACCTGTGCCAATCAAACGTAAAGCAGAATTACCGCTTGAGGAAATTGGAAATACTGGAGGATTGAAACATCGTCGTGGACGTCCGCGCAAACCGGAAGATGGAGGACATTGAATATTTTTTTGGAAGAAATTTTTGGTTTAACTTTTAATTTAATTATTTTGTCCAGGCTTGGACACTTTTTTCTCTTTTTTTAGCCGTGATGTCTTCAGAGCCTATGTGTTAAGGCGGAAAACTGACCGGCGGTCAGTTGCAGACAGTCTTTTCCAGAACCGTGCACATTTTCTGCAGCTTTTTTTATACAAGAGAGCAGGCCCGTAGCCAGGATTTTTTTTCGGGGGGGGGGGGGGAATTTCTTTGCGCCAAATTTTTGGCGCCGAAGGCGCCAAAAATTTTTATTTTCAGCGCCGCAGGCGAAAATTTTGAGAATTTTAGAAGGCCGTAGGCCAAAAAAAATTCACTTTTTCGGCGCCGCAGGCGCCAAAAATTTGATTTTCAGCGCCGCAGGCGAAAATTTTTTGAATTTTGGACCTCAAGAAGCCAGATTTCGTCCTTTTTTAGCGCCGCAGGCGAAAATTTTTTAAATTTCAGAGGCCGTAGGCCAAAAAAATTCACTTTTTTTTGCCCAGCCCTTCCCCAAATTTTTTCCATTTTCCCATTTCGGGGGGGGGGGGGGGGGGGGGAATTCCCCCCCCCACCCCCCCCCCCCCCTGGCTACGGGCCTGCAAGAGAGTGCCGTCATCGCAGAAGCTCCGAAGAGACTTATCACGGATAAAAATAGAAAAAGTGCCCAAGCCTAATTTTGTCTTTTATTTAAGATATTTGTCTCTTTTTCCTTCTCTTGTCATTGTTTGAAATGTTTCTCCTTAAATCTTAAACATGTTGTGTTTAATTTTTCCCGATTTTGCCATTTTTGGTTTACTCTAAAATTGTTTCCATTAAAAAATATTATTTAATTGTGTCTAATAAAATTTATTTTATAACCGGTGAAGAAGACGTCAAGTTTTAGATTCTGAAAGTTCGGAGAAAATTTTTATTTTAGATTGATTCTCCCCAAAGGTTCTTTGTTTGTTAACTTCTATTTACGTCATTTTCTACGCTCACATTTCGTTTTATTATTAAGGCTTTTTTTGGAAAATTTGTTATTTAAAAATTACTTTTTGATATATTAGGTAATTTTCTGAAATTTTGTCAAAAAATTTTATTCAAAATTATTAATTTGGAATTGGGAGGTTGAATTATTTAACGTTTATCGCACAATTTTAATTTTTTATGAGAATTCCTCAATTTTGTTGCCGTATATAAGTAGTGCATATTTTGACAGATTGTGCATATTTTCGTTGGATATATGTGCATATGTTTCACGATTTTGTGTGGATATTTTGTGGTGTCATAATTACATAACTAATTAAGGATATACTGTAGTGCAGCACCCACTCCAAAAAATTTCAAAACACATACCATTCGATTTGTCTTGACGAGCTGAGTTGAATGGTACCACTCTCTTTCTGCGGAAATGCCTAAGAGCTGAGATATAGAGCTCGAAAGGGTCAAAAACCGTAGGGGGTACCAAGCTGATTTTTGTGGGCAAAAATTCGAATATGCAAATGATAGCTCATTCGAAAGAGCTCGTCGAGCTGAGTCGAATGACACCAAAATCACCGTGATTGAACAAGATTAGACAAAGTTACGACACAAAAACAAACAACATAAACCTATGGGGCGTCGGCGAGGCGCTTGTGCAAAACTCCGCGCTTCGCGCGGAGTTTTGCGGCACGCGCCTCGCGGGGAGTCTACGGGCGCTGGGTCTGGGCTCGTAACGTAAACTTATGCCTATTTTAGCTGCGGTCGGCATGTCTGGTTTCCTCCCCAGCAAGAAAATCCTGCACGTGCCCAAAGGTAAGGAGCTAAAGCAAATGCTCATAACTTTGTCAAATCAAGTCGGATTTCGTTGATTTTGGTGTCATTCGACTCATCTCGACGAGCTCTTTCGAATGAGCTGCCGTATGCATATTCGAATTTTTGACCCCAAAAATCAGCTTGGTCCCCTCTATGGTTTTTCGATTTTTAAAGCCCTATATCTCAGCTCGTAGACATTTCCGCAGAACGAGAGTGGTACCATTCGACTCAGCTCGCCGAGACGAATCGAATGATATGTGTTTTGAAAATTTTTGGAGTGGGTGCTACACTACAGTACAGCCCTAATTAATATGTAATAAAATGAATTGCTCTTTCTTTACAACTTTCTTTTCGAAAATTTAGTCGGGCCGTTTCTATGGTAATTTCTAAAAAATTTAAAAATAAATTAGAAGAAAATAAACATATTATTGTTTGAAAAATATTTTAAATTATTTAAAAAAAATTAATTTAATTTTAATTAAATATGAATAATAACCAAAAACAATTGAATGATTTTAATTTTAACAAAAATTTTCGTGTAAATTTTTAAAAATTAATTTTATAAATTATAATTTACTATTAGGTAAATAATTATAAATCAAAACAACAAAAATCACAATTATTACAAATGTCTAATAATTTAAATTGGCAAAGAAGAGCTGTAAATAAAGATTAAATTTTGTTTAAATTAATTATAAATTTAAGCGTTCTGTTGCCCCAAAAAATAAAAAATTCCAACAAAAACGTGAATTTAGTAAACAAAAAGAAGGAAATTTTAATTTAAATGAAAATTATTCAACAGATTTTGAAAATAAATTTGAGGAAAAAGAAGAAGAGGGAAGAGAATTACAATTAAATAATTTTGTGGATGAGGTCTGTAAATTTAAAATAATTTTGAAAATTAAAAAAAACCCTTTTATTTTATTAATTGTTTTTGTTAGCATTATTAGTAGGGTTTCACCGTAAATTCCCCGGAACCAGGAAAAAGTTCCGGGATCTGGAACTCAAATTGGATCTGGTTCCGATGAAACCCTAATTATTAGGTAATTATTAAGTTTTCCAATAAGTATGTTACAAGAAAATTTTTAAAAAATGAAAAAGGGATGGGGGGGGGGGGGGGATCGAGAGAGGAATTTTGGGAATGTCGGAAGAAGTAACAACTCTCAAGTTTTCTAATTTTCCTCATAATTATCCTCTCTCCTTTCACTTTTTACTTAAATAATTACAAAATTGTTAAGATATCTAAAATTAAATTATTATTGACAAATTTGGAATTTTCTACACAATTTTGGAATATTGAAAGAGAAGAAAATAATAAAAGAAATAATTTATTTAATTTACAACAACAAACGTCTTCAATGAATTTTAATAAGTTTAAATAATTTTAAGAAATAAATAAATTTATTTTCTAAAGTAATTTTCTTTTAAATTCTGATTTACCAATAATAGAAGAACAATTAAATAATATTAAAAAAAGTTTGGAAGAATTTAGAAAATTTAAAATTAATCAACCAGTAAAAGAATATTTTCGGTTATTTAATTTTTTAGAAAATAATTTTTTAAATTAATTTTTTAAAGTCAAAATGGAAGAAATGAAACAAATTTAATAAAAGAAAAGGTTTTTTTTAATTTTGTAAAAGATTACAAGCCGGAGGAGCTCGATAATTATAAAACAAAAATTAGAGACATCTATATAATTTACCCTTTATTTAAGACCCCCCTCCCCCTCCCAAAAGGTTACTTTCAATAGAGGGAGAAGTCTCCCAGCTTTATTTTAATAATTATTTTTATAGGAATTTATTTCTCCTTTACAAATTAAAAGTAGAATTTTAAATATGGAATTTCATATTGAAAAAAGGGTAAAATAATTTTAAAAAGAATTAATTTTAAATATTTTCTTTTAAAAAAAGATTCAAAATATTTTAAATGAAAAAAGAAATAAAAAAGTTTTTGATAATTCTTCTACAAAAATAAATAATAATAATGAAGTATTTGAATTAATTACTACAAAAAATCAAAATAATTTGGACAATGAAATTGTTTTGGGGAGACAAGGAGAGGGAGAATATGTTGGAAATGAAAATAAATTGTTTGATTTTACAAAAAAATATTTTTTTTATTTAATTTAAAGTTTTTGAAAATATTGGGGGCAGACAAAAGAAATATTTTTTATAAAAATCGTCAAATAATTTTAATTAAAAATTTGTAAATTTTTTTGCTAAATATTTTAAGAATTTATTAAAACAAAAGAAAACATTTTCCAAAAATTTAATTATTCTTTTTAAGAACTCACCAACAACAACAACAAAATTTGGTTAATGAAGAATTTCAAAGCAATTTAAATATATTTAATTATAATAAATTACTTTTAAATCCAAATAATAATAAAATAAAAAATAATGATTTAAAACAATTAAATAATAGTAATTTTGTTGAAGAAGAAAATAAATTAATTAAAGAAGAAGAAATAAATAATGGTGGAGGTAGTTATTTAAATATAATTTGTCCACAAGCTCTTACCAAAAGTACTCGTACCTCAGTACGAGTACAAGGCCAAAAATAAGGCCTGTACAAGTACGAACAAATTTCAAAATTTCTAAACTCTGATTATAGTAGTAAATATCCCAATACTTAGATAGACTTAATTAGGATTTTTTAATTTTATTGGTCATTAGAAGGAGGAGAGGGGATAAAGAGGAACCTAAATTAATACACTTCACTATAAGAGATCTTTTCAAACCCAGGATATTCATATAAGAATATGTAAGTTAGACTCAATAAAAAAATAAAAATAATTTTTTAGAAAATCCGAAAGAAGTTTTTGAACCAATCAGAAATTTTGTTTTCGATAATTCTAATAATGAAGGAATTAAACCAATTTTAGAAGAAAATAATTTAAAAATAGGTAAAAATAAATTTAGTTTAAAAAATTAAAGAAAAATTTCTGTTTTAAAGAAAACCGACAAGAATTACAACAGCAACAAACAACATCATCAGCAGGGTTGCGTCGTAATTACGAATTACGAATTACGAATTACGGCGTTTTTTCAGTTACGAATTACGAATTACGATTACGAAAAAATTTTTTAAATTACGAATTACGATTACGAAAATATAGGGAAAAATTACGAATTACGAAAATAATTTTGCCAAAAAATTTTAGAATAAAAAGGAGAAGAAATATTTATTTTTCTCTCCTTTTAGTTGTGTTAATCGGTGGTTGAGTGGGTTAAGAGTCAAGCTTCACTCATTTAATATTTTGTGGTGTTTGGTTCGAATCCAAGTGTGGGAAATAAAATTTAGACAACCTATTTTTTCAAAAATAAATGTTTTTAAATTTGATTTTGATTTTAGGTTTGTAAATTTATATTTTTAATATCTTAAAATTGAAAAAAAAATTAAAAATTTTTAATCTAGTCATGAATTTTCTAAAAATTTTTCGCCTGCGGCGCTGAAAATATAAGTGTGTTGGCTCGGGATTAAGTGAGAATGATTTGACATGATATCAAACTTAATCTGGGACGATGATTCCTCATGATTGATTAAAGAAATATCGGAGGATTATTAGGATTAAGAGGGATATCAGGGAATTAATTGGGATTTAAATAATATCAGAGAAATAAGAAGACTTGGAGAGATTAATGGGAGAAGCAGCAATTATTAATAGATAGTCGATTTTTAAAATTAATTTAAATATTTTTGAAAAATTACGAATTACGATTACGAATTACGAATTACGGCATTTTTTCAGTTACGAATTACGAATTACGATTACGAAAAAAATTTTTAAATTACGAATTACGATTACGAAATTTTTTTTAAAATTACGAATTACGAATTACGGCATTTTTTCAGTTACGAATTACGATTACGAAAAAAATTTTTAAATTACGAATTACGAATTACGATTACGAAATTTTTTTTAAAATTACGAATTACGAATTACGATTACGAAAAAATTTTTTAAATTACGAATTACGATTACGAAAAAAAATTTTCAATTACGACGCAACTCTGATCATCAGAAAATCCAACACAAGAACAAATTAATTTAGAAAAAATGTTACAAGTAAATAAATTAATTTTATTTTTTTATTTTTAATTTAAAATTATTTAGATTCTTAAAAATCCAACAAAATTTAATATTTCATCAAATGATACCTCCTCTGCTGATGAATTGGAAATTAAAAAAACAAATTTAGAAACAAAACAAACAGAAAATGAACAAAAAGTTAATTAATTTAAATTAATTTTAACTTTACTTTTTAGCAAATAAATCAACAAAATATTCCATTAAATACAGCAACATTACAAACAATTGGAGGAATTTCTAATAATAATATACAAAAACAAATTATTAATGGAAAAAATGAAAGTGATTCTGATTCGGATTTTTTTAAATAAAATTTTTGGTGGGAATAATTGTTTAGAGTTTACCATTTGCTTAGTAAGGTTGTCGGATAGTTGGAAATCCTCGGGTATCCGGATCCGATATCCGAACGGAAAATTTCCGGATATCCGGCCTTTTTCGGATCCGGATCCGACAACCTTATGTTTAGGAATACACTCTGTCCCAAAATTATACATCCACCTATATTTTTGGCATAAGTCCGTAAGTTGTTAACGGATTTGAATGAAAATTTAAAAGATAATGCAGAAAGACATTTTGAAAGTATATATAAAATTTGAAAAAATTCTAATTATGCACTCAATATTTACAACTATTTATTTGTAAAATAGGTGTCCCATAAATATACATCCACCTTCCAAAAAAGTTATTTCCGATTATAGGAAAAATCTACAAAAATTCCAGTAAACTTACACATTGATATTATAAAAAAGTAAAAAGAAAGTAGGTCAATATCTTAACCCGAAGCCGAGATCCTGAGACCTCGAAAATCAACGTAAAACAGGGGTTTTCAAATTCAAAAAATATTTTCGACCCCTTATGGATTACTGTAAATTTTGATTTCGGGCTCATTCGAAAGCCCTTATAATTTGCTACAAAATAGCAACAATCTTATTTTCCAGAAAAATTTTTAATGAGAGAAGCAGGCATTTAAACTTTTTATGCAGAAAAAAGCGCCTAAATGCCCCATAAAATTAGCGTCGGGAAATTAACGACCTACATCTGTCTATCAAATTTTTTCTCAAATACTAGATCAAATTTATCTTATAGTAAATTTTAATGGCTTTCGAATGAGCCTAAAATGAGAATTTTAAAACAACCATAAGGGGTCGAAAATATTTTTTGAATTTGAAAACCCCTGTTTTACGTTGATTTTCGAGGTCTCAGGATCTCGGCTTCGGGTTAAGATATTGATCTACTTTCTTTTTACTTTTTTATAATATCAATGTGTAAGTTTACTGGAATTTTTGTAGATTTTTCCTATAATCGGAAATAACTTTTTTTGAAGGTGGATGTATATTTATGGGACACCTATTTTACAAATAAATAGTTGTAAATATTGAGTGCATAATTAGAATTTTTTCAAATTTTATATATACTTTCAAAATGTCTTTCTGCATTATCTTTTAAATTTTCATTCAAATCCGTTAACAACTTACGGACTTATGCCAAAAATATAGGTGGATGTATAATTTTGGGACAGAGTGTAAATAAAAAAATAATTATTTTTAAGTTTATCAAAAAAAATCGAAATGTAATAGTAAATATTAAATTGTGGAACGATATTAATTAAATATATTTATGTATAAATGAGATTAAAAAGCCTTTTTACAAGAATTGGTTGTTTTACAAAGAAAAATTATTTTTTCTTTAAAAATAATTTTCTTCTTTCAATTTTTCTTCCCTCAAAATTTCTTCAAACAAAATTTTCATTCGGCACAATTTTAACTCCATTTCTCTGCTTCTCATTATTTTTCTTGTCTTCTTTCACATATTTTCTTTTAGGAATAAAAGGTAAATAACGAAGAATTGGGAAGGAGTCGATTATTTGTTGGAATTTATTTGGATATAAATAAACATCTTTTAATTAAAAAATTAAATTTTTAAAATTATTCCGGCAAAATCCTCAATTTTTTACCCAATATTTTTTGTTAAAAAGGAATTATTTTAGAATAATTATTGTGAATAATTTTTTGAATTTTGTTTAATACATATATTTCCGAATAAGCAATTTTAGAATGGAATTTTTAATTGAATAAAAGAACTTTCCCGGATTGCGGATAAAAATTTTCGGATTCTGCCGATTTTAAAAGCTTCCCCAATTTCAATAATAATTTATTTATTTACCTCTTTCCCCATCACATTCTTCCCAAACAGTTCCCCTTTCTCTAAGTCCACGTTGTTGTCTTGTAGCTCCACCAACTGTGTTATCTCTTGAATAAATAAAATATTCAAAAATTTACATATTAATTAATTTACAAAAAACAAGCAGTCGCTGCACCAACAAACATTGGCAAACTTAATAAACTTTAAAAAAATGAACAATTAATTAGCTACTAAATTGAAGATTAAATAACTAACACTTGAATAACTTGGTCTAAAGTTCTATAACCAGTAGCAACAATTGTTGGATTCCTTTCATAAAATTCTGGGACAATCTAAAAAATTTTTAGAGATTTTTTAAAACAAAAATTATAATTAACTTACCACCCCCAACATAATTGAGAATCCAAGAATAGCCACATTTCTAGTTAATTTTAAATCAACAGTTTGTACATTAGCTATAGCAACACCCCCAACCTTTTTAAATTATTTTTATTTAAAAAAATATTTTTTTAAACCATAGCCATAGAAGTACTTAAAACAACGCCAACTAAAGGATCTGGAATTGCAGAAAGTATGGCTCCAAGTTTTGTTACAACCTTTTTTTAAAATTTTATTTTTATTTTTATTCCTTCTAAATTACCCCAAAAGCAATTAAAGTACAACCACCAAAAATCATCGTAACTCTACTAGCTACTCTAGTTATTCCAATAACCCCAACATTCTCTGCGTGTGTAGTTATACCAACTCCGGGACCTATCAAACCAGAAATAAAACATCCTAGACCCTCAGCCATAATTCCTCTATTTAAAGCATGGGAGGGAGGTGGACGTTCCTTTAAATAAAAATCTCAAGAAAATCTTTTTCTTTCAAAAATTGCCTCAGAAACACTAGCAACAGCATGATAATTTCCAACAGCCTCAAATAAAGTTGTTTGGGCAGATACAAGAAATCCAACAAACAAACCAATATTAAATTTTGGAAACCCAAATTGGCCTTTAAAGGTGAATTTTTTTGAGGGGAATTTTTTATTTTTGTTTAACCTGGAAAAGGAAATCTGGCATAAGGAGAATTATAAATAGCATCTAAAGTTGCCGGTTTATCTGTTCTAGCAACACTTTCTTTTGGTATTAAATCAAATATAGTCAAAATAAAACAAAGACCCCAAGAAAAGAGAATTGCTGTTAAATACTGAGAAAATAAAAGTTTTTCTTTTTTAATTTCACTATAAATTACCGGAAATTGTCCAAATACATTTAAACGATACCAACGAAATTTTCCTTTACTATAACCAAGAAAAGGGACTTGAAGACGTGAAAGATATAAAACTGTGGCAAATAAAGAAGCAGCCATTCTAAATAAATAAAAATATTTCAAAAAATTATAGACATAGAAAATTAATGTGTTCTAGAGTTTAATTTTTGGAAAACTTTGGATATCAGGAAACAAAAATCGAACCGAAAAATGTTCGGTAATTCGTCCCGTTCTGTTTCGCTTCGAAACCTACATTATGCATAATCTCAATAAGGATTTAATTTAAAAAAAATCTCTGGTTTAACCGAAACGAGAAAAGAATTAGAAGGTTACAGATTAAAATTGAGGTGAAGATATCTCAGAAACTCCTGATTCTCGATAACCAAATTTTCGAAAGAAATTTCTTCTCGTTTTGTTCTCGTGTAAATTAATATTGTTAAAGTATTTCTTTAATTAATTCCCAAAAATTTATTTAAACATACACAAGGGATATCCAATGTTTTTCAACTCGTTCAACAGTAATTTTAACAGAAGAAAGCATCATTAACATTAATAAAGGGGAAACAGTCATTGGCCCAATATACTTTAAAATTATTATTTAGTAAAAATTAAAAGTTTTTTCAACATACTTTAGTCATTATTCCAACTAAACCGGTAGCCCCTATAAGCATTGTAACACAAGAAGAGGCCATTAAAGTTCCTTGAATCTTTTTTAAAAACAATTCTATTTTCTATTAATTTTCTACTTAATTACCATAGCCATTTTATTTTCATAAATTTCTGGTGGAACAAAATCATCAACAGAAGCTAAACATTTATATTCTGGAAGGCTCATAAATGCTCTTACCTTTTTTGAAAGATTAATTTAAATTTAATTACTCTAAAAATCTACCGAAGGTATATAAGCAAAAGCAACTCCTTGTAAAAGAGCCAGTCGAAGTCCAAACCCGCTTTGAAGTATTGTCCCTATTCCACAAACAACAAAAGTACCGGCAATTAAACGAACTCTTAATTGGTCTCTATCTCGCCCAGGACAGATTAAATCAGAAATAAGTATTGGAATTGAAACAAGAACTGACACAGAGACCATTACTTGCTTAAATAAATAGAATATGAATGACATTTATGTAGTTTGTATTTACTCTCAAAATTAAATTTTTTATTAACCGATATCCTTTAAAGATAAGCCTTATTTATGAGAGACACTATAATGACTTTTCAGCCACCTAAAGGGCTAATTACATATTTATATTTGGCCGATTAAAAAATCTTGTTATTAATTAATTAAAAATATTTATATTTTAAATTTACTTGTAAACCAAAAAGAAAAGTTAAAGGAATAGGCGGATTTGAATCAGCTTTGTATAAACGTCTTTGTGTTGATTTTTCTTTATTATCATTATTAAAATCCTCTACTTCTTCAATATTTTTATTTAAATTATTATTTATTTTTCCATTAATTATTAATTGATTATTATTTATTATATTAATTTCTTCTTCTTTTTTATTATTTTGTATTTTTTGTTCTTTCTCCTGTTCTTCTGTTGATTGACGGGGAGATGTATTATTTGAATGAATATTATGGGGACTCATTTATTCTGGAAAAATTAAAATTTTTTTTAAATTAAATTAAAAATTAGATTAAAATTTAAAAAGGAAGAATTATACTATTTTAAATTATTTTTTTTTTCTATTTTTTCCTTCCAAAAATTTAAAAGTATTTTTTCTCATTCAAAGGAAGGGGAGTCTGCAAAATCAGAAAATTAGGAAAGGGTTTTATTTAAAAAATAACAAACATTGACCTTGTTCGAATTTTATTTTTTCATTAGCTTATTTTGATTGACAAGTAAAGGAAAAGAAAAAAATAATTTTATATTTTTGGAAATAAAAAATAGAAAAATGATCTTAGAAAATAAAATAAAAAACTAAAAAAAATTATTTAAATTAAATTAAAATAATAAAAATATTTAGAAATGAATTATTTTTTGTTTAAAACAACAAAAATAAATAAATAATTACATACTACAAACATATGTTATTTAAATATATTTATTTATTTATTATCATGCAAAAATGTAAAAATAATTGTTAAATAAAAATGTTAATTCTTTTATTAATTTTCTCTCTCCCCTCATTTTCTGTTATTCCTCCCCTAGAATAAATACCCCCAAAATTTTTTATAAGGACAAATATTTGTTGATTATTTATGTAATAAATAATATATTTTTTTTTGTCAAAAAATTCTTTTTTTTTAATTTCTACAAAAACATTTTAATTCTCAAATACCCAGGGTAATTATTGTTTTAAGCTTTTGCTAAAGGGGGTAATTAATTGATAAGATAGGGTTAAATTTTAAATAAACGAGAAATTAAAATTAACTTTTAATAAATTAAATCAGTTAGTCTAAACTAAAAATTAAAAATAAAATTAATTTAAAAATTTAATTAGGTAAATACAATTAATTCTTTTAAAATAATTTTTTGTTTATTTTCAGTCACAAAATGTGAACAAATCATGTTTAAAAATTTTTTAAACAAATATTTGTTTAATTAATTTATTTTTATTTTTTTAAAGTTTTAATTTAATATGTACAAACAATTTGTTTGTTTAAATAAAAAAAGAAATAAAAATTTTATAAAATAAAGATTAAAAATAATTGGGTGAGGAAGGGGAAGGGGGAGGGTAAAGAAATATTAAAAAAAAGAAATTTAAAAAATGTCAAAAAATATTTGGAGAAGTTTTTTGTCCCTTTCTAAAAAATTTCATTATCTTGTAATAAATAAATGAAAAAAAAACAATAAAATTGTGGGAACGGAAATATAAAAAATTGTTACAGGGAAATTTTCTGATAAAAAAGGAAAAAATTAAAAATTGAACCAAGAAAATAGAATATTTAATATTTTAATTTAGTTTATCTCCTTATTTAAAATATTTAAAGAAAATAAATATTTTTTTTGTTAATTTTTAAAATTATTTTGAAAAAAATAAGGTAATAAAATTAAAAAATTTTTTTTCCTAAATAATATTTAGGCTGGGGATTAATGATATTAGGGGAGAATAAATAAAAAATGAATTTAAAAATAAATGTAAAAGACCAATAAAACATTTTTTGTTTTATTAAAAAAATTAAACAAAAATATTTTTCTATTATACATATTACAATTTTTTGAAATCCTTAAAATTAGCTTTGTAGAAAATAAAATATATTTTTGATTTTAACTAATTTAAGAAAAAATTTTTAAAAATAATCTATTTTTAACAATTTTGTGTAAACAAAATATTAAAAAATTTTTTGTTTAAAACACAAAACATAAATATAAAAAACACAAAAAAAATAAATTTTTAAGCATCACAGGCTTCAACCTTTTTGTTGCAGCAAGATCGAAATTAAAAATTTTATATATTTTTATAAATTAAAATTGATGATTAGAGGCCAGGTTGGAAGGGGATCGTACAAGATTTAGGTTCGATTAAATATTTTTATTTTAAATTAATTTTCGTAAAAATATCTTTTAGGAAACTCCTCTCTTTTTAAATATCTCTATTGGATACGGGTAATAAATATTTGACAGGTTTCTATTTAATTTTGGCAAATATACAAACAAACATCTGTTGGTGTTGGTGTTACTTTTTTACTTTTTTAAATAAATATAAAATAAAAATTAAAAAATATTTTTGAGGAAAAAAATAAAGGAGTAAAGAATGTTTGGAATTAGGATATTAAATAAAAGAAAAAACAGCTTCTGAAGATGACATATTTTAGATAATAAAGGAATATGAGAATTAGACAAAAATAGGGATGTCCTTGAAAATTAATAAAATAATTTAGTTAAAAAATTTAAATTAGGGTTGTTAACGATTGATGTTTTTAATGAATTAACTGAAACCGGGAAATCGGAGATAACTGAAAACAGGTGAGCCTGATGAATGTTTAAATTTAAAGATACACCTTAAAGATATCGTTAATAGTGTGAACCCATAATTTAAATGAAAAAGAATTTTTTAAATTATATTTTAAAAAAATAATTTATACACAGAAACATGTATTATTATAATATACATAAAAAGATGAAATGTTTTTAATTGTCCTTTAATAATTACACAATTTTAATACGCATAATTTAACACCTTTTTTAGTTAATTTTTAAATATAAAAATATTTTTTTGTATAAAAAGTCGTTAAAAACTAGCTAGAAAATTTAAGAATTTTACAGATAATTTAATGTTAAATATTATTTTTTATAAAAATAATAAAACCTTAATCTCTATTTAAAATACAATTTATTAATAAAAATTAATAATTAATTCCTTTTTACGTATTAAAAAAATTAATTTTAATTTTGACATAAAAATAGAATAAAAAAATTAAAAAATTAGGGGAAATAATTCGGAGAATAAAAAAGCCAAAAAAGGCTTTTTCTCTATTTAATGTTAAATTTTCTTGTCTCCAAATAAAGAAAATTGTTTTATAAAAAAAGTTTTTGTGTGTAAATGAAAATGTTAAACAATAAATAAACGAGAAATAAAAAGAAAAAAATTTAAAATAAAAAAAATATTTTTAGTGTTAAATAATTATAATCGGGGAGAGAAATTGCTGACCAATAATTGCGCGATAAAATATGTAGACAGAAAGAAACAACTTTTTTCTTTTTTTTAGTTTTTTAAAAACCTGCAATTATATAAATTTAATTTAAATAATTAAAAATTTGGAAATTTTTAAAAATAAATTTTGAATGAATTTGGGAATTGTTTTTGGATTAAATAAAACAGAAGAGAAAATTGTAGATATGTAGAAGGTACTCGATCAGTTGTTGGTTTTCATCTCACATCAGCAAAACTTATCCGCAATTGTGTACTTTTTGTTGATAACCGGCAGAAGACAGTTTAGATTTGTCAAAAAATCGTAAATTATAAAAATTAATTTAATAAAATCTAATAATCCATATATACTATATTTAATTTTTATGCAAATTAAATTTAAATTTCAATAAAATATTTTTATAATTCTCTTTTGATTTTTACAATAATTAATTAATTAATTTATTTTAAATTATATAAAAATTAAAAATAATTTTCCTATAAAATTTGAATACATAAATTAATCTCCAGATTTTTTAATTTTTATGATAAAAAACTACTAATAATGTCTCCACAAATTTTTATACTTTTAATAGGACATTTATTTATAAATAAAACGTCTGTTTACCACCCACCCACCTGTTTACACACAAAAATTTTCAAATATTTTTTGCTAAAAAGATTTTATTCCAAAAAAATATTTTTTTTATTTTTTGGTACTAAAAACAGTTGGTAGGTATTTGTTGTTGTCCATCAAGTAAACTTTCAAAAAAATTTTTTTTGTCTCAAGCAAAAAATATTAAAAATAAAGGAAGGCTTTTTATCTCCCTTCTATTTAATAAGAAGAAAAAGAATAAAATAGCCAGCAACGTCTGTCATTGATCAATTTAAAAATCAAGAAATTGAAAGTAGAAATAAATATTTTAGTATCATTATTAAATAAAATAAAATAGATTAAAGGAAGGGAGAGAAAAAAAGAAAGGAGAATGTTAAATAAATATCTCTACTATATAAAAATTTTTTTCTAATTTTCATTACTTTAGCCACTAGTAACTATTGTCAGAAACTTTATTTTATTTTTAACATTTCTTTTTTTAATAATCAATTGTTGAAAAGCTTTGAGATAAAAAAAGAGAAGAATAAATATATAAAAATATTTATTTGTCAAATTAAAATCTCCCTCAATCTGACCAACTAATAGCCACCTGACAAATAAAATAATATTACTCTTACTTGAGCTAAATTAACCAAATAATTTATTTTATATTCTCCTTAACATTCTAAGCTTTAGCAAAATCAAAAACAAAAATAATATAATAATAATATTTTTTATATTTTTTAAATATATTTAAATACCTCTTGGTTATGAAAAGATTTTTCTAAAATTGGGTAGCCAATTTAAATAAAAAAGTTTTTAAAGTTTATTTGTAATTTAAAAATTAGAGTAAGTAACTAAGCACTTTTACAAAAAATAATTAAATAAATAAAATCATTTATTATTTAATTATTCAATTCCCAAATAACGTCCATCAATAAATAGATTTCTTTAATATTTTTTCCAAAATAATTCTAATTAATTTTAGCTAGTTTAGTTAACTTCTATATATTTTCAACCTCCTTCCCAAACTTCAAAAAAGGCAGAAAAGAGCCCAGGCCGGCGGCTTCTTCTTAATAATTATTTAAATAATTTTGTTGTTTAATTAACAACAACAAAAAACAACAAAAATTATTTAAAAGAAAATTGGACAATAAAAAGGTAAAAAATATATGTATAAAAATTTTTATTTAAAAATAATTTAGTTTAATTAAAATCGCCAAAAATTCCACAACTTTTACTCGAAATTATTGTTTTTTATTTTTTCAAAAAAGATCGTCTTTAAGAGTATAGAATTAACAATCGTATCTATATATTCTATTGTGTTTTTGTTATTCTATTGTAATATTTAGCATGTATATCCAAATTAATTTAAAAATAAATTTAAATTATTTTTGTCATGTACAGATATCTGAAAGAA